GGTAACACATATGAAGCTCTCTCGTCTGTGTAGACCGGGTGTGCTGGTGGCATCAGGTCCAGCTTGCGTCAAGCGAAACCTAGATAGCCAGGATGTCCGAGTGGTTAAGGAGGCAGCGGTTGGCGCGGCGCCATGGCATCGCGAGGACTCCTGTTGTAGCCATCCACGGTGCGGCTAGAGATATTGCCGAACGGTGTGGTGACAGGATTTATCGGCCCTGACGGTCGCCTACTTCCTACATCCGCGGTTCGTTCTCGCCTACCTCGACCTCACTGCTGTTGGTCACGGAGGATTACTAGACGGCAGCCGACGGTGGATAAGAAGGTTTCATCTGATGGCGGGAGACGGGATACACGTGTACAGGTCGAGGCGTACAGGCAGAGGAGAAGCGGAAGACGCACGGTTCGGAGTATAGACCGTTCCGGTATTATACTCGGTTGCGCTGGCGTATGCGTACGCTAGACACATATATAGACCCCACCTTGTCAGTCGATTCCACTCTTTTCCATCGCCGTTTCGCCGTTGTAGTAGTCGAGCAAGCAAAGAGAGACCAGTAGTAGACGTTTATTCATAGCTTTTATTCCACTTTCACTTTCGGCATACACCTACCGTTCGACCTCGTTGATTCGCTGCTTCGCGTTTCACGTTTATTCCCATCACCCGCTTAGACGACGGATCTGTAGCTGGCTGCCAGACAAGGTTAAGTAGATAGGCGTCAGAGTACGGCCTTTGCTAGCTTACCACCCCGAGTAGTTTCGAGTCTATACGACCTACGACGTATCGCGTTTGATCGGAGTTATCACCTTCCTCCCTCAAACGTCACTTGACCTGAATCACGTAACGTTTACACGCCTTTACCTACCACCCACCCCCTATAGTCTACCGGGAACAGCACTTGCCTACCTGGACATCCATTACCACTCCCAGGCTTAGCACCCCTACATACCTACATTACCGCCAACTCAGACGAGTTGTTGTTTGACCTCGTCATCGACGTTTGATCCCGAAGATCGGGATTGGCCCTACAACGGGTGTTCTGCCAGCAAGTCCGGCGGAGCATGTAGTTCACCCGCTATCACACTCATCCATCTATCTACTATCCTACGCAAGTCCCAGACAAAGCACAGGTTGCTGGCAACCCGCAAGTCCCGTAGAAACCACCAGAGTACGGTTCGGCCGTGAGATTGCAAGGACTATGGGTCAGCCGTGATGGTCCACCTCGAGGTTGGTCAGAGAGTTGGGTGTGCTGGTGGCATCTGATGCAGCTTGTGTCAAACGAAACCTGTCCGCATCCATCACCACGTCAAAGTCTGTCAGGTGCAATCCTGCGGTGCAGTACATTATTGCCACGAACTGGACCCTCATCATCAATCAACCTCGATTTAAATAATTAAACTTTTATCGTTCTACTTATCAAGGTACAGTAATAACATGCAGGGGTTGCGCAAGTACTGTAGAAAGGAAAACAAAGCCCAGCTCAAATGGGCAACCTCACATCAACTGGCAGACTCATGACTGAGTGTTCCTTCCAGACTGATGGGATGGGACCACAAGGAATAGCAGGAAATATCTCTCCATGATCTCCTGAACAGATCACAACATCAACTTGGACACCCATGTGACAATCTATGCCACACGGGTAACACATATGAAGCTCTCTCGTCTGTGTAGACCGGGTGTGCTGGTGGCATCAGGTCCAGCTTGCGTCAAGCGAAACCTAGATAGCCAGGATGTCCGAGTGGTTAAGGAGGCAGCGGTTGGCGCGGCGCCATGGCATCGCGAGGACTCCTGTTGTAGCCATCCACGGTGCGGCTAGAGATATTGCCGAACGGTGTGGTGACAGGATTTATCGGCCCTGACGGTCGCCTACTTCCTACATCCGCGGTTCGTTCTCGCCTACCTCGACCTCACTGCTGTTGGTCACGGAGGATTACTAGACGGCAGCCGACGGTGGATAAGAAGGTTTCATCTGATGGCGGGAGACGGGATACACGTGTACAGGTCGAGGCGTACAGGCAGAGGAGAAGCGGAAGACGCACGGTTCGGAGTATAGACCGTTCCGGTATTATACTCGGTTGCGCTGGCGTATGCGTACGCTAGACACATATATAGACCCCACCTTGTCAGTCGATTCCACTCTTTTCCATCGCCGTTTCGCCGTTGTAGTAGTCGAGCAAGCAAAGAGAGACCAGTAGTAGACGTTTATTCATAGCTTTTATTCCACTTTCACTTTCGGCATACACCTACCGTTCGACCTCGTTGATTCGCTGCTTCGCGTTTCACGTTTATTCCCATCACCCGCTTAGACGACGGATCTGTAGCTGGCTGCCAGACAAGGTTAAGTAGATAGGCGTCAGAGTACGGCCTTTGCTAGCTTACCACCCCGAGTAGTTTCGAGTCTATACGACCTACGACGTATCGCGTTTGATCGGAGTTATCACCTTCCTCCCTCAAACGTCACTTGACCTGAATCACGTAACGTTTACACGCCTTTACCTACCACCCACCCCCTATAGTCTACCGGGAACAGCACTTGCCTACCTGGACATCCATTACCACTCCCAGGCTTAGCACCCCTACATACCTACATTACCGCCAACTCAGACGAGTTGTTGTTTGACCTCGTCATCGACGTTTGATCCCGAAGATCGGGATTGGCCCTACAACGGGTGTTCTGCCAGCAAGTCCGGCGGAGCATGTAGTTCACCCGCTATCACACTCATCCATCTATCTACTATCCTACGCAAGTCCCAGACAAAGCACAGGTTGCTGGCAACCCGCAAGTCCCGTAGAAACCACCAGAGTACGGTTCGGCCGTGAGATTGCAAGGACTATGGGTCAGCCGTGATGGTCCACCTCGAGGTTGGTCAGAGAGTTGGGTGTGCTGGTGGCATCTGATGCAGCTTGTGTCAAACGAAACCTGTCCGCATCCATCACCACGTCAAAGTCTGTCAGGTGCAATCCTGCGGTGCAGTACATTATTGCCACGAACTGGACCCTCATCATCAATCAACCTCGATTTAAATAATTAAACTTTTATCGTTCTACTTATCAAGGTACAGTAATAACATGCAGGGGTTGCGCAAGTACTGTAGAAAGGAAAACAAAGCCCAGCTCAAATGGGCAACCTCACATCAACTGGCAGACTCATGACTGAGTGTTCCTTCCAGACTGATGGGATGGGACCACAAGGAATAGCAGGAAATATCTCTCCATGATCTCCTGAACAGATCACAACATCAACTTGGACACCCATGTGACAATCTATGCCACACGGGTAACACATATGAAGCTCTCTCGTCTGTGTAGACCGGGTGTGCTGGTGGCATCAGGTCCAGCTTGCGTCAAGCGAAACCTAGATAGCCAGGATGTCCGAGTGGTTAAGGAGGCAGCGGTTGGCGCGGCGCCATGGCATCGCGAGGACTCCTGTTGTAGCCATCCACGGTGCGGCTAGAGATATTGCCGAACGGTGTGGTGACAGGATTTATCGGCCCTGACGGTCGCCTACTTCCTACATCCGCGGTTCGTTCTCGCCTACCTCGACCTCACTGCTGTTGGTCACGGAGGATTACTAGACGGCAGCCGACGGTGGATAAGAAGGTTTCATCTGATGGCGGGAGACGGGATACACGTGTACAGGTCGAGGCGTACAGGCAGAGGAGAAGCGGAAGACGCACGGTTCGGAGTATAGACCGTTCCGGTATTATACTCGGTTGCGCTGGCGTATGCGTACGCTAGACACATATATAGACCCCACCTTGTCAGTCGATTCCACTCTTTTCCATCGCCGTTTCGCCGTTGTAGTAGTCGAGCAAGCAAAGAGAGACCAGTAGTAGACGTTTATTCATAGCTTTTATTCCACTTTCACTTTCGGCATACACCTACCGTTCGACCTCGTTGATTCGCTGCTTCGCGTTTCACGTTTATTCCCATCACCCGCTTAGACGACGGATCTGTAGCTGGCTGCCAGACAAGGTTAAGTAGATAGGCGTCAGAGTACGGCCTTTGCTAGCTTACCACCCCGAGTAGTTTCGAGTCTATACGACCTACGACGTATCGCGTTTGATCGGAGTTATCACCTTCCTCCCTCAAACGTCACTTGACCTGAATCACGTAACGTTTACACGCCTTTACCTACCACCCACCCCCTATAGTCTACCGGGAACAGCACTTGCCTACCTGGACATCCATTACCACTCCCAGGCTTAGCACCCCTACATACCTACATTACCGCCAACTCAGACGAGTTGTTGTTTGACCTCGTCATCGACGTTTGATCCCGAAGATCGGGATTGGCCCTACAACGGGTGTTCTGCCAGCAAGTCCGGCGGAGCATGTAGTTCACCCGCTATCACACTCATCCATCTATCTACTATCCTACGCAAGTCCCAGACAAAGCACAGGTTGCTGGCAACCCGCAAGTCCCGTAGAAACCACCAGAGTACGGTTCGGCCGTGAGATTGCAAGGACTATGGGTCAGCCGTGATGGTCCACCTCGAGGTTGGTCAGAGAGTTGGGTGTGCTGGTGGCATCTGATGCAGCTTGTGTCAAACGAAACCTGTCCGCATCCATCACCACGTCAAAGTCTGTCAGGTGCAATCCTGCGGTGCAGTACATTATTGCCACGAACTGGACCCTCATCATCAATCAACCTCGATTTAAATAATTAAACTTTTATCGTTCTACTTATCAAGGTACAGTAATAACATGCAGGGGTTGCGCAAGTACTGTAGAAAGGAAAACAAAGCCCAGCTCAAATGGGCAACCTCACATCAACTGGCAGACTCATGACTGAGTGTTCCTTCCAGACTGATGGGATGGGACCACAAGGAATAGCAGGAAATATCTCTCCATGATCTCCTGAACAGATCACAACATCAACTTGGACACCCATGTGACAATCTATGCCACACGGGTAACACATATGAAGCTCTCTCGTCTGTGTAGACCGGGTGTGCTGGTGGCATCAGGTCCAGCTTGCGTCAAGCGAAACCTAGATAGCCAGGATGTCCGAGTGGTTAAGGAGTCAGACTTGAATACTGCAATTTATCTGATGGGTTTACCCGCGTCGGTTCAAATCCGGCTTCTGGCTTTCCCCTTTTTCTTTTTTCCTTTTTACACCATCGCTCGCGGGCCTCGACCGTCTCGCTGCGCTCGCCGCTCTCGCTTCTTACCGCTCGTTCTCGGCTCAATCGAAACCACCTATCCTTTACCATGTCCATACCGCTCATTGGACCCCACTTATCCTTATTTCTGCTCATACAGCTCACTTGGCGTCTGATCAGTATCCTCCCTTTGTCGGCTGCCACAACGGGTGCTCTGGGCGCGACCAGCGCTTCCGATCGAACTTTACATCGTCACTTGTCGCTTCGTCGCTATCCCGTCTGCCTGTCCAGGTTCTGTTCGATCGGCGCCGGACTGCCTGTCTACTCACTCTGACCTCACTGAAGCAGTTCTGCGACCACGTACACACAGTCCTGTCCCTCCTCTTTCATAACAGCCACTTCTTGCTAGCAACCTCGGCGAGCACTAATAGCTTTGCTTCCGCGATCGCTGCCCACTCTCGCTCGGCGAACGGCCATCTCGATATCCCATCGTCATCACAACGTCGTACTTGAATCTTGCCAATCTACCTTTCGCCCCTCTTCCACACACATACCCTCTTCTTGTGAATTCTCCCACTCAATACCACACACACACCTCCAGGATGGCCGACAAGAAGAAGCAACTCGTCTGGAACTTTATCGACTTTCTGAAGACCTCGCAGCAGGATGGAACCGTAAAGGAGGACGACAAGGAATCGCTCGATGTGGCCAGTGAGTCGAAGCACGAGTTCTCGTAGACATCCACTAGCACCTTGTCTGAACTGGTATCGTGCTCCCTGCGCGCAGTACAATGCCTCTCCGAAGCCTTCGAGGTCGACCCGGAATCCGCCGATGACACCCGTCAATACAGCATCAAACCGGCGAGCCTACAGTCCATCTTCGAAGTCGCCCTCAAGACCTTGAACGCCAAAAAGACCCCCGCCGCTGCCGAACCTAGCTCCAGCTCCCAATCAACCTCTTCGCCGGCCGACAAGACCCCCTCAGCCGATGACAAGAAAAAGGCCGAAGCGTTAAAGATGGAGGGCAACGCGTTGATCTCTGCCAAGTCGTACAGCTCGGCCATTCAAAAGTACAACGAGGCCATCGCTTTGGACCCCACAAACCCGGTCTACTACTCGAACCGAGCCGCTGCTTACAGCGCCGAGGGGAGCCACGAAAAGGCCGTCGAGGACGCAGAGGAGAGCTTGAGACGTGATCCCAAGTTCGTCCGAGGTTATTCTCGATTGGGGTGAGTGTGGCGGGTTCCCCTTTCTCCCATACTCTATCACTGACGACCAACCAACATCCCTCATTCAAAATGTCAGCCACGCCCAATACTCTATCGGCAACTTCTCCGCCGCCGTCGAAGCATACACCAAAGGTCTCGAGCTCGACGGCAGCAACGCCAACATGAAGGCCTCGCTCGCACAAGCCCAAAGCAAGGCCAAGGAACAGGAAGCTCAGCTCGACCGAGAGGCCGACGATGATGTCGATGACGATGCCGTCGCACCCGGTGTCGGTGCTAGTGCCGGTGGGATGCCCGACTTGAGCGCTCTCGCCGGCATGTTCGGTGGCGGTGCTGGTGGTGCAGGTGGAGCCGGTGAGCCAGGGTCGTTTCGCCATTGATTCCGAACACGGTCTGATAATCGTCATGTCTGGGTTCCCAGGTGGAATGCCAGACCTAGCTTCGATGATGCAAAACCCCATGATGATGCAGATGTGAGCGGCCTCATACGTCACCCGTCTAACATGAAGTCCAGGCTAACCCGTAATTCGCCATACTAGGGCTCAGCAGATGATGGCCAACGGAGGTCTCGAGAAGTTGATGTCGAACCCGTCTCTCCGAAACATGGTCAGTCGACAACCTTCTCACGCTAGCTCGACTGATTGACGATGGCTGACGAGATATCTCAACATGTTATACTTCCACCAGGCCGAGCGAATGCAAGGTGGGGGCGGTATGCCCGACATCGAGTCGCTGAGAAACGACCCGGAGATGCGAAAGATGTGAGTTCTGCCTTCGAAAACGCTTTTCATCTCCCTCATCGACCGGCATGTCAAACTGATTCTGTCTTTCCGATTTTCTTTCAGGGCTGAGCAGTTCATGGGTGGCAGGAAATGATGATCGACTTGTAACGAGGATGATGCCAGTTTGAGATACAATGATTCGCTTTTCCTGATCATTCGGCTGTTCTGCCTTTTCTACTTTGATACTGCATAAGGTAGTCGTGATGTATTGATGTGTCGTCGTAGTCGTAATGCAGGCTATTGATAGCGATCCGTGCGTACTTCGCACATACTGTCGCGTCTCATGAAAATTGGTAACGAATCCGCTAGTCCTCCTCCATGGCGTCATCATCTTGATCCTGTTCGCCGACCTGCTCGTTCGCTTCCTCCTTGTTCTTGATCGATCGAATCTCGTCCTGCACATCGCCCTCCAGATGCTTCCCGATCAGACCCTCCGTCTTTTGAGCCGGTCTGGCCGAGATCCCTGTGTTCCAAATGATTCCACAACTTGCTTTCATCAGCTACCACTTCTTTGGTCGTGAAGCTAAGGTCGCTTGCGGATGGCTAAACGTACCGAGAACGATATCTTCCAAAGCTTGCACGCATCCTTCTACCATCTCATCAGTCTCCTCGAAGAGCTCCTTGGTCTGGGCTACGAGAGTAGCAACCAGATCCTGCAATGCAATACGGGACCCCATCATACCGCACAAACGATAGATACGAACAGCTAAGAGACCTGCTTTGGAGCTCTGTCCTGGGAGAGTCGAAATGAGACGCACTTGTTTTCGTTGAAGAAGGTCTGCAAGCTCTTTCTTATACTTGTCGATCTCGGAGTCGACGGGTTCGAGTTGACGGACGATCTTGGTGTAGGCCTCGGTACTGTTGTCGGCGAGCAGAGCAAGTCAGTGTTGACTTCCAAATCTCATGAGAAGATCTGCCGATTCTGGTGACGCTGACGTTTCCTCTGCGTGAGTCTTGATCATATGATTGTGTCGCTTGATCTGCGACGCAAGAGAAAAATCAGGATCATACCTGCAGTCGACGTCAACGGTGTGGACATACGATCTCGCCCGTTTTCTTTTTGTACTCCGCGATCTCTTTGTCGGTAGCCTTGTTCACCTTCTTCTCCCACTCCTCTAGAAGTCGAATGTAATGTAGACCGCTCGAGATCAGATCCAGTTAGTTGGCTGCCTTTCCACTTCTTTGCATGCTTACGTTTCATTCCAACCCAGAACGCAGCGTAAGCTTCTTTTCTGGCAATGCAATACGAATTCATCAGAGGCGAATAGGAGCTAGAAGCTGGAGCTTGGGGAAACTTGCTGTTCTTGACTGTTTTCAGCGATGGCAGAAGTAGAATCCGTTCTCGGCGAGCTGGGCTGGGCGTGCGTGATCCGCCTGTTGGTCGCCTTGCTTCTAGCGAGAGCCATATTGTATATCGTGAAGACCTGTTTAGGAACTGGATGGTTTGTTGGTAATGGTGGGGAATGGATCTTGCCTGTATGGCTAGATACGAGGTAAAGACGTGGATACAGATCGATGATTGTTGCAGATTGCAAAAGCCAAAGGAAGGTCCAAGGTCGATTGTGACCTTTCAAGCCGAAACGCGGAATCTTTCGGCAACGATAACGTAAGCAAAGCTAGACGGCGACGGGAAACGCTTTTCAGAGCATTGGATCGATCTCAAAGCTATCATCCGTCTCACGGGCACACAGTGTAAAAGCGTAGAGACATGCATGCATATATGACATGAGGGTATTCGTAAATTTGTCGTTTGTGCTACTACTATTACCTCCAAAAGACCCGACAGAATATCTATTCCAAGTCGACCGTAAATTTTCCGGCGAGACGATTTTCCCTTTTTCCGTTTGATGATTACCCGTAAATACAATTTGGTTCCATTTCGAACTGCTTGTGCTTCGCTATTACCCTCTCGACTCGATCGCAGTATGATGAAGTCGATCAAAATGGTTGTTGTTGTTGAGGCCCGTTGTTGTTGAAGCCGGGAGCAGGTCCCCGGTATCCCCCTCCGCCGCCTCCACGTCCTCGTCCTCGGGGGAATCCACCTCGTCCTCGTCCACCACCATTGTGATAATGGTTGCTAGTGTTGTTCCCACCGGCTTCGCCAAACGTGTTCAAGTTGGTCATCCTCTCCTGACTCCTCTGCCACTTGAACCCTCCACCGCCGCCACCTCGGCCACCAGCATCGAACCCGCCCGAAGCACCGCCTCGTCCACCTCGACCCCCGCCCTGCCTGTTGTTGGCCGAGACGTCGGAAGAGACCGAGTCAAAGAACGACTTGGACTTGTTGTAGACCGGCTCGACTTGCTCTTGGTCGTCGCCCCTCAGGCCGGACGTAGCGGCAGTCTTGTCGCCCTTCTTGCCCATGACGACCTCTTCGTCCGACTCGTCCTCGGAATCGTCATCACCTCCAGCCTGACCGTCGACCTGGCCACTCTTGCTCGAACTGAGAACGACCTCGGGCTTTTGTTCCCTCGTTCGCATCTCTTCAAACTTGCGGTTCATCTGCTCGAAATCGTACTCTTCGGCAGGAATGACCGGAGGAGCGGGTCCGGGTCCTCCCATCCGTTGACCTTGCCCGGGTCCACCCTGGAATCCACCACGACCCCGACCGCCCCGTTGGAATCCACCTTGGCGAGGATGAGGATGAGGTTGGCCTTGAGGCTGGTAAGGTGGTTGAGAAGGTCCGGCATGATTTCGGATCTCGCCCACGGTCTGCTCGATCTTTTCCATCGTGCTCAAGGGCGGCTGGTTGTAGGCGTTCGCTCGGGGTGGAGGAGGCGACGTGTACGAAGGCTGTTGAGGTGGTGGCGGGGGTCGAGCCTGTTGTACGGGAGGTGGTGGCTGCGAGTACTGCTGCTGTTGCGGTTGCTGAGGTGGGGGAGGCGGAGGGGCGGCAGCCATCTGAGTCTATATACGTGACAAGCCCAAGGCAGGATGTCAGCGGCGGTCCTCGAGATGTCTTCGTGCACAAAAGGATAAGCGAAAAGAGGAGTCGTCGTTTGGTAGGCTCAGAAGGAAGGCAACGGAAGCATCCACATGGGTTTTGCGCTCTCGGACTGCGGCCCGAAGGCACTTTACATCCGAAAAATACTTCATCATAGAACACACGACGACGGTAGGGGAGGTATAAGGGGAAAAGGGAATGCAGTCGAGGTGAAAAGAGATACTCACGCTTTGGCGAATCGCAGGATCGTCCGGAAGCGTCTGGGCCACGGGTGGTGCTGAAGGCTCGATGGCCAGGTCGAGAATGTCATTGACGGTAAAGACGACGACAGGGTGGACACGGTCGAGCATAGGAGGGATGTACTGGGCCGCTTGTCGGTCTTCGGTACCCATGCTAGAGACTGTGAAAGCGAACATGGTGTGTGTCAGACGACTTGATTCAGGAATACGATGCTGCTTCAAAGACACTCACCGTTCTGCAACGTCATGGTGCCTTGCGTGCTGTCGATCGAATGGACCGTGCCTCGATACCGCAATTGCGCCCTCGACGTGAGCGAGATTTTCATCCTATCAGAAAACGACGATTGTGCGTCAGTTACGAATTGCCACGGAGAGAGTCCCCTTTGACGTTCGAGACTCACCCGATGAATTGCTCGGTCATGATGGGCAGTCGATGTCGTGATACAGTGAGGGAGAGGGGTCCAAGCGGGGTGAAACGAGCGTTAATGTGTAGAGACGATCTACTTGTACAGGGGACCTCACAGCATTACGATGTTGAGAGGTGGAGACGAGGAGGAAAGGTGACGTGTGACAAACGGGAATGAGGGGATGATGGTCGTCGTGATGGTGACGAACCGTCTTGTAGTTCCCCTAGGCCGGGCGACGTGTCGAGAAGCAAAAACGGCAACACGGGGACGGATCAAGCGCGCGCTTTTACGTGGCACGGGGGAATATGGCGATTCGCAAACCTTGTGTTCAATTCCATGGCAAAAAGAGTGGAGGTATGGTAGCCAGCCACTCTTCCGCTGTTTGGCATGCCCATCTCTCACGTTGGCTCTATGGTGGGAGAACGTTGAGAGCAGCCAGCTTAATTTCACGAAGCCTAGGCGAACCTAAGAGGGCTTTAGGAAAGAGGTACCCCGGGCGAGGAGGTTTGTAGCATTTGTATATTAAGTAAACACGGCCATTATGGCGGATGGCCGTGGTGAACTGCTATCTAGGCCTGTGTGCCTCATTAACGAGCCATGTAGCCACCCTCCGTAAGATTTCGTTTCCCCATCCGCGGATCGCCCGTAATATCGTTCGCTGCTGCCGGCATGGCTATTTCCTGTGACGAGACTGTGACACAAACAAAACAAATCCCAAAAGTTGAGAGATCTCTCTCGATCGTACGATGGCGCCCGCAACGAGCAGCATGCAGCATGTGCACAGCGTGAGTCGACGATGGCGATACCCATCCACAACGACCTTCTTGTACTGTACATCTACCACATTCATCTTCATGCAATTCCTCGTCCCGACCTAGTCGTCAATCGATCAATCTCCACCACCTATAATCATGGCGACCTCGAACGGTTCCGCCATCAGACAACGCGCGACCCCCGTCAACGGGTCCAACGGTCACACCTCCTCGAAGAACGGCCACGCAAACGGGGTGAACGGCAACGATACCAGCAAGGCTGGAGGGTATGCTAGTCATATTACCGAACATGGGCGAGAGATCGATAGGAAGTTGGATGCTCACGATGAGTGAGTTCCGTATGTTGATCAGGAGCGGTTCTGGGAGCTGACGATCGACCGGGGCTTGGTGCGGTTTATGATATTGTTCGTAGGTGGGAATTCGGTGGACCCGTAGGAACGCTGGCGATGATGCTAGGTTTCCCCTGCCTCATGTGTAAGTCGTCTTCGCTTCATCTCGACATTATCCCCTCGCTGAACCCAACTCTGATGTCCGTTCTGCCGCGACACGATCGCAGACTACCTCTGGATCTGCCTGTGGCACTTTCAAGGCAGGCTCGTCCACCCGACTAGTCTCTCATGGGACGGGAAAGGCGGGATTGGAACGTTCTTGTCAGAGATGGTCGGGATCGTAAAGAAGGTTCGTATTACCTTCCCCTAATGCCTCGGGATAAACCGGAAATTGATGCTGATGAGGTGTTTGATGATGTAGGACGCCTACCCGACTAGGTATGCGTTCAACACCTACGCTAGCTTGATCGCTATCCAGTTGGTTCTCGCTCTCGTCATGCCTGGGCTCGATCAGGAAGGTAGGTTCCGCCGTCAGGCTGATAATCAACACTACTCTCCGCTGATCGACCTGCTTACAACTGACGACCCGCAGGTCTTCCCGTTCCCTCGCTCAACTACAAGTCGTTGATGTACCACTGCAACGCCCTCGCCTCGTTCTACACCACCATCGTCCTCGCGGCCGTCTTCCACGTCACGGGGATCTTTCAACTCCCGCACCTGATCGAACATTTCGGAGAGCTCATGTCGTGGGCCATCATCATCTCCTTCTTCTTCACCTTTCTCATCTACACCCTCGCCGTCACTTGTCATTACGGAGGGAAACCGCTGAGGATGTCGGGCAACGTGATTTACGACGTCTTCATGGGTGCGAGCTTGAACCCGAGGTTGTTCACTTCGAGGGCGTTCGCGTTGGGAAGGAAGAGGTGGGATGGGGTCGACTTGAAGATGTTTGCCGAGGTCAGGGTGCCTTGGGTGTTGTTGTTCATGATCGCCGTGTCCGGAGCCGTCAAGCAGTACCAAGATCTCGGTTACGTGACGCCCGTAAGTACTTCTGCGCTGGCTATAAGCTACGACGAAATTAGGGACCTGACACGACTGTTCGTTTACGGACAGAACATGCTCTTCATGATCCTCGCGACCGGGCTCTACATCAACGCTTGGTGAGTTGCGGTACAGTCTGAGAGAGCAAGACTGCCTGCTAACATCAACGGTACCATGATGTAGTGCCAAGGGTGAACACATGATCCCTCAGACCGTGAGCCTGAGCCTCTCGTCTCGTTATCCGGGGATCCGGTGAAGCTGATCCCGTCCATCGTGCCACTGTCAGTGGGACATGTTTCACGAGAAATTCGGGTTCATGCTCATCTTCTGGAACATGGCCGGAGTGTACGTTCAACCAATTCTCATCTAGCGCGAGTCAAGGCGACACTCACTTACTGGCGACCTCTTTCATCCACGACAGACCCTTCACCTACTGTTACCCGATTCTGTACATGGCCAGGAACGACCCGGCCACTTACCGATTCCCCACGCTCGTCTACGTTGCCTTGTTCGTCACCTTGTGCTGTGCATACTACGTGTGAGTTGACTGTCGAGGATGGGGTGATCCAGCTGGGATGAGTGAGGCTGACGAGTTGGATGCGATGAAACAGGTTCGACACTTCGATGAGCCAAAAGTCAGCGTAAGTTGGCACTCTCCAACATTTCACCGGCCATTCGGGGAACAAGGCTGACGTCCCATATTGCTACTTCGATAGGTTCAAGATGCAGAGCCAGGGCGTCTACGTACCCCGGGCTTCGTTCCCTCAGCTTCCCGGTTCCGTCTGTGTCAACCCTACCTTTATTCAGACCAAGCACGGGTAAGATGATTTGGTTCACATTGCTACAGGGGGTAGCGCGGATGTTGACACGAGTGCGATTTTTATCAGTAACAAGCTCTTGACAAGTGGTTGGTGGGCCTGGGCTAGGAAGCCGGTATGTACAGGTCTCCCTTGGGTCTCCCTCGTCCCGAGCTGACCTTTCTCGCACATGATCAGAACTACACCGCAGACTGGATCCAGGCTTTGACTTGGGGTCTCTCTGCCGGTCTCAACACCCCGATCACCTTCTTTTACCCCGCCTTCTTCATGACCGTCTTGATTCACCGATGCGGGCGAGACTTTGAGAGGTGTGCGCGAAAGTATGGCGACGAGTGAGTTTAGCTTGCCCTTGTTCGAACGCCGGACTATCTCTGACGTGACTTGATCTTTGCTCTATAGCTGGAAACGATACACCGAAGGTAAGCCGAAATCAGCCACTGTATGAAAATCAGTCTAGAAATCTGAAGCTGACATTGCCGCTCGCATTGCTACAGTCGTCAAATACCGATTCATTCCCGGTGTCTACTGAGTGAACACAATTCGTTTCGGAGAACTTGAGACAAACAGGCTGGCATATTCTTCAGATACCTGTTTACAACCATGATATAAAAATACATCTAGGCGCATACTGAACTGTTCATTCGTGCTGCAAAACCTCGACGCGCGACACGAGCCCATGCCCAAGCCTACCGATCTCGCTCAAGATGCTTTCCTTATTGATATCTGTCATAGTCGAAACCTTTTTGGCAGCGCTTGCCACCGGCTTTACGCTGTATCCAAGGAAAGGCTTGAAGTTGCGATGTTGCAACGCGTCCGGGTTCCAGAGCCCGGCGATGACCTGTCCTCCATGCTTGTCGTAGAAGAAGATGGCTTGTTCGCCGTACGTTCGCTGATAAGCATGAAATTGAGGACGTCAGCATTTCTCCTGGTCTTTTCAGATTCAACAGCCTGCTCTCGCTTACCTGCAGGTCGGCCAACAACATGGAGGCCGGGTCAAAGCCAGCCTTGACCGTATTAGCAGCTAATCCGGCAACAGCCTGGTTGCGGATGTGTCCTTCCCACAGCTTGGAGACTTGTGCGTCGGTCCGGGCCGCGATACTTTCGGCGGTTCGAGGGTTGTGGCGCGGGTCGAGGTGCAGAACAAAGTCATACTCGGTCAGATCCGTGACGAACAGGTTCTGCAAGGGAGACACAGCGGTTAGTATATGGAAAACATCTCCTCGAATGCAGGGGAGCCTCACCTGTACGTTCAGCGATGGAGATTGCAGCGCCGCCAGCGTTGCCTGCGCCAGTGTGACAAGTCGGGAAGCGATCAAGCGATGAGGCAATCCAAGTGGCAGCCATGCCCGTCCGATGAGATCCTGCTCTGTCACAACGACCATAGTAGATTTGTGCAACTCCTTGTCCACCTTGCGGATTGCTTCGAAGCTCGACTCGGCTTGACGCCGAAGGCCTTCCGGGAATGAGACCAATCCCACCGAAGTGTCTTGGTCGTGGTCCCGCGTGGCAGTGTACAACGGCACGTACAAGGGTGCAGCCTTCCAATCCCAATGTGCCAGGACCTCAATAGCCCTCACGAACCCGGCGTGAGCGGTGGTAGGTACCTCATGAGCCCCGGGATCAAGGTAGACCGAGGCCATGACGAGCTCGAGCATCTCTTCAGGGAAGTGTGCCGAGAGTAAGTGACTTGCCACCCATCGCTTGAGCAATCGACCGGCAGAGGCGAATGAAGGGTACATGTGATGCAGGGTGACGACTGCTCCGTGATGGCGAGGCGCGGCACTGTATCGACGATAGTGCAAATCGAAAGCATCCTGAGCGATCTTTCTGAGCTTTTCTGAAGGAGTATCCGCATCCTCGATCATCCTCTCCAGAAGCGTTCGTTCTCGGTCGTGTTGAATGTGCAGATGGAAGGCGTGTCCACTTCCCATGATGACCTCGAGGGAGGCGCTGTCTTGTACGTCCGGTGCATATGGGTCGACCACGACCGATACTTCAGCGTTTTGAAGCTTCCTCTCGAGCACTTCGGCCGTTTTGGCCAGTACCGCTAGCTTGATCTTCTGGATCGCGACCAGGTCGTCCGGCCATTTCCGCGAACTTTCGAATTGGATCAACACGTCGACAACGGGCATGTACCGCACACACTCTGGTGCAGATGCCGCTCGAGCCAGATCGACCGGGTAAGGGATGAACGTGCTGCTGTACCGTAATGCTGGCGACATGGGCGAAAAGTTCAGAACCGCCAATGGCAAGTCATCGTCCGCGGCCTTGATAACCTTGTACAGGCTGTCGAAAGCCTCCATAACAGGACGGAACCCTAGCTTCTCAGACCCTTCGGCATGGATCAAGCGATGTGCCGAATTGGGGATCTGGGTCATAGGTAGGTAGTCCGGGCTGTGCCAAGTGACTTCGTCCTCGTCGGCGTTGAAGTGGGTCGCCAACAACCATCGGACGACCTGTCCGGGGATAAGAGCTCGTTCCTCTGGCCGCTGAGCGTTCCAAACGACACTCTCGGTGATCCGACCATCCTTGAACCTCCTCAGCTCGGATTTCGATCCCCACAATTGTCGGAACGCTTCCGAACCGGCAGCATCTTCCGAAGGAGGACCTTGATCCAGGATGTTGAAAGCGTGCTCCTTGTTCAACAGGAGACCGATCTGCACAGGCCCATCCTGACTATCGCTGCTCTCGGTTGTCGACCACCCGGATGCACGAGGCAAGTCGACAGCGATGACCGTTGCACGCCTGCCCAAACCTCGTCGCAACAACGAAGCGAGGCTGTGGACAGAGGCCCGCATTCCACTCGCATGATCGGGATTGCTACCTGGTCGACTCGATAGGGCCGCGAGACTACGAATAGGAGTCCGATCAGTAGTGGTCAAATCAAGTCTCTCGACCTATTTCGCGCTCACGTAAAAGTCTCGTCAAATTGCAACACTGCCGAACCGACATTCCGTAGAAAGACCTCGTCGAACCTGTCCGACGAGCCAGTATGGGCGAGCATGCTCAACGTGATTCGGGCGTGGTGTCGCAGCTATTACATAAAGGATAACGGTTCGATCAACGAGAGACCAAGCAAGGAAAATGAAGACCAGGACGTACCAGGTCAACTTCTCCCTTTTCCCATCCGCTGAACACGTTGATTCTACCCGAATGATCCACCAAGATGTTGTCAAACGCCTTGACGAATTCCATAGCCGGGATCTGATTGATGCAATCCCAGCGTTAGTCAACTATTCGACTCGGCAGTTGGTATCGGGACTAACCTTATCGCCTGTGGTACACTTTTGGAAGATGGGCGTCTTGGCGAAATCGGTCGAAGCTAAATGAAAGACCCCATCAGTTCTGCCTATCCGCCTGACCTCTTCGCAACTATCGCTTTCGCCAAGGTGGACTTACATAACAACTCCCAACCCGCTCTCAACATTTGCCACTCGCTCAACCCCCTTCCCAGCCCTTTCCTCGCTCTCGTCGATACCTCGCCCTTGTTAATTACCGCCACCTCACCCCCATCGACGATGAACCCGAGTACGACGCTTCCCAACCAACTCCACCCTACTGCACCCCCTCCGGACCTCGTCGATAGTCCACGTCGGTCGCCCCAGATCCTCCAGAGCGCCAAGGCCGATCGGAAGGACGGGCAGGATTTGTGTAGACAGTGCATGTAGAGGAGGTGGGATTTGTGGGATGCGTCGAGGAGGATCGAGGTGTTGTAGATGGGGGTCGGTTTGGATTCCAGCGAGTCGGTGTCTTGTTCGTAAGACTGAATACGCAGGTTGGATTTTGAAGGGTATAGGGTGGACAGAGGGAAGAGGTCGGGAGATATGGAAGCCAGGAGTCGGATGGTATAGGTGTGTTTGAGACCGAGAGACTTGTCTGTACCACGGCAATGAACGGCCGTCAGCCGATCACGATCAGGCACATGTGTAAGCAATCCACTGCTTACTCTTCGGTACGGTGAGCACCAATCCAGCTCTCCGTTCATCCCCGCCTACCCACTCCCACCCGACCGTCATGCTCTTCCATATATCGTCCATCCCGTCATTTCCAGCATTTGTCCCCTTTTTGCCCTTTTTCGATCCGTCGCTCTTGCTCGAGATCAAGGTCGAGATTGACGAGGCGATCACGGTAAGGTAATGAGCCCGTTTCTGAAAATACCGGTTGGCCGTCCGGTCTTTGACGGTAAAAAGGGACTGCACGACGTAGGCGACATGTTTCAAGCGTCAATAAGAGCCCTTTAAAACAAGCATGGTGTGAAAGTGGACTCACATCGGGCATGACGACGGCCATGTCGATAGCATTCAGCTCGACCACCGAGTTCTTCTTGCCCCTCCGATAATGACCCATCAAGCTCCAATCTCCACAGATCAACACCTCTTTCGGCTTTTCCCAACCTAACGTCCACTTGACGGTCTTGCTCGTCGGAGCGGGTTCGAGAAAGGGGATGACGTGGGGTGATAATCTTTGGACGGCCGAGTCGACGGGAAGAGGTGCGAGGTCGGGAAGGGAGAGGATGTGGGTGTGGAGGGAGGTCAAGAGGTTGGAGAGGGTCGTTGCTGGGGGTGGTGGAGTGAACGAGGTTGATGGTGCTGGGAGGGGGTCGAGAAAGGTAGCAGAGAGGAGTTCGGTAATCTGTCGAAAATAGAGATCAAGGTCAATATGGTGGGACCAGAAGACGGACAGATGCAGCAACGACATACCTTCATGCTGAACCCAAAGGAAGAACCTCGATCCTCTCCCTCTCGTTTGAGCATCTCCATCTCCTCGGCTGTAGGCGGTCTGAACAACGCCTTGTCGTTCTTCTTAGGCCGAGGAGCTGTAGATCCAACCTCATCGTCTTCTTCCAGATCCTGGAAAGCGCTGGTAGCCTGCTCTTGATCTTCAAGCGAGGCGTCATCTTCGTCCAGCGACTGCATGTCTTGGTCTTCTTCTTCTTCGTCATCATCAGATTCGCCTTCATCCTGGTCATCATCCTCGTCGTCCTCGTCATCTTCGTCATCATCATCGATCATGTCGTCCATCATGGCTGCCGACATCATTCCATGCGTTGCGCTAGTCTCTCCGTCGTACTGGTTCTTTGCCAGTTTCTGAGGTCGAGCAGGTTTCGATCGGATTAGCAGCGATTGGAGGATATTTGACCAGGAGAAACATACCTTGGCGGGTGCCGACAGAGAGGCTGTATTGGCCTTTCTCTTTATTGATGGCATGGCTGACACTGTGTGAGTATTGAATGGTGGCGAGAATAGTCACAGCTAGATTCGAACTCGATCTCCTTGAACTTCGAATGAGAGAGATGGATGGATGGAGTGTGTGCTTCATCGAAATTGTCGGAAAGGTCCAAGGTGGAAATAAAACACGTTAGCCTCCACTCAGTCCGGAAGTATTTTATAATTTGGTTCCGACGAGGCTCTGATCGCCGATACACAATTTCTGTCAAGAGGTTGTCGTCCTATAGCCTATAGATCCTGTCAACTTGCGACTTGGGCACATAGATCTTGCTCACATTCGAATGACATAACGATTGCCCTTTCACTTCGTCTTGAAATGGCTGGTGGAGCCTTCAAACTCACTTCGCTGGATCCGAGGTATACCCGGCTCTACGTCAAGACCAACAGGCGTATCTACATACAAAACACCATCAACCTTTTGCACGCCAGCTTGCACCGTCGGGATGCCGTCAGGGCGTACAGGTGTTGGGCTATACTAGTGGGTTGTCCTGGTTCCGTATTGAAGTGATTGAGACCGTGCTCAAATCAGTAGTTGCGATTTGCCTTGCCGACAGGTACGATGCCCCGAGATCGACTTTAGGTCGACATGGAAATGGGCATTGCCCGTGCTCGACCTCATCGACTCGGACAGGGATTACCCCGAACTCTATCAGACCCAAGCCTCATCTTCATCCTCTTCGCAACCCTTGACGGGAGATACGGCTCTTCTGAACGAGATCAGGAACGGGATGGACCATCGTGCGAAAGAGGCGTACTTGAAGAGGATGTTGGCGGTAGCGCATCAGTGGCAGGTGAGTCGCAATCAAACAATACCCTTCAATTGCCTGTCCATAACTGAGTATTGTTACTTCTATCATCAATCTAATATTCTAGAAACCGGAAATTCTCACCTCCCTCGTCGTCCACCTGCTCTCGCAACACCTCTACGAAGAAGCCCTCCAACAGCTCGAGTTATACCTGACGATCTTCCCCTTCGCACTATCCGCCATCATTCACACATACACGGGCTTGGTCCTCTTTTACCTAGCGCAGCCGAGAAAAGTCTACCCGGACCCAGGCTCGCAAGCATTCTCTCAGTTCCCGAATACGCAGCATTATCCTTCTTCCCCGGCATCAGCATCGATCCCGCCGAGGCTGTCCGGCTTTTCTTCGTTACAACTGGGTGACGACCCGGATATCGACCCGGACCTAGACCTGGACTTCAATTCCAATTCCAACTCGGATCCCCGGCGATCGAAGATGCAGCGGGATATGCAAGGATGGGACGTCCCCAGATTACGACAGGCGTTGGTCAGGTTCAATGCGGCCGTAGAGATCGAAAAGGACGAGGAAAAGGAGGCTGCGGACAAGGCCAAGGCGAGGGCACAGTATGCGGGGGATCCGAGTTTGGGGGTGATCAGGCGGGCTGTGGGGGGGAGTGTGGCTAGGGGGTTCGTCAAGGAGGTTAGTGAGACCTGCTTGGTGTGGCCTATCGTAGTGATGGGGAGAGAAGCTGATAGGCCCGCTTCGTTTTTAGATCAAGGCGATGCTCGTCGTAGTAGATGGCAGATTTACTGAAGATGCGGATTCGAGCGGCGATGAGCAGAAAAACGGATGGAGCGACGAGGAGGAGGATGCGGGAGATGACGATAGGATGGACGAAGATGACGATCAGGAAGAGGACGATGATGATGACGACGATGATGATGGTGCTGAGACTGGGACAGGTCAGGCGGGGCGGAACAGGGCCGCTGTTCAGCCTGTCATACCGGTCACGCCGAGAAAACGTGGACGGCCGCGTTTATCGTCGACGTCCAGACCTCAACCGACCAGTGGGTCCCGGAAGACTACGACTAAAGCGATGAAAACACCAACACGCACACCGAATCGGACGCCAAATCGCACACCAAATCATACTCCTGATCCGTCCTCGGCCCGATCTTCACCCGGACCAACACCTCAGAGCAGGTCCATCCGGTCGACCCGGAACTTGCAACCCATGTATCATACCAAAGTCCATCCGCTCGATGCGCTGGACGACGAGCCGGCCCCTCCAGGACAGGCGCCTAGAAGGCCAATCTCGGATTCGAGCTCGAGCGACGACGACGACATGCGTATGGGACGGACACCGAGCGGACGCGGCGTCAAGCGGAAGAGTCGGAGTAGGAGTAGGAGCCGGATGCGGCCCATCAAGGGCAAGGTTAGGGACGAGGATGCGTATATGGACATGGAGGTGGAAAAGGAGAATAAGCAGCCAATGGAGATGGACGAAGGGGGCGAATACAGCGACCGTTCGATAGGCTAGTCGTTTCTTCCCCTTCAACTGTAGCCAATACCATCAAGTAGCTTTCAGCTCATGCCGACCGTCAGAACCTGAACCTTCCGATCGTGCACATAAAGTTTGCTGCCGGATCTATAATTATTGGTTTCTATAGCTAAACAACGTCTATACACGCCAAACGAGCACAGCACCGTCATCACCCGCGCTGACCACCACGGATTCCCCAGCCTTTTCCTCCTCGCCCTCGGGAACACCCCACCCAGCAGGAGCCGCAGCGACGGCGAGACCGTTGATAGTGCCAGCGTGGCCCTTGTGAGTAGCGATCAGAGCTCCTTGTCGAGCGTCCCAAGTCTTGAGGGTCTTGTCAGCCGAAGCAGTAGTGAACAAGTACCTTCGAGGAGCGGGGTGGGCGAAGACCGAGGTGACAACGTCCTGCGAAAGAGAGGCGTGTAAGCATATGAAGTGACATTGGGCACGAAGGGTCGCGACATACCTCGTGGTGGACCTCGGCCCTAGGTTTGCTAGTGGTCACGTCCCAGACGATGGCCTTGCCATCAGTGGCAGCACTGACCAAGAGCAACCCCTTGGTACTACCATCTCCACCCGGTCCAGCGAGACCCAAGATGTCCATGAAAGCGAGCCCTTCGATCGACTCTCCCTCGGCGTGACCCGGGATCTTGCTGACGACCTTGCCATCGGGCAAGTTGATCACACGGATCTGTCCGTTGGCACCACCGATAGCGAGGAAGTTGGAAGCAGGTGCGACTGCGAGTGAGGTAATTCCCTCTTCGAAACGGCCAAAGTTGTAGGTCTGGTGCGGTGCTAGTCGGAGTAGAGGAGCGTTCTCTCGAGGGTCAAAGACGCAGGCTGAAGAGTCGGCGGAGGTGGTGACCAAGAGCTTTCCGTTGGGAGTAAAGTATCCCGCCGTAGTCGCTTCAGTGTGAGAGGAAAAGACTTGCATGTTGTTTCCGCTAGGTACTGTAGGCCGAGAAAGACACCAGCATATCAATTTAGACACGATGACTGACATCGAGATGTATCGTGAGACTCACGTTGCCACATCCAGACGGTACCACCCTCAGTTCCGGCCGCAAGAACGGGTCCCTTGGGATGCCAAGTTAGCCACTGTTTTCACGAACGCCGGGTGAGCTTTCTGCTAATGTCGTTTCGTCCGATCCGTGCCGCAAACTCACGGTAATCTCGTCGCTGGTGTCGAGACTAGTCAGGAACTCCCATGACCTCCAAGCCTCAACGCTCGCTGGGTCCTCGGCTTGCTTTCCCTTGACCCGTCGCCAAACCCTGACCTTGCCGTCCATACCTCCGGTAGCGACCATCTCGCCATCAGAACTGAAAGCGCAGGTGATGACCGAGTCGGTGTGCCCGGTGAGCCTGACTGGCTCAAAGGTCGAGTTGTTGATGGGGTATTTCGAGGATGAAGGGTCGGGGAACGGGGAGAGCGGGGAGAAGATAAAGGCGAGGTCGTCCTCTCCTCCAGAGATGGCGAGGGGAGGGTTCGGGAAGGAGGGGTGCAGGGTGACCTGGAAGATTGAAGATTCGTGGTGGACTGCAAGGTAAAACAATGCATCAGCTCAGCTAAACGTCGACCTCGCACTTGTACAATGTCGCACTAACTGGAGTGTCCCAAACTGTTGTCCTCCAGCGGCAGATTGGCACTGATCATACCGGACCCGTCCTCCTCCTGATCATCCTCATCCATGGGCTCATCATCGGCATCAGATTCCTCTACGACCTCGATGTCGTCCTGGTTGATGTATTGCTCATCCTCCTGCTGCTCCTCGTCGGAGCCCTCGTTCTCGTGCTGGTCGGGATGTTCGGACATGGCTATAGTGCGTGGTTTCTGGACGAGATTTAGCTGTGGAATTCTTCGTGAGTGCTGCTACGGGACCGTTCTGGCGATGCACTAGTCCGAGTATATATGAAAAGTGGCAAGCCGAAGACTTTTGGTCGAGAGATTCAAGGTTGACACACTGATCTGTTGAGCTGAATAATCGGGAAAAAGTTGGCTCGGCTCGTTACAAACCAAGGCCGAGGCGACGCGCATGATCGACACCTGGCACCTGGAGAGCCACACTATCTTCAAGTGAGTAACACATCTATACTTTTGGGTAGTTGTCAACACGACAAAGACAGGACAAGAGGAGCTTGGGGGGGAGCGATGTGCTGGCTGTTTATATGACAACATGGGGTAGAGAAGACGAATCGAAGTGTAACTATAGCTGCTGGGGAACCGTCTAGAAGTATTTCCCGAACTATAAAGAAAAATAATGAACTTGAGCGGACAACACACGATGTATACGTCAGAAACGAGGGCTTACCATAGGGATAAGGGTTTGAGCAAGAGCGAAGGACATCCTGTAGAATATTCAGACGGGAGCAAGTTAGTAAACTTCAGTTTGTCCGATACGTTCCGTAATTCCTCACGTAAGCTTCGGGGCGGTCATGGCTGAATGCAACAGGTCATAAATCAGCGCCACAGCTACTTGATCAGAGTGCGCTATTGAGCTCACCAATTTTGGGGGTCAATCCCTTGAACAAGGCGCTAGGGCCCTCGTTCTTGATGAGGTCCTTGAATACGGTAGCGCCAGACACCTTGCTCTCGAAGTTGGCGTTTTGGATACGGGTCTGAATAAGGTAATCAGGTTAAGCAACCAATGCATGTCTGAATAAGTCTTGTCAATGAAACGTAAGCTGACCTTGATGACATCTAACAAGGCAGGAGCGAAGAGGCGTGAGTCAGTCGCAGCGTCGAAATTGTCCTCTCACCGATGGGACCTACCTAGTGGTGCGGCGACAGTGATCGAGGCGACGGAACCGGCAATAGAAGCAACGAAGTCTACAAAAACGATCAGAGCGGATGAGTACGCTGATCCTGGTGCTTTGACCGAGTGTGAAGCTCACTTTGACCCCAGGTAGCTTGCGAGTAATCGGAAAGCTTGAAGATGTACTCCTTGGCGAAAGCGGAACCTCCGAAGAGCTGAAATATCGGAAAATGCTCAGTGTCCGTGTTCCGAAGTAGAGTCGTTGGCCTTTACTCACAGCGAAACTTCCCGGTGCGTTACGACCCATGGTCCATCCCCAACCCTTGTACAGACTGGCGATACCCTCATCGCTGATCAGCTTGACGATACCTCGACCTCGGAAAGCCTCGGGGTTGGTCTGCATCTTGATCTTGAGCACGTCTAGGGGGAGCAGGACCTGAGAGGAGTGATAAGAGTGGACATTGTCAGCTCTGCGAAACCTGTAGGACACGTACGACCGGGCGATTTCGGTACTCACGACCTCTCCCATACCAGTCAGACTACCAGCGGTCGCGTGAATGACCATCTTTCCCCACTTGGCGCCGAATGCGTCGGTAAAGTAGGGCTTCGCTGATGATCGATCGATGACGTCCCTAAAGTACGGCTGGCCTCCAAACTTGTACACTCGCTGGGCGATCTTGTAACCGGCAGCGTAACCGAGACCTGGGAAGATAGAGATCCGTCGTTTGTCAGGCTCGATCTCATACCCAGTTCCTGGTAGTCGATACACTTACCAGGGAACAAAGACATGAATCGCACACCGACCGACTTGTCGGCGGCTTTTCGGAAGATGACCTCGTTCATCTCGCTCATCTTGAAAGCAGCCTTGTTCGACATCAGTCGCTTAGCGATGGTGTCCTGGCGATGCCCATCGACATATTCTCATGTTCAGCATTTCGCTCTCGCTGGAACCATAGTGCGTAGACCAACTCACGACAGGGTGGAAGATGGCCAACTCGGTGATACCAGCGACTGCCGAACCAGCAACTCGAGCAGTACCCGACTCTCGGGGGAGCTTTCCATCAGCAGGAGGAGACATTTTTTCGGGTGGAAGTTGAGGGTGTTTTGATGGGTATTGAAGGGGGACGGTGTGGAAAGGTCTGCTATGGAAATCAACCGGGAGTCTCTAGGAGTGCGACTATGAGATGCGAAATGTGGTAACGCTGAATCGATGACCTTGATCAAAGTCGAGTTGGATCGCTCTCCTCGAGATCTTTTTCTCTCATCGACATTCCTAAACTCTCGCCGACTCGCACGATTCCCCCCCCCCCCCCTCCCCTAAAATTAGCTTCCGCCGAGAGATAAGACCGGAGGTCGACGCGCTCGAAATTATACCGACGCTCATTCGGTAGATCGGTATAAGGTCATGTATTGTCGGTTACAACTTTGCGATGAATCGAGTGATCCCGCTGAGCCAACTAGGTTTCTGGTAGGCAAAGTCGTGCATAGCGTCCTTGACACCTAGCCACTCGCACGGAATGCCGGGTTCACCATGCTCGACCGCTCGTTCATAGACGCGCTTGACCATCTCGGTCGGAACCATCTCGTCCTTTTCCGAAGCTATAAACAGTTTCGGAACGGTGTTGATCATAGAACCAGCCTCCTTGCTGGACTGAAAAGCGTCGACGGCGTTCCAGTCGTCCGCGACGAATGGTGTGAGCCAGTAGTACGGCAAGAAACGTTGCGGGTACAGCGTTCGTACCATCCCCTTGATGCTGGCGAAGCCGTTCTCGAAGATCAGGCCGTCACAGACTATCTTGCGATCGTCAAAGCCCTGCTTGGAGATGCTAGCGAGCAGACAGGTAGCGATGGATGCGCCTAGGCTATGTCCATACCATACGATCTTGGTTTGAACCCCATCCCGTTTGTCCAGCTCGGCGTATCTTATGGTAACGTGCTCGACTACCGCTCGATAGTCCGACAAGAGGGCGCGTTGGTTCGGTCGAGCGTTCGTAGAAAGACCGTAGCTGCGGGGCGGGACCGCTATCAAATCGAGCTCGAGGTCGCTAAGAGGTCCATTCGCGCTCCCTACGGCCAAACACAGCTTTCGAAAGATGGGTAAACGCTGGATCGGAGAGCCTACGTTGCCTGCAAAATGGTTTGTACTCTACATCAGCGCTGACACAAAGGGTTACTGATTTTTCCGCTATCGAGCTTACCTTGAAAATAGACAATGACCACTCGGCGAGGCGAAGTGTTTACGGCAGATGCCTCCTTCCTCAGGAGGAAACCTTCGAGCTTGATACCTGGGTCGGATGCTACTACGATCTTCTCGGCTTGCAAGCCCTGAAGCAGAGGATCCATCGAGTCAAGGGTCTGCGGGATGGTTGTTTCAATGGTCAGCTCTTTCAAAGCTGATGCCACCAATGTGCATCAATAGCTTACCTCGCTCCGTGCTCCTGGTGGGATGTAGCCCATGTAGATGATCTTGCGCTGGAACATCACCATCATCAAGCACTATATGATACAGGATTACGGTCAACGGCTCGTTTCTAGCCCAAGTGGCGATCCACTTTCTTATGGCGGACCTTGTAAGCCCAAAGCGCAAGTGGCAGGCCGAACAGGGCAGACAGCAATACGCTCGTCGATGGCGCAGACGAAGAGGTTACGACATCCTGTACTCCGGAATCAATGCTCTCCACTTGAGATATCCCTGGGAGAGAAGAGCCATATCGACGGTTCTCGACAGTGGTGGATCTGCTGACGGCCGACCATGGGTTCGCTGGGCCTAGACTGAGCCCGACAACATAGTGATGAAGAGGTCGACGGCAAGTGAATGCAGGAAAAGTCCCATGCGCCGATCGCTTCACACCAAGCATACGGTCATGGACTAGCTCGAACCGTTAAGCTATGCTCCTCTGGCAGTGTGCGTTAAATTTAGGGAGAGATGCTCCTGGTCACTGATCTGTACGTCTGTACTCATCACTTCCGTGGCCCCGTGGTTGATGGACGGATCTACCCGACGGGATCAAGATGTCAGGTTGATTACGTAACCGTGCCCATACCCCCGCCCTCCCGTTGCGTGTCGACGTCATGCTTGCTGCCGGGCACCGACCGTCGTCGATATCGCACCTCTAGCTACCCTTGACCTGCTATGTGCTGTGACTCCGTCCTACATCTACATACACAACCTCCTCCTCCCTGCCTAGCTGCTACTTTGACCCTTCACAACACTCAGTCGGTCAATCGCAGGACAGTGGATGACGATATACTTGAGATTATGAGCGCGCAATATTGTACGTCACGCCATCTCTACAGTCTGGCCTCGATACTCTTCGCCGTAACTGACTATCGTCCATGCCTCCGATCCATAGCCTCAGAGGAGAGGTCATACTTTGATCGCCTCTTCAACGTAATCGATAAAGACCAGGTCAGTCTAGGTCTGGTTGCGAATCTGACACCACCCGAACGAAACAGCTCACCTCGACCTGTGTTATTTCCGGCACTATCAGCTCGGAGTCCTGACCGGTGAAGCATGCTACGCCTTTCTCTTGACTTCGAAGCTGCCTCAGGCAACTCTCGGAACGATCTGGAGCATCGTCGACAGCGCCAACAACGGTTACCTGACCAAGGACGGGTGGTATCGTGCTTGCAGGCTGATCGGTTGGGCACAGAAGGGAGATACTATTACGGAAGACCTCGCTAACAAAGGTACGCTGCACGTCGTGTCATGGCAGATTGGTTGCTTGACAAGCGCTGATGTTTCACGATCTCCAGCTGGTCCGTACCCTACTTTCGAGGGCCAGACGGCTCCCAGGGCAACCCCGATGGCTGCACAAACCACCGGGAACTCCGTGGCACCGTTGAGCCCTGCAGACAAGGCGCAGTTCACTCGACTCTTTGTCGGAGCCGGGCCGGAGAATGGCTTGCTAAGTGCCGCTAAAGCCCAGGGAATCTTTGTCAAGAGCAGTCTCCCCACCGAGACCTTAGCGAAAGCGTGGAACTTGGCCGACACCCAGCAACGAGGTGCTCTCGATCTACCGGATTTCATCATCGGGATGTATTACCTACAGCATCTGATGACCGGAAGCATCAAGGATCTGCCGATTACCCTCCCTCCTGGTCTTTACGAGCAGGCTTCGGGCGGACGTCCCAAACCGACGGCTCCTACCAACCCCATGGTTGCACAGTTGACCGGGTCTGGACCCGCTAGGCTGACCCAGCAGTTGACGGGACAGGGGATCATGCAGCCTCAGCGAACCGGACAGAGTGCTATCGCTCAGTCCCCGACCAGGCAATACACCGCACCTCCCGCCGCTGCACCTTCCATGCAAGCTCCTTTCGCTGCTCCCACTCAGCCTGCGCAATCCGCTCAGCCATCCTGGGATGTGACCTCGGAATCCAAGGTCGCGAGTGACCGATTCTTTGACGGATTGGATACCGGTCGCAAAGGCTTCATTGAGGGAGATATCGCTGTACCTTTCTTAATGCAAAGTGGACTGCCGGAAACCGATCTGGCTCAGGTCTGGTGAGTTTCCGGCTCGCCAATCGCACTGATACTCGCAAGCTGACCTCGTCTGTGAGGTCTTAGGGACTTGGCCGACATTCGCAAAGAAGGAAAACTCGGCAAAGACGAGTTCGCCGTAGCCATGTTCTTGATCAACAACAAGCTTGCCGGAAAGGAACTGCCTGGTACTTTACCCCAGAGCATGATTCCCCCTTCGCTCCGAAGCCAGGTTTCGAATGCCAACCAGAGTGAGCCTGATTTCATTCTCCGATATTCATGACATTGTACTGTACTGAAACTGGTTCCGCAGACGATGCTACTAAAGATCTGTTCGACGTCTTTGGCGATTCGCCGCCCGCCATGCAGCCATCCATGCCTCCGCAGCAATCATACTTCGCCTCGCCTCCGAGCCGAGCTGCATCGGTCAACGTACCGCCACCTCCTCCTCCTGCAGCTTCCCGAGCAAAGAGTCCGGCAGCACCTCCTTCGCGGATGATAAGTCCTCCTGCTGTCCCTTCAAGGGGCTCGACGGTAGACGCCTTTGGCTCAACACCGTTCGGATCTCAGCCCGATCTCATGGGAGATGACAGCGTCTCGACTCCTAAGCCGACTGTCGACCACTCGGCAGAAATCGGAAACGCTCAGAATTCGTTGACTAGCACCCAAAAGGCTGTCACCGATCTGGAGCGCGAGCGCAAAGGTCTCGAAGCTGAATCCTCGACTTCGGCTGCTCAACTGCGAGATTTGGAATTGCGACTGTCTTCTGTCCGAGCGCAACATGAGACCGAGACCAGATTGGTTACCGATCTCAGGACGCGCGTCTCGGAGCAAAAGGAACAGATCACCAAGCTCAGGCAGGACTTGATCCAGAACGAGAGCGAGCTATCCGCTTTGAGGGCTGAAAAGGACGAGACTGAGCAGGCTCTTCTGCGAGATCGAGAGGAAGTTCGAGCTGCAAGCAAGCAGATGAAAGCTGTTGCCGACGAGACTAGTACGCTCAAGACTCTGCTGGAAAAACTCAGGAAGGAAGCTCGGCAGCAGAAGGGAATGGTGGCCATCAGCAAGAAGCAGGTGGCTACCGCCGAAGGTGGAAGAGACGCTGTGCAAAAAGAGATCGACCAGGTCGCGGCCGCCAACAGTGCTCCGCAGGAGGAGGAGATGCTCGCGGCATCTCCACAAGCTGCGAGCCCCGTCATGTCGCCTTTCATTCGACCAGCTTCCACCGCCAGTCTACACCAGGCCGCCGCCATTCCCCTGCCTGCCACTCCGCAACAGGTTCTGAGCCCCAACTTTACTGGAAGTAACCAGCGTAGCAACAACCCCTTTGAGCGAATGGGATTCTCTGCCAAGCCTGCCGAACGATCGCTGTCGCCACCTCAGTCCACCGAGGCTGTCTCGAGAGGCGATCAAGGCGAAGGCATCTCGACACTGCAAGCCGCCACTATGGGCATCGGTGGAGCTGTTGCCGTGGGGGCTCTTGCAGCTGGTAGCGTTGTCGGTGCCGCTGCCGTTGGCACCGGGGCTGCTGTCGCCACCGTAGCTGAACACATGACGCATGATGGCCAGGATCTACGAAGCCCTGTGCATTCGGCGAGCAACGAAATCGAGGAAGCGAATGAAGACGATGTGAAGACGCCAGCGGCCACTCAGGATCGTGCAGATCCCTTCGGCTTGGAGGAGCAAGATTCGCCTTCGAGACAGGTCACACCGTCCGCGAACGTTGTGAGCGATCCTTTCGGTATGCCAACCACGACGCAATCTGAGCAGGGCGGATTCTCCGCTGGCTTCGACGATGGGTTCGGTGACGACTTCTCCAAGCCAAACGCTGCCAATGAGATCGGCACCGCCCACTCTGAAGCGGAGGAGGTCAGCCTGGCCGGGGGAATTCCCTTGCCTGACAATCTGGCTCCCGCATCCCAGACAGCTGAGGATTTCCAGGAAGCTCTCAACGATCGAGGAAACGCTCCTTCCGCTATCCCCGCTTCGATGCGACCCGACCTCGATGCTCAAGGTCGATCCTTCTCGACAGAGGTCTTTGCGCCCAACAGCATGGTCCATACCCCAGAGACTGAGCTACCTCCTTCCACTCCTATGAGCGTGGAAAGCGCTGCCGTACCCGTAGATGTGCAAGCCTTACAACCTCGTTCGGCTTCCGCTCATGGTGATTCAGATGACTCTTCGGATGAGGACGAGGGTGGACCCGAAGACCTGGATAGGGCACGCTCGCCATATGACCCTCGAGAGATGCAAGGCACGTCGGCCGCTGGGAGTAGCGTACTGGCATCTCGTCAGCACGAGGATATTCCCCAGCGGGACGAAGAGATCCGACAGATGGACCAATTCGCTGCCCCGCGCAGTCAATCTCCCATCGGGATTGCGCCTGCCACCCAGTCACCTCCCAGCGAGCAATTGCAAGCTCTCGGGCTAGGCGCACCTGTGGCTGTAGGTGGGACTTCTCAGCAGCCTCCAACCACGAACAGGGAAGATTCTTTCGATCCCTTCGCTCCCTCCGCAACTCCACTCAGTGCAACAGCAACGGGTACTCCCAAACGACGAGAACCTCCACCACCACCTACATCGCAAAAGTCGATGTCAAGCAACAGCAATCCTTTCGGCTTGCCTACCGCAGAGACGGCGCAGCCGACCTTTGGCGATCACTTTGCGGCTCCTGTGGGGATACCCGCCGCCGCGCAGCAGTCAAACTCATCCTTTGACGATGACTTTGACTTTGACGACCTGCAGCCGGCTCAGATCGCCGATGGAGGATCAGCAGCGCCGCTCGCTGCCCCTCAGGCCACGCACAAAGCGACCAACGACTTTGACGACGAGTTTGACGACTTTTCGCCTGACTTCGAAATGGTCAACAAGCCTACCACTGCGGCAGCCTCGCCATTCACCAACACGCCGGTCCCTGCAGCTCAAGGGGCCCCGCAATTGCCCCAAGTCGGAAGTTCAGGCGGGTTCGGCACGATCAACCCTAGCACCAGCTCGGGATTCTCTTTCGAGGACGCTTTCATGGACAGGAGCGAGCAGACGTAAGAGCGCGCTACGGAATGGGTAACGAGATATACGACGCTGATTGGGAACGGTTCCTTCTGATACAGCTTCGACGACGTCGTACCAGCACAGAGCTCTGGTCCTGCGCCTCATACGGGAGGGATCGCGGTAGCAGCTCCTCCACCTCAGCCCGAACGGCCTGCGCTGCCTCAACGACAGACTGCAGCCATGACCAAGGCTCAGCCCGATGACTTGCCCGACGTGAAAAAGGTCAGTCATTCTCGTGATTTAAAGTTTGCGGATTGAACTGATCACGAGACCGACGATCGCAGTTGTGTGGTATGGGTTTCGACCGAAATCTTGTGATTGACGCTCTGGAAGGAGCCGATTACAACTTTGACAAGGCGCTCAACTTCCTGTTGCCTGGAGCCTGATTGGTTTCGGCTTGTTAAATATGAACGCCCATTTATCTTCGCGTTCGAAATATGTAAACAACAGCTTCGTACGATATTACAATCGCTTTCCAATTCATGGTAATTGGACTATTCGTTTCGCGACGATGTAGCGGCAATACTGTAGTTCCAGGGGGCAGGGGGTTACGGACCAAAAGTGCTGTTATTCGACAACCTCGGATCTTGATAAGGATACGTGATCCTTGATTGCGGCCGGCCGATCACCTCCGCCAGAACGTCATCAAGATCCGTATCGTGCCGCATATTGGCACGTTCTTCATTCCGCCGAGGTCCCAACTTTCTTGCTCGCGGAGATCGTACGATGTTTTGCCGAGGATCATGAAAGGAGGTTGCCTTTGATTTGCTCCGTTCGGCGTGGATATGCACCCACCGGACCGGCATCGAAAGGCCTTTGATAGACTCGATAAGAAGGATCTCTCGAGCAGAATCGCTTGGAGGACAAAGGAATGCCTTTGGGACGGGTCGTCCCGTCTCGTCTCTGATGACGGATGTGTCCCTGCCACGGTCTGAAACGCTGCTTGCCAAGCGACCGTCCCGACATCGAACCTTTTCTATGCTTCGTGAGAGGGACTCCGAGAAAGAAGCGTTTCATCGGATCGCCGCGACTCGGCGAGGCACCGGTGAGAGAAGCTCCATCAGGCACGCCCTTCTGGTTCCAAAACATCCAAGCCATGTGGCGGCAGTCGGCCGTTCCGATCAATGTGATCAAGCGGTACACGGAGAGTCCATGGTCAACGGGTACATCCGTGACACGGTGTGATCAAACACGGAGCTGGAGCTCTCACTGATGCCGAAGAAAGCCTTTCCTGCCGCGACCCGTCATTGCCAGGCGACGTCGTCTTTGGGTGCGTTTACGACGTCTACGATCCGTAAAAAGCGTCAGATTTCGAGCCTAATATTTAAATTCGACGGGCCTACGTCGTCGTTTTTGCGGCCACAATTCTCGCTAGCGTTTTCTTAGTCGTTCCTGTGGCTTGAAAAACGTGTAAAATCTGTCGTCCGAAATCTGACCAAAAACGAGCGGATTTTGCATCGGATTTTGAATATTACGTTACGGCGGGTACAGAGGTTCGGTCTTCCTGGGTCGGCTAGTAAATTGGCTGGTGAAGTTGGAATGTTCGAACTATCTACCTGTCTCGCGAAGGTACAAGAACACGAACGATTTATTAGCAATATGTCGAATACACCCCACCAAAACACGCAGTCGACTTACCAAACGTACGCTGGCTACCCCTTCGTTACTGACGTTCCTAGAACGTACGATGTAGGCTATAGTAGATCGTCAGCGACGCCGACGTCGATGGCGGGAACGTACGGCACGCAAACTCACCTCTCGCCGTCGAACACGCAATCCTCCCGAACACCCTCGATAGCACCGTCTTCCCAGTTCGATGAGCGAGGATTCAGAGTACCTGAGGCCCCCCAGCCAATCAGGGAACAGTCGTGGTCGATGACGCCGTTTGCTGATCAGCAGCGTCGGTCGATGTCGACGATGTCCTCGATATCTTCAGTGTCGAACGCGTTCGCGCGAGGTGACGATCGAGCCGGTCGACCTTCCGAATCAAACTCGACGGTACCGAGGACTCGCTCCCGTAGTCCTACGTCAACGTCAGGTAGTCAGCCGAGCCAGGAAGGTGGTAAACGGAGGAAGGGGGGGAGTCGCTCTGCGAACTGCGTTTGGGACGAGGAAGACGACCGTATTATCGTAGACGTTCTGCTCGAAGCTAAACGGTTAGGGGAGGTGGCCGATAATTCGTTTAAGTCCGCCGTGTATCAGAGGGCGGCTGATCAGTGTAATAAGAGGCTGTCGAAGGGTTCCGAGAAGACTGCGTTGAAGATAGGCGAACACTATCGCTATGTAAGTATTTGATCAAATATAGAGGCTCGAAGACTTACGTTTGCCTCTCGCTAGCTCAAAAACCACTTCTACCAGCCGATGACGGAGTTGGCAGAGATATCAGGCTTTGGCTGGGACCCTGAGGAGGAGTGTATAACAGCGCCAGACGATGCGTGGCGAAAACTAAAGGAGAAGGGAGTAAGTAGATGTATGTCGACGTCGATAAGTCGACCTTCGAATATGCCCCTCCTTGTGTGCTGAGACCTCTCGCGTACCGTTTTTGCTTCCGCACAACTTCGTCCCTCCGTGTCGATAATGCGATGTGGTTCTCGATCAATCTTCACCGTCGAATAGCTGACAAGTCCGAGGCACGCTAACCTATATAAACTAAGGGGCGTGAAGTGGGAGCTCTACCCTGACTTTCACGAGCTTTGCAACGGCCGTCTGGCCACTGGTCGGTCAGTAACACGCCCTCAAAGGAAGGACCGCAACCAACGATCAGAAAATGAAGAAGAGGAGGACGATTTCGACGATATCGACGTTCCCCGTGCTAGCGACAGCCAATCAACGATTGGGTAAGTCTAGCTTCGGGATATGATAGTGGGGTACTTATACTATGTCGTGTGAAGTGCTTCGCCGCTCCCGACAACGCCAACACCGACAAAATCGACATCAAATTCGACATTAACTCCGGCTCGACGGAGGCGACCTAAATCGAGTCGTTCAAGCGACGAGAGCTCGCTGAGCGCTATACATCAAGACCTAGGCAAGATTCTTAGGGGAAACCCTCAAGCGGCTGCCCAAGATGTGATGGAGAGGGCTCAAGCGGCTTGCAAACGCCTCTCGCTCGACGAAGACGACACGTTCCTATATTTGAACTGGCTGATCGAACATCGAGAGAAGGTCACGATGATTCAGGCCTTACCCGACAAATTCCTGGAACGCCATATAACTAGCACGCTAGCGAAGGAAGACGGAAGGGTTCAAACAAGCGGAACGGGCGAATAAATGACCTCATCGCGGTGGGTGAAGATTTGACGATTTTCACGAAATAAATCGATATACGTAAATCGAATACTGACATCACCTACGACGTCGTCGTCGACTCTCTCGTTCTAGTTCCTCGACATACCCCTCCCACATCGTATCCGCCATAGCTCTACGCCGTCGCTCCGCAGCAGCCGTCTCCTCCCTCGTCGTCAATCTCTCGCCATCGCTGTCGCTATCGCTATCGCTATCACCCTCGTTCCTCCGTCGTCGACGTCGACCTACTACAACGACTTCTCCGTTCTCGTCTAAGGCCTCGTCAATCAGGTCGTCGCCACCGTTTGACGCTACGTAATTGTGTAGTACGCAGCAGACGTAGATGATCTGGATCTGTGTTTCGAGGGGGTAGAACGTTCCGGTGACGAGGACCTAGTACGGCGACAGCACGAGGGGGATGTACGTCAGCGAGAACGTTCGTTGTAGTCTTATAAGGTCGGTTCTAGATGAATAGGTCGGAACATACGGGATACCGCTTCTTAACGACACCGAAGACCCTCTCGACGACGTTACGGAGGGACGAGTGACGTCGATTGTATAGCTCGAGCGGTGTTTGCGGCCTACGACGTCACGTGGATACTGGTTCGGCTGCTGGTCGATAAGAACAAGGCCTGTACTCACCGTAAGTTCGAACGAGACCACTCTTGTAAGTGGTATCGCACCCCCCGAAACGGTATTACTAGGTTCGATCGAGAGGGGTATCCAGCGTCGCCGAGGTACCAATATCCCTCCGGTATTACTAGATCCTCTTCGATGGCCCTGTTGTACACCTTAGCGTCGTGGGCAGATCCTTCCCAGCCAGCTAGAACGTAGGTGAAACGTCCAGCGAAGTCGACGCAGCCGAGAACGTTGGTCGTTATGTCCCCCTTACGATTTCGAAACGGAGGTTGATCGATCGTCGGAACGGTGACCTTGATGTGTGTACCGTCTATAGCACCGAGACAACGTTCCGTAAGAGGCAGATATCGCATGTCCTGGTACTGTTCGAGGTTCCGGTCGATAGTGGCGGGCGTCGGCTGCTGAACGTAGCGATAGTAGAACGTAGGGTCGAACATAGCGTCGAGGACTTCATGAATCGTGCTATCGTCTAGATGTCGGCGGATTCTTGTCTCGTGGCCAAGTATTACGACCAGACTACTTACTAGCTGGCCGTACGCAAGCTCAGTTGAAAGATAGACCGTAGTTCTCGCATATGAGCACCATGTCGTAACATCCATAAGGTTACCGCTATCTTTACTTTCGCCGGGAGGTGTCGAGTCGACGAGACGAGCTGTAGGTCCTCTAGTTCTCTCGATAGACGTCGGAACGTTTCGGGCGATAGACCTATAGCGTCCCAGCACCGTTCTGGGTGACCTCGTTCCCACGAATGAACCTTCTCGACGGCTGTAAGTCGATCTACAAGAATCGGCCGTTCGTAGAGTCGAGGTCGATGGATTTGTCGCCAGAGATCGAGATATCGGGCGAAAACGTTCGCTGCTTCTCTGACATCGTCTTCATAACGTTCTTGATCGTCCTGGCTATCGTCTGACATCTTATAGGGCGTATAGAATAGGTATTGACGATGTTACGAGTCGTTGATGATGTCGTCGACACCTCGATCTAGAGGTCGACATGTACGCTCGAAGGTGATCGAGAAGTCTCAGCTCAAAATCGTACGAAAGTGAAATTGACGAGAGAAACGGCGTAAAATGTGCCAGATTTTGGTATTTTGCGCCATTCCACGCTTACAGCCACGCACGCTAACAAATCCGGAAAGACGCAAAATCGTACGAGGATTCGTAAACGTAGCCTTTCACGAACAATGAGACGCGAAACGATCGAGTTCCGTCCGTGTACGACTGTGCGAACCTGGAAGATCAGATCCATACCCGCAGATGAATCAGGGTTGGTACCTACATGTCTCCTAGGAACCGAGAAAGGACCTACCTTTGACGTGGGTCATCACCCGTTCTCGCCCGGGATCTCCGCAATTTTCGCTTGGCTAGGCTTCGTGTCATCGCGTTTCGTGCGGCCTACTCCTGCGGTCCCTTTGGCCTCTGACGCTTCATGCCGCGCTAAGCCCCATACGACCATGCGGGACGTGTATATATACCCCGAGATGTTGGAGACTCTTCACGCACTAAAAGGTCGATCCCCCTCTCCTCTCTTTCCATCAACCTTCTAGCTCGTCTCCACCACATTCCCTACCTTCGCACTTTCAAAACACAACCGTCTTACTCATCACCGAAATGAAGTTCACCGCCGCCTTCGTTGGTCTCGTCGCCATGGTCACTTTGGCCACCGCCGCTCCCGTCGCCGAGCCCCAGGTCAAGCCTGCTTGCGGAATGGCTGGAGCCCTCCGAGCTTGTGAGTTTCGCTTTGATGCAAATAATTGATATCCAACGGAAGGACTGATATCAATGCGACAAATATGCAGGTCCTTGGAAGAAGGACGCTGCTCCTGAGCCCATTCCCGAGCCCGTCCCCGAGCCCACTGTCACCCCTCAGTGCGGGATGGCTGGTGCTCTCCGAGCTTGTGAGTGACTGCGATAACACTGCTGGTTCTTTATCATCGCTGATGTTCGGTCGTTCATATGACACAGGCCCCTGGAAGAAGGATGAATAGAGTGTTGTCGCCTCCCAAAGTTTTGCATGAACCGCTTTCGTACGTATCCGCAATTCGGGGACTAACGGCTGCATCCGGTCTGACCTTGTGCCAATTTGCAACAATACACAACCCAGCTTCAAGACTCGTGAACTTGAGGTGTGGTTGCGTCTCGCTCGGCTCGCCTCCCTCCGACTTGTGATCGATATGTATCTTCTTGACGCTTTTACGTGACTGTCACGTTGACAGCCCTTGTTGCTGTGTGATACGAATATGACGACCAGGATATATGTCATTACGATTTTTGTTTCTGCACGTCATGGGAGCGATCTCTTAACAGGCCTAACAGGCGAAGTAAACTTGATGTCGGGGCATATACCTTTTGGTCAGTCGATTGCAGCGTTCTCGGCCGGCCTGGCCGTGCTTTCCGCGTAGCGTAGCTCGCGGGCCCCCACGAAGATCGCTTCATAGGTGCAGCTGTCAGACGATGTCAAGTACTCATGTACTATGTACTGTACGTGCTGTACGTTTACATCCATATATCTGAACCGCCGAAAGAGAGTTCGAGACACAGAGCAGAAGCCGGGAGACCTGCAGCGTGCAGCGCCCAACAATTGCCAGATCCGCGTATTTGAACGATCAGCTCTTGGCAGAGACGCGCGAGGCGGGCGGAGAAGCAGGGGAGGGATGCAGGGAAGGGGAGGGAGGGAAGGGATCTGACAAGCAACAAGCAAAGGCGAAGAGATGGGAGGTTTGTGCCTACAACTGTACAATAACGATATCATACATCCTCTTTACCGATAGCGATAAGAGTTCCTCTTCAATCAGATAGAGATCTTCTCGTTCGCTGTTGGATCGATCATAGAAAGCTGTGTAACGAGATCGATCAAGAGACAGGCTCGAGGTCGACTTTGGAAAATCCTCAGCCTTGAGCAGGCACTCTGCTGTTTGGCTTCTGATCCCAGCGTCAACCGACACTGCAAGAACCGCCGAGATCACCACTATCCGTCTCGCCATGATGTATCCTCCTTCTTCTGGTCCTCAACAACAGGAAGTTTCATTTGAGGGTGCTCAATCGAGACAACCCGGCAGGCCCCGTACCGCACATCGGCGGCTTGATACAGGACGACCAGACACCTCGACCTCATCGGTAGGGGAAGTTCCAGAACAGACATTCTTCCCCGACAACGACGATGAAGACCTTGATGAAGCAGCCGAAGATGACTATCAGACAGATGATGATGAGGACGCCGACGTGTTTGCTTTCGAAAGGCCACAGACTGCGGCTGTTAGGAGTTCGACAAAGCCTGGGCAGGTGCAATACGGTAACATCACCGCCGGTCAGGACGTCAATCAATCTCCTGTGATTCCTCGGATCGCTACATCTAAAAGTCAGGCGCCTACCACAGCAGCAACAGATCGCTCCGTCTCGTTCGGATTCAACATCCCAGAAGAGCAGGACGAGCCGACTCATGGACGGCCCGTGAATATGGAGACCTTGACGCACCTGTCGTATCGACCGCCTACGGCCGGAGACCCATACTATATTCCCAATCCGAACACCACGGCTTTCACGTCACAACATTCGAGGTGGGGCGCCCAACGTCCTTCTGTGGTATCTGATACCCTAGTCGGACACACATCAACAGCTCACACAAAGGATGATCACGAGTCGCCTTCATCAGCGCCGGACTCGATGCATGGCGATTACGGTCATCCCTTCGCCAGAGACGCCGATCTAAAGTCATTCTCTGGCGAAATTGAGCTAGCAAACTTCCGAAGCCGACCGGGTACTCAGGCCACGTGGAACATAAGTGAATTGCGGGGCGCATCGACGATTCCAGACGGGATCACCACCAAGGGCGACGGTCTGGGCGGTATCCATCCGAAATGGCCCATCGAAGAGGTCAACTCTACCGCCGGCGTCGAGGATCCTGACGAGGACAGCCAGTATCCCGAAGTTCGGGCTTCGGTGTCAAATATGGATGATCCAGAGATGCCAGGTCAGCCATAATTAGCAATTCGTTGCCAGGCGTCCTTCAACTGACATCTACACCTCGACTCAGCCTTGACGATTCGATCCCTTTTCATCGGTTTGCTCTTCGCCATCCTGGGAGCAACAATCACAACGTTCTTCTCTTTGCGAGGTCCAGGCCCGCTGATTCTTCCTCTAGCAGGACAGTGAGTGAAGCTGACCTTCGAATACTTCTGCTCATACGGCTGACGATCGAAATCTTTACTAGGCTCATGGCGTATCCATTGGGTCGCTTCTTGGCTTGGGCTATGCCTCTGCACACGTTGCACCTGCCTCGCTGGCTCGGTGGCTTTCAACTTGACCTCAATCCTGGACCTTTCAATATCAAAGAACACACTGTCATCGCGATGATGAACAACATCTCCTTCCAATGGACGACAGGGCTGCATGTAGCTACCGCTGCGCAGGTATATCTCGACATCCCTTTCTCGGATAGGTGAGGTTGGGCAGCGACGGAGAGAGAGCTCTATCGCTGTTGCGGCTTACTGAGATCCAAATGTAGCTTTGCTCTGCTGTTCACTTTGACAGCGCAGATGGGGGGCTTTGGCCTCGCGGGGTTATCTCGTCGGCTACTCGTATGGCCGGCTTCCATGATCTGGCCATACAACCTGGTCATCACGACAAGCTTGAACACCCTCCATGCTGGTGACGACCCAGGATCACATGGCATCTCACGATTTAAATTCTTCATGATCGCCCTGGGTTCCGTGTTTATCTATCATTTCTTCCCCGGTGAGTCTCTCTCCGCCGATATACCGCCGATCGGATGCTAATCTCTGACTATTCAGGCTATGTCATGACCAGTCTCTCGTACTTTTCGTGGATCTGCTGGATCAAGCCTGGTACGTGTCTGCTCCGGCGCGTTGCGATATACCCGAATCTAAGCACATCTCATGATCACATGAAACAGATAACGTGGTCGTCAATCAGCTATTCGGAGTGGCGACAGGATTGGGTATGGGCGTCCTGACATTCGACTGGTCTCAAGTTCTGGTCGTCGGTAATCCCTTGAACATACCTTGGTGGGCGTCAGTTAACGTTGGGGTATCATTCGTCATCTTCTACTGGTTCATTACACCTCTTCTATATTATACCAATGTGCGTCCTGTTGGGGACCCAACAAGTTTGATCAAGGCTGACGAGACTGATTGCGACATTCAGGTCTGGGATACCGCTTACCTGCCCATGTCAACTTCGGGCCTGTTCGACCGGTTTGGACAGAGCTATAACATCACGGCAGTTATTACTCCGGAACATCAACTGAACGTTACCGCCTATCAAGAATATTCTCCGGTCTATCTCAGCGTGACCTATGCAATGACATTCACAATCGCCTTCGGCCTGACTACGGCTGCTGTCGTCCATACCATACTTCATCAAGGGGAAAGGATCTACAATACCTTACGTTCAAGGAAAACCGAAGAGGATGATATCCACATGAAGTTGATGAAGCAATATCCAGAGGTTCCAGACTGGTATGTGTTACGTCGTGGATTGACAAACATGTGATCTGATAGTTTCTCCTAGGTGGTATGCCATCTTTTTGATGGCCACTGTCGTACTCGGCATCGTGTCGGTGGAGGTGATTATCCATCTTAGCTTCAACCGCATGACTGGTCTAAGCGCATTTTACATTCTCTTTCAGGTTAACAAAACTGGAGTTCCCGTCTATTCGCTTCTGGTCGGCTTGGCTACAACCCTCGTCTACTATTTCCCTGCCGGCTTTCTCTATGCTCGTGCGGGCAGCGCGGTAAGCACAAGCTGTCCGTCGTTGCAGAGCGTAATCTAATGTGCAATGTCCTATGTGTAGCTGGCGATGAATTTGATTGCGGAAATCATACCCGGTTACATGCTTGAAGGGTCTATTCTGGGGAATATGGTGGGCGCGAATTGACTCCCAGATTCACCGTGATGTTGATCTGAAGCTTCTACATAACAGGTCGTGAAGGCATTCACGACACAGACTATGCTTGGCGCGTTACAATTCACACAAGACCTGAAACTAGGTCATTACATGAAGATCCCGCCAAGAATTACATTCTTCGGTAACTATAGTTGTCTAAACTTCGTCGAGAAATAGCTAATTGGGGAATCAAACAGTACAAATCCTTGCAGCAATTGTCGCATGCCTTGTCTCTGTTGGCGTTAAGGTGATCCTCTTCGCGTCCATCGATGATATCTGCAGCCCAACGCAAGCGAATCAGTTCAGTAAGTTGTTCTTCACCGGGAGCCAATAGGCCCGTTGCTAATTCCGGATGCGTTACAGCGTGCCCATACACGAGCATATTTTACAACTCAGGAGTGTTATGGTAAGCGTTGTGGCTGCAGACGTTCTTTTTCTCCCGCTGGCTAGCATACTGATAGCACGTATTCTGTATATATCAGGGGCGCAATCGGCCCCCGTCGACTTTTCAGTAAGGGGTCGCTCTATTGGCCTCAAACCTTCATGACAATCGCAGGGGCTATCTTGCCCATCCCAATCTGGTGGCTGGGGAGGCGATATCCAAAGCGCTTCTTTCGTCAAATCGATCTTGTCGTCATGTTCAACGGGGTCTTGGGTATTCCGCCTGCTACAGGGATCAATTACGCGAGTTTCTTGCTTGCAGGATTTGTTTTCCGTAAGCACGTTTCGATGGGTTCATTGGTTCTTTCCATAAACTCAATACTGGCTCTCGGATAGAATATGCGATCCGTCATCGCAACTTTGCATGGTGGTCGAAGGTGAGTCCTGCCATTCTCTTACTGTTTTCTCGCCTAACTAAAAACATGATGACTTCATATCAGTACACGTATGTGCTTGCTGGAGCCTTGGACGTCGGAACGCTAGCAGCATTTGTCGTCATTTTCCTCGGAATGGGATTAACAAGTACCCGTTTCGAGTGGGGAGGCAATACCATCTATACCAAAAGTAGGGTCGCGTTTCTCACATCATCTGATCAGATCTGACAATCTCCCTCAATATAGCGGCGGATTGGTTAGGCATGCCATACCGCCCTCCCCCTGTGGATGGATTTGGCCCAGCAACCGGATGTACGTCTCCCTCAATCCTGATAGTAGCGCAGAGGTACACACACTGACGTTGACTTGACTTCAGGGACGTGATGGTTGCAAAGGGATGTCTAGATTGGAAACAGGATACCCTGTAACATATATATATAGCCTGCAGCTCAGCGAGGGTTCGTGCGGACATGGAGTTATAAATTTTGTAGACATAATGGAGTGAATTCTGGTCTTATACGCGGGCATAGAACAGCAGATACGCGCACTTGCTCCTCATTGAGCGACCGACAGTCCCAGCGTCTCCATGCACAGCGGCATCCCTCGTAACGTAAACTCCTGCATCCCCTTCAACGTTCTCGACCAACTCGTCATCCAGATGCAGCCAACCTTTCCCATCTTGCTTGAGTACGCATGCCGTATAGTGTCCTCCTGTTGCCGTGCTCCCGTGATGATACACAACTGCAAAGGCATTCCAGTTAGCTCGTACTTCGTGAGAGTAAGCACAGTGCCGATGCTTACCTCCAAACAGTCTATAACGCAGTTCTCCACCGGCCGGCCTTCTTGCCGGTGATATAATCGATGTTGGTATGATGAGCTCTGGGCCGTAAGCCACAGCCTTGCCCTTTTTGACGACCCTGTTTTCTACCGGATCGTATAAGAATCGCTTCAAGTGAAGCGTGAGGATGGGTGGAACAGTCTCCAGGTAAACAGTCTTGGTAGCATCGACGTTGGTTCCCCGCGAGGCAGAATAGACGCCCGAAATCGTTTCAGGTTCGTTCAGATGAAGCAATGCTTCGGTGATCGTATGCACGTTTGGCGCCGAGATGTCCAACTGCAAGGGTTGGTAGGGCTCGAGCGTGACGGAGTCCTTCTGTCCAGGCGTGCGCAGGACAGATCGCAATTTACCGCCGAAGATTTTTGAGATCGCTGATTCTCGGGACGTGGTCTAGCAGGAATTACAGACCGTGAGCTTCGCTCTCCAGAGCGGTCTTTTATGAGAAAGCCGATCAACTCACCGTTCTGACGACATTCAACTTTTGGTTTTTACCGACTTCGAGCCATCCATCATCCCTTCCTGCAGATGGGCTGACCGGTCTTGTGACCTCTCGCTCCTCGCTCGCGTCGTCCGACATCTTGCTAGGTGTAGTTGCGTTGTCCTTCCGTGGGCCTTTTGCTGTTCTACTTTCATGGCGCGAAACCAGGTATAGCAGTTCCTCGTGTAGAGTTTCCAAAAAGAAACCCATGAACTCCTCGGCATCCTCTTGATGACCGCGCTAAGATGGACGAGACATGCCATTAGCAAGCGCAATGCATGAAGACATGCTCGACTCACTCACCCTCATCGTATCGAATCGCTTGTTCTCCCTCATTGCTTCATACACATATGTCGGTACGAACGCTTCTCCGCTCTTGGCAATCCCACCGGATGTGACCTTTTCAGGTTTGGCGCTTGCGGGAATAGCCTTGTCAGAGGCGACCCCGGATCCGTTGGGTTCCGAATCGCCCATCTCCGCGGCAGCAAATTCCCGTAGGAACAGCATCCTGAGAGCAGCCAGCATCAATAACCCGCTTGCACCGCACAGCCAGGTGAAAAGGGCTTACATCGCTTCCAACAATCTCGTCCGACCCCCTAAATCAGCTTTGATTCGCTTGCTCAATTCTTGTAACAAGATATTGAAGGGATTACAATAGGCAAGCACTTGCATGATCTGTTGTAGCACGTAACGTCAGCATAAGAACGACTCTCGAGTGATATGTCCCGCTTACAGAGTTGGCGAAACACATGTTTCCGGTATTGATCAGACCTCGAGGTACCGAAGCAAGTCCGGCAGCACCGGCTGACAACGGTAGACCGCCCACTCCCTCCGATAACAGCTTGCCCAGGTCCAATTCGCCAGACCGCGAAGCTGATCCAGCCGCTGCCGCTGCAGCGTATCCTATAGGCTTGACAGGCTTGCCACCGCCCTCAATTGGACCAGCTTGACCAGCGGATGCTGATTCACCTGTGGGCGGCTCGGCAGACCCGGAAGTAAAGCGAGCAGCGTCGGACGCCTTGGCAGGCGCAGACACGCTGGGGCGCAGCAGCGCAGCCCACGACTTGGGTGCAGCTTTGACAGGTGGTGCGGGAGGTGCGGGAGAGGAAGACGCAGGTGCAGAAGTCGACGTAGGCTCATTGGGTGTGGCCTCGGTTGAGATCTGCTCAGCAGGCTCTGAGACTATGGGCTCTGTCACTTTAGCTGACGCTGATACAGCTGCGGCCTTGGCTTGCTTCGCCCGCTCTTGAAGGAATCGGGTGGATTCCGCAATCATGGATGCGTCGACCTCGCCGAATTGCATACTCGCGTCCATCGTGCTCGAGCGGTCTCCCTTTCGAGCGAATGTCAAAACCCGATTCTGCTGACGCCTGCTAATTGCCGATTCGAGCTGTTCAGTTTTGTGGACTGATTCGACTTGACCAGACCATGCCGTCCAGTTTTGAAGCTGGTCCCCACTGGGCGATAGTCTCGAAGAGAACAGAACGGCAGGCGCTTCAGCCTGATCTAGAGGCCGGCCCCGGCCATGAACTGTACGAAGGGACGGTAAATCAGTATACCGTCTGTTTTAGACTGACGTAGTGCACTTACGATATGTCTGATCGGCATCGACCCTGAACCCGTCAATCTCTACGGCTTTTTCAGGCGCAACGGTCTCCTCTGACTCTTCTGCGGGCAGAGCGCTCATGTCGTCCACCTCATCAGGACTTGATTCAGCCGGTTCTATCACTTCCACCTCCTTCGGCCCGTCTGTGCTTTCTCCTTCCTCTGCAATACCTTTTTCGCTCACGGCCGGCTCTGGTCTATCGGTCACTCGATCCTCTCCCTTCTCCTCCTTTGCTGGGGCATCCTTCTCATCCTTCTTGATAGTCACGGCCGACCGCATGACAGAAGCGAACACGGGCATGGAATTGCTCTCGACTGCTGTTGTTCCAGTCTCCGCTGCTGAAGCCTCAGACACTATAGGCGGAGGTGGCTGCGGAGGTTGATCGCTTTCTCGCGGTGGAGGAGGGGGAGGGTTCGAGATGGTGGCTTGAGGGAGTTGCGAGGTAGGATACGGCGAGACGTGCGAGGAGGAAGGGGTTTGAGGCTGTAGTGGCGTTGACATGGGGTGTGACATGTCCGGTGTCGGCATGACATAAGGATACGGTCCGTTGGCGCCTTGATGCATGTAGTTGTATGGTGGCCGACCGGACGCCGCTGATGGCTGGTAATACATCGATGGGTCGTAATACATCGGCTGAGCACCTGGATATGCACCGCCTGAAGGTTGGTAGACGGGGTAAGGAGAAGCCTGCATCGCGGGACCCTGCTGAGCGTGCGCATAGACTGGCTGGGGATAATAGGGATTATATGGCGAGTAACCTTGATAACGGGAGGGACCGGCTGCATTGCTGGCTGCGTGGTGCATGTGTGCATTATAATCGTACGAAGGCATGTGCTGCTGCTGTTGCTGGAAATGACCTTGTTGTTGTTGCTGTTGCTGATGGTGATAGCTGTTTTGACGGGCGTAACCTACGTTGCCGTTGACGCCGTTGGCAGATGCGCCAGAAGGCATCCGCATTGGATAACTACCTCCAGCAGGCGGGTAACCGGAATAGGCGGGATGCTGCTGTTGTTGTTGTTGCTGTTGCTGCTGTTGTTGTGGATGATAGTAAGCATATCCACCCATCATCTGAGCGGACTGAGGCGAGTTGTAGTTCATGTTGACGGCAGCGGGCTGAAAATAAGGCGAGGCACCAGAAAGAGGACCGGTACTGCCGTTTCCTCCGAGAGGCACGTGCTGAGAAGATCGAATGTCGTGTTCAACATCGAGGAAAATGGTACGCTCCACTTGAACGACGTCGACTCACCACGGTAGAGGCGTGCGACGGCGACGGTGATGGTCCCGATTCGTTGACGTTCATCGGTCCGTTGCCTGTAGATCCGCCGTTGATACCGTTTCCGCTGAGACTACCATTCGGTTTCAACTTTGAAGGGCCTGCCTGAGCAGGAACGGCCGAACCGGCATGACCATTCATCTAGTTTTATTCAATGTAGGCAGATTCCCTCGAGACCGATCGACAAGGCCACTGGGAAGAAGTTGAATTTTGAAGGCTACTTTTGCGACCTGATGACCCGCAACGAAATGACCGGGACAAGTCCTCTTTCGGCGTTTCTCTTGATCTTCTGTTGCTGAGACGACGATGTTTCCTTTGCAGGGCACGAAGAAATATCTCCTCGGGAGAGTGCTCTTTCTCGACTCGAAAGGGATGACGCGGTAGTGGTTGTAACGGTCGATGACGATGACGACGGCGTGGCCTGCTTTCGCGGCGTAACTTGATGACAAGGGAGTGTAGCGTTATATAGAGACCTGACCCGAAATGTGTCGAGGGGGAGGGGAGGAGGATGGGTAGGAGGTCTTGTGAGAATACGAGGGATCGGATGGGTGGATACTCTACATATTCGATTGATGACGCTCAATAGGCTCGGACGATGGGGGAGGGTACGTTGCGATCGTTCTGTGTGACTAAACAGTCAGATGTCCGTCCCATATGAGAGAGGATGATGCCGTAAACGACGTCCAAGCGGACATCGACAACTCGCGATCCCTCCTCGAGGGGCAAGGGCGACACTTCTTTAATTTTCTGATTTTCGCACCCGTCGTCCCCTCTCTCTGCTCCTCTCCACCTTCCTCGCTTCCTTCGCTCTCTCCCCGACCTCTTGCTCGGTTTTCCCATTCAATCGACCTTGCTTCGATATCACCATCACTGAATCGCACGCAAGGTTCACTTCAGTCACTTCATCCTCTTTCGCCTCTCAGCATTTGACATAGAAAGACATAAGCTCGCGGTCAAATCACACACGACCTCTCTCATTCGCGAAAACTACAGAACAACCTAGACTATAAAAATGGCATTCGATCGAGGTGGCCGAGGTGGTGGTGGACGAGGTGGTGCTAGGGGTGGACGAGGTCAGTCTCAATCTACATGTGTATAGACCACTTGCGATCGAGTGGTCAGCGACTAACACGACCACACTCCGTTGGCACGACATTTAGGAGGCGGCTTTGGCGGTGGTCGAGGCGGTGCTGGTGGTGGATTCGGTGGCCGAGGAGGTGGTGGTGGGGGTGGATTCGGTGACAGGGGAGGCCGAGGTGGTGGCGGTCGAGGTGCCCCTGGAGGTCGAGGTGGTTTCGGTGACCGAGGAGGTCGGGGAGGTGGTGGCCGTGGTGCCCCTCGAGGAAGGGGTGCTCCCGGTGGTGGACGAGGTGAGCGTCACTTGACGGCGAACATGACGATCGTAAGAGCACTTGCTGATGTTCTCATTCACCTAATTCTGGAAAAGGTCGAGGTGGTGCTGCCGGACGAGGAGGTGTTGGCAAGAAGGGAGGTGCTTCCGTCACCCTCGAGCCTCACAAGCACGACGGTGTCTTCATCGCCAAGGGCAAAGAGCACTTGCTCGTCACCAAGAACCTTGTTCCCGGTGAGAGCGTCTACGGTGAAAAGAGGATCACCATCGCCACCCCCAACGCCGGTGAGTCCAGGAATCGAGCTATACGTATCACTAGATGTCGATCGCTGAGCGCGCTCTACCCCCCTACTTGCAGATGGTAGCGAGGACAAGACCGAGTTCCGAGTATGGAACCCCTTCCGAAGCAAGCTTGCTGCTGGTATCTTGGGAGGTCTCGACAACATCCACATCAAGCCTGGTGCCAAGGTGCTCTACCTCGGAGCCGCTTCGTGAGTCGGTCGATCTGGCCAAGCTGCCGTGTCGACTTCATAGCTGATGCCTTTCGATTCGTATGCTATTTCTCGCTCTCACAGCGGTACCTCGGTATCCCACGTTGCCGACATTGTCGGACCTGAGGGAACTGTATACGCTGTCGAGTTCTCTCACCGAAGTGGACGAGATCTCGTCAACATGGCCAAGAAGAGGACCAACATTATCCCCATTGTTGAGGATGCCCGTCACCCTACCAAGTACAGGATGCTCGTCAGCATGGTCGATGTCGTCTTCGCCGATGGTGAGTAGCAGTACATCGCGTGTTTCAGCGACCGTTCGAGACTGACATCTCACACTTGCTTCGCTTCTCTCAGTTGCCCAGCCCGATCAGGCTCGTATCGTCGGCCTGAACGCCCATCACTTCTTGAAGCACGAGGGCCACGTCGTCATCTCCATCAAGGCCAGCTGTATCGACTCAACGGCACCCGCCGAGGCCGTCTTTGCCCAGGAAGTAAAGAAGCTTCAAGGAGAGATGGTCAAGCCGAGGGAACAGCTCACCCTGGAACCTTACGAGCGTGATCACTGTACGTTGCTGCGGTGTATCGTGTATCTAGCCGGGGCTTAGTTGACTGACACTCGCTCCGCTTGTTGCGCTATCTGTTTCATCTAGGCATTCTCATCGGAGTGAGTTACCACATTTCACTGACTCATGGTTAGTGTGGCTTGAATGCTAACGAAACTTGCCCTTTTCACAGACATACGTCCGACACCAGTAGAAGGGGCAAGGTCGCGGTTGAGAGGTTCAGGCTGCAATGTTGTGTTGTTACGGATTGTTTTTGACTTTTTTCTCCCTCCATCCGAGCTCTTGAGCTCGTGTATTATATCATCCACGGACTGCCTGCAATCGGGAGTCTTTCAGAACGCTATACGTGTTACTTCGCGCCGCGTATTAAGTCAGCGATGTGATCAACTACGGTGCGATTTAGGGGTTACTAAGCTAGCTACAATTGAGGTCTCGGAGAGCTTTCTCAATCTGCAACATTCGACCTTCTTGTTCTCGCATCGCATTCTTGTATGCCTTGGTCTGACATAGCAAGGCATACCCTTTCTTTGCAGGCCGCTCGAGATACCGAACTTGACGACAACCAACGAATTGACAATTGTGCATGTCATTCGGCATCGCGAGCTGGCCCTCGAGCCAAATTTCGGCATCGTGAGCTGTGAACTCGCTCGCCGCCGCACGGCGGATGTAGCCCTGCTGGTGTTTGATCTGCGAACGCGCTTGAGCGATAAAGCTGTTTCGGATGCTGATCTTGTCCGCCGCGATCATCATCTTGAGACGCTGCCTCGAGCAGGAGGACGAGACTTTGCGGGACATCTTGGAGGATTGGCTCAACCTGCTGAAGATGCTCTGCTTGCCGCTTTGTTCCCCGGGCTTCTGATTCTCGTTGTCGCGAAGGCGATTCAAGTTGTTGATCAAGGGGTATAGACCTTGCAAAACTGCTTCGGCCTTGATCAGGTTCATCTCTGTTCGAACGCAAAAAGATGCTCGTCGGCTTTAAATATTCGCTAGATGACTCCTACGGACTTCGAGGACTGACCTGCGTCTCTCTGCATGCCACTCGCCCAGCCCTGTTTGAAGAGATACATGACAGGCGGGATCGTCGCGAGACTGTCCTTGTAGTTGAGCGCTTCAAGCGAATGAGCTTGAGCGTAAGACGGCGGATTCTCCGACACTAGTGCTCAAGCCAAGTCAATAAGAATTTGTCGGAAAGAGATCTCCGCACCGTGAACAAGGTCTTACCGTCATCAGCCGTGTTGATCTGACGTCCGCTCACGGGAGATAGCGGGGATCTGAGCGCCTCGTACTGAGACTTTCGATCGAGCATGTTCATTTGCGGTTAGATTCGTATGACCTGAATCGAGATGTAACTTTGGTTCTGACTACGAATGAGACCTCATGGTCATCCTATTTATCCCGCACTGGAGGGATCCCATGGAAAATCTGAAACACGTAAGTTGTACAAGGGGCGAAGTCAGGATTCCAAGTGAAAGGAGGGCGGTTTCTCACAATATGCTGGTACTGCGGAACGATTTTGATCGGCCGGATCAAATCACGACTGCATATTGGGTGGTAGACAGTCATACGCTATGCTATCATCAGGACATGAAAAAATGGATCCTGTTGATCTTGAAGTCCGGTTTTCGACATCAGTCGCTTGATCATAAGAATACTTCGCGAAGCGGACCTGCGAGAGTAGACGATCAGGCATGGTGACGTTGTGTCGCGGCACGATGGATGTCTTTGTTCATGACTGTTGACATGCTTGAATGGGCTATTCAGGAGTCGGATGTACATGGAAAATACGGTGGTCAGCTCGATCATAGTCATACGTTGTAGTCAAGGGAGGCATCCTGCGCATCAAACAACTCGAATCGGCGCTGCCAGGCATACCAACAAACATGAGGCCTTCGATATAGCGGCTCCATGGCGCGTCTTGGCACATAGACAGAGCTCCTGATTGATTAGTGGCCCGAAAAGCTGGGTTAAATGCTTGACGTCTCAACACGATGGCGGATAGCGATCATAGCGATAGAAAACCGACGAGATCTACACTGGCTGAAACGCGCTATCGAGACCATGTCACGTGATCAGCTCGGTGATTCCCGGTGAATCGGCGGAGATATCGGCGAGAACAAAAGACTTCTGGCAGGGTCACATCATCGATTCAACGTCGGGAAACGGTAGTGTGCAATAGCGTTGGGAAGACTGGCGGTCGATATTCGATCGAACACTGGCGACCATGAACCGACAGATCAGATATCACCATGCTACATACAACCTGACCCCTATCCAGCTGCCGGTTTCATCACCGACAGACGGATCAGACGGAAGTTTCAGAGTCCTCTGAGACTGACTCGGCCCCCGTATAGAAAGGTTTCATCAATCCCATCGGTTCTGATCAATCCATCAAATTGCTGTCCTGCTCGCCCCTCCACTTTTCATTCTGCATCCAAGCCGTTTTCCCCATCAATTCCATCATCAATCTCACCACTCTCCCTCATCCGGCACCCACCTCTGGCCTCTGGCTCGCATGGCTCGTCGTGTGTCGACGCACAGCTCATCAGAAACACACGCTCTTCCAAGCTTGCAGGAAAGATTTATAAGATCGACAGCTGCTGGGTGGTTGACTTGACCTACGCAACCACGGTTCCGGTCCTATTGAATCCACTGGGAGTTTGGCAACGCAAATACCGTAGATATAGCATACCTATCCTCGATCCACAATGACAAACGGATTACCAGCGGTTCTGATTCTAGGCGGCCTGAACACCGCGTCGCGGCAACTGGCCATCTTTCTCGTTTCTGGAGATCAAGGCGAAGTTCCGAAAGCTGCACACGAACAACGACCTCCCCTCGTCAAGTATCTTCGCATCGCCGATAGGTTCTCCGTCCAACCGGAAACGACGTATCTCGGCCGTGCTTTCAAGGGGATCCTCGAGAGAGACGACGTCGATTATAGGCAGGCCAATTTGGCGGTACCCAGCAAGGTGGCCGAGATCTTTACACCTCCACCAGGAATCGAGTCTTTCGACTACGTGTTTGACTTGACAGGTATGTAGCGGAGGGTACCAGGTTTGGAGAAGCGGGCGAAAGACCAATGACCACGCTCCCATTGCAGGCGAGACCCGACCTGACCGACCAGAGGTCGTGAGTTGCAGGAACAAGATAGACGACGGGGCTGGAGGCTTACATCTGACCCCACGTTCCCTGACAGATTTACGTCCAGCAATGTTACGCATTGCCATTGGCTCTAGCAAGACATGCCAGTACCCTCTCGAGTCCGCCTCGAGCCTACGTGAGGCTCGTGCCGCCAGCCTATGTGATGAGCAACTCCGTCACGGGAGGCTATACCGAGCGTTTCGTCGAGGCCAAAAAGGAAAAAAAGGGCGGCATGTTCAGGAGCAAAGATAAGGGATCCGAGGGTTTGGGTCCGAAGCCGGACGGCGTGCGTGGCAGATGGTGGCACGAGGGGGTTAGGGCTCAGGCAGCGGTGCCGGGTCTCAATTTCGTTGCGATCAGGGCTGGTGAAATATACGGCGAAGCTTTCGGAGAAGGTCAAGTCCTGGCTAGACTGGTGATTGGTGAGTTCAGATACTACGTTTTGCCCGCTTGCTTTTCCTCCTCCATCATAATGATATGAATCTACCGACTCTCGACCACGTAGCGCACGTTTACAAGCACAAGCAGGAAAAAATGGAGTTCCTACATTCAGGAGACCTTCGATTGCACACAGTGCATGTTCGTGATGCAGGTACGTTCGCTCGCAGACAGACCGTGAGCCCTGTAAGTTGCTGACACAACGTTCTGTTTGCACATGAATTTCACTGCACAGTCAGAGCGATGTTTGAAGTTGCTCATTGGGTCGCGTCGCAAGGAAGAGCAGCAGCGGATCAGATAGCAGGTGAAGAGATGCCGTGTGCTTGGGCATGGTCCACTGGGAAAGACGGGGACGAAGAGAAACAAGGGATGAAATTGGTCCCCGATCTTCTGGACCCATCTGCCCAGATCGTCGCTCCTTACTTCAATGTCGTAAGCGATCAAAGCAAAGTGCCCCCCTAAGATACACGGTTCGAGATGATTGATATCCAGTGTCTTCGCTTCTTCCTGTCAAATCTAGGTGGACGATGGTGACACGACTCAGGACAAGCTGGCCAAGGCATGCTCAGATGTCTTTTCCATCAAGTATGGTTTCCATAGCTCGGTAGTCTCGTCGCTCGTGACTTCGTTCAACCGAACAGACTTTGGGGCACTCGTCGACGACATCAACGAAGATGTGAGGAGAGCAGGGTGTCTTCTGGGTATAGTAGGTCATGGTTGCTTACAATTACATCCCCTGTTATGCGTCTGAACAGCATATGGAAGGTAAGTTCGAATCGGTATGGACGGCAAAACATCCGCCTGACAGCATTGATCACTAGTGTGGCAGGACATGATGAGCAAGTCGTCGCCGCCGATCTTCGACACGCCGATATCGCCGGTGAGCTCTGTCTGTACCCGTATGTGAGAATATCCACTCATGACTGTAGGTATGTTTGGGAAACAGTTACTTCTTCCAGACTCTTTCAAGAAAAGAGCGATCAACCTGAACGGGCAGAAGCTACGTACAATCACCGGCTGGTCACCCGCCGTCAAAGAGGTCAACCCAGAGGCTTTACGGCTGCAATGTCAGTCTTTCCAGCTGGCACAGCTTTGGTAAGCGTCGCAGTCTACAGTAGGCGATATATTCGAGCTCACGATCGGTCTTGGGATACGGCAGGCCTAATCTTTGAAGTTTTTGTGGCTCTCGTTCCTGTCGTGATTTCTAGGTCGTTCATGCTTGTGATGATATATACCCAATTCTGCACAGGAGACATGATCATACATCGAAACCAAAAGTTGCCTGATCGAAACCCATATCGTACAGGAGGATACATAGCAATGTGATCGGCGACAAATATAGATATACAGATATTGATGTAGCGAGACTAAGACGCTGCAGTATGCAGCTTCTTGAGCGGCTGCAAGATCGCGCCGGGCTTTTTGATGATGCGCGGGGTGATGCCTCGTTGGAAGCTCCCCATCGTGCTCGTCTCTGGCGCAATGGTATTGGACGACAAGGCCTGTTCGTATTGGCTTTGCGATGTATAGGGGAACGGAAGAGAGGTTGAGAGATATTTCTCTGCCTTGGCCTTCTTCTCGCTGATGATGACATTCTTCTTGCCATAGTCTTTCCGTTCGGCTGTTTCGACGCCAGCGATTTTCTTGATGAATTTCCGCGCGTTCTTGTTCTTCTTGACGCCTTTACCTCCCCATGAACCCCAACCGGCAAGGGTCATATCCTTCTCCTTTGGCGCATCCATCTCGTTGGCACGCTTCTTTTCGGCCGCAAACTCCTGTAGATTTCGGAAGTGATGGAGGTCGTTAGAAGTGATAGCCCACAATGCGACCACAATCTAGAATCAAACTGACCTTGATGACATTGTCGCCGGCAAAGGCCTGTGCGACAAGATCTCGCTGGTCGAAAGCCCTCGGTCCTCGCGTTGTCGAAGCGTGCTCGGGGTCCTCATCCTCCACGTCACTGTCTCCACCAAGCGGGACATTCGCCTTGGATACCACGTGATTGGCATCAATATCCACGACTGCATCGTCAACGGCGCGCTGCTTGCCATCGGCAGACTTGCTCGACTTGCGCTTGTTAAGAGAGTCGAGCGCTCGGTCTTTGGCGGACGAACTTTTGCCGACCAGTACCGTGTTCTTCTTGCGTGATAGTCCCGAGCTCGGCTGGCCTGAGATATCTGCCCAAGGGTTATTATCGACTGCCGCGCTTTGAGCCGCGTTGGCATCCCGACTGTGTACAGGCTGAGGGACGGTATGGCTCTTCTGCTGGGTCTTGGAACTAGCACGATCTTCATCCGCGATTTCCGGTTGAGAAAGCTGTGATGGGCCCTTTCATAAGTACGGATTTTTTCTTGGATTGATGACAAACGGCATGACTCACTTGGCTGGATAACCCGGTCCCAGTCAACACTAGTCGACCGCCTATGCGGGCAACGTTGCCGCTGTCCGATTCGTCACTCTCACCCCCGCTCTCGATGCCAGCATCCTCATAACTTTCGAGCTGTCTCCGCAGCTCGCGCTCTTCCTCATCCACCGAGACCTTTTCTCGACGCGCCGCGTCTTGCATGAATTTCATGGCAAAGATACCGCTAGGTTTCGAAGATGCAACAGCGTCATCGAGCTCGGCCTGCTTGAGCCGAAGGCTGGCAAGCTCATCAAACGCACGTGCTCGGGTGTCTTCGTCACCTCCAAAGTCCTCCTCGCTATCGATCTCACTATCGCTGCCTTCCGACGCGTTGCCTTGAACTTTCCGACGCAGTCTTTCTCCTTGGGCTAGCATGTGCTCCAACTCTTGACGTTTGCCCTCGATCTCTCCTGCCCCGTGCTGACCTTGCGCCCAGCGTCCCCCTTTAGCACTGTGCTTCAGAGTAGCCCTCTCGCGTGCCCTTGCGGTCTCCATCTTTTCTTGTTCTTCTTCAGCTCTCTGGGGGTCCAGAGCTCGCAAATCATCCAGATCGATTTCTCCTTCCGCCTTGTCCGCCCTTTTACGAGCTAACTTGCGATAGGTCTTGGATTTGATCTTGGCGATACGCTTGCGACGACTCTCTTCCCGGAAGAGAAGTTCCCGTTGCCGACGAAGTTCAGCTCTCCGGGCGGCAATCTCTTCGACGCTAACATCTTGCCCTTCCAAAGCATCTTTTTCAGCTTGAGCGATCTGATTGTCTTTGAGGTTAGCGGACTCGAGGAGCTTTGTGACTGCTGATTCCAACGAGTTGGTAGCCTGAAGCGGAACGATCGTCAGCAACTCGACGTGATGAATGGCCGACAACCACTGGGACGTACTTGAAAATCCCCCATAAGGTCGCCACCACTTTTCACTCCTCCTCGCTGCCGATCCTTCGAAGACCCTTGTCCGGCCGTGCCCCCCACTTGCAGGGGAAATTTGAGTTGGTCTGCTTCCTTGATCCTCTTCATGACGGCACCCCATTTGGCACCTTCTTGCGTAGTCTGCTCGTAAGCGGCCTCACGCGCCAAGCGATCCAAAACGACCGTAGGTAGAGGAGCGGAAAGTGTCCCGTTCTTTAGAGTCGATGTGCTTTCCTTCGCGTCGGATTTGGGAAGAAGACCCTCTATGGTCGACTTGAGCGACGGATCGGAACCGATGAGCGACATAAGAGACAGCTTGGCAGCTGCGAACCACAGGTCAAGTCAGTCTAGTCATGTTTGCCACCGAAACGAAAGCGGACAATTACCTGATCCAACGCCGAATTCTCCAGCGTCTTCCCTCCCGCCAGGACCTTGGCGACTCGGCAGTACCCGACGACGTTTAGCAGGCACATCTTCGGGAACGCCACCAGTGGAAATGACTGAATCTTCCACCTCGGAGTCCTCTGCTTTTCGCTTGGCTGATGGCAAAGTCGAGACGAAATCCACCAACCCTCCACCCAGATTTGAACCCACGTGCTCGTCCTCGTCGTCCGTCTCGATATCCGAAGGTAGCTCTGGTTCTGATGCCATATCTTCACTTTCGCTATCAAGTGGTTCCTCGTCGAAGGCTGGGCACAATCGTCGAGGCACTATTAACGGGTATCGTTGGATGTTTTCGGTGGAATACGTGACTTACCTGATACGCCCTTCAATTCTGAAGTCTCTTCATCAGAGGTCTCGTTTAAATCAACGTCAAGCTGTTCGACCGATTCCGACTATGAAAGGTCTCCACTCGTCAACGGAGACTCAGATGAACAGGTAATGGTATTTACCTGCTGAACGGCCCGTTCTACCGGCATCTTCTTGCTTTCTTTCTTCTTCCAGCTAGCGAAACTGCTGCCCCACCGTTCCTCGTCGCTTCCGGAATTCCAGGCGTCGTCACTATCGATTTCCTCGTCATCGTCGTCATCTAGTTCCAGAGGATCCTCGCCTGCGATAGTCAATGCCGCTCTCCGAATGCGGCCCGCCATATCATCGTCTCCATCGCTACCGCCATTATCCGAATCGTCATCCAATTTGACGCCAGTTCGTCGCTTATTCCCAGCTAATTGAGCTTCCTCTCTTGAAAGCTCGAATCGAGAACCCGAAGTTCGCGAGTTTTTGACCGGTGCAGGAATGTAATCGTAGACATTCAAACCATCCAGATCTTGCTCGTTCCGTGCCGGGCGTGGTTTTCGCCTAGAAGCATTCTTGGAAGACTTCGTGTCGTTATCAGCAGTCTGTAACGGGCGTGACTTGGTATCTACAGCTTGTCCTCGGGTGGGCTTGGTTGCACTCTTTGCTGTTGCGGACTTGGAGTGTTTTGCAGAAGAGAATGGTACCCCCGAACGGGATGAGCGAGGCATGGCAGGCGGTCTATATATAGGAATGTCGCTATAGTCTGACCTGCTGAGTCGCTGCAGTAGCGGGCGTTCGAGGCGACTCTGATAGTGGTTGCAATACTCCTGTGGGCCTGTGCATCATATGGCCCATTCGAGACGAAGACGATCGCACAGGTCTGTCTGAAATTTCCGGCGCTACCGAGGCGACGCGTACCGGCCTGCTCCGACCTCAATCTACTAGCTTTCGTGCATTTCGTGAAGAACAATGTCAGAGGCCAGAGGCCAGACGTCTACTCAATTATCTTGCCCCGGCCACCCTCCGTTTAGGTTAAGGAAGACTCCTACCTGCTTAAAAATCTCTGCTTTTGAATCGGAATTACTAGACAGCTGTGATTTCTGATATTCCTCCATCAAGAGTAGTGAAAGCCACATGGGTTAACAATTTCAAGGCCTGGGGTCAATGCTGTCATCCAGTCAGCAGATGCAGAGGCAGAAGCAACCTCAAAATGAACAAACGATGCCACAATTGTGAGGTTTTGGACCAGATTTTAGTCAAGTACCAATGACGGTTTGATCTGCTCTTAGACCTTGGTAGCCTGCAGTGGTTATCAAGACGCCTGGACAAGCTCTGATCAAGATATCAAATACATTCAGGTTAGCTTGTCCTTGTCTGGAAGATGTACTCACAGTGATTATGAGGAACATACAAGTAAATCAATTTGAAAGGATATTTTCCAGTGTGCAGTGCACAAACTACAAAATATATTCTCCATTCTACAGAATGAGGCTTTGTTATTGAGTTTGCACCTTTGATGAAGTCCTCACCTGTAATATCATAGCATGCCAATCATGCAACACCCACTCCTGTCTAGTCTGTCATAGGTATGGGCAGGCTTGCACAAAGAAGACTATGAGGAAGCTGAAGTGGGTACAAAGAGAATCTGAAAGCTGGGACATGATGCTTAAAAACAGTGCTGGAGGAACCATCAAATCAGTACCGCCTACATCTGATCCCTCTTGTGAGAGAAGGAAGCATTCAATAATTGAGCTGTGTGCTCACAACCACCTATGACTGTCGATAACGCCCTTGTGTGCTACAAATGGCACAATCTCATCAATCACTTCTACCCCACCATAACCTCCAAATGAGCTCTCAACTTGAATACCTGTATGTATAGCCTCTGTTGTTTGTGCCAAATTACATGCATGTATACTAGAAAAGAAGTGTGATGCTAGCCTCAGATTCATGCAAACCAATGAGACCTACTTCATGCCATGCATATCCACTACTTGTACTGCACATATGAACCTGGAACGAGTTTGGGTTCGGAAGATTGTATCTCACGCGAGTACATGCATGCCGCACACATTAAGGCTGGCAATCAGCCACCAAAAAGGACAAGAATAGGCAAGAACACGTGTACGTACTATCACACCTTGTCTGACCGTTCCATCAATAACACCTTGGCAATGCGGACCAGTCTGGCTTCTAAGCTACACAACCATCCAGTCAATACATGTGTGATCATGGCCACACATTTGCAATTGCAATCATATTTGTGCAGTCTCAAATGCATAATTGTGTCTAGAGTCACATTTCTACATCTACAGTCACAATCTGTTACAGTCAGGTCTAATGGTAGCAAAGAGCTAGCCTAGGTGACAAGTGATAGTGGTAATCATGCTAAGGCAGAGATAATCGATGGGAAGTGCTTGGTGCTTAACCTGTTTGCTGACTGTGAAGGGCTTGATAAGAGCTCCAGTGTTGAGCAGTGAGAGGGGGTTGGGGTGGCTAAGATTTGTAAATGTAACCTAGATCTGGCGGGTGATGAGCAGGGGATCTGCTTGGATGGTGGCTTTGGGGGATCAAATCATTTGATATGCATGAGAGGACAAGCAAAAAGTGTGGCCCTATGTGACTTGCCTTGCTGACATTGATAAAAGGATCAGTGGTACCAATGACAAGGTCAATGGTCCAAGGCGTTGGGAGAAGACCGTTGGCAAAACCGTCACAATGGTCTGGCAGGAGCCAGACACCCCTGGCCTTTTGGATATGAATAGAGTTATGAAGCGCTGCAAGCTTTTCCAGCAAATGAAACTGCCTGTCCAACTCCTATCCATCTCAATACTCTCCCCTCAGGAGATCGCAACTAAGATTGAATATGTTGCTTGTCTCTGCATCATAGACAAGCACGGACGGTTACCTGAAGCTGTAGGGATACTTGATCTTATGTAGGTCTTGGAGGGATGAACAATCGGACGGTGCACAATTGTCTGACTCTGTGTTGCGATGACAGGATGGACTACAATGAAGCTGGAAGACCATGCCGGAACTTCTACGTGGGGATTAGAAACAAACGCACGTGGCACGCCCTTAATTGGTGTCACTTTCACCTGGTTATCTTGAAGGTACCTGCAGCACAGCGTAATAGAAGAAGTTCTCTTCACATCCAGTATTTGATGTTCGAAAACAACCGACTCATAGCTCTGGAACAACAACAACTTCTGCCTATCCCCGACATTGCCTATGAGCCGATTCCAAAAGTTACTGTACGCACAGGTAGTAAGGAGTTGTTGAGTTGGATTATACAACGTATTGCAGAACAAGATTTTCAACCGCTGGAGGAGGTCAGGCATATTGCAACATCATTCCTGGCCAGTCAATTGGAACAGGACAAGAAAATGGTCACGTGCCTTCCTACTGATAGGACATACTTCCTTTGTAAGAACAACAAGCACATGCTCGACTATACAGACATGTCAAACAATGAATCCGCAACCATAGACAGAATCATTGAGGAGCATCTTCATGAATCTGTGACTGCTGTTTGTGTCCTCATCGCTACCACATGCGGCATCAGCATTACCACTTCACATATGCAAGGGGTGCGGAGAGGATATTCTTAATACTTGAGCAGCAGCAGAAGAAAAGGGAATTGCTGCGGGGGCTGCTAAGCCCACCATCACTGAGCTCACCATTGCTGAGCCCACAATCTCTTTGTCACGTCTATGCAACTCAATCTGGGGAGCCGACGACGTCAACCAACCTCACTTGCGCTGGAATTTCAACCCACAAGTCAAGTGGGCAATGTGAATGTTTGTTGGTATGGGTGACAAGGACGAGTGGGATGAAGAAGAGGATGAAGAGGTCAGGCAACAGCCAACCACACGTCCATGATGCACCATAGCTACCTGCCTGTTCCACGAGGACTTGACATGAGGTGGGAGACCAATTCCTCAGGATGCAAGCGTGGTCATGTGTTGATTTCACTCCGGACCATTTCAACCTCCAGGTAAGCATTTACATCACCCAACTCCATTTACGTTACATCACTTCAGGATCTTTCTTGAAGATTGCCATGCTATGACATCATAGGTGATGCTCAAAGGTGCAATCTCAAGCACAAAGGGTCAACATGTGACCAGGATCACATGTTGTGACTGGAGACGCACTTATGTGACTGGAGTCACACTTATGCGACCAGAGACACACATATGCGACTGGAGTCGCATATTGGTGATGTCATTTGTGACTGGAGTTGCAAATACGTGACTGGAGACGCAATATGCGACCAGAGTCGCAATTGTGCGACTGCTCTAGTCGCAAGTTCACTAGGGGACATGCTCATCAGAATAGCATATAAAGTAGACCATTTGTGTCTGATTTCTCTTTTCCCTCTCATGTACTACTTTACTTTCATGCAAGCAACCAAGCAACCAGATTCCACACCGATCTTCCCTGGGTTGATGCTGATCAAGACCTGTTCTCCCACTATGATTTGGTATACCTTGTTGCTTGCATTGCTTGTGAATTTGTCTATCCTCTTTGATTGGTCATTGGCAAATGAGTCCACAAACACACAAGTGTATAATACTACTGTGAGCTGTGCGCTGTATTGCTGTGGCATGCGAGCTAGATCTGACGCGAACGTTGTTCAAGCAATCCAAGCAATCTCATGTCTGGGTTTTCGAATTGCTTGTCATCTGGTGACACTTGATTCCGCACTCGGATCTTGAGGGTTGATTCAGAATTCCCATGCGTCGTAATCCCCCGGCTCGTGGCATTTGTGAAGCTTGGTGGTAACAGCCGGGTATTCACATGGGTCGGCTCCAATTGACCTTGCTGGAAGAGTCCGGCGCCAGCATGACCAGTGGGCACAGGATCATCCAGAGCATGTCGACCCCGCCGCCCTCCGACTTGTTCGAGCTCGAGAGCAATCTTCTCGAAGCCAAGCGTCAAGATAAGGACAACATCTTGATCTCAGGAGCACTCTTGTCCACCCTCGCACTCAAGGTGAAACATATGGACACTTGGGAGGCCATGTACAATCATCATGAGTTCATCCTAGAGAACCAAGATCAACGGAGGCGAGAATTCTTGTCCAGATGTGGCATCCTAGCGGAGATGAGGGGTTCCAACACCAAGACAATCAACCTGGTCATCCATTACTTGGCCAGCCGTGAGATGCTAGAGCATTGGAGGACAACACAGGCTGTTTTGAAGCAGGCCGAGGTGTTCGTGATCAACTGCATCAAGGGGTCCCTTCTGCTGGGTCCGTGGGACTTTGAGGACAACTACATTCAAGATCAGCTCGACAAGTAGGGTATTCTCACTAGCCTGAACTCGATACGGGAACTCTCAATGGAAGAGGAAGCATCCAAGCTGAATTTCGCAGCTCGGTACCATCATTTATGCGGTCAGGATATCGACCCCAAAATTTGCGGAGCACAGAAACAGGCCGACGCCAAGATCGAGGCTTTGCTCCACTGGATGTCTACCTTGGACAACAAGGACTGGCGACTCGGCGGCCACTACCTCTTGCAAAGTAACAAGATCTTCTAAAAACAACCCCTTGCCGATCGTCTTGGTGAACTGGCGCAAGAGCGACATCAGCAGCAGCTCCAGGAGCAAGCCTTGCCGACCAAGTCCGAGCGCTCTGCGGGCGCTGTGGGTCCCGCCAGAGTCCTCAGACATGTCTTCTTTGATCAGCTACCCGACAAGGACCAAGCGATCCAAGCGACCCTTGGCCTTGCCTTGGATTGGTTCCTTCCGAACCAAGCGGTACAATCCAGACCTTTGTCCGACGTTTTCGACAAGATCATCGTCCCTTTGATCCAGTACGAAGGGGACGGCCTCTCCTCTACGTCAAGCCGACACCTTCAAAGGGTGTTGGTTGGAACTATCGTCGATCAGACGAAGGCGCTGTTGTCATCGGATGGAGGGGATTGGGAGCAATTCAGCGACCTTCTGGTGGGACTGGCCGCGAAAGAGATCGGGCATCCCACCGGATCGATTACCCATCTCGACCCAAAAGCAGACCTCCTTTTGCACATCCTGGAACACGCCTGCAATTGTCTTCTGTGACAACCAGAATTTGGCCATCGGTCCAAAGAAGCGCAGGTCTGGATTTATATCCTGGTCGGGAGGTTGAGCTCGTTCTGATTCTGAAGGGACAATAGTTTGCAGAGAATGCCAACTTTGAAGCGGATTCTATCGGAGGCACGATAGCTTGTTCGCCGTTTCTACAGTTGATTCCATATTACATTCAGTTTCAAGTCCTTCGAGTGCACAAGCTGTCTTGTCGACACAGGAGCTCCAACTTCTGGTACATCACTCCCGATTTCTCGAGCGAGACGTAGTAGGATGGCAAAACTTCAGCTAAAAGACCTGGAGGGTGGTCAATCTGGGCACCTTACAGCTTGGCAAGCCGTGCGGAAACTCACCAAGACGCCTGGTTGGACAGTACTGACCCCATTTGTGGCCCATCTGCCGGAGTTAGCAATTTCTTGAACTGACACATTCTTGGCCACGGCAGTGGTAAATTCAGTCTCAGCCCATGGTCCTACATTGTTGATGCAAATGGCAAATACTGGACTGGCAGCGTCGCATGCAAGGTGAGTGCATGATGATGACGGCACAATGATAAAGACGATCAAAGTGATCCCTCGGGCTGACCGAAGCTGCCTGATCCGTTTGCACTTACAGACTCCAACTTCTTCAACAGTAGGTTACCTACTTTAACCAAAAGGAAAGCAACCTATCTTTCAGTTCCATCGCCAAGCTCGTCAATGCCAGCAACAAGATCTTCAAGCAGGATCAGCTACGGGAGTGCGGCTATGTATCTGATTGCTTTTTTGAAAGTCAAGTAGTACATGGGAAGGGGAAAGGAGAATGAGGCCAAACTAGCCTCCTATATATACTATTCTGAAGGTAGCCTCCATGGCTCCATAACCCCTCAAACCAGTGCACGCTTCAAAGAATCCTGTAAAGGTGCGACTGCAATCACAACTTGTGACCAGAAACACAAGTTTGCGACCACAGTCACGCATCTGCGTCTGCAGTCACGTTTGTGCGACCTGAGACGCATCATTGCGACTACAGTCACATATTCGCGTCTACAGTCACACATTTGCGACTGCAGTCACATGTTCTAGTACATGCTATTTCCTCAGATTGTACATATATATAGGAGTCCCCAGAAGGAGGAATGGGTCATCCCTTTTCTCTTTCATGAGGACTCAGACCTCTTATCACTAGATTCATTCCCATTACCTTTACCTTTCACTTCATCCCTTTCACCCTTTCCCTTTCCACCTTCACCTCTTCAACATCAACAAGGACTAGCTACCCTTGTTGCATAACAAGCAAAGGATATCAAGAATCACCAAATAGGACAGTGTTGAGACAACTGCGACGTATCCGGTTATAAATTCAGTTGTGAGATTTGCTCCTCTCCCACATAAGAGTCGGCTTACTTCACAAATCCTGTAGATTGTACCAAATACAATGTGCAATGCGCAAAGTACAATGTACATTATACATTATATGGAATGAGGCTCTATGATTGAGATTGCACATATAATGATGTCATCAGATTTAATGTCATCCATGCAAACCTTCAACATGCAATACGCTACCGCTTGTGACTTCCAGTACACTACATCAGCTTCAAATTGAGCCCATCTTGATGCAGTGGCTAAATAGAGCAGTTTTCATGTGGCTGAAGACATTACAAACCTGGCTGTGGAATAATGTAAGCTTTCTGCACTTACCAGAACTTTGACCTACGGCACTTTATTACAATGCTGTGAACCGTTTTAGTCTCTGTGTAATGGTACATTTGCAACAAGAATCTCTCTTGGTTTGTGTGGGACTGTTTTTAGTTGTGTCAGGCCTTCCTTACAAGTAGCAGGAATCCCTTGATATTTGGCAGGTAATTCGATATGAAGGAACAATTGGCCAGGATACAGCCCAAGAAGAAGAACCATGTGCAAATAGGGATGTCATTGCATACTTGATCACCAAGAATTCCATTCCCAATTTTTTGGGCATCCCCATGATCCTGGACCCTTCAGCAGATCGACTAGTCCTCCTGGATCTGAACAGATGTGAAGTAAGATGATCTGGCTCAGGTAAATCCCCCAATGGTGGCTGACATCAACATCAAGCTCAAATCATCCGAGCATCATCAGGGATCGTGATGTAGGGAACATCTTGTTAACCTTGACAGTCAAGTGACACTCAGTTAGCCTAAGGTGCAAATAGGGTAATGATGACTCTCATGGTAGTGTCTTACTACTAAAGAGTATTTTGGGGTCGATGACCTTCAGCCAATACAAGAATGCAGCCTATAGGGAGAAAGGTCAGCTGCAGCAGAAGAGAGGAGAAGAGACCGTCATCATTCATTTGGCGTCTAGAAGGCAAGTCAATGCAGTCATCCTGCCCCTTACCCAGTCGTAAAGCTTCCACCTCTTCTTGACCACTTCTGATACCGCTACAGTCCTCTCAGGATGGTGTTGAGTTCGACACCCCGCTAACAAGGATGAGTACCAACATCGGATCAACCCCATACCACCAGAAGAAACTGAGATGCGTCGGACCTGGTGGGGAGAGGTGAGTGTCATCTACCTCGCTGGTACGCTAATTTTGATGGCTCCCTTTCAGACTCAAAGAGAAAGACCAAAAAGTCATCGACCTGGAACAAAAGCAAGTCAATTTATGCTGAGGGTTTGCTTCTGAACCAGCTGACCGCCATGACGCTATCACAAACAGAGTCCAGAATCAGAAGATTTTGATTGACAATCTTCATAGCAGGCTTCAGAACCTGGAGCAGGAGCATGTGCCTGCATTGCTTTGACGCACACACTTTGATGCATGGCACAGCTTGACTGATGTCCTCGCGTCCTTAGGAAAACCAATCTTGCCAATCAGCTCAAGCAAGCACATGAGACTGGCAACAAATAAAGCAAGGTCCTTGTTACAAAGAAACAACCTATCAAGGCGTAACAAGAAGAGTGAGTTCCTCTCGCTTACTGCATCACCTCATTTACAGCTGAGACCATCAGCAATTTACAGGCGGCTCAAGCAAAGGTCCTTGCAATAGAGCAGAAGAGGACAAGAAGATTCTGAAAGATTCCAAAAGCAGTGCGTTGTGGTGGTGTGCATGTGCATGTTTACATTTTGTCTCCACCCCTTCATCCCCACAAAGTCTCAAAGCAGGACAATCACATAGCCACAATTGCCAGTCTCCAGGCGCAGATCAAGAGCCTCAAAAGCGATGCCAAACGCAACAAAAACACCATACAAAGCCTCGAAATGGGTCTTGCCAATGCCGTGGGTAATTTGTCAGAAAAGGACTTGAGGGAAGATGACTTGACGTGTATCAGCGGGCTTGAAGATGAGTAAGCCTGCAGGTCATGTTGAGTGGATTTCCGATTGGAAAGATTGACAAAACACTATGCCTGGATCATCATTGCAGGCTGACCGTTTGCAAGGATGCATTGCAAAAGTTGCAAAGGGTGTGAGTCATTGGTATCGGTCATTGATGCTGCACAACGCACTGACAAGGTTGCCGTATCATAGTTTTGGAATCCTTAAAGATGGATATTGTTAGGTTGCCGGCAACCTGTGTGTCCTCCGGGACTTGCTTAGGGTAGTAGTCAGGTAAATGAGTGTGATAGCAGATGAATTACATATTACAATAGTGATCATAGTAGCTGTTGAAGATCGGCATGCTATGACATCATTGATGATGCTCAAAGGTGCAATCTCAAGCACAAAGGGTCAACATGTGACCAGGATCACATGTTGTGACTGGAGACGCACTTATGTGACTGGAGTCACACTTATGCGACCAGAGACACACATATGCGACTGGAGTCGCATATTGGTGATGTCATTTGTGACTGGAGTCGCAAATACGTGACTGGAGACGCAATATGCGACCAGAGTCGCAATTGTGCGACTGCTCTAGTCGCAAGTTCACTAGGGGACATGCTCATCAGAATAGCATATATAGCAGACCATTTGGGTCTGATTTCTCTTTCCCCTCTCATGTACTACTTTACTTTCATGCAAGCAATCAGATACATAGTCATTCACACAATAGATAGCAACAGTCAACACTATCAAAGGAACAGCTATACCATCAGCTTAGGCTGATATCACAACAGTAGCTAGGCATCTCCTATCGTATTGTATAAGTACCTGCTCTGCCGGAGTTGCTGGCGGAACACCCGTTCGGATGTGCGTGATAGTCGTACCGCGGATGGCTATAACAGAGATGAGAAACCTGATGACAAACTTAACGACAGAGACAAGGAGTGAGCAGGCATGTGACAGACATATCCCAGCTGTACATGTTGAACACGGCCTGTATCTCTACAAGTCAAGACCTCCAGGCCAAGATTGAAGACCTCCAACAACTGTGAGGCCAACACACTGCCATTGCAAATCACCTTGCTCACCGCGTGTCTTCCACTATTACAGCCCTGAAACGTCCAATGAGAGTGAGCAACTCAGAAACGTGACTGCAATGTATAAAAAGTACAAGCAGAAAGTAGAGGAACTGGAGAAGGCCGCCATATCTCCATGAGCCAATCACATTCCTCTCTGGGTCCAGGAGCTGCCCTACAAGGAATTTCCTGCCCTCCTGATGGAATTATGGGGGACATGTCACGAAAGCAAATCATGGTGCAGCTCCCTGACAGGCTCGCTTGATTTGCGGCGCAGGACAAGCATATTCTTGATTCACACAACAACCTGATGCCCATGAACAACATTGGGAATGCAGCTTCGAGCTTCGTACCTTCCACCTCTCATGACCTCCATGCTTCTGCTTGGAGGTTGGTGACAGCAATTATCAATCGCAAAGATCGTCTTCTCCACTAGCAGTGTAGCTCTACAAGCTGTGGAATGGTATAATACCTTCTGCTTTACGTGAAACAAGTCCCCTCCAAATATTGGCACCACCTCTTGCACAACAAGGGGTGAGACTTTTCGCACGCCATGGCCCTCCTTGGGGTGAGACTTGATGTGCGCACTATGTCATACCACTCAACCCTCAACCTTGACACAACAACAACAAACCACATGTTCCAAGGGCATATTGATATTGACCACTTGCCACCAAGCAACACCTCCAGACCACCACAGTATACATCAAAAGGTCTGCCAGTCACTCCAAAGGATTATGGGGGGGGGGGGGGGGATGATTCCCCCTTTTCCTTTGGTAAAGTAGCAGCTTGCCAGTCTCGGTCACGCATGCAAGGCGGTTGACTTTTTCCGTACAAACACCAGAGACGGGTTTGCTTGTTTCTACATTCAGGAGGGGGTCCACCAAACCCCCCTCGTAGACCAGAGAAGTGGTGAGTGGTCTTGCTGCGACGAGCAGTGTCCTGACTCGCCTTCGGGATATGAGGGGATCAAGGTTCCCTGACCTACACATGAGACAAGTTGCCATTTTGTTCATGCGCAAGGTGCTCTACTACCACATATGGAGTTGGTCCAAACAACATGCTCGCCAATATCCGCCTGTCGCGCCTTGGGATGAGAGGGGTTGTCATGGTTCCCTGACCTGCAGATGGCCGTCAGCAGGAATTAATACGTGTCATAGTGTAAGGCCCGGGAGCGACCCCCGACGGGGATCCCCCTGGACAGGTTGACGGGACGCAGGAATGAGGCAAGGTATGGGTAGACATCTAAATGTAATAACGGATGTAGAGCTATTACAAGGGTACTAGTTCTACATCAACATAACAATACCGAAAAGTACCCCCGGCGGGAGTCGCATACGGGAGTCGCGTACGGCGCGTCCGACGCGTCACGTGACCGCTATAACAGGATCCCCCTCCTAGATGCGGACTCCGAACGCATCAAGCGTCGGCGTACTCCTGTCGACCGGGCTGCGGTAGATGGGGGTAGCGCTTGTGGAACGCCGTGACGACCTTGTCGTCGTGGTCAAACTCAGCGGGGCTGACCCACTCGTTTGACTCGTCCCTGTACCCTTCGAACCGTACCAGGTATTGGGTCTTCTTCCCGGACCTTCCGGATCGTAACGCCTTCGAGTGTACGATCTCGGAAACAACATACCCCAAGTCGCCGTTGTCGAGGACTTCGGGGGTAGGTGGCTCAACCACCTCTCTTCCTTCCAGTTCGTTGGCCCGATAGGGGATGAGCAACGACACGTGGAACACGGGGTGCACCCGGCGTAATTGCGCGGGGAGTTCCAGCCTCCTCGCCATCTTGCTCTGGCCGATGACCTCCGTGATTCGGAAGGGCCCCAGCGTCTTCATCGAGAGCTTCTGGCTGGGGCGCACCGATGTCAAGTTCTTGGTAGATAACATTACCAAGTCCCCTACGTTGTAACCCTCGTCAGGGACGGCGGTACGCTTCCGATTTGCGTACTTCGCCATGTCTTTTCGCGCCTGTTCCAGCGCCTCCTTCACCGACTTATAGATCCCGTCGAGTCGGTCTCGGTACTCCCCCGCCGACTCCACCGCCTCTTCCCTAGTGCCGGGCACTGGCAGGGAGAAGGTATGTTCCCTTCCCTCGGACGCCATGAATGGCGACATTCCGATGGCAGAGTGCTTCGCGTTGTTGTACGCAAACTCCGCCATGGAGAGTAACTCCGCCCAATCGTCCTGGAGGAAGTTGACGTACGACCGCAAGTACTGCTCCAGAGTGGAGTTACTTCGCTCGGTCTGTCCATCCGTCTCCGGGTGAAACGCCGTGGAGTAACTGTTCTCCACGTTTGCCATGCGGCATAGATCTTTCCAGAATCGCGAGGTGAACAACGTACCTCGATCCGAAATGATCTGCTTCGGGAACCCATGCAAACACACCCATCGGTCAAGGAATAACCGCGCCAAGAATGTGGCGTCGTTATCCTTTCGACAAGCGACGAAGTGCGCTCGCTTGCTGAACCGGTCGACGATCACCAGAATCGAGTTGGACCCCATAGACTCGGGCAGGTCCGTGATGTGATCCCAAGTGATCGATTCGTATGGTCCCGCCGGTACCGGTAGCAGCGCTAGCTCGCCGACAGGCTTCATTCGGGGTCGCCGGTTGCGCTGACATATGCTGCAGCTAGCGACGTACTCCCCGATCCATTTCGCCATCCCAGGCCAGTAGAAGTCCCTACTGGTCAGCTCCACGGTCTTGTCCCGCCCCCAATGGCCGGCGGCCTTCCCGTCATGTAGACGCTTCATCAGCTCTACCTTGATGTTCCCCGCGTTGGGAACATACACCAACCCGTTATACAGGAGAACCCCAGTGGGGCTCAAGCTGTATCGCTCATTCGCCAAGGTCCCCGCCTTGAGCTGCGCTACGAGCTCTTTCGTTACCGGATCGTCCTGCGCCGCCGGTATCAGCGCTTTCACCATCCAATCGCCCAGCGCGGGGATGGTGCCATTCAACCGCAAAGGCGGTTGCATAACCAGACTACACCCTCCAAGGGGTGCGTCTTCGACAGGCCGGAGCAGAGTCTCCGCTCGCTTCGGCTCTGTCTCCTCCATCAACTCTTCCCGACGACTCAGCGCGTCGGCCTTCCCGTTTTCCGTTCCCGGCTTGTACTCCAGGGTGTAGGAGATCTGGTTCAACAGCTGCGACCATCGCGCCTGCCGTTGAGACAGTACCTTGTCCCTCTTGAAGTACTCCAGGTTCTTGTGATCCGTCAGGATCCGAACGGGGTACTTGTTGTCGAGATAATGTCGCCATATCCGACTGCAATAGACGATGGCCAACAGCTCCCTGTCGTGCACATCGTAGTTCCTCTCGGCGGGCGTCAGACTCTTTGACATGAACGCTACCGGGTGGAGCTTCCCATCGTCCCCTACCTGGGACATCACCGCGCCGATCGCCCCAGAGGAGGCGTCGGTCTCGAGCACCACTTGGCGCTCCTCGTTGTAGTGCGCCAATATAGGCGCTTGGGTGAAGGACTCCTTCAATTCCCGAAACGCAGCGTCAGCGGCTGCCGTCCAGGAGTACTTCACCCCTTTCTTCGTCAGGGCCGTCATCCCCTGGATCTTCTTGGAGTAGTTCTGAATGAACCTCCGATAGTAATTTGCAAATCCTAAGAAGGACTGCAGTCCCCGAATGTTCTTCGGGGGAGCCCAGTCCAAAACGGACTTGACCTTGGAGGGGTTCATACTGACCCCCGTCGGGGCAATATCGTACCCCAAGAATTCGGTAGCCACCGTATCGAACTCACACTTCTCCGCTTTCGCATACAGGCCATTTGCCTGCAGCCTCTTCATAACCTCCTTGACCTGACCGTCGTGGGTCTCCTGGTCGGAGGAGTAAATAAGTATGTCGTCGAGATAAACGACGACGCACACATCCAAAAGGTCCTGGAAGACCTCGTTCATCCACCGCTGAAAGGTAGCGGGGGCGTTGGTCAAGCCGAACGGCATGACCAAACATTCGAACAGACCGAAACGTGTAGTAAACGCGGTCTTCCAAACGTCTTCTTCTTTTACGCGTAGCAGGTTGTACGCGCCTCGGAGGTCCATCTTCGTGTAGACCTTCGCGCCCTTCAACCTGTCTAGCCTCTCTGAGATGAGGGGTAGGGGCGTCCTATCCTTCACCGTAATGTCGTTAAGGCGACGGTAATCGATGCACATACGCATCTCGCCGCCTTTCTTCGGTACAAACAGTACCGGGCTCGAGCAGGGCGACTTCGACGGCCTGATGAACCCCTTCTCCAAATTCTCTTTCAACCACTTCTTTAGCTCCTTGCTTTCCCGCTGGGAGTGGTTGTAGAGTTTCTGATACGTCGGCGACGTACCGGGCTTGAGTTCGATCGCATGGTCGATCGATCGCTTCGGGGGCAGTGTATCTGCCTTCGTCTTGGAGAACGCTCCAAGATGTTCATGATACTTCTCCGGTACCATGTCCCTCAGCTTCTCCATATACTCGGGAGGGTCCAGGTCATCCTGGAACGAGTCTGTAGGTTTGACGTCCCAATCCCACAGGTCCGGGCGCCTCGCCCGCTCGTCGTCCTCCCGGGTCATCTGCATTTGTGCGACGACCAAATCCTCCGTGATAGACCCCTTCATCTTCTTGAACGGGTCTATCCCTCGTGTCTCCACCTCTACTTCGTCCGGAGCATACACCGTCTCGGGCCTCTTGAGGCATCCCGTGCTGATGCAGACATCCCCGAACGTCACCGCGTTAGAGTCCCATTGGATATGCGGATTGTGTCTCCGCAGCCAAGGGATACCTAGTACGACCGGGTACCCACTCAAATCGGTGAGGTGGAACTCGGTCAGCTCCAGGTGCACTCCCGTACGTACCAGCGTACGAGCCTTTTGGGTGATCCTTCCTCCCTGGATCTCCCGACCATCGATCACCGTTACTACCCGCGGCGTCTCGAGGTCCGTTACGTCGAATCCATGTAGCGACGCGAATGTCCGATCCATGAACATCCCGGTCGCTCCCGAATCCAACAACATGAGTGCTTGGACCGGCACTCCTTCCGGGTAGAACACTCCTACCAACGTCAGATGGCTATCTGGACCGTTGGGTACTCCGCTTGCACCCAACTGCAAGGGGATCCGGCTACCTCCCTGTGCTCCCCCATTCGGGGTCCTTTGATGATCCGTTATTCTGTAAGGCCCGGGAGCGACCCCCGACGGGGATCCCCCTGAACAGGTTGACGGGACGCAGGAATGAGGCAAGGTATGGGTAGACATCTAAATGTAATAACGGATGTAGAGCTATTACAAGGGTACTAGTTCTACATCAACATAACAATACCGAAAAGTACCCCCGGCGGGAGTCGCATACGGGAGTCGCGTACGGCGCGTCCGACGCGTCACGTGACCGCTATAACACATAGCAACGCGTGCATACGCCGGACTTGAGCCGTACCAACTCCAGCGGAGTTGTTCAAGGAGCATATTGTATTGTATCACTTTCTATTCTTGTTGTGGTATATAGTCTTTCGTCTGTTATTACATCTATATACCCTAGCCCTACGTTCTACATTACTCCCAGATATGTCCTCACAGGTATATGTCGAGCCAGTCTTCCCTGGAGCCTTCTTGACGCCTAACAATACGCAACAATTGACATCTCTGTCTCTCTCATTCTCTTTCTCTTCAACAATAGCCTCCCTCATCGCTCACTGAATCCACCACCCCCATCGCATCGGCCGACGTCTGTCCTGTCTTGGAGTGAGAGGGGGTCATCATGGTTCCTTAACTTGCAGGTTGGGCGGACAGATCAGACAGCCTGGCAATATCGGCCGTGTTTCGAGGTGAGCATGTTGTCAGCGTTATGCTGGACTCTGCTGGCCCCAGTCTCTTGCAGACGGCTTGGTTTACAATTTAACACTGTTGCACTGAGTATTGTCAGGTCGTTTTGCCGGTATTGCTGGCATGACTAGCTCTTGATAAGCGTGCTTCTGCGTCTTCCTGCTTGTTTGTGAATTCGTATCGCCGTCTTGCGAGTACTGCCTGTTCTCATGCCATCTTGCAATCACTGATTGTGGCCGTTCTGGTTGATCTGTGGTTGGGCTTCCTTTTTCCTTGCATCCCAGCAACTCTGGCATTTATGACCAACATTCTAGGAGCAAGATCAAGAGCTACACAGACGGTATCAACAGAGGTGGAGGGCGTCCTCTACACTTCCCAGGGACCTTGTGTCTTTGCGTACAAATCCTCTCACAGAAACTTGTCTCTGTGTACAAATCCTCTACCAGAGATTCGTCTCTGCGTACAAACCCTCCACCAGATACAAGATGTCTCTGCGTATAATTCCTTCTTCAGAGATCCGTCTCTGCGTACTAATCTCAACTTTGTGTCTTTGCAAACAACAATCCAGAAACCTCGTGTCTTTGCGTAAAACCTTGACCAGAGACATCATGTCTTTGCATGAAACTACAACGTTGTCTTATGTTGCAGCGGTCTTTCGGTAGTGTGCGTTCTTGAGATTTCTTGTTGGACTGCATAGAAAAGGATGTCGATTTGTGAAGACTATTGTGAAAGGGATGGTATGATGTGATAGTGTGAAGTGCCAAGAGTCACATGTCAAGTGTACCAAGTGTACCAAGTGTACCAAGTGTAGAGTGCAAAGAGCAGAGTGTGAAGTGCAGAGGGTGAAGTGCAGAGTTTGGAGAGTTCAGCATCAAGGGGAATTGAGGACAGCAGAGTCGACAAACTTGAAATTGACAAGCAACAAGCAAGTCAGTCATATTCCACTTAGTGTACGCTACTATGCCTGTCCCCAGCTGGCTAGATTTTGCAGCAGGGTCTGCCTTTTACGCCCCATAACTTCTTCTGGCCAAAATTAGGTAAGAGGTTGGATCGTTCTGTGTAAGCAATATTCCTCACTGGGTTCATGAAGGCTGACCTTGAATATTTTTCCACTTCAGCCGTCATACAACACGACATGCCCAGGAGCACATTGACCAGTCACCTAGCCAGCTTCAACATCACAAGCTAGCAGTATAAGGGCATTCATGCAAGCTTACCCCAATCCAATGCAAGGGCCAGAATGCCCCCTTGTACCAAGCCAGGTCTCATTTGACATCAATGACACCCACAATAATGCTCCTGACTTCTCCTGGGGGAATTATCCCAGGACCAGAAGTTTATGCCTGTCAGTGAAGAGCACATGAGTGGTATCTCGTCTGAGTTGTACAGCATCTGGGGAACAACTTGTACTTTCTACATAGTCTCACAGTCTGTACCTTGTACATTGCACATTGTACATTGTACTTTGTACTTTGTACAACCACCTCTTATCTTCGTACGTCTAGACCTCTTATTTTTGTACTTCTAGTCTAAACCTGAGTATATTAGGAGACAGCCGAAAGGCGATCAGGGTACAATACTCTGCCTCTTTACTCTTCACTCATCTCGCTGCCTAGTCACAAGAGCCTACCTTAGTGTCTTCCTGCACTACAAAGTCACCTTCACGCACAACAACCTCTGCCAATCCCTTCAAGGCTTAGCTACCCTTGTTGCTTCTTCCACTGAGTATTAGGGAGAGTAAGATACTTTTTTATTGATGGATAAGTGTTGAGACGACTGCAAGAGCCGCATGAATTAGCTGTGAGACACCTAACTTTCCCTCAAAAGAAAGCTTGGTCCATCACATGAGTTAGTTATGGTAGAGGTACTTGCTAGTAGGAAAGGCTGGTCATCAAGGGAGAGATCGCCTACCCAAACAAGTTGACATGCTCCCTTCTTCTGCCATTGTCAGCTTGGGCAGAATGTGTTGTAGGCATCCGCGGCTGGCAAGGCTTATATTATAGAATGACAGCCTTACCATACACCCAATCGCTCCAGTACCTTAAAATGGCCAACATCCTATTCTTGTGCGATAGATCAGCATATACGATCGAAAGATCTTTAAAGCGCTGGTGCAGGTGTCAACCCATGCAAACTGTTGCACAACCAACATCCTTGCCATTTCTCCATACACTACCTTGGCCAAGCATCAAACTTGAGCTCTAGAAAAACTCAGCAATACCTTACACCATGATCCAAGAAGGAGGATGTGAAGGTCAAGGGGAGGTACAAGCAATGCATGAGATGTACAACTTCAAAACTAAAACTAAAGTTCAAGGCAAAACAAGCATAGATTACTGCTCTGAGACTTAGTTCTTGCTTCACTCTGTGTTGGATTGAACTTCTACTTCCTTTCCATTGTTTGAAACATATACGTCTACTATTATAGCCATACCAAAGAGCTCAATTGACCCTGGTTGAAGCCGTCTGGGCTCTCATAAAGAATCCCAAGAGCAGTGAAAATGTCCAACATCCTATTGTTCAAAAGCTACACTGTTATGTGTACCAAGGTAAAACAAACACCTACTAGGCTTAAATGTTGAAATCTGGCTCTATCAAAGTCTAAGGACAGTATTCAAGACCCCCAACAAGGAGTCGCAGGCCACTTTTTCACATGAGGGGATGAGCTTGAATCCTTCTCCCCTTAAAACCAGAATGACATACCCCATTGCACAATTCTGTTCCAACACCTTCAAAGACATCAGGACGCAATAATCATTCCATGATGAGCCAACTGAGATGGTCCAGGAGAGAGAGGGATGACCATTAGGTGGATGTGAGATCGGATTGAGGAATAGCATCAATCTAGCAACGAATATCTCTTGGGATGGACTCAACGATGGGGTTGCTCAGTAGGTGAGGCGTTTTTCTTGCATTTCCATGGTATGATTTATCCGGTCCGATCATTTTGACGAACAATGGATTCCCAGAAGTTGAGACACAGAAATGTCCAAGTTGAGTTGTCAGCAGAACCAAGCTCACCGCATACTGCGACCAAGATGGACCAGCTGAAAAGCTGAGAAGCACGTTCAAACATCGACCGGCAGGATGGAGTGAAACGATGGCAGCATTTCCCCCGTTAATGCATAATGCCATTTCATAGTGATCTCCGTCATCGTTTATGATACAAGCGGTACCAACAAGCCCTCTAGAGCTGACCGCAAATCCCTGTCCCATATTTCCCTAATATCAAAGCCGCCAGCGCGTACTCGGGACCAAGTTTCGTGTGCTTTGAGCTGTCTATCGATATAGTCGATATCCCTGTAACGCGGTGAATCGACTCCCTCGGACGAAAGTGTGCCCATTTCCGGTAACGTGGGTATCGCCGACAAGTCTGGTCGCAAGTGTCGCTCGGCTGGTGAGGGGAAATAGGAGAATGGCAGCGGCACAAACGGTCCAGCATACGATGGCGATGTTGGGGCATGTTGAACCGTGTCGACCTGTGTTCCGCTCCGAGCAGCTTTCTTCCGAAGTCGATGATTAGCTGCGCTCTGTTCTTCTGCGCCGGCTCTGAGCTTTTCCATCTCCTTGTAATACTCCGTGCCGGTCTCGCCCCGAGCTATACTCTCGAACGCTTGTTGTTTCAGCGTCTCCATCCGGCGGAGCAGGTCCTCCTCCTCTTCTTGGGCTTGCTTGGCTGCCAACTGTCTCTCCTTTCTTGCGGCTTCCTCTCGCGCCATCGCAGAGGTCCGATCCGAAGCCTGCCGAGCAGCCTTTTGTGCAATGAAATCGGCGTTCTGCTCCTGATATTCCAGAATACGCCGTTCCGTCTCGGCTAGTTCCGTATTGTTGATTAGATGAGCCGCTGCAGGAGTAGAATTTCGTCAGCGGATTTTAAATCTCTTCAATGGATACACGCAGAAGACCCACTCAAATCTTCTACCAGCTCGAGATAATCATCGTATTCCGCGTCTTTTGCGAAATCGTCGCTTGTCTTGTTGAATCTAATAAGGCCATATACATCAGCCTGAACTCCACTCAACCTCGATGCTAAACGCAATCGTACATGCTTGCCATTCTCCTTCGGATCCCTACTTCCCTCTCGACTTCCAGATCTTCGAACGTTTGATGAGTAAAGTTGGTCTTGCGCAAGATTCGACTGCATCCCGAAGCAGGACAAGTCTGCGCTGAGACGGAGAAGAGTCGGTCTATACATGTTTCGCAGCTGGCGGCAGTGAATTTAGTACGAGCGATGTTAGCAACAGCACCTATGAGCCGGCCACGAATTGATAACAAGACATACGCTTTATGATAGCAAGGACTAATAAGTAGTCTCAGGGACGGTTTCGAGTAGCGATCCGTCTTGCAGATCGGACAGATGTCGTTCTCAGACTGAGCAAAGGGAAGCCGAGGTGAACATTGCCGGTTAACAAATGATCAACGTCCAACCTCGGGTTTCAGATATGGCTTACAGTGAATTCTTTGACTCGCCCACTTTCGTCCTTGATTCCAGTCTGAAATATCTGCATCTCATCGGCGAACGATCCATCGTTCAGAGCTCTAGGAATTCCTGGCTGCAAGCTCTTCCCATTACCGGTGGCCGGGAGGAGCCGGCGTGCACCTGCAGCAGACGATGAAGCAGCGGCCGCATTGCCCTTGAGTTTCTTCTTCAAGGAGGCAGACATGACCGATGGTCCAGCAGGTCGATGCGATGCTTGCTTTGAACCGAGTATACGGACTCGACGTTTCAAGACGAATCGCAGCGCACTGCCACCAACTATCTTATAGCTCGGTGTTCGACTTTGTGTGTGGCCTTTCTGTCATGCCCATCCGATTACCGAAGATTCCTCAGTACGTCTCTCCCAAGTGGCTTGTCGTCCTGTGTGGTGTTTGAAAGGCGGTGTCGGTTGTCGAAGTCGAGGTTTGTAAGAGATGATGTCTTCGTAGTTCGAGGAGACATGCTGCTACCTGGGGAAAGTGGAGGTCGAGATGATCGGCGGAGAGCGAGAATCGCTCAGCCCTCGAGCTACTTAGTCCTCCAGAACTCTCTTCGATCTCTTCAGGCTAAACTTGAGTAAACTGTCTATAATGCAAGTAACCGATCGGTCATAGTCTTACAACTCGGTAGAGCATCATCCACACCATGTCTGTCATAAGACCGTTCCAAGCGACCGACCTACTCCGCATCAACAACGTCAATATCGATGCCTGGACCGAAACTGTGAGTCCTGCACCATAACCTGAAACTTGACCTGTCTTCATACAGAGCCGGCATTGATAGACCGAGACCTTCTTCAGTACCGAGCCTCTTTCTACTTGGAGTACTGTGCGACATGGCCCGACTTTTCGTGTGTCGTCACGGACGCTGAGGAAGACAAGATAACAGCATACGGTGAGCTGACCCTGAGGATGAGCTCGAGAGAATACGACTGATCTTCTTATGTCCCCCTTCTAAAATCAGTTATTGGCAAACACGAACCACCAGAACCTCATCCAGAACATCACGGACACGTCACCGCATTATCCATCTCACCTCGATACCGTTCGTTAGGCCTAGCGAGGAAGCTCATGAATTTTTTGGAGACAAGATCAGGTCCTCAGGGGTGGGACACCTGGTTCTTGGACCTCTTTGTCCGATGTAACAACCATCGCGCAATAGCGATGTACGAGGCTATGGGTTATAGCGTCTATCGGCGGGTCGTCGAGTGAGTCTCTCCAGGCCGGACTGCGTAGGCGCTTGACTGACGAATCCTGCGCTCTAGCTACTATAACGGGATGGAAGGGTTAGGCAAAGACCCCGGACCCGACGAGGTCGACGGCTTCGATATGCGCAAGAGCATGACTCGGGATGTGGCAAGTCCCCAAACCGATTCGCATGTGTTCAAGGCTTGTTGCTGATTGAACGATTCTGATGCTCCCGCGCAGGACCACAAACACATCCGTGCGAACGGTAGAGAGTGCCGTGTAACGCCCCGGGAGATATATCAGTGACCCGTTTGTACTGTTAAGGACGAGCTGGATATATCGATCTATAATCCGGTTCCTTCGCCCAACCCCGGTGGGCAAGAAGAAGACGCCCCCTTCAGTTCATGCCCGGAAGACGATTTCTCTGGTCCGTATCCTGAAGCAGATTCCTTCAGTCTTTGCTCTGAAGCCGACTCCCAAGCATGGATTGACCTGACTAGGCTTGCCGTTTGCAAGCGTGAACTTACCTGTAGTAAGTGGGGCTTCAACAGCCAGTGTCCATTTGGGCCACTGAGCGTGTTGGCCAGGCAGTCATCCTCCTTTACGTGAAACGCAGATCGGGTCCTCTCTCCTGCATGTCCTTGATACTGCATAGCGTCCCCAAACCAGGAAATACACTTCAGGTTGCAGTTCTCATTTCCTCATCCAGCAAATAATTGGAGAATCGATCCGGGCAAGTCAAATCCGGTCATTTGACCCTCAGTCTGATCGGCTCTGTGTATTGACGGCAACAATGGGGACTTTGAGGCGGATTCAAGTGTAATCACGGCACTACTACTGTGTCAAATATCTGGATGATTGGTCTCTCTCTGGTCAGCTTGCCTCTGGCAATCAGAAATTTGCCAAGAGCGCTAGTTGGTACTCAACTAGTGTCAAAGAAGATTTGTTCCAATATATCAGGGAAGGTGATACAGGCAAAGCAATCAAGCTGTTCAAACAGTGGCAGTAAACACAGTGGCACAGAGCTCATCCCCACCTCTCGTGAGTCCTCCAAAGCTGGTGAACTAGTGGTTGAAACTGACAGCTCCAGAAGTATCCCCAATTAGATCAATCACGGCATTCTTTCATTACTTCTTTTGTTACTCCAAAATCACCATTTTCCTCATCTTTCTTGGACTCTGGTCCTGGGCTTTCAGGCAGATCAAAGAGAGGTCAGGGAACATGGTTTATCGTAACTCATGAGTTGGTGTTATATCATATGGGCCTGTTGTTATGTTGACTGATTGGCGGGATGTGGCTTCTCTGGTCTTTGCATTCCAAGTCTATTTCTTTATCTTGATCCAATTGGCTGCAGTTTCCTGGTGTGATATCCAGGGGTCTGACGAGATCAGTAGTACAGTGATAGATACTTTGCCCTTGTCCTTGGTGATGGGGATGAATGGAAAGGAGGTGGTGGAATTCTTTACGGCAAAGTCGTGACCGAGTGCGGCTTGTCGGTGATATCATCACGCTGTTTTCGATCTAATGGTTGATTCTTAACGAGCGACTACATGCGTACGCCGTTTCAACAACCTGGACAATGATCAGTAGCTCAGTAGACTCGAGCTACAAACATGCTTCGAAATCCATTTCCAAGGTGAGGCACAATTTGCCCCTTCACTCCGACAACTTCAAGCATAATCTTTGGGGTTTTCAGATACCGGAAGACCTTGCTACCATTACGCCGAATCTTCTGCACGTTAGCTTGTTCATCTCACTGGATGTCATAGAGATCACTTTAGGATACTATCAAAACATTCCGACGCCAGACACTCGACCACGTCCTCGAACGCCTGTGAGGTCCCTGCCAATGGCGACCCTTTCGCCTTTGCAAACACAATCGCGACGTACAAATATCTGGTTCAGGCACCCTAGTCATTATACTTCCCAAAGCAGGTGAGAACCCGCCGGGGCATGTGAAACCGCGAGTTATGTTTGCAAGCCATAAATAAATATGATTCCACATCCTCACAAAGTTGCCTAGGGGTATCAGTTGCTAGTTGCTAGTAGCTAGTCGACAAGGTTTCTAATCTTGTTTTCCATCGGTAAAGCCGCATAGCATCGCGGGCGATCACTCGGATACGAAATAAGCCAAAGCGATAATCAGGTAGAGAGCGATCACTGTGGAGACAAAGCCGGATAATGAATCAGCTAGGGCGGACATGCGATACAGAGGTTGCTGGCAAGACGTACAGAGAACACCCTCGATGTAGTTGGTCCTACCATCCTGGAGGAGGATGTTGACCAGCATGACTGAAAACAACGACAATCGCTTGAGCTTCCCGCACTTTCGCTCTACTCGAACGAGATGTCCTTACCAGAGACGAAAAGCATGATCGTCTGATATTTAGGGCATCGTTCCGGTTAGCCACGATCGCTGACATCTTTGCGAAGCCCCTCTAGACTCACCTCGAAATCGGCAAAGTAGAGGGTCAGGTTCTTGCCCAAAGGCCAGGCGGCCAATACCAAGATGGGGATCATCCCAGCGGCGATCTGGATCGAGGACCCTACGCTGACACCGATCGTAATCTCCATCTTGCCCTTCATGGCCATCCTACGTGTGTCGCGAGGGGTTCGTCAGCGAAGTCGAGATTGATGCGACTAACGGCCATGCTTACCAGACTGAGGTGACGTGTTCGGCTGAAGAGGCAAGCGTTTAGCGATGTCAACTGCAGGTACTCTAAGCGGCAACGAATGAAATATGTCGACTTACCGGCATTTCCGACGATGGGCAATAAGATGAGACCGATAAAGCTGTGCATCGAATCCCATTCGACGTCAGCGATCTGCAAACCCTGCCTTCGCGGAAGAAAAGGCCATCTCGCCCACAACTCACGCCTTGGGAAGGTTCCACTGAGCGGCAGTCTCATCGATACTGGCGACCAAGACGTCGGCACAGACGGCCGTAGCCACAGTAACAATTGCCAACCAGCCGAATGCCGAGTAGGCGTCCATCTCTGGCTTTTCCTCCTCTTCGACCTCGCCGTTCTCGTTAGTCCGAGCGGCTTGAGCGTCGGCTTCGAACAACGAGGCGTGGGATTTGAGCTGTCGGATCGCATCAAAGCGGGGTCAGCATTGCGGGACGATCAGAGAGCAAATCGGCTGCCTAGATCACGCACCTGGAAGTAGAGGTAGAACATGTAAACTCCTAGCAAGATGATCGCGGTCCCCCTGCTCAGGACGAGCAGTCCCTTCAAGGTCCCGTCGTGAGGAGCGGGAGCGTTACCGTTATCGGGGCTCGAGCCGAGGAGGAGGTCCTTGGGCGACGGATGGGCGCCACCGTCACGGGGCGATCGAGCGTAGGTCGAGTGGTCTGGCAGCAGAGAAGATGGCGAAGGAGTTTCAGCATCAGCAATCCCTCTGCGTGACAAATCAACGGATGAAACTAAAGGACCTACAGGCAGCGGGGATGACGAGTCCGACACAAGCGAGCGTCATGATCCCCGAAGAAGTCTGCGCAGCGGTCATCCGGAAGGTCGACTCCTTATAAACCGTCCCTGCCGCAGCGAAAGAACAACCCAGGACGAGCAAAATGTTGGAAAGGATGCTTCCCAGCATGGACGTCTGGACTAATCGGAGCTGGTCTTGTTGCAAGGCGACGATACCGACCAAGAGTTCGACGGCGTTACCAAAGGTCGCGTTCAAGAGGGCCGAGACGCTTTGAGACAAGCTCATGCTGAGTTGTTCGGTGGCATCTCCCAGTAACTGAGAGTTTCGATCGACGGGAAAGGGTGAAGAGCGATAAAGGACCGCGGAAATACGATGAATCGACAGTCAGCGAATGTCTTTATATAACGATCTCTGGCGACGCAACGACTCACGGCAGCGAGCGGGATGATGCTCAAGAACGAGATGACGAATTTGACGGTAGCGGGCCAGTTGACAAACTTGGCTGCTCGATAAACCGTTTCGAGAGGCCGTCATCGAAAAGAGAGAAGAGAGAGAGAGGAAACAGTTTTACTTTTCAGACACACGTGCTTCACCAGCAAACGAAATCGATGCCCACCCCGACTACTCACCTGCGATAGTGACGGGAACGGTGACGAGGAGCACGTTGAGCCAACCGTTCGTCAAGAGGAACCAGGACGACTTTAGGGGACGAAACGTCTTTGCCGGGTGATCGAGACCGCCGTCGCTCTGAGAGCGCCCCAAGAGGGGAGAGTTTTCGTTGGCGGGCATTCGATTCTGTTCTGTTCGATGTGTGTTATGGGTTTTACTGTGGGTCGTCGAGTGCAGTTGTGCGAGTGTGGCTAAACTCTACTGCGGATTAAGAAGAGGACGATGATGCTGCGGATGTCGAGGATTGCAGGATGATGGGATTTACCTTTCGGGGAGATCGGAAGGAGGGAGGTTGGTCGATGACGCGCATCAGCAAGGGAAGCGACGCGCATCAGCAAGGGAAGCGACGCGTATCTGTGTCAGGCTAGAGGGTGCGGCTGCAGGGGAAATGACGAATCAGGGCCCGATCGTCAGTTCTAGCTAGCTAAAAGATAGATGGTTGCGGAAGCGAATTTGCAATGGTATAGCCCATCGGACCAGCCATCTCACAAAATCTGCGGAATTCACCGAAATCCCCGACAATCTGGGGTGATCTCGAGTTCTATTCCGCTACTATGCCGTAAAACTATCTGCAACAATCTGTGCTAGCAAATATTCTAGCCCCTACTGAGCCGCTTTTTTGACGCACGTGGCGGAGAGCGGTCGACGGTCGACTGCAGACTGCCGAATTCTGCAGAATTCGGCACCGACCTGATCAACTCCAGATACTATGTTGTACTACTGTCTATGATGATCCCTATGCCGAATTTGAATCGTTGAGCGGATCATCAACCATGTCTGAATACCATCACCATCACCATCCCCATCAGCAGCAGCAGCAGCAACAGCAACAACATGTGCAACGGGATTGGAGTCAGCACGAGAGGGAGTACTACGCCTCTCTGTCTGATCTGAGGACGTTTCAGCAACCTCTCCCTCATCCGAATCATCACCACGGCCAGTATCCGTACCCTTCACCAATCGGCGAAGGTCCTCGAGGTTACCTCGCAGGCCCTGCAGGCACCTTGGTGGCTCCAAGCACCCAAGGACACCCGCAGACTGCCGAATTCGGCGGAACTCGGGACATGAGTCCATTGGACTCTCCCCTCTTGACTTCGATCAACGCTTTACCTAGCCTGCCCGCCGCTCCTGCTATCCCTCCGGCCCAGGCTGCAACTCCTACCTCTGCTCCTGGCAACCCTCCTGCCAACCAGAACGTTTGCTGGTATGAGTGGATGGAGGATCTCCTTGCCGACCTCCTTGTTGCGGAGGTGAAGGTCACACGCAACAAGGTCACCATGGGCATGCCCGTATTCTCCAAGATTGCCAACCTGATCAATGAAGCGATGGACGCTCGAACCGACCCCACGCCCAATGGGAGATTGGATGGTATCAAGGTTAAGAACAAGACAGGAATCTTGACGGCAGAATTTTACAAGCCTCTCGAGCGGATGAGGAAGAGGTCGGGCTGGGGTTGGGATCACCAGCTGCATCGTCCCCTTGTTGATGACGAGGCGTTCGAAGACTACGTCAAGCACTGGGTGAGCTGAAGATCGCAGCCGAATTCTGCAGAATTCGTCAACACAAGCTGATCCCGTTCAAACATCGTCACACAGATCGGGACCCCAACCGTGTCTCAAATCAGATGTCTGCGAGACAATGGATGGCGGCTCTACCCCAAGTGGAAGATCATCCGTGAAGGTCATGGAGCTACGGGTGATTTTGCCTTCCGGGGTGGAGCTCCGATCCCTTCCCAACCCGAACCTCCTGCCGGTGCGCGCGCAGCGCGGGTGCTTATAGTCATCATCACCTTCCCCATCATCACTTGTACCTATGTAGCATGTCATTCATCTCTGCTGTTCAGCTTCCTGCCTTCCTCTTCATGGTGAAGACGATGCGATTCTGAGCGAGCAGAGAGGTACGTTCCATTCTTAGTCCGACGACGATACGACGATTTCTGACGAATACGACGAAACGGGAAATTTTCACGACGACACACGACGACGACGTAGACTTTCGCCACCATCCCGATCCGGTAAACCGCACATCCGTATAACTTATACACCCATCGCCGGGACACTGGATGCAACCTAGCACCGCTGGACCACTTGAGCGAGCCAGAAATCGAATCGATCTACGCGAACTCCCAGGAGCGACGACGGTCCATCTCAACGAGCTTTTCGAAGTCATCAAAGTTCGATCTACCCCTATCGCCCCTCAACCACCCGTCCCTGATCAACCACCTGCCGCACCGCTCCGCCGAGAGAGAAGGTTCCACATCATGCCCAACGCTACGAACATCAACATCCCTCCATTCGGGGGCGAGGACTTCGCTAGTTGGCTCAAGTCCTTCCAAACCGCGATGTTGATGATGGATTACGAGGACAACGCAGCCAAACAAGCTAAGTTCTTCGCTATCAGCTTGGTAGACGGATCGGTAGCTGCGCAGTGGTACCAAGGGCTCGACGACAACACAAAGGCGGACTGGAACCTGATCTTGGCCGCCCTTCGAATCAAATTCGGCCAGTCCGCAGACGACCGTCACGCTGCGTTTCGAGAGCTCGTCAGTCTGAAGTTGCCGGACGAAGACGTGGGGAAGACCAACTCGGAGGAAGTTCAGAAGCAGGGAGTATGGGCCAGGAAGGTAGCGGTGTTGGCCACAAGGGCAGGACCGGACGAATTCAACAACAACGCGTTCTTGGTCTTCAATAACGTGGGCCCGCAGCTCCAGTCTATCCTCGTCAGCGGAGGTGCTACCGAAACCGTGAAAGCGATTACGACGAAGGTCGAGACAATGAGCCCGGCGGAGATCGAGACGCTTCAGCGAACGGTGAAAAAGGAACAAGACGCTACCGAATGGGCGAAACGACTAGCCGCGATCGAGGGACAGATGAGAGAATCGAATCAGAGACCCCTAGCCCAACAACCGTCGTGGAACTCGTCAGCCAACGCAACCAGCAAGGAGTCCGAAAAGAGCAACTGGAGGAGCCGACAGGACAGAGAAAACGCGCCTCCCATCGAGCTAGGACCGTTCCCATCGACTCAAAGCGGAGTCGAAGCCTACAAGAGGGCGGTCAGCGCATTCTACTCCAAGCACGGGATGAACAGCACGTCGAGTCTGAGCAAACCGTTCCCGCTTTCCCCTGGCACCGTGCCGGCCGGTAACAACGAATGTTTCAACTGCGGGAAGACCGATCATCTGAGGACGAACTGTAGGGCACCGGCGGCTCTGCCTTTGAACGAACAGAGGTATCGAGGACTCGTGATGCAGCAAAGGCGAGCGGAAGCTCAACAAGGTCTCGGCACCGGTTCGAACCTTCAACAACCCCTACGAGCGCTCGGGTACCAATCCCCCTACATGTTCAACGAGCACGACTACCTCTTCTCCCACTTACAACATCTTCCCATCACCCCCGATCACTCGCCCATGTCCTTGCCTTCCGAATTGTACGGTTCGGAAAATGGCCAGGACTCCGACCAGTAGCGGATGGGCGGAGTCGACAAGATCCGCTGAGGGGAGGATGGAGAAGGTGGGGGAAGGCAGGAGACGGTAAGGAGACGGAACAGACGAGGAGCAAAGGGGGTAGAGAAGGTAGGACCGAGTCGGAGACGAGAAAGGAAGCATCAAACCACGACAGAACGGACGGAGACAAATCCCAAGGGACTGACGAACCCGGGTCATCGCTACAACTGACATTTGAAAAGGCGATGCCTGCTAGTCAAGGGGGGGAAACCCCCCTACCAAATACTCCGGTGAGCAATAGCCCACGCTCATCGAGTAGAAAGAACGTTGATACCGCTGTCGATGACCTCCCAGTTATCAACTTGTGGGAGATCGGCGTCAACGAGAAAGCCAACGACAAACCATTCATCCTGGAAACGAAACTCGCCGGGGTACCAGCCGAGGCCACGACCGACAGCGGTGCGTGCGTCAATGCGTTGGACCTCCGATTCTACAGAGAACACGCAGAGGAGCTCGGCCCGCTGCAACCACCGGACTTCTCCATTACGGTAGCGGACGGGCGGAAGTTGGTCCCCGAGGGAGCCATTTCGCTGATCTTAGAGCTGCCGCACGAGAAAGGATCGTACAGCGGCCCGGTACGCTTACAGGTACTCGACACGAGCGACAGCTGGACGATGTTGTTAGGAAAGCCATGGCTGAGACAGGTCCAGGCAATCGTGGACTACGGAAAAGAAGAAATCGCCATCGGGTCCCGGAATTGGACGAACTTGCACTGCAGCTACTTCAGCGAGAACGTACGAAGCTTGCGGTCGATGGGCGGGGAGGTCCTGTTATCAGGTAACGAAGGTTTCACGGAGCAGCCGGAGGTCTTGGACAAAGGCCCAGCCGGCCCAGATCGAGCGGCGTTCATCGTCTCGAAGATCACGCTTGGGTTAGACCTGAGCGAGGAGCAAAAGACGGCAATCAGAGACCTCATCGTCGAATACAACGATATCTTCGCACTCGACATGTCGGATATCAGGCCGTGCCCACACACCACTCATTCGTTAAACATCGACGGGGGACTACCCCTCGCGAAGAAGAACTTCGGAAGGCCTTTGACGCAGCCCGAACTTGAGGGTGCGAAAGCGCAAGTAGACGTACTCATCAAAGCCGGAATTATCGAATCGACGACGCCGGAAGAGGTTAAGTGCTGCTCACCTACGGTGATGGCTACAAAGAAGGGGATGGGGAAGGAGATCTCGGAAGGGGAATTAGAGAGTCTAGCGGAGGAGGCGTTAGCGGACTCCGCGAGGATGACGAGGAAATGGCAAATCGGGACACCCCCGTGCACCGGGCTAGAATTACCGGTGCCCGCTAGGGATGGGGGGCTGACACCCCCCACCCGTCTAAATGTCAGTCACTCACGATCGCGATCTGAATCAAGGGCGGATGCTGCTGATGAAAGAACTTCTGAACGCAAGCATGAGAAAGAGCCCAAACCGAAGATCAAATACCGCCTCTGCCACAACTTCACGCAGTTAAATCGTGCCACCCAAGTTCTCCCATTCCCGCCGGGTGATTTAGAGACCAAAATCCTCAAACATTGCGGGAAGCGATGGGTGTGTCAAATGGATGCGATCGGGGCGTTTTACTGGATCCCGGTATCGCCCGAGTCTCAACCCTACCTATGCTTTCACATTCCCGGCCTAGGATACTACCGTTACGTAAGGCTACCCATGGGACCAACCGGGTCACCAGGTACCTATCAAATAGCCGTACGACGCACCCACGGCAAGTTGCTCGACCCAGGTCCCGTATCGGACTGGATGGACGACTTGTTCACGAGCGGGGACGAGTTCCTACCACTATTCGAGACGGTAAAAGCGATATTCGAGAACTGCAAGCGCGACAACATGATGCTCAGTCCGGAGAAAACGAAGCTGTTCATGACATCGGCGTGCCTCGGTGGCACAGACGTGTCTCCTTCAGGGGCTCAACCGAGTCGTGCCAAAGTCGCCGCGCTCTTGAAGTGGCCCCGACCGAAAAACGCCCGCGAGGTTCTGAGCTTCGTCAATACGGCGGCTGTTTTTCGCAACTCGATCGCCAACTTTGCGGAGATCGCTCAGCCTTTGTACTCGCTAACGCAAGGCATCGACGTGAATAGGTCGGAGAGGAAAGGAGCATACAAGAGGGCACTGGACCTAGCCGACGTATCGGAACGATGGGGACCGGTAGAGGAGGAGGCGTTCCTCCGATTGAAGACCTGTCTGACGAACTTCCCGGTCGTTTCGGGACCCCGATACGATGGGAGACCGTTCTATATCGCCACAGACGCAAGTGCGATAGGTCTCGGGGCTCATCTTTACCAGCTAACCGATTCAGAAGAAGCATTTACGATATGCTACGCATCACGAGCTACCTCAGCGGCCGAGAAGAAGCTCCACAGCTCAGAGCTCGAACTTCTCGCCGTAAAGTGGTCACTCGACAAATTAGCCAAATACGTATACGGACAAAAAATCGTATTGGCTACGGATTGTCAAGCGGTAAAGGATATGCTCAAGAACCAATGCTTGACGGGTGCGCGGGCTGCATGGAAGGAGGCGATTCTCGGAGCCAGAATCATAGAACTCCAGCATCGCCCGGGGAGAGAAAACGTGATCGCGGACACCCTATCGAGGTCATGGAGGGGTGTTAGGTTGCCAGCAACCTGTGTGTTCTCCGGGACTTGCGTAGAGTAGTAGGTAGATAAATGAGTGTGATAGCAGATGAATTACATATTACAATAGTGATCGTAGTAGTTAGACATTACCTATTGTATCATATAAGTACCTGCTCCGCCGGAGTTGCTGGCGGAACACCCGTTCGGATGTACGTGATAGTCGCACCGCGGATGGCTATAACAGGATCCCCCCGTTAGGACGAGATTCCAGATCGTCTCGTGTCGTGTTTCACCGTACGTATGGTTCACCTCGTTCCGATAGGTAACCACCTGGCGGCGTCAACTAGTGTTCTTTTGTTCGCTACGTTTCGAGCGTCGCTCGCCAGCACCTTTGTGTACCCGTACCGTCAATCCGTTTCATCTTAAAACGATTGCGTGGGCATCCTTCTTTCGTTTGTTCCGAGTAGTGTTTCAGCGTAGCTCGCCAGCCCTAATGCTTCCGTACGGTCGATCCGCCCTGTTCCTTCGAGTAATCGCTTGGCTAGCCTTTGTTCGTGTTTCCTAACTCGCCATTGTGTACCGCTTTGAGGTAACTCTTCATGACGTAGCGTTGTTTCAAATATTGTTGCGATTGTTCTCTAACCGAGTGTATGTTTCTCACGCGTCGAGAGTCTCCGGGGCGACGCGTATTCTTTTGTTCCGAAAGAGTAAACAAAGACGTCATCAAAGGGTCCTTTGAATACCTTATTTGTCGATAACCAAGTTTTTCGACGTTACTAAGTAACGCCCAACCTCCTATTGTCGGGAGGCCTGTCGACCATGTTCTCTATTGTCTTCCTGTTCGTGATGGCTACTCGAACGAGGGGTATATAGCAGCTGAGTAGGGAGTGGTGCTTCGATTCCCCCTTGCGTGTTTGCTAACTCCAATTCGAACTCGTTTCTTCACTCGTCCGCAACTTTTACCTTCTCCGTACACTTCTACTCTCTCTCTATCGCTCAACATGTCCGCTCAAGGTACTCCCTCCAAGAAGGCCGAGCCCTTCGAGCAACTTCAGCCGAAGGGGTGGCGGTACCTCAAGAAGATGTCCGCCGCGACTAGTGAGTGGGGTTTCCGTTGCGGTCTTGAAATTGGAACGGCGTATTGATATGTCCGTACGGACTGCGATAGAGTCGACTCTCATTCAGGCCGAGAAGGTCAAGCCCAAGGTCGTCGACGTCGATCCGGAGGAGTTGGACCTCGCCTTTAGGCGAAACCAAGTTACTACGGTCAACGCGTTGGTCGTGAGTTATTCCGATTTGCAGTTCCGCCGGAGTTCTCCTTTGACACGTCCGTATCCTTCTTCTCTAGGCCCAATGCCAGGGGGGTTGGAAGTTCGCCTGCCAACCCTGCTTCGAATTGGCGACTACCGGGAACCACCGCGCCCGAGTCGACGGCGAATGGGTCGACTGCATTCGTGTCAGCCAAACGTGGTTGTGCAGGCACGTCCTCGCTACTCCGGGAGAGACCTCCCGCGCTTCCTCCTGCTACTTGTGCAGGGTCAATGCAGGCCGTCCCTGCACCCCCATGAACCCCGGCGTCGTCACGGCTTTCCGACACGATATCGGAGTTCGACACAGGGTTCGCGCCGGGTTGCTGTACATCCAGGATCCTGCGGTGTCGCAAAGGAGTGTCGGTATGGTTGCCCGCGAGGTGGCCCGTTTGCAAGAGAGGATGGCGAGTACCCCCCTTATCTCTTTTCTATTTTCTTCTCCGATAACCTTCTCCGTATTCTTCCCCGAGGGAGCTAATATCCTGCTTGTGTTCTTGTCTTCTTCGTATCGTAGCTCTTCCCTCATATCCCCGCTCCTTCCGTCTTCCACGTGGAGCACGAACTCACCGCTCGGTTGGCCGCCCAACACGCTCCGAACGCCGTCCCCGCCGGCTTGGTCGCCACCGACGTCAACGTCGACCTCGACATCGCCGGTTCCGATGTCGTTACTCCCGGTTCGCCTGCGCCTACCATCGTCGAGGGAGAGGACGTGGAGGACCTCGATCTTGAGGACGACCGTTCGGACGACGAGGATACCAGCATGGGGGACGGGAGCGACAGCGAGTCGTCGAGCTCGTCCGGATCCTCGACTTCGGGGTCTTCTTCTTCGGAATCTGGTTCGGGATCTGGTTCGGGGTCTGGTTCGGGATCGGGTTCGGGTTCGGGCGGGGAGTAATTGGCTGGGTGATTTTCTTTTTGTACGGTCGTCTCTTGTAGCCGAGTACATTTGTACTCGGGATAATAAATTTCTATGCCGCTCGGAAGTTCTTGAATCGTTCTCCGCCGGAGTTGTTTTTGGATATTGTCGTTCTCTCTTTCGCTGACAATAGTTTGAGGTAATTGCAAAACGTTATTGCGTGTAGTCGTGTTGTACGTGTGGGTGCAGAGGTTTTGCTCGGTAGTAGCAGTGAATGGTGAATAAAAATAAAAACATCAAGGGACCTGCCCTTGGTAAATACATGATCGTCGCGCACAAGAACCCTTACGTAGACCAAACTCGATAACCTGCTCCCTCGTTGGCGGCGTGGTCCCTGTCAAACTGCTCATCCGTCGGAGCAGTGCTGGGAGAGTAGGTAGCTGCAACGCGAAGGTCTCGTTGCTTCTTCATCCGGTCCACGTACCACTGCGGCTTGGGCACCAACGCAGGGTTTGTACACTCCCGAATAACGTGTCCCTTCTGGAAACAGTTATAACAGGTGACATCCCTGTACTTGGCCGCATCTACCTCCATGGGGACAGCTCCCGAAGCGGATGCCACAGGGGCTTGTACGGGAGCGGCGACTGGCACTACCGCAGGAGCGGTGTATCGAGGGGTGTAAGTGTTGTTTCGCGATGTGGTGTTACGATGTTGTGTTTGAGTATGTCCAACCTTCTCCTCGTACTTTGCGCACTCCGTCTGGAACTCGTAGAGGGTGCACTTCTCCTGGTTGGGGATAGGGACGATGGCATCCCTCCACGCCTGATTCAAGTGTGCTCGGAAAAGGAGTTTCCTGCAGAAGTCGTTCAACTCCGGAATGAGGTTGGCCATAGCGTTGAACTTGGTAATGTACTCGGAGATCGACAGATTCCCCTGTCGGAAATCGGCGATCTCCCTCTCAGTTGCGGCTCTCCTTACCGCAACTCCAAAACGAGCCAACAACCCGGCTTCAAACTCCGACCATGTGGTCCAGGCAGTTCCGAAAAGCCAAGGGCGAGCCCATTCCCTCGCGGCGTCCCGCAAGTAACTACCCGCAAACACGATCTTCAACTTGTCATCGTGATATGCGAGGGGTTCCGCCATGAAGCGTAGGTTACAAGCATCTAAGAATGCTTGTACCTCTTCCTTCTTCGACCCGTCGAAAGGTTCGGGATCGCTCACCCGGATAGCCTTGGTGTAAGGCTGTACGGGGACAGAGGGGCGAGAAAACGCCGGAGGGGGAGGCGAGGGGACTGCGTTGACGTTAACCAATCCCTCCACCTTGGCCATCAACCTTTCCAAGGTTGAGTTCATCCTCCCGACGTCATTCGAGAGGGAGATGGTGCTGACAGCTGGTCGGTCGGCACTCAAGAAGGAGGAGAACACCTCGTCTCCTTCGCCGGTGTTACGGACCCATAGGAATCCGCCGGCGCTGTCTCGATCTTGAGCACCTCCCGTGCTCCGCACCGGTTCCTTGTAGCCGGCTACCGTGATAGGGTTACCAGCTACGTCGTACACTACCCTGTCCGGAACCTCTGCCCGTTCTGTGGCTTCGGTTTCCATAGTTGCAAGTCGGGGAAAAGGAGATGATCTGCTATTCTGTTAGGTTGCCAGCAACCTGTGTGTTCTCCGGGACTTGCGTAGAGTAGTAGGTAGATAAATGAGTGTGATAGCAGATGAATTACATATTACAATAGTGATCGTAGTAGTTAGACATTACCTATTGTATCATATAAGTACCTGCTCCGCCGGAGTTGCTGGCGGAACACCCGTTCGGATGTACGTGATAGTCGCACCGCGGATGGCTATAACAAGGGGCGAGAACTCGCATTCGGAAACGGGACCGAACTGGGAGCAGACGAAAGGGGTACGAAACTCGCTATACGACTACGTGCCTCCCTTACGGGCGATGAGCATAGCGGAAGAAGACACACTGCTAGAGCGCTTTCGGGACGACGACTACGAAAACGTAGTAAAGCTGATTCTAGCGAAAGAACTGGAGACGCTTACGGAAAGAGATCGCAAAGACGCGAGGAGGAGAGCAAAGAAGGCGTGGGTAGACAACGGCCAGCTGAAAACGAAACTGGAAGGGTGGGGGGACGTAATTGTCCTACCCGCCAAAGAAGGTCCAGAACACGCGCACAGGAACCACAGCCGCCACCACCTAGGGAAAGATCTCGCCCTCACGGAGATATGCCGATCTCATTGGTGGGCTAGCGTCAGACGAGACATCACCAATGCGATCGAGGAATGCCCTCGTTGCTGCCAATTCGGGACGAAGTTACAGCGCTTGAGCCTAAAACCGATCATCCGTTACGCGCCGTTCGACTTGGTAGCAGCCGACTTTCTCTATATGCCGGTAGGAGAAGGTGGACACAACATGGTGATCGTGATGATAGATTGCTTTACGAGGTTCCTCGAAGCGAGGTCGTTCAAGGGGACCTTGACATCAGAGAAGGCGATCAAATATCTCGACGAGTTCGGCACGAAATTCGTTTTTCCGAGAGCTCTCCTACTCGACAACGAATTCGATACCAAGGCCATGCGAGATTGGGCCGCTACACGAGGAAGCTGTGAGCTCATCTTCAGCGCGCCATACGCTCACGTCGGCCTAGCCGAAAACGCCAATCATCTGGTGTTGGAGAGGTTGCGAAGGCTGTCGAACCTCGACATTCATCACATGCCGAAGCTCACACAACCTCCCGTTCCGAAACGCTGGGTAAGGGACTTGCCGCAAACGGTCTCCATACTGAACGAGAGAGTACTCCCGTACTTGGGGAACCACTCTCCGAAAGAGCTCTTGTTCGGCCCATTCCCCAGCGCAAGAAACCGAGACGAAATCGAGCCGGAGCGGAGGTTGTTACTTCTCCAAATCACTCGAGGTGAAGCGATATCCGCCTTCGCACACAAACAAAGGATGAGGACCCTCAAAAGCAAGACGTATATCGACTACGTCCCGGAGAAGGACGACCTCGTACTGATCTACCACCCGGCCGACGACCGCACTTACCAAACGGGTGCGAAGTTGCGGGCCAAGTGGCAGGGTCCGATGCGCGTTACTGAGGTACGAGGCGGAGCGATCAAGGCGGAGACGCTGGAGGGGAGACCGAAGGAGGGATGGGTAGGAATGAGGAGAGTGAAGCGCTGGAGAGGGAAAGGAGGAAGGGAAGGTGAGAACGAAAGGAACGACGACTCAGGATCGTCGTCGGAAGAGAGCGAAGACGAAGAACATCCGTTTAGCAATACGGAGGGAAAACCATGCCGGTCAGCTAGACTCGGGGCGACAAACACCAACCAAACCCAGACCGACGTCTGAGGCCAAACGAACACCGAAAGACCCACGAGAGGTCGGGAACCGGGAGACAAGAGATCGATTTTTTTTCGTTAGTACATAAGCGTTTCATCTTGGGTTTCAGAGCAGAAAAGGGGGTGGGTGTGCGCGCGCAGCGCGGGTGCTTATAGTCATCATCACCTTCCCCATCATCACTTGTACCTATGTAGCATGTCATTCATCTCTGCTGTTCAGCTTCCTGCCTTCCTCTTCACCGGAGAGGCGGAAGAATCGGCCAGCGAAGGTGGAGCGAACAGTCAGCCGCAGGGTACTCCCCAACGTCCCCACAGCAGCAGGAGCCGGGGCAGGGGTGGATCGTCTTCCGCTGGATCAATTGCTTCGATGAGCAATCGCCGACGCGATGAGGATCAGCCCGACTTTGCTTCCCTTGGCAAGACGTTTGTTGAACAGCTGGCATCAGTCACTCAGCATGCAACTTCGCAGATCTTGACTTGTGGTTCCGCTTTGCTCAAGGAGGATATCGCAGCCATGGAAATCAGCGTGGTCGACGCTCAGAAACTTCGCCTCCGTCTCGCCAAAGACCGTACGCTGGCCGAGTCTTATGCCCATCAATCCGAAGAAGACCGCCGGGAGTTGCTACAAGCAGTCTTGGAAGATCTACAGGGCTGAGTTTTTGTGTTTGTAATTATCCACCGTGCTCCCAAATTCTGCCGAATTCGGTGTATCAATGAAACATCTGTCAAATGAGAGCTAGGAGCTAGACACTTGCGAATGTGCTCACCGACGAATTCTGCCCAATTCGGCAGCCCTCTTGCACTCATTCCGGTTGAGTGGCAGGAATGACCTCCCATCGAGCGAAGTTGTCATCCGCAATCTTTTCTCGCAGTGCAACCATAGGATCACTGCGAGCATCTGGATCGTTCCTTTCCCTCCGGGCAACGGGTTCGTCTGGATCCAACCCTACCCCAGAGAGAAGATCCTGATCGTCTGGTACTGGCTCGCAGTCGTCTTTGTTGTCAGACATGAAGTTCTGCAGTGCGCAAAGTGCATAGATGACTTGCACTTGCTTAGCCGGGGCTTAGTACGTTCCGGCTCGCAATGCCTTGAACCTCGCTTTCATGATACCCCAAACCTGTTCAATGGGCATGCGGAGACTGGAATGTTGGTGATTGTACACCTCCTCCCTAGTCGCTGGCTGTCGTCTGGATCGCTTCCATGCGGCAAGGTGGTATGCTGTCCCATTGTAGGGCGTGAGTACCTGGCATCGAAGAGTGAATCCTGCATCTCCGAGTAGATAATACCCTTGCGGAATTGGATTGTCTTCGTGGCGAAGACAATCGTACCAGATGCTGATATCCGGCTCAGGACCTTCCCAGCCAGCGTTCACGTAACAAAGCCGACGATCTAAATCGCATATACCGAGGACGTTCCATGAGAGACCACCTTTGCGATCTCGGAAATTACCCTCTCTATGGCTTGGAGGATGCGCAGTGATGAGGGTGCCATCGATAGCGCCGCAAGCCTGTTGAAATGCCCCGAGCTTCCTGCTCCGGGCGAATTTACGATGAGGCAATTGGTTTGGACGATGAAAGCGCACCATCTTGCTGAAGAATGGGTCGGTGGCGAGGGCAGTCACCGTGACATCAACAGATCTATCAATGAAATGATCAGCCGAATTCGGTTACGACCCTCATCTCGGCTCACCTGAAAGATTGAGAACACATGATGCACATTCAGCCGAACTCGACCGAATTCGTACAAATTCACTCACTCACCTGGACACCGCTGCCAAGCTTCTGTTGAACTCTAAGCCTGTCTGCCGGTGACCTGTGCCATGCCTCAATGCATGCAGAGCGATGGCCAACGTTTCTTGCGAGCCCACGCGTTGTGTCGCCAACGACCTCCCAGCTGTTCCAAGTTTGCTCGCGAGCAGTTGCATGGCAGAAGGACTCATGCCAAACACATTCATGCATCGTGCTCGGTTATTAAGAGCCTCCATCAATCTCATTTGTCCAGAGAACCTGGATGTGGAGTAGGCCAGCCGTGTTCGTGAAGGGTTTTGTATTAGGGGGAAGGACTAACAGTCTACGCGGGGCTAGGTCTAAGGGCAATGGTGTAATAACGGATGAAGTATATACATACAATGAGCCTATTATAATAAGCACCTACGGGAGATGTAAAAGTAGACCCCTGTGGGGATGTTGAGAAGTGTCTCCGAAGGGACCTCCGAGGGGGTCTCCCGCGGGAGTAGCGACGCGTCACGTGACGGCTATAACATTTTGTTTCTGGTTTCGTTGCTGTCGATTGCACAGCAACACGAGGCTGATAAATTGGACAACAAAGTCCCTATCTCTACTCGAGTTATCTGACATGTTGCAGGGTGACCTTGTGCCGAAGTCTGCAGAATTCGGCTGAGCACAACAACGCATGTATCGACGACAACAACGATATGCTTGTCGTCAAATCGCAGATGGAAATTGAGATGACGTCAAGGACCTATTTGCCTCCGTATTTGCACCTGACGCGCGTTTGAGCGACCGTTTCATCCCTTGATCGTTGCTGCTTGACGACGCTGTTGCCATCAATATCACCAAAAGACCTCTTCAGTTCCAACGCAGAAAACGCAGAGACTTCGAGAAGAGGGTCCTTTGGATTGTTCCTGTTCATCAAACAACAACAACAGCCACGTCGACGCGTATGACTCCATCAAAACAAAGAAAAAAACACGTCGCGTCTGCTCAGCCAGTGAGGAAGGTATATACACACGATCAATTCACATCCCCCTTCCCCCCCCTCATCGTCCTTTTCTCTTTTCCTCTCTTCACTCTCAACTCTATCTCTCCGACTCTATCTCTCTTCCCAACTTTACTTAATCCTCGTCTTGATAACAACATGGCCCCTGAACGTCCCGCCAAATCCTCCTCCTCTAAACGCACCAACCCCGCCAACCCCGCCAATCGTACTTCTCGGAACGCCCTTGGGCGATTCACGTCTCGTCCCGGAGCTGGAGCTCCCGCTGGTGCTCAGGAGGAGTGGGATAGGATCCAGAGGGGGGAAGGGGGTCGTCAGTCGACTCTTCCGAACCTGAGAGTGAGTACGATACGATTGTGATCCTTCTTCCTTTCACCGTCGGTTGTTCCCCTCCTGTCTTTCGTTCTTTGCCGAGTAAACGACTGACTCTCCCGAATTTTGCCGAATTCGGTAGTTTGCTCAGACCCAAGAGGAAGAAGACCGGGACGTCCAGAAGGCCATCGGCAAGTCTCTCAAGACGCCTAAGTTCGAAAAGATCCTTACCAAGGAGCGACTTGCAGCGGAAACTCGCCTCGCCCATGAGCAAGCCGAACCCGACGCCGTCAATCAAGGAGCTCGCATCTCCCCCATCATCGACGACAACCAAAGAGCTCGCATCTCCCCCATCCCCGACGACGACAACGTGATCGTCAAGACCGAGAAGATTGATGAGCCTGTAAGTTGGGGTGTTTGCTAGCTTCAAAGTCGGAATCGAAGGCTTACCGAATTCTGCAAACTTCGGCAGATCCCTCCGAAAAACAAACGCAAGGACAAGGCCAAGGCGAAGCAGACGGAGGTCATCGAGGTGAGTTATTCCTGTTAGAGAGTGATCGGTTTGCGCTTACGAATTCTGCAAACTTCGTCAGCTTTCCTCGACCGAGGAGCCAGAGGCCAACGCCAAGGCGAAGGCCAAGGCCGACAAGAAGAGGAGGAAGGCCGAGAAGATGGCACGGGAGGTCCAGAAGGAGGTGAAGCAGCTTGTCCCTGTGAGTTATCCATCTTTCGCTCCATTTGAGCTTGAACATGATACTAATTCCGTCCTATTCTCTGCGTTTAGAGCGACGACGACGTCAAGGCCCTTGTCCCCAACTTCCCGTCTAAAAACCTCGAGGATGCCTGGATCCTTGACGGGAAGAACCCCGTCAAGGTTTGTGTAAGTCTGTGCTCTCTCTTTTACACATCCTCATCGTTGTACTAACTTCATTCGCAAACGATAGATCTTTACGAAAGGTTACGACTGGGTAGGAGCTCTTGCGAAACTCGAAGAGGCTGCCCAGATGTCGAACGAAAAGGACAAGAACGCCATGGCCAAGAGTATCGGCTTGATGGGACCTCGTTCGTCCACCGACATCACTGCGGCCCGACGAAATTTCTGGCTCGCCCGCGGGATCGACTTCGATAAGACCTTCAACGCTCAAACGGGCTACGACGTCGGCGTCTATACCGGAGAGGTGAGTTGGCGCTTACCGAATTCAGCCGAATTCGGCAGAGTCCTGCGTCTTTTGCACTGATCACTGACACGGTACGATTGCTTCTCTCTTCAGGAACGAAGCATTCGAACCGCGAAGGAGGGGGGCAAAGAAGTTGTCGAGTACGAACACATCATGTGCACCCCCTGCGCCAGGAAGAAGAAGGATGACCCGGAGCAGCGATGCTTCGCCACAAGGCCCTTCACCGCCTGCACCGCCTGCGCTGATCGCAGCAAGGCTTGCAACTTCAAGGAGATGCACCGCGCCTTCGTCAACCAGCACGTCATCGGTGCTGCGAAGACCTTGCAAACTGTCGGCAAGAAGATTCGCAAGAAGATCAAGGGCAAGAAGGGGTTGAAGATTGCTATCGACATGATGGCGGTGAGTTTTTCTCTGATTCAAACCAGTGATTCCGCGATCCGTGACTGACCGAATTCGGGAAAATTCGTACAGGCTGTCACCGAAATTCTCAAGGCCTCCGACGTCGGTATCCCCGGTCTCCACGAATCGCTGAACCGTTACTTCGACATTCAGCAAGCAAAGATCGACGCCACCTCCAAGAGCGGCAAATCGATGATCGGGCTGTTGTATGAGAGTCGAGGCGAGCAGGTTGCCCGAGAAGTCGAGCAGGGCATGAAGGCTCCCCGCCGCAAAGACGTCGAGACCCAGGCCGTCCTCGACGCGGCCTTCGACAACTTGCCCAGCACCCCTCAGAAGCGCAAGGCCATCGCTGCTCCCGACCAGCGAGCGACCGTCGAGGACTACGATGACGACATGGACATCGACGAGCCGGTCGCCTCGGGATCGGGATCGGGTAAGAAGGCGATCAAGGCCGCGCCCCCCAAGGAAGAGACTACCGACTCGGACTCCTCGGACTCTTCGTCTTCTTTGGAAGACGAGAGCTCCAGCGACTCCGACTAAGTGTGCCTCTTGGTAGACCCCCGCTCAATGCATAGGGTCCCTTACTACCTGATTTCTCTCGCGAAGTCTCTGTTCAGGTAGGGGTTTTTATAGATCAAGACTTCGCCCGTTATTATACGGTATATATGTGATAGAGGTTTGTAATTACGAGGCTGGTTTCTTTTCTTATGCCATGCCAATCTACGAGCGATCGCCGAATTCGGGCAACTTCGGCCGGTGCTTTGTTAAAGTGTTGACTAACCCGTTCACCGAATTCTGCAAATTTCGGCAAGACCTTGAGATGAAACACACATCGTCTGAGATATCACGTGATGACGTGGCTACTATTTGTATCCGCGCGGAGGCAAACAACACAAACAGATAGAACTCGCGATCACCCACGGCAAACTATCCGACCTCGCTAGCGCGCTATCTGCGCGCAGATACTCGTGAGAAAATAATTATCATCTAGATAGAACTCGCGACCGGGCCCTCACACTCATATTTTGCATCCGAAGCCATGGATGGTCACGGGTGTGTGTCAGGTCGAAGAAGTGAATGATCAGATGATCCACACAGGGAAGGTGGTCACCTGTGTCGTATATATAGAGAGGCAGCTACCAGGGTGACGAGACACATTCTTTGGTCCTCTCCGATGCATACTCACATGCAATATAACCTCCAAGATGAGTGCAATCACCCCCGTCCAGATACTCAAGACCTTGTCCTCTCCGTCCTCGTCTTCCGGTGCGTTTCATCGCGTGCATTGCAGTAAAGTCGCGGGTCGCGTGCAAGTCTGGAGCAGACGTATGAAACGGGAGACTGACACGAAGCCTCTTTTCCTCTTGCGGTATATGTAGATGACATCGACAGCTTGAAGAAGCTTCAGAAAGTGGCTCAAAGCACTGCTGCGGACTCGACCGATTCGTGAGCTACATTTGGGTGACGAGGACAGACGGCTCGTTAATGTCCTCTCATAACCTGTAACTCGTTACCTATCACACACCTTCCTCGATCCGCAGTATCCAAGACGACTCGTTCTTCAGGGACAACGACTCGTCCAAGACCCGTATCCTCCAAGCCGTCCAAGCCTGCCAAGCCATCTCCAAATACACCCTCGAATCCGCTCGAACCGCCCCGACCTCGCCCACGCTGACCACTAAGACCCGTCGAGCGTCGTTCGGACCGCTGGAACACCATTTCCACGCCCATCACCTCTCCTTACACCCTGCGCTGGACAAGCAGTTCAAGGCGCACGTCATCTCCGGAAGCACTGGCGGTCAGGGAGGGGCTCATGAGGGACCGATCTCGATCTTGTTGAAACCTGCCAACTTGGCCAAGGAAGGCGGTAGTGAGGGCGATCATGCCATCTGGGTCGTCAAGGGAGAGACGGACGCTCAATGGGTCATGCCGTACAGTAGCGACAACGACCACGATCTCGTAAGTCCCTCATCGTTGCCTCCGATGCGCCGAGCGAGAGCTCACTGAACTACGTTTTCGATGTAACTCGTTAGATCGACCGACACACCCACTTTGACGCTCATGGGCACGACCTCCTCGACCACGTCCGGACCACCCTTCTCAACCAGCTCAGGCAGAAACGCGTCGTCTTTACCGGTCATGGGAGTGGAGCGGCGGTCGTCAGCTGGGTCTATATGCAGCTTCTCAGAGAGATCAAGGAGAGCGACAAAGGTGAGTTGAAAGTAACGGTTTGTTGCGTTTTGGTCAAGGTCTACGTTGTCGGAAAAGGGTACTGATGGCCCCTCGAGACGTCGAAGTAGACCTGGCTCCTCACGGGATGGACCTGATCACTTTTGGCGCCGCTGCCACTCGATGGGCCGAGCAACGAGCCTCCTTGTACACTTCCAAGGCTGGCAGTGAGACCTCGACCGACGCCGTCAAACGATACTTTACCGAAAAGAACCCCAATACCAACCTCTGCCTCGCACTCGTCAACGAGGGAGACCCGACCCCTCGTCTCAGCAAGGACTATGTCGCTTGGATTTCTTCGGCCGTCAGCGTCGCCGATGGGGACGAGACCAAGGTCAAGGAAGCGCTGGCCAAGACGCCCTGGCACGCCTTGTTGCCCTTTGGACAGATCGTCGTCTTGTCCGCCGACCAAAAGGAGTCGGTCCGGTGGATCGGCAAGGAGACGTTCAGGCAGACCGTCTGGGTTGATCCTGCTCAGGGCGATGTCGACGCTTATGTCAAGAATGTCGAGCGAATTTGCAAGTGAAATCGACCGTTCCGACGGACAAATGAAAGACCAGTGCGAAAAGAATAAAGTACAGATGCACCACGGAATAAAGTAGAGACGCACCATGTGAAACGAAATTCAAGAATCTAGCATTGTTGTACATATTGACCGGTTAAAGACGGCAATAAAACGAAACGAAACGAATTCAACAACCTGTAGAGCGGTAACTTTTACCACAACAACCCTACGAAAATATCATCTCTTATACAATACAACAACTATGCATAAACCAGATACGACTATCCCAGAGCTCTGTCACTACTTCACGCTTTGTACTGTGCCCAGGGTTCGTACGCGTAAGGCAGCTTGCCAGGTATCAATTCTTCAAATACCGGGAGCATCTTCATGATCTCCCTCGTCACGATCTGCAACAACGTAGGGGCGAAAGGGAACACTTTTAGTAGGACTCAACGTGGCTAGAGCTTATCGCGGAGGCTCACCATGTATCCCTTGGAACTCCAATGCAGTCCGTCCGTGAACAGCATCTCGTTGGTCACCCCGTGCTGTCCCTTGGCGACCGCATGCGCTCGAAAGGCGTCCACGATGGCGACCTTGTTCCCTTTGCCGTCTTGCGATTCGACCCGGACCTTGTTCCACTCCTTGACGATGGTCCTGAGCAACTGGACGTACTTTTTGTTGCTAGCGATCGTACGGTCAGACTCGGTGATCGGATCGCCGCCATCCGGAGTGTGGAGATTGCGCATGTGAGCGAGCCACCAGTCGGGTTGCAACGTCGATGGCGTGACGCAGAGGACACGGGCGGCAGGGTGGGCCTCCGATATGTAGTCTAGGATGGCGAACATGTTCTTCTGAAACTCGTCGCCCTCAATCTGTTCGAAATCGGCGGGTGAGCTATTTCCCCGCCGGTTTCGCATAGAACTCGTCCGCGAACCTTTTGCTCTCCAGTGATCACCCTATCCGTCCGTAGAATCTGGAGATTCAGCAAGCGAGCATCAATTCGTTCAAGGCTTTCCTACTTACGCATCATTGGTTCCTACGTGGATGATAAACAGCCGGACGTCGTCAAGGGGCATGTCCTCTTTCAGCTTTTTGAGCAATTGCCGAGAATTGCTGCGGGACGGTGACCGGACATTAGCTTTGAAGTGCAAGGTACGGCAACTATCGCCTCACTAGCCACCGAAACCTCGGTTCAGGACGTCCATCTTCCCGGCGTACTGTGATCGAGAAGAAGCAAGATGCTCAGAATTGATACACAGAAGCCCTGCCCCGGCACTCACCATGCTAGTAAGCTTGATGCCGTAGCCCTCTGCTTCATCGAAACTGCGCTCCGCGATCGAATCTCCCAGCACAACGACCTGAGGGTACAGACGGTTCGTCGTAGCTTTCGTAAAGTTCTCCTCATGAGGTGTGGCGTGTCGAGCTAGACTCGAATCTCGTTCCGACATCCATGACGGAGCGAGAATAAAGCTGAGCGAGAGGAAGGTTACTACAGCGAGGGCGTATGTTGAGGGATGGAAGGAACGGATGGGAGCGCCTTGGCGAGCGAACGAGGGCAACATGCCGGATGAAGTTTGTTGTCCTGAAGTAGTAGTTCGATCACGATGAGGTCGGGTCGTTCAGCTAGTTGAGCCTCGGGAAAACGAACCGCCGAGCACGTCTGCTTTACCTTAAAGGCACTCGCGCCAAGTTGCGATATGCGGACAGCTATGCGATAGACTGTCACAGTGATAGTACAAGTAGCAGTAATTCAACTCGCAACTCGTAGCTCGTAATTTTATACATCATATCATCCGAACCAGTTCGTATCGTCGGGATGTCGTTTGCGGGAACAGCATAGTACTTGGGAAGAAAGTTCGTTGGGTCGTCACTAGGTCTTGTAAGCCTTCTAAGGAAGAAATCATCCCAAAACTACTTCAGACATGTCGTCTAGGGTCGCTTTCGTCAAAACGTGTAGGTCATAAAAGCACTGGTTCTCGATTTCGTGCATCTGGTCCGGGATGTCACTCAGGTGATCCAAAGCGGTTCGAGCATCCCGCACCAGCTTGGCTGATTCCTTGATGAAGGTGCACCAGGCGGACGTAGGGGCGCCGAGGCCGTTGTCGTCCAGATTGGCTGCCAGCTGCAAGAAGGGAATCCATCAGGCCGGTATCCTGAAGTCTAAGGCTTTCGGACTATTACGGACGTTGACGCAACCAGCATTCCATTCTTCCTTCTTTTTCTCCAGATCCAGAAGTTCCTCCATATCGAAGACGATGTCTTCCTTCTTTAGCTTAAGACTCATCTAGAACGATATCAGCAAAATCAGCTTGCGTGAAAGCTCTCTGCTCTTCCAGCTCATCAACAAGCTCGCTTCGAACTTACAACGTAACAGATCAGGAAGATCAGAGATTGTAAATCGTCTATGTATCGGTGCGAGGCTCGTCTCGCTTCGTCGAGTTTGCGCTGGATATTCCTTTGAATGTGAATGCAAGGTTTGTAGACCCTTGGGTCGATACCTTTGGTTCTAGCTGTCTCCTCGGCGTTCGAATAATCTGAAGCTAGTCTCATGTAATCATCCCTTAATTTTCTGGCACCGGCACACGGCAACGATTGAAAATATGGGTTGGCCGATCTACCATCGTCCTCTGCCAGCTTGATGGTCTCGTGCAAGGTCCTCTCGCGACTCGAGGCCGCACGGGGTGCTTGCAGGTAACGAGCATTTCCCCAATCGACAAGCCACGCTATGACCGTCTTGCCGTCCGGGAGCCAGCGCCACATCACGTTTCCTAGGTTGAGATCGCGGTAGTGTATTCCTTTGCTCGCGGAGAACCAAAGGCACTCGACTATGCCGAGGAAGACTTGACCATAGTTGCGGTAACTAAACCTGTCGGTTGTCAATACGACCATGGGCAACCTCCTGCCAATGCGGCATGTCGTTACCAAGATAGATAGGTGAAGCGGGGGACGTGCGGGTTCCGCTGCATCCTGGCCCACGATCTCCACTGTCGCCCATTCCTTCAGTTTCTCATCTTCGACCGTCCCAACCAGTTTGGGAATGTGGCTTCTAACCTGTTCCGACACACAGCTCGACGCAAGCGGCTGCAAGGAAACGGCCGCCCCTGTATGTAAAAGATGGAGCATCGTTTCCTCATGATGAACGAGGTCTGGGGTGAGCCATGTCGCTTTAATGACATATTCGTCTTTGTCAAGCGATTCCGACCTGATTGGCCCCTGTGAGGAGACGATCCGGGCGCTCCTCCTCCGGTCCGAGGTGCCAGTTTCGGAGACATCGTTTGTGCCTAACGGCAGTCCTGGCTGCACTGGAGGAGCGGAAGGCTGGGGCGAGTTCGCGCCCATCTGCTCGGCTCTCCAAACCGTCGTGCGTGATCCAAATAGCGGCGACCTGACCTCAAGTAGAGTGGCGGGCCCGACTTGGACGTCCTCCGTCTGATTCGTCTGATGGCAGCGTGTTCGAAACTTCCGGGACGGCGTCCAGCGCTGATCGTATCGATCTCCGGGATAGAGGAAGAACGCCAGGATTATCAAGAGTTCTCGGTAATCCTTGGGTTCGAGTAGGCTGTACACTCGCGATGACGCGAAGCTGGATGCGTCTGCAGTCCATAACCGTACCGCAGGACCACAGATGCTCAAGGCAAAGACTCTTCCCGATAGCGGACGGTTTCTCACAGTAGCACCCTTCACGATAGTACGACGTCAGTTGGTACTCCAGCCCACACAAGATTGGGCAAGGGCGACTCACTAGATATTTCATTACCCGAGGTACCGTATTTTCGTTTGAAGTCGGCGGGTAATGGCTCGCGAACTCTGCTCTGGGAAGACGTTTGATTTCGATGGTACGTTTGGCCAGGCGAAAGGTGCGCAAGTGCTCGAATTCTTTTATGACTCTGTTTCGCTCTCTATCGTTCCTTTCTCCTTGCGTGATGACGATGTCAGGCTTGCAGTCGGACTCGCCTTTCTTCCAGTCGAGATGAGCATCGTCGCTTGACAATTGGTCATCCTTTTTGAGTATATGACCGCCATTCTCTACCACGCCGCTAGCATGGCCGCCGTAGAACAGGTTTCCAACGAATTCCAAAAGCGGCACGAGGAGATCTGAATAAGCGCTCTCCTTCGGTTGCTTGAGCGTTTGGCGAAACAGGAGCCGCTGGCAATCCCGAAGCGGTGTGCTCTTTTCAAACTTCTTAACATGAGTGTCCAAGCGATCCGAGGTGAGTGATGATCCATCCTTAACTTGGATCGTCAAGAATCTCGGATCGAATCTGGTCGTACATTGGGATCGGTACTCCTGGTCGACCTCGACTCCTGAGGGCGAAGCTGTTTCCGTATGACTTTCGGTTTTCAGTTTTTTCGTAGGGGTAAGAACCTCCGTTACGGCGAGAGTGCGTTTCAGCTTTGATCGATCCTCCTGATCAGCATGGCGAAGCTGTGGTGCCGAATGAACGCGGCTCGGTTCTGGGGCAGTCGACTGGCTGATCGATGCCGAACCGGCTGGTTCGGCTGTGCTTTCGTTGGGGACTGGTAGCTGCCCAGGACCAGAAGCGTTTCTCGAGCTCGAACCTAGTTCCGGCTGAAAATCCTTCCATCGTTCGCCCAGAAGCGGATGAGTGGTGAAGGCTGATTTATTCGGAGCGAACTGATGATCCCTGTTGTATTCTCTTGGACAGTGTCCATGGTGTTCGAACGAGAATTCGAAGAGATCTTCCTCAAAGACGCCCATCCTTGAAGCTATGAACTAGATGCCGATCTACGACGTGGCAGGACATGCAGGACATCAGTTACGGGCAAAATATGTGACAGCAGTCTGACGCGCACATACCGGGTAGTCGTAACCGGATTCCGAACAAGCTAGGATCCACCCAGTAAGCTTTCAGGCAGCTCCGTTTATACAATCTCGATAGTTTGTACTCTAGAGCAGTCTTGCCGCGAGTTGAGAGCTAGTTGAGAGCGAGTTGGAAAGCGAGGTTGGAAAGCGAGGTTGAAGAGAAGAGGCCAAAGGAGGTTTGATGGGAGGCCAATCCTCAGCGGCGTCGCGGAACGAGCGTTTGGAAGAGGCAATTGAGCAGGACGATAGATGAGTCGGAGAGTTGTAATCGGCAGTGACTGATCACCTGGTAGGGTTCACCAGCGATCCAGCGACGTTCTAACCGGAGCATGCGTGTGTGCATATGTGTGTACATGTGTACGTGTGTACGTGTGTATAAAAGTATGAACACAGAGCAAGCGACATGTTGCCGCCAATGCCCCTGCTCTGTGCCCGAGCTCTGCCCATTTGTCCCGTCAGAATGCATAATCAAAATAATAATCTCTTTGGTATTCCAGCGATCAAATGGTACACGTGAACTACAATTACGTGACATCTCACGTAAGGGTACGTACGATAAAAGAATTCATCTGGTGGCGGTAAAAATTACTAGCCTGGCGGCAATCGACTTTACATTTCAAATACCTACACTCTCTCCCTATGGCTTGACGCCAAGGAACAGCCACATGCACGAGTCCCTGGTAATACTCCCTTGCATCCGGCTCGGTGAAAACGATCTCGGGGAATAAACCTCTTTGTTACCCCTATTGGAACGTCTCGATGATCAACTGTTGATCGTCAAGACCCTTACAATGTTACTGTACAACATTCCACTGGATTTGTTCTCTGTACAATTGCCTAGAAGTCTTCCCTATCGAATTCCACATTGATCTATCACTTAGAAACACGCCCTTGCAATTGCATTAGTATTAAAAATCGATACGTTATCACAATGAACTCTTCCCAGGCAATCGACATTGATCAGCTCCCCGACGTCCTCAACCAATACACTGGTATGGAGGAAGACCTACTTGACCTTTTTATAAGGGACGAAGCAGAGAAAGAGGCCGAAGAAGAGGTTCAATTAGCTTCTCCCCCGCCCTCCCCCCTTGTTATCGCTCAACAATCGATTCCAGGGGATTCGTTCTCTGTTGAACTCCTTGAGTTCAACCCCACGATCGACATGGATGCCATTGTTGCAGAGATCAATCTCCATGGCCAAGCCCACGGGTACGCTATAAGGAAGTCGAACGTTAGTAAATACCAAGGGGTCGTTCGCAGTTTCAACTTGAAATGCACTCGCGAAGGAGAATATACCCCATCGCACGACTACATCAAACAAACGGGACTTGCCCGAAACAAAAGAACTACTACCCAGCGATGTGGCTGTGGATTCAAGATCTATGTTAGCTGCGATAAAGCTGGCCAATGGTCTGTTTCACCGCGGTGTTTGACTCACAATCATGCACCGGCCGAGACCCCTGGAGTGTTTCGACAAAATCGAAAAATGACACCAGCCGAAGCAGCTATTGTAGAAGCAGGTTGCAAGGCAAATCATCTACCTTCTGCGACCCTAGCAGAGCTTCGACACAAAGCAGCACAGGAGGGAAGAGAAACATTGGTTTCAATTAAAGAGATCTATAACGCTCGTCAAAAGTTCTATTCCAATGCAGCGAGTGGAAAAACACGCACCGACGCATTGATTAAACAACTCGATTCCGCTGGAATACCTTTCGAGACCTGTTTCGGTGCAGCCAATGTGTTAACACACTTGTTTGTCACTGAACCAATGGCCATGACCCTTGCTCGACATTACGGGCAATTGTTATTTATCGATTGCACCTATAAAACAAACAAATACAACATGCCGATGCTTCACATCGTTGCAGCAACCGCGAGCAATACTACATTTACTGTGGCCTTTGCATTCATGTCTCGGGAAAGGGAGAAGGATTACATCTGGGCAATGAAGTGCTTCAAACGATTCCTAGGGAACACTCCAGTGGAAACGGTTATGACCGACGCCGAAATGGCCTTGCGCAATGCGATCGAGCAAGAATTTCCTCGCTGGAAACACATCCTATGTCTTTGGCATATACAACAAAACATCGTAAAGAACTGCAAGAAAGGTCTTCCACAGGACACGTTCATTGAATTGCTTCGAGCCTGGTGGGGTGTTGTAAGACAACCAACGGAAGAGAAGTTCAAGAACGCCAAAGTCGATCTAATTCATCGGTACGGTCAAAATGGATCGAACACCCAACAAATGGTGGGGTACTTGATCATTGGATTCGAAGAGGCGGAACGCTTTGCCTTCTACGCTACTGGGCAAGCGTTCCATCTGAACTATCTAGCTACCTCGACCGGTGAATCGTTCCATCGCGCTGTCAAAAGGCAAATCAAAGGCAGTGGCGATCTCTTTGCAGCGACCAACGCGGTATTGAACCACATGGAGAGTACGCAGCTCAAGATCTTCGATATTCATGCCAATGGACCTGTTCGTAGGAACATCAGTTTGCCTGAGTGCTTTGTGCAGGTCAGTTGGAGTCGAGCAGTGTGTCGTTCCCTTGGAATCGATTTTTTGACCTGTTTCGAACAATAGCTCCACGGGAAAGTTTCAACGTACGCGATCGACCTTATGCATCAACGGGGGTACCTCTTTGCAAAAGCTGTGAAGGCTAGCAACGGTCAACTAGACCCCTGCACAGGTGCATGGCAAAAATCCACTGGTCTGCCCTGCAAACATGACTTCGCGGCGTTCTTAAATGGCACTCGACGACATCCTTTACAACTCCACGAAATTCATGTTCATTGGCATATCGTTCATCGCGCGCAACTCAAGGAAACAGCGGTACAAATGGGTGTAGAGGTCCCTCGAGCTCTTCTCAGGGGTCTTGACAATGCAAACATCCCTGTACCTATTCCAATGGGAGGGATTCAGAACACCTACATTGAACGTCGACTCCCAGGTGATTTACTACTGAACGACCTCTCGGCGACGATCCTGCCACCTGTTCGACGGGTACGCGTAGGGCGGAAGCAAACAGCGCCCTCGCGCGCGGAAGCTGCCACCCTTATCAATGACGTGGCAATGGATTGGCCTGTCGCGCGCGCGGAAGCAGGTCCAACGCGTACATACGCGGCGCCCTCGCACGCGTCTATTCCATCGCAATCGACCAGTGAATTTTTGTCTGGCTACGTGCCACCGGGAGACATCATCGTACCAGTTGCTTCTAGCGGTCGCACCCAATCGGGCGGGGAAACTGTTCTCAAGAAACGCAAAGTCGTACCAGCTGCAGAGCAGCAATGCCACGGTTGCTGGCAATTTGGTCATCGCAGTAATAGTGTCAAGTGCGACAAGAACAAGGAGAAGAGAGTTGCAGCAGCGCTGTGGGCGGCAACATCGACATCGACAGAGAACAATACAGTTTCGAACTCGTTTCTAGGATCGACGCAAGGTGTATAGACATAGGTCTTGTTCGATGCTTTCGGACAATGAAATACTCATTTTGAAACACTGCAATGGACGAGAACAAGGACATTCTTCAAGGCAAACCTCTTTCGAACTGAAACTCACGTCGATTTGCTTTTGTTTGGACAAAGGTATCGTTTATAATGTCGATTTCAATGGAACATCGCTTCGAAACAGCTTTTGTTCATCTATACAGCAGTCGAGAACAATGGAATAACGTCTTGGAGACATACATCTCGATAAGTACTTATATCTCTCGCAAAGGAATCACCTACTGATCGAGTACATCATTTTTCTCCTCTACATCACACAAACATAGCTCTCGCAATCGTTTTATGCCCGTCTCCCCTTCCATCGCAAGCAGTATCGATATGGCTCCCAACGCAACGTAAGTATCTTCTTATTCCAATGATTTATTCCATTGTGATCGATCATCTGACTTTTCCGTTGGTTTGAATAGCCCTCTCTACACCCCCTTCGACGTCCCCAACGTTCTCGAGTTGGACGGGACCCTCGCTGTCCCGCAATGCACCATTTGGCCGGGCCGATACCAGAATTTCCAGCAGTGGTGCGACGACTGGAACAACGAGATCAACGCCGACTCCGACCTCGACAACGCACAGGGCCCGACCAAGCGACAGCCCAAATCGCCCGGTAAAAAGGGCAAGAACAAGGAAGTCCCCAAGTTTAGGGCTTCCGACAAAGCATACCGATGCTCCACTGGAGCGTACATCACCAGGATCGAGAAGCCCGGTCCTCAAGCTAAGGACGACAAGAGGAGTAAGCTTGCAGTGGTCTATTTCGTTGTTCGATTGCATTGGTTTAGATCGTTGATCGATTTCATTGCGCGCGTTCTTTGTTTAGTTCACAAGGATCTTCTCGACGAACTCTCCCTCCCGATCCTCCCCGTCCAGTGCCCCGCCACCCTCTCCGCCATGAACACTCCCATGGCTTCCGGTCGTAAGGATGCTCCCGGGATCGACGCTGCATTGGTGAGTTCCATTGCTCGACTTCAACGATCTATTCCATTGAGCGATTCCACTGAACTGACGCGTTGTTGTTTGCCACGTCATCAGGCCAAATATCGAGGAGGATGGCGACTCGCGTGCGACACCTGCCTCGCTCTTTACATCCCCGAAGTCTACACCGGTCCCAGTCAAACGATCCCCGTTGCGAAGATGAAGGCCCTTGGACTCAACAAGAACTATCTTACATTGGTCAAGTTAGTTGAGTACGGGCCTTTTATCATTTGCCGCGGGTGTATTGGGGTGACCAAGGGCAAGGGGATGTTGCCGAGTTGTGGTCCTTGTCGTGTGGTCGGGGAAAAATGCAAGAAGGTCGATCCCGCCAACGCTATCCGAATGGATGACCCAACGGTCCATCCCATCGATCGAGCCCGCCGGGCCCTTACCATCATTTGGGACCAAGGGCAGATGCAACAGCCCGATCGCATTAGGATCGCCCAATACGGACTCGACTGTTTGCGCGACGAGATTTGTCACGGGTTGGAGGGTTCCCCCGATAAGCATACTAAGGTCTCGATCGATGCGATTGTTGCTGGGTTTGACGAGTCGGAATAGTTCTTTGTTGTGTTCCATTGGTTTTGATTTTTGTACTTAAACATTGCTACGTTATAATACGATCGTCCTTATGCAACAATTCACCGACTTCAATTCATTTGACAACTTCACCGATCGAATCCAACGGAACACAGTCGTGCGATGATACCATGCGATATTTCACTGTATTGTACCTTGGCGTAAAGCCATTGTCACATACTCCCGAGCGATTTGAAATGTAAAGTCGATTGCCGCCATAGTAGTAAAAGTTACCGCCACCAGATGAATTCTTGTACGATAATTCGCGTAATTCAAGAGGTCGCAGACGTCGAGCGTCTGGTCTCTAGAGCTCTAGATCTCTATAGATCTCTAGATCTCTCTTGTCTCTGATCTCCGATCCCTGATCTCCTCTTTTGGCTCACGGCTCACGGCTCACTACTAGCTACTCTAGCTACTAGACATAGCAACTTAGCATCAGTGGCGTCGTAGCATAAAACAGCTCTCGTCTGACGCACATATATCGACATCGGATCGACGATGGCTCTTCCCGCCGAACTGTTCCTGTCGCCATCGCCTCAGGAGCTGACATTTATCGCGGAAGAAGAGCTCATCGAAATCGTGCCTTCGTTTAGCATGAGCAGGGTCCGGTTAATATCGGCAAGTCCCTCAGTGTAAGAGGGTTCGAATGTTTGTGCTCACCTGTGTCGGTCTTTCGCTTTCAGGGCGTGTACGGACCCTTTCAACCTCCCTCCAAAGCGGTCGTCCCATTATGGCTGGCGTTGTCGTTGAAGCGCAAAAAGAAGTGCAGGATCATCTGTCCAGAATGGTTGACAGTCGGTGAGCTGGTCCATGGTCACCTCGCATGTGGGCCTCGTACCGACTGCTCTGCTCTGAAACGCAACAGAGAACCTGGAACAATTAATGCAAGCAGAAAAGGAGAATTCTGAATCTTTCGTACCGCTTCCAAGGCATTTCATCGAAGTCAGCAAGGTCCTTCTCGATGTGTAAGTTCCGACGTCTAGAATTGATCGATATGTATCTCGACTGATTTCTCTCTTCCCTGTGAAGTGCGGCCTCGGATCTAGCTTCTCCCTCTGAACTTCACTCCCTCCTCCTCTCGCTCCGACACATCCGCCTCGCCAAGATCCGTACCGGTCTACGTCCTTCCAACCCCTCGCTTCCCTCTGCAAACAACGCACCGACGCAAAGCGGAGCAGATACCGGCCCTTTTTCGGCTGGAGGAGAATACCTCAAGTTGACCGGGCTGACCCCGATCGAGATCGTCGAGATGAGATCCTTCTTGGGTGGGGTAATGGGGATGATGAAGAGCTTGACCGACAAGCCGGATGGGGATGCCGGCGGGATGGACCAAGATTAGGGACAGGTCGACGTCGACCTAGACTACGATAGGCTTTGGTCTGCCGGCAGACCATATACAACGGTAGTATCTTGCCCCCATCTACGGCATTTCTCGACTTGCTGTTTGGCGAATATCGAGCGGCGCACTCGATGCAATACGAACAGCCAAGTAGACATGTTATAATCGTGTCGGCAGCGGGCTACACACGCAAGCTCCCAACATGCCCAGCGCCAGGTGCCACACCTGCCTGCCACCTAATCGGCCGAATGACTGGTCGCGCCGGAAGACGTAATCGATCGGGGAAATGGACGTATCACAGAAACCGAAACCATTACATGTGTATATCGTTAACTTGCAGTGTAGAAGCATTATGCGGGACTCGACCCGTCATGGCCTCCCTCATGCGCTCCCATCGAGCTTGTATTCCCTCACTCCGTCCTTGTCAATTTCGACGGCATTGAAAGAGAATTGATATGCGAGACCTGAACAACCGAACGACAACGATGTTCCCGTCAGTCTTGCCCAGCCAACGCCTCGGACCATCAAGAGACGATAGCATGGTGTACTTACGCAACTTCACCTCGTCAATGCACCTCTTCAGCAGCTGACCTGCCTCTTCCCGCGTAATGTCTGGGTACCAGTACTTGTCCATGGTGCTCAAAGCTACGTAGATACCGAGACCGTTGGCGGTGTAAGGCACCTTGACCTTTGTTCCGTAAGGGTCCATCCAGTACCTGGGGATCGATCGAGCGGAGGGATAATGCGTCGGGAACGTGTCAGCTCAGTGTATCACCCAGTCAAAGGGGTCGTGTGCACTTACAGGTGGCTTTCGTCCTTGATCTTGTCGTATCCTCCCAATAGCAAGCTGACGACGTAAGGACGTCTGCTTCGAATCGCTTCAGCGAGGATCCTTCGGATGTACGCTGATGCTGGGGCAGGGGCGAGCTCGATGTTGTGTCTGCGATAGGATATACCGGAGACAAGGGTCAACGCACGACTCTTGATGACAGAAGAACCGAATCGACAGAGTGGTCATACCTGATCTGGTATAGTCGCAAGTTTCGTTCGACAAAGTCGACAAAGTTCTCGGTATCACCTGTATGTGGCCGAAGTGTTAGCTTATCGGAAGGGCGGACACACTCGCATACCTTTCGATCTGCTTACCTGGTTCACCGCCATACGCCATGCACAAGCTGGGACTGAGCTGTCTGATCTTGTTCTCGTCCGACTTCATCTTGATGATCGACCTCCCCGCCGACTGATCCGATGCAAGGAGGACAAAGTCCTTGCCTGTGGTATTGTAGCGACCGATGCGATTGACAGCATGACGACGGTCAGTGATGCTGCTCTGTGCCCGAATTACACGAGCTGGCTTCCTCACCAGTGATTCCGAACGAGCACTCTGTCATCTTGGTCTATATGGAGATGTTTTCGCGATTGCTCTGTCAATAAAGAGTAAGTTCGGAAATGCCCAAACAACCAACTAATCTATGGTCTATATCGATACCAGCTTGCATAACCTGCAACTCTGATGATGAATGTGAACCACGGGGGAAACGAGGTCGCCCGCTTCGTAATCGCTTCAGCTCGAACAGACACGTCATCGGCCATCTGTCAAACGCGCGCGCAAGCATCATTTATTTGATAGACAGTCGTTCGAAAGTGCTGTTTCAGAAGAACGATGACATGTCAAACTCCATCGCGCCCTGGCTCTCTTTCGAATCCACAACGACTGCGTTCTCCTTGAACAGAGAAAGCTTAGCAGGCGCTATCTTGGGCGAATCCTTCGAACCTTCATCATTCTCTGCCGGTTTTCCTGCCGTACTAAGTGTCTGGCTCGAAGCGTCTTCCGTACTCGCCGCCGTGACTCGCTCAATCTCTGGCGTGTCGCCTTGGTCTTTGGTCTGGCGGTGCTGTTTAGGCTGAGCAATTGCGACGAACTTCCAGTCTCTTATGATGGCCAATGACAAGCTCCAGAAGCCTGCAATATGGCGTCAGCGCAGCGCAAAATGACAGGTTGAAATCTCGGTGTCGCTTACCCATCGCCCAAAGTCGCTGCGATCTATGCCGTACCATGTCCCATTCTTCTGCTCGCGTGAGCCATGTATCCGTCTCTCCCATAGACTTGCTGTCCGACGCGCTATTTCCAGATTCAAAATACCGCCGACGGAGATCGTAATACAACGACATCCAGTCGGCAGATCCGCTCAAAACGCCCCGAATCCGGTTGTCCGCATCTTCAGGCTCCATGCCGACGTCGCGCAGAGGCAAGGTCAGATGCCGGATCGCCAAGCTCCTTTGACCCAAGTTCCACAAGGCCCAGTGACTCAACCATCGATCGCCGACTTTTCGTGCGTCTGGCAAGACCGTAGTCTCGATGACCTCTCGTAACATTTCCCCGCAAACTGGGACGGGTCGCGGTTCGTCTTGCTTGTCCAGCTCGAGCAGAGTTGGTGCATAGTCTCCGGGGTGCTCTGTCCGGTAATCTGCTATCCGGGCGAGCATGATGGCCATTTCGAGGTCATTCATTTGGCGAAGGCAGATACGAATGGCGTCTCTAGGTTGCCCTGCTAACATGAAGAAGGCTGCGGCGTATTCTGCGATCAAATACCAGGCGTAAGCAGGAGTCATCGACCCAGAAGGGCAAGATGCCCAAGACTTACGATAACGTTGTTTGCTGAGGAGCGCATAAGCGTTCTTGAGAGCAGCGCCCTTCCATCTCTCCTGAGTAAAGTCGTTCGAGAGAAACTTGAGCATGGACTGCTGTTCCTTGTGCCCATATGCTTGTCTCCATAGACCGTACACAGTGGCCTTTTTGTCGAGCGCAAAGTACAGTAGTGAACAAGAAATCGGGTCTCGCTCCGAAGACAGAAACTCGTTCCGGGCGATCTGGTCCGCATGCCCACGCTATGGAATTATCTGAATCAGTACCCCACAGCATTGTATCAGAGAACGTTGTTGTCGGAGCGACTGACCAGGGTTTCAATGTCGCTTAGCCAGAACGGAGTCCCCATACGCTTCGCTTCGGTCCACGTCAACCGATCTTGTTCCCAGTATTGTGTACTGGCCCGAAGTAGGTCTGCTTGTCTCCGGCTATGCACCGCCCATACTACATAGCGGAACGGAACCGATGGGCGTGAAGGACCCGATGCACGCATGTATAGTGCAGAAAGATACTTCTTGCCAAAGCTGTCGATACGGATTTCTTCCTTGTCAAGCTTATTTGTATACAATCGGGCGTGCGTCAGCGGACATAGATCCAGCTGCCTTCATACCTGTCGTAACGTACCACCTTGACCACCGCACACATACGTTCGATGCCCCGAATTTGCTTGCGGGACCAACCAAGGGGACTGAGAGACTGGTTGTTCAGCAGGGGGTATCGGTCTTCCCTTCCGGTCAGCAGTGCGTCTTGCTCGGTGAAGTTGCTCTTGTTTTGTCTAGATGAATTCAGCATATCGCCTCTATCCTCTCGAGGCTGGATCTGGGGGACGCCAAGCATCAGTTTGAGATATACACCGAAACCATGGATGTTTCCCTGTCCTTACCAATGCAACCTTCTCTCCCTCGTTCCAGAAGCTCTCGGGAGACAACGCTTGGTACTCCTGCTTGCCATCGAGCGCGGAATTTAGCCGAGCGAGAATATCCTGCAATTCCGCTTCGCGATTCCACACAATACACTGCTCCAGATGGAAGCGATGGAAGTCGGGAAGACATGTGCGCCCTCGTCGCAGTCTTTCCAGATCGGCCCTTGTAAGGTCCAATGTCGAAACTTGCGTCCCGGTGCAAAGGACCAATTGACCCCCGGGCATGAACGTGAATCCGGACAGCGGGTATGGGGAGATGCAGGTGACATCGATCATGAAGAGCGTAGACCATGCAGTATTGAGCTGGTCCGAATCCGTCCGGCCTTGAAATAGCACCCTGACGTTTTGAGGGGTACCCACGGCCAGTAGCAGATTCTCATCATAGGAGGACCATGACAGCGCAAGTATCTCCCCTCTTTTTTCATGACAACGTCAGTATAGTTTATCTGACGAATATGGCGCAAAACTCACGGCAATGTCTCGACGTGTTCCGCTGCATTCGCATACATGGCATCCTCGACGTCCCAAATGAGCAATTCACCGTCACTGACTGTAAAGTCATCAGATCAGCGCGGTATGATTTCGGTATATGAGACCATGCTCACCACAAGCAGCTTTGCGCCGCCCAGCAACAGCCAGAAGATCCATGTTTTCCGATGCTATTCGCAGACTGCGCGCTATGACGATGTCGGTCTGAGCAATGTGGGTCCATAACAATCGTCCGTCATTCGTTGCCACGAGAATATCGTCGCGTCCTTGTTCGCCGATAACCAGAGGTCCAGCTGGTTGCACGATGCGACATTCCTCCTTGTCCGAGACGGGCCTGTACACACCCGATAACGTTGGTCGCGGATCGAACATCTCGACTTGAGGTATTGCAGTGATCGTATCGCCGAATATGGCTCGCATGGCTATGCCTTGTTGTGCCGTCAGAAGCAGACTCCTGTCTTCCAACCTTCTGATGTTGAGCAACTTCTTGACTCCGCATCCTTCCGAGATGTCCAATTCCCACACAAGACCGCCTGTTTGGAGGTTCACTGCCCGAAGTTGAGTGTCAGAAGAGTAGACGAGCGGTCCTTCATGCTCCAGCAAGCATAAAGCGTCTATTGTCTCCGTTTCGGCAAGCAGGTTCAGAGTCGCCTTTAACTGCAACGATGAGCCTGCCTTGGCATCCCAGATTCCGCAAACACCCTGACCAGTGACCGTAAGGACCTTTCCGAGCCGGTCTTCTCGCCATATCCCCTTCTGTTCGTGACCAAGCCCCAAAAAGATGCGCTTCGAGGCGCGGCATCCTCCCAGTTCCAGATCAACCCGCTTCAGGTGTGTTAAGTTGTTCATAGCGTCTGTCTCCGAGACGAGAACATGGGTAGAATCTAGATCCACCGCGACCACCTGTGTCGCTAGGGATGCGTCGACCGTATCGCTAGAAGATTGGGCCAATTTCCACACCTTCTCGGCTCCTATCCGCAGGACCGAAGGCGGCTTCGCCTCAAAACCCTCGAAACGTACGCTTCTTATGTTGTGCGAGCGATCCACCCAGTATATCTCGTCTCCACTTCCGGACGATGAGATCGTGTAGGGGTTGTAAGCGCGATCCCGATTGAATCCCGAAGGTTTGATCTCCTCGCCCTGTTTTCTGATGTCCAGGCCGTTCGGTACGTCCAGAGCTGAAAGGCGGTGAGCGAATACCATTTGGAAGTAGCTCGGGGCATCGACGATCGGCGTGTATAATCTCAGCGTGTTCCGAGCATCGAACGTGAAAAGTGCTGGTTGACTGTCGCTGATCGTCGAAGCGGTTTAGCAATCGACAGGGCAACGCAATCGACGAGAGACACTTACTCGATGATATCAGCACCTTGAGCATTCCACGAGACGTCCTGACCTCGCCAACAGAGTCCTCTGAGGCCGTCCTTTCCAGGATGCCGCAGCGTCTGCAACCTGCCCGCCAGCTGTCCTTGCGGATTCAAAGGCTGTATATGTGCTATTGGCTCGCCTTGTTGACAATAAGCGATATGAGTTTGACATGGCGACAGGACCAGCGATACGAGAGGCGCATGTAGCCCTCTGGCATCAGATATCGATCGCATCGATTCAGCAAAGCTCGGATATGCTACATATCGAGAGCAAATGGGAGCTCACATTATCGTCTTGCGCTCCCACACCGGGAAACTCAGACTCGGTTTCAGCTTCCACACCTCGACCGAGATGCTCGGACGGTCGAGTTGCAACAGGATCGTATCTATTGTTCGAATGATTTAAGCGATACCTCACGTTTCGATATGGAGAAGCGAAACTAACTTTGGACGAGCTGGGCTTTACGTATAGGATGCTGCGACCGGATCTCACTGTGCAGCTTCCACTTCAGAGGGATTCCGGCTCCTACTTTCGTATCGCTGGCAGTTGTTGCCGTGTCTGATCGGATGATCCAGACATTTCGGTTCCTCCAAAGCAAGATCTGTAAGGGTGTCAGTCAATACACGATGCGTGCTCGACACGGAACTTCATGCTCACACTTCCATGTTGATCGACATCGAAGCCGAGATAGCTTTCTCCCTGTTCCCGATGATCACCGTTATTGCTCGCTCCGTAGGTAGATTCCGAGGGAAACGGGAATGTTGAGACGTATTCCAAGGCAGCGGTGTAGAAGACGATACCCGAGGTCGTAGCATAGATCTGTTCACTCAGTTGCTGATTAGCTTGACGGCAGGCTCGATTCTTCACGGTACGACTCACCAAGTAGCGAACCCCATCGACCAGTAACCTTCGAAAGCCAGGTAAAGCCTGTCCATTTGAAACGGGTTGACCAGGAAATACCTGTAGACCTGTCGGCAGAGTTGACATTCCCCTACCGAGCGATGCGCTCCCAGGATGTACTACTCGAGCTCTGCGGCGGCAGGTAGACTGATTATTCGGGTTCAAGCCGACTGCGGAACTATCAGATACTCGTAGCCTTGTGACTTTATAGGCCGAGAAGTGATGGGTCAGGCTCGATGTTATCAGGTTGCAAGGGGGGTAGATTACCTTGCTGCTTGACCTGGTATGACGCGGACAGGTCCGAGGTGGAGGGAAGGTGAAGCTCGCATTCGACCTCTACTACCACTACAGACTACTCTACTCCTAGCTGCTAGCTGCTAGCTGACTATAGCCGTATTGTCTGGCCGTAGTCAGTAGCAGAATCATTTATCTACCCTCTGCAGTTATATCCAGCAAGAACACACGCAAACACTTCGATATCGACTAGCTAAGGAGGATACTTATCGATCGAGTTAGGGGGACATATCGCCCGTCCAGAAGTCCTTTCGCCATGTTGAAAACGGTGGAGGAGCTTGAGCAAGACCTGGCGACGGTCTGGAACATCGTAAACCAGCTCTCAGGTATGTGCAAGACTCCATGTTATCGGGCTGCGTTGATATTGACGCAGTAGTCGCTTCTTTTATCGTCGGTCAGAACAAATAAGCAACAACAATCAGCTGCTGTCCCAGCTCCGATCACAATCAGCTCTCGTCAAAGGGCAGGCAGCTCATACCGGTGTAGGCTTTCCTCTACGCCGCTTCAATATCGATATCAGCGATGGTGAGCTCGAACAGTCATTCTCATCAGCCATCCTATCGCGAAAGGTCTAATCGATTGACCCGTACATCCGTTCTCGTTTTCAGAGGAATTCTCGACGCAACTCGAGGAATTCGCATCGCACCTCGTCCTGGAAAACCAGACCTTGACCTATGAGAACAAGCAGCTCAATATCCTGCTCAAGGACTACGAAAATGTCTTGGAAGGGGTCATGGGCAAATTCCGCTCGGTCTCGGTGAGATGAAGCTTGCAACCGTTCTGTGTGAATAGCAGAGCCGGGCAGCTGAAACGTGGTGATACAAACAGCACGCCGCGACGAAGCACGAGCTATCCTTACATCAATACTATACCTCCTTGTTACATAGCCTAAGAACGGCTCAATCGTCACAACAACTTCTGGACAGCACGACCCTTTCGCTGCTACTACAACGCTTGAGCACCCTCATCCGTATGGCGTTGCGGAATGTGAACGGGGAGGAGGATATGGATGGTAACGGAAGTCGAGAAGAATGGGAGTTATTAGGAGCAGCAGCTGCTTCCATCGAAGAGCTCAATCTGGGTGCATCACTGTCACCAGCGGCGGAATCGTCGCAAGCTTTCTCCCCGGCGACGTCGATCGCTGGCTTGCCTTCGACCGCAAGGCCAACCGCCGCTGGCATGATTGTCAGCAGTGATCGTCAGACCGTCGCCTCGGCCAGCCATCCTCCTCGCGCCCCGTCTAGCATCGGGTATGACAGTTGGCAGGGCAACATGACCCCCTCGGGTGGGTATCCGGGGACATTCGGTCGACGAGATTGGGCGTTGGATAGGGAAGAAGAGATCGTACGGTTGACTTCTGAAAATGCTGCTCTTCGTGAAATGTTGGGCGTTGAGGCGGACGTCGATATCGAGGCGGTGCTCGCACAATCTCGGGCGGAAGCCGAAGCCGAAGCCGAAGCCAAGCAGGACGAACAGAACGTCAAGGAGGAGCAAGAGGCTGATATGGTAGATGTCGATCTGGCGGACGACAAATCCGGCGTCAAAGGTTACGATATCGGCGAAGAGTCGACTAGCAAGGAAACGACTCGTGATATGGAGGAGTCCGGTAGTAAGCCGACCGCTGTGACCCCTCCTAAGTCCCCAACGGAAGGTCAAGTCTCGGCCGTAAACTCCACTGTCGGTCGGGATGAGGACGAGGACGCCAAGGACTTTTTCTCGACTTCGCCGAAACACACCGTATCTCGGATATCGATGAAGTCGCCGAGATTAGCAAAACACCACACGTATACGGGTATCCCCACGACCGCTACTACACCTCTCTCGCCCAGTGCGATTCGCGATGTATCTATGGCTGGAAAGGTGTCGGAAGGGTCCGATCGGAACCGAGCTTCGGGCGGTACTACACCCCCGCCGGGGTTAGCGACGCATGCGAGCACTGGCAACATGCCGAACGCTGCTCATTCCAGCACGACGGCTCATTCGTCGGCTTCGTCACTCTCGTTCTTGTTGTCCCGACCCGGAGGCAAGGCCAAGACCAAGACGGAACCTACGACCGCTACTAGCATCGGGGTCGACCTGGACGACGAGGATACCGTTTCTCCGCCGATGGCTTCTTACGCAGCCATGGTAAAGCCACATAGCAAGATGGACTCGGTTAGCGTAACAAAGGAAGATGCGGGAAGTGATACTGGAGCCGCTTCACAAAGTGAGAAACAGCGAGAGGAGAGACGCAAGTCTGCCCCTGCAGAAGAAGCTTCGCCAGCGGACGCGCAGACGACCTCCCAACCGGCGAAGGCGGAGACACCTTCGACGGACCACGACGAGGTCAAGAGGGATGACAACGAGAGTGCCGTACTAGATGACGACGAGGAGGTCGGCGAGTCGCCACCCGAGAGCGATCCGAAGCCGACCATGGAGACTTATGCAGAGGTGGCGAGTCACGAAGAGGCTAAAAGCGACCAGGTCCCCGATGGCAAGCAAAAGTCAAACGATAATTAGAGCCCTTTGCGTTTCTTGGGTCACTATATAGAGCCGTCTTCCTCGGTATGGCAGTTGTATACGTAGATTCACCGAGTTCCGGATTATCGGGTAGCTCGGGTAGACATGGTCCGTCTCATCGGGGTTCATATCATGTTTAGACGTGGTAAAGCTTTGAGATCTCCCCCTTGGTGATAGCCGGTTCAGATCCAAGAAACCCAACAAGTGTGCCGTCGGACCCAACCGATGTGCCATGGGACCCAATGAGTGTGTCATTGGAAGTAGAGGTCGTAAGAGGGCCTGCAGACTTGGGTCGAGCGATCGGAGTTGTGGATTGTGCTGGGGACCGTACCAAGGGGGAATTTAAGGATGAAGCTCGAGGTCGATGTTTTGAGGGGGGTAGTGCAGTATCGGCAAGGGGGATCGGAGTATGTTTGTCGAATTGTACACTGGCAAGTAGCTATGGGAAACGATTGACAAGGGTAATGTTTACGTCACGATTACGCGATCGGATAGAGCTTCCGATCGATACCATATCACTTGAGCACTTGCTCATGAGCAATTGTGCAGGGCTAAGAAGGTTGCAAGTCTGCAAGTTACTTACTTGCATCATTCCTATTCGGATCAATAACCTATGAAAACCCTGCCGAGTTACTCCTTGAGAAAAATAAATTCTAGCTTATTCCGAGACATTCATCGGACGACCTCGTCTTGAGATACAAAAAGCCGCTTCACACATTACGGCCTGCAGCGATATGGATGTCGAGCGAGTTGTGAGGACGCATATCTCCTCCAATGACTCGGTAGATGAGGTTCCTCAAGATCTACTTGAAGGTTTGTATTCGAGCAACTTTCGAAACTCCAGGGGAACCTCCAGGTCGAAGGCACTGACGACCGCCTTTCCTATCCACAAGCTGTACGGAACGGTCAAGTCGGTCTCCTAGAAATCGTTAGGGCGCTCGGGGACTATCTGACCTCGACGGAAGATGAAGTCCGGGTCAAAGGTTAGCACTTTAGGATTACACCTCGGGCGACTCATCCGGTTTGATCTGACCTGTGTTGTATTGCGGCTGGCAGGTATAACGCTGCTCTCAAACGTGCTCGACAAAGCCCCTGCTGCCCGGATCAATCGACAAGGCAGTACGTCAAGCGATACTACATCTTGCAGTGAGAAGCTACGAGCTCACTGAACGGCTCGCCCGTATCTCTCAGCGCAAGTCTTGACATCTTTCTACTGCGACAAGCTGGAAGACCACGAATGTGTGCCGTCTACGTTGAAGGGGCTGGTCGTGCTTACGAAGCTGCCGACGTTTGGTGCAGGAGAAGCTAGCCAGGTCTTCCGGTCGTGAGTGAGCTTGTTTAGCTCTCCTCGTGTGCGCAGCTAAAAGCTGGTCATCCCATAGACTGGCGGGAAACTTCAAGAGCAAATCTCATGTGCAATCGACCCGTCATATCGTCTTCCTCCTCGTCGACGCTCTGCTTGCAAAGCACCTCTCGGCCATGAAGACGCTCGGGGATGAATTCGTGTCGGGATACATCAAGTTGGCGGAAGGAGAGAAAGACCCCCGGAATCTCATCCTGGCGTTTGGAATCGGGAGAGTGATCTTGATCGAGTTTGACCCTTATAAGCATCTCGATGTGAGTCTTTTTCGAGGATCCAGTGCTGGACCTGGAAGCAACTGATTTGTTCTCTGTTCTTATCAGGATATGTTTGATATCATCTTCTGCTACTTTCCCATTACGTTCCGACCGCCTCCCAATGACCCATACAATATCACTCCTAAAGACCTGCAAGAAGCCCTCCGAGGAGCAATGTCGGCCACGCCGCGTTTCGCACCCATGGCCATGCCTCTTTTCCTGGAAAAGCTGCCTGCTAGTCTGGGAGAATCGAAAAAGGACGTGTTGCGCGGTTTGACGGCCTGCTTGCCCGTCTTTGGAGGACGTGCTGTTCAAGGCTATGCTTCGGATCTATGGGACGCTCTGAGAACAGAGGTGAGCTGAAGCGAGTCGGGCTTCTCCGTCCTTGCGGTCAGACAGCTAATCGCGTTATTCTTGATATTAGATTTTCTACTCTCCCGACGCAGAGATCGAGAAAGAGGCTTTACTTACGCTCAAGACTCTCATCGCTACCCTTTACCCTGATACCCCGGAGACTAAGGCTGCGGATCTGGCCCTCGAAATTATCAAGGAGTGTCAAGCTGAATTGAAGGAGCCCGAAAAGAGCAAGGCCAAGCCGGCCACCAAGGTTTTGATGACGTGCGTTCATGCTTCGTGTGAGTGCCTGCCTGCCTTGTCCTGCTGAATTCATCTGCCTCACTGATCGAATACATGACCTGTTCTAGCTCTGATCGGGTCATACGCCCTGTCACAGGTGTTACCGCAGCTCTTCAGGATGTATCACGAGGACTCGGAGATCCCGAAACGTGGACCGATACTCAGTGCGATCGCAGACCTCGTCAAGTCCGTCAGGGAAGTGTATACTGCCGAAGGAACTACTCGCAGTCATGAGACCGAACGCACAATCGAGAAATACCGGGACGAGTTGCTCAGCCTGATGAGCTCGGGGATCGATAGTCGCGCTCAGGACTGCCGATTGCCAGGATTGCAGGGTGCCGAGCATCTAGTGAACATACCTGGCTTTTTGGGTGCCGAAGAGGTCACATATCTGGTCAGCAAGATTGACGGCGTCTTGACTACTCGGGAACCAGAAGCATTACAGTAAGCACGGTTACCGTCTGCTCGGTAGCGTAAATCTGACTTACCGCTTGCGTAGAAACGAAGCTTTGAAGACGTTGTCCGCTATCTCGGCGCTGACAACGCGGCCTATCGAAGAACACACCTTGCCGCTACTATTCGATCAGCTACCAGGAGAAGCTCCTGCTCTATCCGACGAAAAGAGCCGATATTACATCCGTCAAGTTCTAGAATCGCTAGCGACTTTGTGCGTACAGCCGGGGCTTTTCGAAGCTCTTCATCTTCGCCTGGTCCGACAATTCGCAGGCCTATGTGAAGGCTCCACTTCAACAGATAATGAGAACATGGACGTGGAGGAAGATGCCATCCGGAAGGAATGTCAAGTTGCATTTGCGTACTCCTTGCTTCATGCGATCCGAACGACACTGCAGCGAAAAATCGCGCTCAAGCATCACGACATCGCAAAACATTACGAACATCTCGTACCGCGTCTCTATAGCATCTTTATCGAAGGAGCCAGGACAGACCGTAGTATCGCAAATGACCCGAGACTGATGGCCGAAGGAGCCGCCGTTGTCATGATTATGACGCAAACTCTGGCTAGCAAGTGAGTCTTGGCTAGGAGACAACTCGTCTGACTCTCATATTGATACTATGACTTGTCGCAGTCAACAAGCCTCCCATGCCACAACATTGTTTGAGGCATTGAGAAACAGCGACTTGATCAGACTAGCTGGCAAGCATGGTATTGCTGAAGCCCATGCTGGTATTGGACCGCTGAAGGTACGTCCCATCTCTTCTCACGCGTGATCTCAGCCGCTGAGAATTTACGTCTCGATATAGGAGGATGCCTCCGTCAACGAGCAGAACCTAGTGATTCTCATCACGGCGGATGCAGCGGGACTCAGGGTGAGGTCACAGTACGTGAAAAGACCTGAAGCGATCCGGAGACTAACTTGTCTTGACCACACAGCCAGAGTCATTGCTTTGCGACTTGAATGCTGTCTTGCAGTCTCTATTGCAATGGGCGATACATAAGGCTACGTCGCAGGTACAGGTAATCTCCGTCTGTCATTTGATGGCATCCTTGATCAACAAGCGAGCCCAAGGTCAGTCTCGCATATCATTTCGCCAACCAGTTCTTGTAGCTGATTGACCGCTTAAAGACCTCGAGCCATTCTTGTCGTCTGCACGGAGAGATCTCTGGTCGCTGTGCGAAGCAACTCAGCCGCTTGTTTTCAGGAGAGCTTTGACGATGTGGATCTGGGTCAGTCCCTTTCGTCGTGCGGTCCGCAGAAAGCTCGAACAGTGTACTGAATCGAAGCGCTTTGCAGATTGGCCGAGCACTTCTGGTGCGCAACCACGCATCGGGCCTTCCCATGATAATTCAGGTCTTTGACCTGTTCGCCCGAGACAATGAGGTCGCATCACTAGCAGGCGCTTCTCTGAGCATCTTGAGCGATTCTCACGGGGATCGCATCCTTTCCAAGGAGAACTTCGCGATCGTGAAGGTGAGTCCTGGTGTTGCTCATTTTGGTACAGCCTGTAGCTGACGACCGTCATCTCCTTAGACTCTGTACAAGCAACGCTTATTCAGTAGCCTCCTGCCCCTTATGATCGAGGGAAGCAAGACCCGACAAGGATCCGCGCAAACGCCGTATCTTTTGGCACTGGGCTCGACTATCGCCATTATCCCTCAAGGGTTGATCATATCACACCTTGCCGAACTACTACCTCTTATCATGCGGGGCTTGGCACTGCCCAATGCCGAGATCCGATACAACATGTTGCGCATGCTGAGCTCGATCCTCGAAGTAGAGGGAACTGCGGAGACGGGGACACTGTTGCGATCTCAGGCGAAATCGCTGGCAGATGTTCTGGTGGTCACGGCCACCGATTTGCGAGAAGAAAGCAGTTCGCCGGTAAGTCGGCCTTGCTCGTGGTATTTCGCGGAGGCGGCAACTGACGGGCGGTAAACCGTAGAGGACGAGAATAGCGGCATTGGCTTGTCTAAGCATTTTACCCGACACGATACGCTATGATGTCCTGCATACTGTCAAGACAAAGGTCTTGAAGGAGCTAGCGAGAGCCATTGACGATCCTAAACGAGCGGTGAGAAGAGAGGCAGTAGTGTGTCGCTCAAAGTGGTACGTTTCCACTAGGAATTTCCATTACCAGAACTACGCATGCTCATATTCGTATCGATTTCTAGGTTCACTTTCGGAGGGGCAGGTACATGATTCGACCTATAACTGTAGACGGCTATAACATGATCATCAATCATGAACTCAGGATTCTGTTTCTGAGATGTGCTGATCGAGCACCGTCATGACGTGCTATCCGACATGGCCTCGACTCGCTCCATTGACTGCAAGGCCTCTTGCTCTAATTCACGTACGACGTCTCCAGCTGGGGCGATCTTGTCCATGTTACCTACGCCTGTTCCTGCCCAGACAATCAGTCGATCCGCATCCCCTCGTTTCTCCGCATCCATATAGGTCGCTTGACGTGCAGCTTTATCGTCCCGCCCAGCTTCGTAATCGTCTACGGTAGCATTCCGGATTCCTCGCCCGTCCACCCCTTCTGGCCAGTCGAGAGTGCTTCTCGCTTCGTCGAATGCCATGCTCCGGACGGTCGATCCTTCTTTGGCGTGCAGGAGGACTTGTTTACGCTCGTCAGGGTAACAACTCTCGGGTGTCAACAGGAACCGAGTGCCGTATACGGCTCCTGAAGCCCCGAGAGCCAAGCAGGAGACGAGGTGTTCGCCGTTGGACAGGCCTCCGGCGCCGAGCAGAATCGGTTTGGAATCGGGGTTTAGAGGTCGATAGGACGATAATCGGCGGGCGATGTGAGGTAGCAAGGTCGAGAGTGGTGGGGAGGAGCCGTTCCCATGGCCTCCGGCTTCGATACCTACGGTTCGAGAGGTTGGTGACCGAGCCGTGAGTTACTATGAGTGCAAGCAATACGTATATATACATACCTTGAGCTACGACGACGTCCGCTCCGACCTCTTCTACGGCGACCTTGGCTTCCTGCTCGCTCCCCACCCCGACGAACAGCTTCCATGAGTCCTCTGTGCGATCCCCGTGTAAAGCCCGTTCTCTCTCCCTGAACGCTTTTGCCCACTTCGAAAGATCGCTTGACTTCCCGAATGCAAGCCAGATGGCTCGAGGAAGTTTCTTCAGGGTACTATCGATACAAGCGAACGCTTTGGGTCGGCTCGCAGGATCAAAGGCGGAGTTGCTCAATGTTGATGTGGGTGAACTATCGAGTTGGGACAACTTCCATCCTAGAAAGCCGACCCCGATCTCCATCCGGTGTGAAGATCCTGTAGATCTTTCCAATATCGATTCGACGACCGCGAATTCTTGATCGAGTTGAGAGGGAGTCAGGTAACCTCCTCCGACGAACCCGAACCCCCCTGCCCGAGAGACTTCGGCAGCGAGCCTGCCCCCCGCTGCTCCGCCCATCGGACCGGATACGATGGGGATCCGCAGGGAAGGTAGGATGTTGTGGAGTGGTGTACGAATCATGATGCTGTCAATACGAAGATAGATTGTAGTCGACGCCCGTCGCTGTTGTCGGTGGTAGTAGAAGAGAGAATAGAGATATAGGTTTGTTGCGACCCTGTATGGATGTCAAGGGACGGTAACTTGCTCGTGATGACGAATGTTTCGGCCGTCAACTTCCGTCACTAAGCGCAGGCGCACGGCATCGATGAAAACCTGATCGATCAATCTACTCGTCCATAGTCAACTGTCTGTGTACAGCATCAAAATTAAGGTTTATCTGTGTTATAGCCAGAGATATCCCCGCCGGTGAGTGTGTCTTGGCCATACGCAAACTTACACAAGCTTTCATCTGACCGTTTTGCCAGTTCTCAAGCGACTTTGCAGCTTTGCATAACTTTCAGGATCATTCTTCTTCTTATCATGACCGGCTTCGTCCCTCTGTTGATATAGGATGCATTATTCTCTCTCCTTTGACAATTTCTGGCCGATCCTTCTATAGCACTTTTGAAATTCTCTGTTCCCATTCGGCAGATAAACTGAAAAGTAATGGCAGATGTTCCGTATATGCTGGTACATTCGAGCCCAGACGTAACAGCAAACCTAATGGATCGCTGAAAAAGTGTGTTTTCTCCATGCGGATCCGACTTCATGCCCTTGTTATCATGGTCATGCCGTCAACAACTTCAACCTTTATCGCGGGGCCAGAAGAAGCGGCTTCTTTGAGCAGTCATGCTTCTGTTCCTTCTTCATATAGCTGCTTGTTCTTTGTATAATTGTAATTGAAGGGTGTTCGTTCTGATGTGGAAATGATCGAGAATCAAAAGTACACACGTGAGAAAGCTATTTTTTGACATCTGAGTGAAGGAGGCTGTCTGCTGGCTGGCCAAACTTGGCCAGCAGATGATACACTACAATACTACTCAGTACTCATTCCGACCCCCCTTCCTCCCGCGTAATTCACTCATACACTCACTCATACACCCCTTCACTCATACACCTCTATATTCTCTTCTCATATGCCTCACAATACCACAATGCGGAACAACCACAAAAAAATGTTGATGAAGTGGTCAGATTTGTGGATGGACATCTTCATATGGTCCAGGTTCTGCGTGACCTCCTGGTACGGCAAGAAGGTAGCATACCTCAAGACCTCGTCCGCAAGGCTATTGGGCAATGCGGTCGAAGCGGCGGTGAGGCTGTTGATGGGGAACACCAATGGGAGGACAGTAAACCTACTTGGTGAATATGAAGGTACATACGAGCGCGACCCACGTTTGCCTTACCGGCGAATCAGTCTTTCTGGATAACAGAGAGGTGTATTGAGATCGTAATAGAGAATAGGAAGCATTCAGTATGAAGAGGTTCCGCGAGATCAGGCTGGGGGGATACTAATTGGGTGCGGGGCATCGGTTTGATCCAAGGAGAAGGGCTCACCTATTGAGGGCGTCCCTGCAGGGAGTCCCTCCATGCGTCTTGGGATCTAAAGCATTCCTGTAGATGGCGCAAACATTCGACTCAATATTGCTCATGAGAAGGAAAGAAAGTCGAAGGTTATAGACTTAGCTTGGAGAGGAGCTGAGTAGTTCAAAGCGCATTCAGCTACCTGTAGGCCATGGTATGGTCTCTCATCGTGCCAGGTGGTTTCACGAGAGCTAAGCCGCGCAAATGATGACGAATAGCAGTTGATACGTTTACATATGCAACCACGTTCAAGGTAAGGGTGTTAGTCCTTGGGCAGTCCTTGGGCACAGGTGGGCCAAAGATGGCGATCGATTGTGCCGGGTAAGCGTGATCGAGGACGCCAGGCGGTCGAGTCAGATCCCAGTCCTTGGCGATATCTTTACTGCTGCATACATAAGTCGGATGAGCCATCGAAAGGCGCCAACAGATATTGCGAGTATATCACGGCGATCATCCATTGCAGGCAGGTACTCACTCTTGCAATCTGACTCGATTTGAGCGCCTGGTTCGAGCTCTCTAGCGTCGGTGAAGCAGACCTCATCCCTGGACTGCCCTTCTGTCTCACAATACCTGTTAGCGAAAGCGGTGACACGATGTATCGAGGCCACTTCCTTCTGCACAATCGGCGATATCCAGTCCGTTCCCGGATGCATGCCCCATCATAATATTGCAGTTCGAGCATACTGAGGCAGTAGTAAAGGCTCGGACCGGATGGCCCAGCCCAGCTTTCAAATTCCGCGATCAACAAGTAACGCATAGTCAGGTTTCAATCTTATTCTTCCCTTCAAGGACCCATGAGGTGTACATGAGCTCAAATCCTGCGAGAGGTCGAGCGAACGAATATTAGCGACTCATCAGGTATATGTTAACGCGACACCGGTAATTGGTCTGAACCTCGGGCTGATCGTGGTTCACGTAGATCTGGGTACCATATCGAAAGAGGGAGTCATCCTCGGCGAGGACTGATCCCAGCTTCGACAAGCTGATCAAGTTAAGAATGGTCCCGACTTTTCCAAACATGTGGCGTAAAGAGAAAGTCGTTCTATTGCAGAACAAATGAGCCGAATCCAGTCCTCCAATAATGGCGCCGTCGGCCTTGTAGATAGGTTTCAGCTAGCTGTCATGAAACGTAACGAAACACACCTTCGTGAGGCCTTTGGCGGCGAAACACATGGTGAACTCAAAGGAGCAGCTTTAATCCCCGATGACGTCGAAGGAGACTTTCTCTGTTCATCTCATGCCCAGTGGCAACTTCAGTATGCGGAGGCCGCATCATTGCAAACGGTATCCGTTGATTTTACTGGTTCGGGGAAAGCGGGATATGACTTCGTAGGGCGCGATTGCTGTTCAGACCTTATCAGGATCATCGTCAATTTGTTAGCGCTCGTCGACGAACTCCAGATCCTGGAGCAGACCACCCTCTGCATTTGTCGGCTCCCCGCTACCGCCCGCCCGTTCTTCGTTATTGTAGAAGATTGTTTAGTTGGTCATGTCTATTCATCTGGAACTCCTTGAGTCGCGTTGCGCGTTCGGTACCCCGCGTTGTCATTTCGAAGAGGCGATGGCAACGCCTACAAGCTCATCCGAGGTTAGGCTACGATCCAGCTATGTCCAACGGTTTGATCGTGTGTATGATATATCAGGCTGTTGCGCAGATGATTTCCCTTTGAGGTGAGGAGGTTGAGATGATTGAGATTGGTAGAACTCCCGATTTCCTTCCCGTCACGGCATATTGCGCTATCGCTTCTGAGATCCTCATCACGGAACGTAAAAAGGGGAGTTTAATGGGGATGGAAGTCTTTTGATGTCAAGTCGGATCATGCTCTGCCGCAAAGCACCGTAAGTGTCGACTGATAATGGGCCAAATACGTGATATGCGCGGTGACGCAGATGTGCTGGCCTGGCGCGGTATTCTAGCCTTCGAAAGAAGTATGATGTAGATCGCACGGTGATTCGTATGCATATGGCAGCTTCGTATATGATACAAAAAACTCTCTCCGAGAAGATAGAGACCTATTACTCGATGTCGTACGACTAAATTCGAGGCGTAGATGACGGTTATCCAGCCCGCATAAGGATTCTTCTAGGTGATATTACTTATGACCAAACTCAAAACATAGCTAGCGGCTTGGTGTAGTGGAAGCACGCTGGGCTCATATTGCTTGTTGATGGAACCCAGCGGTCCTCGGATCGAGACCGAGAGCCGCTACTAGCTTTTTGTCCTGGAATCGATATATACTTCGCGATCAAGAATCGCGCTCTCTCTGGCGCATCGATCTCTTTTTTTCGACTCTTCCGACTGATCCCGATCCAGTATGATGATACAAATACTACGAAACCGATCCAGCGGCCCAGCAGGCACATATCGAAGTACAGAGTAGACCTAGCATCGCATCAGACTACAGGCCGGCCGACGTTCTCGGCAAAGCTACCATTGGCTCCAGGCTGAGGCGATCAAGGCATTAGACTGTTTTACCGACAAAGTGGATGCGATTGATCTCACCTTGAGCTTGTACTCGCACACCATCAAGGTCCAGATGGTCTGTCAACTCAACAAGCGACGTTAGCATCAAGCTGGTCAGCAACTACATCCTGCGAATAAGGACCGACCTTCTTGTCCTCGGCCGTGCTCGCAGGGCAATCGACAGCGGCACAGCCGATCTCGCCCAGGCCTTTCCAGACCATTTCTGCGGAGATTGACGTCACCTGTCAGCTCACGAGCTGAACAAGGGCAGGAATGGTCGACTTACGAGTCCAATGGGCTGTGCAAGATCGAGGCAATCGGGTCGTCAGCATCTTAACAAGCAGGCTAGCAACGATAAGCTCGCTCTAAACGCACCTCCGACCGGGTTGTCATAATCGTAATCCGCAGCTTCACCGATCCATAAGCCGGTAGCGGTCCGAACTGGGTCGGTATCAGCAGCGATCGAGGCCGCAATGTTCTCCCCATAAATCCCTTGCCTACAAAATCGAAGAAAGGGGCATAGCATGAGCGATACTACCCCCTAAATCCTGGACAACTACGGCTCCCGGACTTACGAATGGCCCCAAGAACAATGAGCTCCCCAGGCTTGAGCAACAGAGGCCATCTCGTCATTCCACGCAATCGGCTCAGCGCCTATCCGAACGAAGTCATACATCAGCCCTGTTCGGCAAGACCCATCATAGCGACGCTGGGGAACTGACCATACTTGGCTCGCTCATCGTTATGAGCCTTGAGCCAGTCTTCGGGTCTGGAACGATCCGGTCCTCCGACCCCGCTGGACGGAGCTTGGGTCGCTTCAGGAGTAGTAAGCGAGGTGGCCGCGGCCGTGGGAGACTGAGACTGAGCTTCGGTAGTCCGGATGACGGACGTAGGCTCTTCCTGAAGGGTCTCGCCGGTAGAGGAAGCGGCCTCGATCTCGGTCCCGGTGGTAGTAGCAGTTTCCACAGGAGCAAAGACCTCGGTAGCCAGCGAAGTCTGTGCAGCTTCCGTGCCGGGAACCTGGGTGGACACGGTGCTGCTAGTCTGACTAGAAACGACGCTGCTGGTGGACCCAGTCCTAGCCGGACGAGCCGAACTACGACCGGGTTTACGTCTACAGCTGGTCGGCCTCGTCTTCCGGGTTCGGGTTGACGAGGCTAGATCGGTCTGTACGGCCATCATCCCGCCGGGTCGGTCGAGGGTATTGACGTTGCCCTCGTCAAACGCTTGTCCCTGTTCAACGGAGGTCCGATCAGCATCGTCGTTGGCTGCGTGAATCGTCGAGCTTACGCAATGAGAGATGCATTGGTCGTATCCTCGGACGTTGACACCTTCATTGGAATTACCGGGCCTGCCGGCTCTTCTCATGATCAATCCGGTATTGGCGGTAACGAGCGGGGTGCCGATGACCAGCAAGGGCAGAATACGAAAGAGAGTGACGACAAGCATAGTATCGAGTGTAGGAAAAGGAAAGGGATGAAGCCTCGAGATGGCGACTACCAGAGTCGTTTTGTATAGAGATTAAGGGGAGACTCGATGAGATTTGGGATCATCTTTCTTTCTCAGAGCGGTCTACATGATATATATGGCTGCTGCCTGCTACACCTAAGCTCATCGTCACCAGTGCAACAATTCGGCCGATATACCTTTGACGACGAGATGATCAGGTGACGACCGACAAACAATTCCCGAAACGAACGACAAAGTGAAACGGAATGATCAGGAGAGATCGACGAAACGCGTTTCGGTTCTCTCGTCGCGTGATCAGAGAGACATGCCTTTGCCGACGCTGACGATGAAACGCGTTTCAGGGTAAGACAATAGTAATGGTAACAACGAATATCGGTCGTTTTAATCGCTCGAAACAGAGATGGGGAGATCGTCCGAGCACGGAAAGACGGATCGAGTGAGACCGCACGTTGTCAAACCCGGTCTTAACATACAAGGGCCGCTGATGCTGTGCAAGCGTATGTCCTTCGATTTCCCGGACACCTTTTTCATCATGGACCCGCACTTTATCCTGACCGCCCTCGACTTCACCTTGCGCTTGTTGGCCTATTATTGTTTGCGGAACAGGTGATACTCGTCCAGGATTATCGTAAGAAAGAAGGCCATACCGTACCGCGTACTTTCCCTACCTCTCTCACGGTCAGTCACGTGACTTCCCACCCTGCAAGTGCAAGCCAAGCGATCGTCATTACGTCAATCCAATCCAACCCCACTCGCGCTCGCGTGGGAATGACGGTCTCGGTACGCAAGCGAGAAGGTCGATGCGTCGGTTGCCGCCGGCAGTGGCGACTTGCGACGTGCGAGCTTGCGAGTTTGCGAGCTTGCGACTTGCGATTCGACTTCACTTGGAATTGGATATTTGGAAGGTGGTTAAGGTCGTCAAGGTCGGACATACGAGTTCGCACAAGCATAAAGCAGAAAGCATAAAGAACCCAAGCTGAGGTCGGCATGTCCAGCTCATAAGACAAAGGGGTGGAGGGTGGGAAGATCAGGGTGGGAGCAGCGAATCGATGAGAATAATAGGGGTGTTCTTCCTTACCCCCCCGCGTGAAACAGCACAGCCGATCAGCCGAGGGTATTTGATCTTGCCAGAATCCAGGACGATGCTATCGTATCGTGTTCCGCCTGCGAGCCCCGTACCGAACCAATGGACGATGCCGTACGTTCCATCTCAGCAGCCCGTAGCCGAGATGTGAGAGAGGGTTTCAACAGGGTGCGTCGAAGAATGTTCTCATGTTCTCACGTTTTTCGGTTCTGGTGTTCCCTCGAGGCTAGAGGTCACCTGACTTGCACGTTTACACGCCTCGTAGTGATCTGCGTCTCCGCGAGAAGACGGGCCGACGGCGCCAGAGGGTCGTCTGACATATCATATCATAGCAGGTTGTTTGTTGATTACATGATCTTTACTTCGTATCCTCGTGATCCTATACCTACCCCCTTCTTAGTCCTGTAATACTAGAATCTACAAGTCCTCCAAACTCCGAGATATCCGCGTCAACCCATCCCCACCTCGGACCGAACGAAAGCGATCACGTTACCACGCGCAGATCCAAGATTTTCTGTGCTGGAATCCACCCATTACCCCTGGAATCTTCCTCTTCGACCTAGGGTAGCCACCACCGTCATCATCATCATCTCTTCTGACCTCGTGCTCGTGCTATCCTCGGGAGATCCACCAGCTACCCCCTCGAGCCCCTTGAAACACTCCCAACTTCTTCTACTGTCGGGGTTGGTCCACGTTCTCCCGCAGCCAGTGCCGGCGGCAACGACCTTTTCAGCACGACTAAGCACTAAGCACTAGCACGCGGGGTATTCGAGTACTCGAGTATATATATACAACAGGCCACAGGAACATCTTTCGAGTTTTTCGATAAGCCGGAAAGCTTGAAGAGGGGATTCAGGTTAGAAAGATCAGAACGCCAGATACGAATTAGGATATAGCCAAAGGAGAAGATATAGGATATAGGATCAAAGGGAACATACTCCCTCGTTACAAGCTCCATACGGACTTCGAAGACGGCTTTTGACATAGCCTTTACTCGACTCCATACTACTAGCTACCAGCTACTGAACTCGACTCCCACACTCGACCTCGACCTCGACCTCAGTCGTGACTTTGGGCCGTACAGAAGCCTTATCTATACACAACACCTCTTTTTCGATAAGATAACATGGACAGCTGGACGATTCTTTTTAGGTCATCGTAATCAACTCCCCCGCATAACGCAAACGCATCAGGAAAGAGAGGGGTTTGGGTTTGGGTTTCAATCTCGATTCCTAAAGCAGGGTTTATATCACTCGTACACTCGTACCCGATCGTCAAAGGCATTCAAGTACACCGAAAACGAAAGACCTGAATCATGGTCGGCCACAATAACAACAACAACAACGATAACGGGAGACTACCCCATGCTATCACCTCGTATTTCGATATCCCGCTCGGTTCTTCCTCCTCTACTGCCTCGGAGTCTAACACCAACACCAATACGACCACGACCACTACGGCTGATACGAGCGCCAACCCGAGTACCGCCCATACCCCTTACACTGCCGACTCTGCATCCACGTCTACGGTCTTGAAAACACAACCTCGACTACAAGGCCCACTACGTTCTCCACCCCCTTCAGTACCCTATTCTCCGGCGTTTAGCGAACCGAGATCCCGAGCGTCTGGTTCGGGTTCGAGAGGCGGAGCTGGGATGGGGAGGGGGGTTTATACGCCAGCGTTCTCTGATGATGAGGTGGATGTCGAGGATGAGGATGAAGATATCTCCGGAGGAGGTGGTGGTATAGGTACAGGTACGGGTTCGGGTGTAGGCGGGGTGAAACGGGTGAGGAGTAGGAGTTTTAGACGAAGGGCTAGGTTGGCAGCAGGATCAGGGTCGTCGGGAGGGTCGGCAGGGAAATCAGCGAAGGGGAATGTTAGGGGGAATACTAGTACTAGGGGACTGGGCTTGGGGATGACGGGGATCGTACCGCCGAGTACGAAGACGAATATGAAACTGTGGGGGGTTAGTAAGTGGAAAGGCGGGAGAGCTATACAAGGTGCCGGGGAGGAAGAAGACGAGTACAAAGACGAGAAGGACGGGCAAGAACAAGGACAAGAGTCAGCTACTCCGACCTTCGGATCACACATCGTCGTAGAAGAAGGAGCGCTACTCTTGACCACCTCGGCGGCGTGGGAAGAAGCTTTCCACCCCACGCTCGGCTTGATGAGGCGTGATCGGGGTGGACAGCGGGTCGAACTGGATGGGATCTTGCCGGATGAGAGGTTGAGGACGATCGGGGATGATGTCGAGTGGTTGGTACTCGATCTGCGTTTCGTCATGGGTTCGGAAGAGTACAAGGACGAACAGGCTCTGTTGGGCGGTGGTGGGAGTGCAGATGCTACGGGTGCGACCTCGAGGCCGGGGTTGTCGACCCTGACGCACAGGTCGAATTCGTTGCTCGCCACGCATTCGCACTCGCACTCGAACGTACGGAGTACATCGACAGGGTCAACCTCGGCCTCGGAAACGTCGTCTCGGACGCTCAACCCGGCTTGTTTGCCCAAAGTGCACAAGTTGACGTTCTTGGGTTCGGAATATGCCGAGACCATGTCCGTCTCACGGGCGGCCGAGGTCAGGAGCATCGTACAGGTGTTAAAGGGGTTGTTGGCCGTCGAGTGGTGAGTGTCTGCTCGTCCGTCATTGGGTTATCATATCCCTCCAGAGCTGATTTTTGGATCCTTGGAGCAGGTTGCCGTCAAATGACGATCCGATGGCGGGCGACAATTCGAGCTCGTTCTCCCCCGCTCCATTCACACCGTCCGGTTCGACACGCGGTAATCAGTACGCAGGGACGACAGTGACGTTCCCGACGTGTCTCGTCCCGCAAGACCTGATCGAGGCGGGGAAACGGTGGAACGTCAACTGGAATAGGCGGCCAGAGGGGGACGACGTGTTCGCCAACGAGGGCATCGAGGGCGAGCAGCAGGAAGACGACGATGGGGTGTCGACCGTACGGCGATCTGAACAGAGAGATAATGTCGTACCCTTTCCCCGAGCTGGGGTCGAGCCGGAACAAACAGACTCGATCGAAGCGGACGACACGTATCGACAGTCCGGCCATCGGTTTTATAGCAACGTCAGCGAGCAACATCGGCAGGACGTTGGGACGTTGAGTCAGGTGGCCATCAGTCCGTTGCAGTGGTTGGGCGGGTTGAGGTGTCTCAAGGTGCAAGGTGCGTCGCAGTTCGGCTTAGGGCCAGAGTCATGATGTAGTCTATTGCTGATTAGTGTATCGTCTTGCCATGCTCAGGCGGATTTCCCGTCCCGCAACCGGACGAGAGTTTGGGGCTGGTCAAGCCCGATTACTCGTTCGCTTTCAAGACTTGGATCGGAGAGAATGGCGTCGAGACCCTCGTCTGGAGTTTCAAGGGTGAGCTGGAGGCAGGCGATATGGAACTCACTCGAGACTTTCTGCTAATGAATTCGCGCGTGCGACAACAGGCTCTTACACCGAGACGACGACCCTCACTATACTCAAGCACCTGTTCAAGTTCATCACCAACCGCTGGATCGAGGTCGGCAAGGCGTCGTCGCCGGATCTGCGACCTGCCTGCTCACTCCTCGTCTTGCAATCTGTCAACCCGGCCGTCGTGGCCAAGCTCCGCAACGCTACCGACCAACTCACCCGTCGTCGAGTCGGTCTACGTATCGATGATGACGTCCCGTTCCACGCGTTCGAGTGGCTCCGCGACGTCGTCTTTCTCGAGGACAAGGTGATGATAGAAGAGGAAGACCGGGAGGTGCCTAAAGTCACCCGTCTTTGGGACACGGAGAACGAGGAAGAGAACGTACAGCTCGACATGGATCAGGTCAGAGCGATCGTCAGGCTCAAGGCCGAAGTCCTCGCCCATGCACGAGCTGGAAGGGGCGCTAAACCTCGTCCGGTGAGGAGTAAACGGGGTCAACCGACGAAGCCGCCACGAGACTCGGGCGCTTTCCGAGAACGCAAGGGTGATCTTCGTCTCGATCTGTCGGAGCGCGCTCAAGATGAAGGTGATCGTGCCGTACCGGATGGTCCTCGAGAGGACGTCTCGTCGCCGCCCAAGACCGCCTCGACCATCAGGCCGCTGTATAGGCAATTCCCCCTCAGCAAGGGTAATCCGCCGAACACGGCCAGCCCGGGCATGTCCCGCAATTCTTCCTACACCAGCGCGCCCTCGGTCTCCGATTCGATCGCTTCGCTCGGCAGCTCGGCCAGCTTGGGTACCATCGCCGACGATCAGCTGACACTCAGTCCTCGAGTCGCCACTGGCGAGAATGCTGCTACACTCGCCGGGGACGAAGAGGACGAGGATGACATGTGTCCCACCATCCGGGTCGATCGTGTCGGTTCCATCAAGTCGCCATTATCGTGACACCTTTACAACACTACCGCATGTTGTGACGTCTTTACAAATGGATACGACAACTTTACGCCGACGAGTACCGTTACGACCAGCCTGCATATTTGTTTCGATCTCATCTCGCATAGGAGTCTCTTTATTGCTCTTGTTACGATCCTGTATTGTCGATCTCGAGGACTGCCCGTTCAGTGGGTTCCTGTACATATGCATAACAATATTTGTTACGTACTTGGTTTCAATGGGCAGCAACGCTGGCTTGAGTGGGTCGGTATAGGCAGTAGCAGTATTGTAGACAGTCCGGGACGGTGCACCTTGTCGTTTTCGTTTGGTGAAAATGTGTGCGGCTGGGGGATCTGAAGGAGAATGCGGTTGAGATCGAGGTGCAGACTGCGCCTTGCTTGTATGCGCCATTGCCCATGCGCCAGTGCCGTGTAGAGATGTCACGTGACTCTAGATCGCGCATCCCCGACGACGGCCATCATCATCTAGCATCTCTGCATCTCTGCTCTGCATCCATCATCAAACCCATTCATCAACATCTCTTATTAGCTACTGGTAACCAGCTTATTACAATAGACAGATCGTGAAACTACCAATCGCCTGCTGCCCGGTCCGTGGCCCGAAGGCGATGTCCACCCTACCTAGAGCTTGCACCCGCTGCATCGGGAGGAAACGCAAGGTGAGCTCGAGAAGACCGCAGACGTAACTTTGATCAAGCAGTCATCTAAAACCTCTAGGTTCTCCATATCTGCAGTGTGACTTCGTACGGCCTAAGTGTGCGAACTGTGATCGTATTGATTCCACTTGCATCTACCCATCACCACAAAAGAGACGGTGAGCCCAGATGTCTCGGTGAATTGTTGACGCTGGCTGACCCCTGCTCTTCTTCGCAAAGTGGCCCACTCGGAGGGTTCTCGCGTCTGGCAGAGGACAGGACGATAGCCTGTGAAGATGCTCTATTCTTCATGCTGGCTCAGCCTGCTATCCGAGCCTGCTTGAGTTTACTGCGTGATGAGGTATGTCTTTGTTCATCATCATACTACTGCTCGCTATACAATAGTGAAAAAACATCCTTTGGCATCGAAATTTGAACATCAGAAGGTGGATGCTATACCTCAAGCTGTCGACAAGACTCTGAGTAAAGAAGCGAGGACAGCATGGTGGAGCGATCATCCTGTCGATACGATCTCTGCATTGTTGTCTCTTCCAATCGGAACTGAAGGAGTCTCAGCCTCCCAGGGACGGGTCGGGTCGGCAGTGGATGTCGAAGCGAACAGCTCGTCCGAGCTCGAGGTGAACCAGGACGAACGAGAAAGGTCCAGTACGGAACAGATGAAGGGTATGCCTGGTGAGCTCGATCCCGGGCCGAAACGTACTATTGTGGGCCGTTTCTCAGCCTTGCATCGACCTGAATGAAGGGGGTCCTTTTCCCTCCTTTTCTGCCCAAAACACATACGAATCAGGACCCAGTCATATCTCAGCTTCACAGCTATACTTGAGAACACGCCATGAGGACATCGAGGATCAAGATCATCAGAATGATATGGACATGGACGATCAAGGGCATCAGCATGATCCTGCAAACCAGCAAGAGGCGTACGGCGGGTATTTGCCCAGACCATCCGACATTATCAACAACAAGAACACCGAAGAAACGTTTCCGAATCCTCTAGCTGTCGGTGTCATGCCAGCGCAAACGGAGCCTGCAACCTGCCATCACCACACTAATGGATCGCGCTTAGATGAACTGGCTGTATACGCCGATCAATCGCTACCTTTGCTGGTGGTCGCTCCCGACCGGCAAGACCGGTTTGAATATCTGGATCAAGTCGGAATATCGTCTCCCATTCGTGAAACGACCTCGAAAGATCTGCACGTCATGGCAAAAACGGTACCGGCTGCCAGAGCGACTCGCGATCTCTTTTGGTGAACGCGAAAAAATTCTCTTGTAAGACGACATGGACCTAGTGGTACGATACAATTCCCTCTTGCCACCTTCTATCCTTGGCCGAACACAGCGATATTCGATTCGACGCTTCGTCCAGGGACACCTCGACACCGTCATCGTCTTACATTACAGGACGTAACGGATCCTCTTGGTCTCGGCACCCTCACGGTCCGCAATCTCGCGTTCCTCCATCTTCTTGTTCTCCCGAGCGAGACAGAACCGCAAGACCAGACAGAAGAGGACCGCAGCTGCCGCCATGACGGTGTTGGTGGCAAAGGCGACCCTGTACCGGGGGGAATACTTCTTGTCGTACAGATAAGGCGACCATACTTGGGCGACTGTGAGATAGGAAAGTCGCGGCGCCTTGGTCAGCTGCAAGAGTCTTGGGCATACGAGACGAGGCGTTCATTGGGCTTACTGTTACCGAGCGAATTGATGATGGCGTAGGCGGCAGCTCGCTTGGCTCGAGGCCGGGCGAAAGTGGAACTGATCCACGCCAGCGCCACGTTATAGGAGCCGAACATGCCTCCTACCATCAAGAACAGCGAAAAGTACCGAGGAGCGGTCGTAGTCGTCGTGACGGCGATGATGAACCTGGAAGACGCGGAGCAGACAGATGGACAGTCCGGGAAAAGATCAATACATGTGGATTCTCGCTTTGCGCCGGCACTGTTCGCTTACCCGACCATACCAAAGAGGATCGGCGTCAACAGATGGAAACACCTTTCCGGCTTTCGATCCGAAGTATAGGAGATGACGAGGGCGAGCACCGCGGCGAGCAGATAAGGCGGAGCGGTGAGCAATAACGTGTTAACTTTGGACATGCCAAAGGTCGCTACGACGGTGGGGATGAATTGCGTCACCGCTCCCGCAGTGGTCTTGGTCACGATGATGAGGGCCAACAGGTAGAGCTTGTAGTCGGTCGCGGCTGCACGGAAGCTCTGGAACAAGGACATGGTCTCCTCATCCCGGACCCCGGTGTCCTTTTCGAGTCGGTAAACGGAGATGGCCTTTTCCCTCAGCGAGAGCCATCGTGTGCTACCGAAGCAAGCTGTTGAGCTACCGGCCCACAAGGGAAGGCCAGGCGGGAAATGCTTACGTGGCGGGGTAGTCTGGCAGGATGAACATGGAGATGAAAGCGGCGAGGATGGTGATTCCACCTTCTAGGATGAAAAGCCACCTTTTGATCGGCGGACGTCAGCTCGACCGTGTGATTTTCGGCTCACGATCAAGCGCCGATGGCCACTCACTTCCAAGAGGCGAGACCAGCAAGACCGTCCATTCCCTTTTGGACTCCTGCACTGATCAGTCCAGAAAAGGCGCCAGAGAGCAGGGATCCGGTGTAAAGCTAGGCCAAGGGTACTTTGGTCAGCCTTGACCTGCTTTCAGGAGTCGTCTGGCACAAAGACACTTACGACTGAAGTGCGGAACTGTCGAGACGGCGAAACGTGGATGATGAGCGATAGGCCCTTGTCTCGAACCCCTATGTGTGGAAAGACGATCGAACTCACAGCCAATTCCTGGGGCGAAGTTGATATGCGGAGAGAAGGGATGGGCGGTCAGAGACGTCATGAACATCCCACTCGACGACCTTACCTTTTTGGGATACCACGATGATAGCAAGAACAGGGCTCCCGGGAAGTAGGGCGATTCCGTCACACCGAGGAAGAATCGGATGACGAGCAAATGGGTATAATTATCCGCCAGAGCCGTAGCCATGCTGACCGCTCCCCAGAGCGCGACAAACCCAGAGAGGTAGAGACTCGGCCGGACTCTGGACAAAATCAGATTGGAAGGGATCTGACCAAGGATGTAGCCGACAAACAGGATGGAGATGGCGGTGTTGAATTGGGTTCCCACGAGTCCGAGATCGGTCTCGAGACCTTGCACACGCGCCGAGCTGGATAGACAGCTGTATCAGTACTCCACCACGTGTGCACATATTTCGGATCATCGCACTCACGCAAGCGCATTCCGATCCAAGTAGTTGAGCACGAGCAGGATGAACAAGGTGGGCAAGAGCCTCAGGTCAATCTTGCGAACGAGCTTCTTCTCGGCAAGAGAATACTCTTCCTCAGAGAGAGCTGCAACGATGACTATCTCCTTTTGCAAGTCTGTGAGTTCAGGTGCAAGAGAGGGTTCCTCCATCTCGTAATGCTCGGTTTCACCCTTGGCATCTGCCTTCATCGGGGTGGGGTCGGAAGTGGGGGACATGTTGGCAGCTTGGCAGATCGTAGGGCTAGGCGAAATCGATGAGGGTTGCGATACACCACAAACCTCATCGAGTTCCACATTGGGGCCCCTACCTGCCCCATTATATCATGATAGTGTCCAGCCTGTTCAGCCGAGACGCGAGGCGATCATGCCAATTTGGATGGAGGAGTTGCGTGTCTGCAGTGAGGCGGGCCATGCTGTGCGGCGTCTCTTTTCAGGCGGACAATAATATTGTCGTAACAAACGGGGAGCTTTGCTAAGCGCCAATGACTGGGCGCGGAGGCGTCGTCCGTGTACATCCGGTGCGCATCCGATGAGCGCGCCGACACGGAACTTGGCCTGGCGTCCTCGATACTATCGGAGCCAAGTACATCTTCACGTAGCTCGCCCCAAGGCATAAAAGCAGTGACGAGACGGTGCAGATCGTCTGTTTTCCTCCAAAAAGTTGAAGTTGAGCCCATCGCAACCCCTAACGATAAACAACGTCTTGATATGTCACCCATTGCCACCCAAACTTCTCGCCCGGCCAACGCTTACCCCGAAGGTTATGCTGCGCCTCGTAAGCCATCGATGATGAAACGCAGATCTGTCTCGCAATTGAAACGCTTCTATACCCCTGATTCTAGCCGAGAGAAAGAATCTCTACAAGATCGCTCAGATCGGAGCCGATGGAATTGGTCCCGAAGTAATTGATGCCGGAGTCGAGGTCATCCACGCAGTCGCCAAAAAGTTGGGCAACGCCAGATACGAGTTTACCAACCTCGACTGGTCCTCTGACCGCTACAAGAAGACGGGCAGTTATGTCCCCGACAACTATATCGAGGTCTTGAAGGAACACGACGCCATCTTCTTTGGAGCGGTCGGAGCTCCCGACGTCCCGGATCACGTCTCGCTCTGGGGCCTCCGTCTTGCCATTTGCCAGCCGTACATGTACGCCAATGTCCGGTAAGTACATTACGGCCGTCACTTTCCCAATCACACCGTGTTCATCATCGAACCAATATCTCAGTCGAACCCGAATCCTTCCGGGCACGGAATCTCCCCTCCGAAACTGCAAGCCGGAAGATCTCGATTGGTGTATCGTTCGAGAGAATTCCGAGGGCGAATACGCTGGGCACGGCGGCCGATCTCACCGCGGTCTTCCTCACGAGATCGGTACCGGTGAGTGTCGTCCACTGACGTTTTTGTATCCTTCGGTACTGATCGTTGAAACGTTCTTGCCAATGCATGCAGAGGTCACCATTTTCACCCGTGTCGGCATCAAGCGTATCGCCACCTATGCGTTCCAGTTGGCGCAGGCTCGTCCGAGAAAGCTTCTCACGTACGTGACCAAGTCCAACGCCATGAGGAACGGAATGGTCCTCTGGGACGAGGTAATCAACGAGGTCGCTAAGGATTTCCCCGATGTCGTGAGTAGCCCGATCAAGCCGTAACGACGTGACGGGTGTCTCGGATCCTCTGACATTGACGATCCGACACAGACGATGGATCACATGTTGGTCGACGCGATGACTGTGCGGATGACGCTTCATCCTGAATCGCTTGATACCATCTTGGCGACGAACCTCCATGCCGACATTCTCTCTGATCTCGCGGCAGGTAAGACTACGGACACCGCAGCGCTCAAGGGATCCATCAACTAACTCGGTATTTTGTTTCTTCACGACAGCTCTCGCTGGATCTATCGGGATTGCGCCTACGGCTAACATTGATCCCTCTCGCACGATGCCTTCCATGTTCGAGCCCATCCACGGCTCGGCCTTTGACATCACCGGAATGGGAATCGCCAATCCGATCGGCACGTTCTGGAGCGCCTGCGAGATGCTCGACTGGCTGGGCGAGCACGAGAGTGCCGAGCTACTCATGAAAGCCATCGAGAAGACCTGTGCGAGCGGTGTCATGACCAAGGATCTCGGCGGCAAGGCAAACACGGCTCAAGTCACCCAGGCGGTCATCCACGCCATCATGTCGTCCTGATGGGTAGGATAGAATTCAATGTCTTGAGAAACCGTGACCCGAAATGTATGAGAATGGGATGAAACATTAAGGCTGCCCGTCCATTGTACCGATCTGTCAGGGGGTCTTTCTTGCGATTCGTTCAGCATTCACTCGCACTGAAATAGGACTTCTCGAGTAGCACGATGCGAGTTTACGACTGAAGCCCTTGTTACGTTGGGAGGCCCCTGACTGGGATCACAGCTTGATCATATTGGGTAAGGCGCAATTCGTGTACTCAGGTGATTCCCGGAAGATTATGTTACGTTTTTTCGGAGCAAATACATTTGCACATGCACATTCATCTTGGTGAATTTGGTATGGATGGACGATACGCCCACATAGTTGCAGGATGCAATTCGAAACTATCGAAATCGAAGAAAAAGTCTCCCGACATTGGATCCACTTCGAAGCCCGACCCTTGGAGAGGGAATTGAAAGGCGGGACCGGCCGACAGGTCCTGTGCCGATCGAGACGGGTTTACATTTACGTCAGGATCCTTCTGCGACGGCAAGTCTGATCGCATTAAGCCTTCGGTCGTGTTACCGAGTGGAGTGAGGAACGCGTCGACAATCCTGATCAAAGGTTTGAGATTTTGCCACCGTGCATCAAACTGCTTGAGCAAGCGATGTATGCGGCTCAAGTCCCGCTTGAGTCTGTCAAGAGAGCAACAAACGTTCAGTCAGTCGTGACATGGAATCTCCACTGACCTTGACCAGCCGACTCTACTCACAGCTTGAGGGTACTTGGACGGTTGCCCTCCTTCCTCGCACCGTAGACCAAAATCAGACTTCCAAAGAATACCATGTCGACGTATCCTGGCCAATGTAGCGCTTCGACATCCTGTTTCATAGACCGAGAGAGCGTCGAGCAGATTGTCCGGACAGCGTTGATACTTGACTGCAGCGCCAGTGCGTGCTGGACGCTTGCAGGGGATAGGGAGAGCATCGGTCGAGCCAGGTTGACGATCTGTTGATAGTAGAGGCAGGTGAAGAGGACCGAGAAACCGCGGAGATGAGGATCCTCGCTGATATCATCGGCGTCATCGTGATCGTGATCGGAGTCGAAACCTATACCGTTCCACCACTGATCCAATTCTACTCGTAACGACAACGCCTCGGTGCCTGAACGTTTGCATCGTTAGAGAGACTGGCAGTAGTCATACGCTTGCAAAGTACTCACTTTGATCGTTACCGTGTCGATGATTCAGGCTCTTGTTGAAAGTTTCCATTGCTTTGCCGACCATCCTGGTCATCCGAGTCAACGCGAGCGCAGGCTGCAGACGAGCATTCTTTAGAGCTTCGGCATCCAAATCGGCGCTGTTTACAGGCAGCTGCGCTTGAGATGCGGGGATGGCAAGCTGCTGGGTTTCCATTGGCGCTTCAGGGCTGAGCCTAGGGGTCTCCTTTCTCAGTCTCTTGCTTGATGGTTCTTCCTGTCTACCCACCGAACTTTCTCGTCCCCTCTTGGGTGTTGCCGTCGGGGCTGGATGCCGTATCGTACTAATCTCTCCTCGAGCAACGCTTTTCCTGGTACGAGAGGGTGAATCGTCCGCACTCTGATGCTGCTCGAGATCGCCAGGGAGACACGTATCGATATCGGTGTCATTCATCGTAAGCGGGATGCCGAATTCGGCTGCTAAAAGACGTTCGAGCGAGTAAAGAGAGTAGAAGATTCGTTTACGCAGATCCCTATCTTCGGCCGAATGGAAGGTTCGGAGGTACCGATTGGGACATCGATGAAGACCTGCTTCAAAAGCTATCTCTGCGGGAGAGGATAGTCGTGAGCGGGTGTCAGATAGATAGGAGATATATCAATGATCCGGAGTCTCGCGTCGGACTCACTGGTAAGTAGACCCCCTATATGCATAGCCGGTCGTGTCTCCCTGAGGCCGAAGAGCACAACCTGTATCGCCAGCAAACCTTGAAGAGCCAATATTTCCGATATCCTTGATCCTTGACAAGCCGAGACGATCAGATGGGCCAGGAACATGGCTTGTCGAGGTGATCTCAAATCATGCAATCGATCCCGCTCCCCAGCGGTTCCGACGTTACTCCCAGTTCGCTCAGCGGAACAAGTCGATCGTATGCTGCCCAAGGTGATCACTGCTCGAAAAATGGTCGAGTAGACCAACGCCTCGTCCCTGTTCAGATTAGGAAAAGCTGGATACCCCGATAGACCTGCGGGTACGCCAGGCCAGTTTGCCCCTGCACCGACAGACAGATTCCGGGCCAAGAGGAACGCGTCTTCCAGCGTCTGCGATAGTGATCGCCCGTCCAGGAAGGGGAACAGCGGATGCCACAGCCTAAAGTAGTTGGAGAAATGTTCCCTCGCCTCTTCCTGTTCGAGGAACGCTGCTGCGTCCAAGATGGGATCATCCGAATAAGAGGGCGAAGTGGCAGTGGCTCCAGGGTTCGCGTCGTTATTGTTGTGGTTTTCTTGGGCTGATCCGGCGTGACGGTCATTCCGATGTACAAAGGCTTCGTCGAGATCAGCAGCATCCGCTGCGATGGGCGAGACCTCTGTCCAGACGGTATCAGCCAAATATATCCCTGTTGAAGATCCAGCGAAGCGAGGATGGCCGCTCTGAGGCGATGTAAAGGTACAAAGACATCATGGTGTGAGCTGTGGTAGTACGCTAGTACAGCATGCGGTGAACGCGGGTCGACTCACCGGTCCTAGCACGAAGCGACCGCGTTCATGAGACACTTCTGCTTGTCGAGCCATCACATCTGCTGATACGCTGCAGCGTCATGGGTCTGCTTGTTGGGTCGAGAGTTCGCTCAAAACCCTGAGCTCGATGCCCATCGACATGACCTGCCAGCATGTCGACGTTGATTTGCACTCGCCGGGGAACTTCGCAGGTAAGCAGAAAGTAAACATGGCAGGGCGGACTCAAGTACTTAAGTGACTCCCTCCGAGCTACAGTAGCTGGTCGAGATTAGGCGAAATTGCAGGTTCAAATACTGAATTGATTGATCAATCATCACTTTTTGATCAAAAGTTGATCGACGATCATTTGACCCAAACGATCAATACTTGATCAAGAGGTGATCATCATCGATTGATCATCAGACCGATCAGACAATCCCCAAAAGTCTACGCGTTTGGCCGTGTTAGCATATCACTATCGCTTGCCCGTCTCTGGACGTCACACGTTTCATCATGTCGAGCACCGTCGCAGCAGAAAACACGAGCTCAACGGCGTACAAAGGGCAGATCATCGGCCAGTATATCATCGAGCGACTCGAACGACACAAGGCTGATCAGGTCGGCCTTACCACCGGTTCATCCACGCCTCTCATGGTCGGTATGCAAGGTCCTCAGGGGTGTGGTACGTCGTTTGAGGCGCGAGATGTAGTCGCATTCAATTTTTGACGGCTGACTGTTGTTCTTGTCCGTAATCAGGCAAGACGACCCTTACGGACGAACTACAGAGGTACCTCTCGAGTAGCGAAACCAAAATTCGCTCGGCGGTGCTCTCCCTTGACGGCGAGTAATGGTATCCGTCTTATGCGCAACGTTGCGCTTACCGAAATATAACATCGATTGTGATATATAGACCTATATCTTACCAACAGGGGACTATCCGACCTCTCTATGAGACATCCTGAGAACAGACTACTCTCCGGCCGAGGACTCCCGGGCACCCACGACCTCCATTTGGCTCGCGCGATCCTCGAAGCTGTCCTCGATAATCGAGAAGATGCGGGCCCTGTACATCTCCCGATCTTCGATAAGAGCGCTTTCGGAGGTCGAGGCGATAGATCCTCCTCGACTGTACCGATCGATACCCCTATCGACGTCTTCATATTAGAAGGCTGGTCCATGGGGTTTCAACCGCTAGGACAGGCAGAAATTTCTCGGCGATACAATCAAGCTCTTCGAACTACCAAACAACCCGGGGCATCCAAACCCGTCTTTTTATCCCACTCACTTGAATCCCTGATACAAGTCGACGAGTATCTGAAAACCGCTAGCGCGGTCCTCTATCCGGCATTCACTGTCCTCATTCGCATTCGACCCCGATCTTACTCCTACGTATACAGATGGAGGAGGGAGCAGGAACACCAGATGATCACCGTCAGAGGCGCTGGGATGACGGACGAAGAAGTCGATGGTTTCGTAGCGCGTTACATGCCGGGTTATGAGTTATGGGCTGAGCGTACCAATATCAACGAGGGAGGCGAGGTGGAGATAGGATGGGAGGGTAATGTGCTTACTTTGTTGTACGGGAAAGATCGGGAGGTGATCTCGGTAGAGGAGTCATGAAGATGAAGCGGAGATGTCGCGCAGTGTAAATGACCTTTTGTAGACGCCTGATCATATGGTCTGAGGTAGTTGTAGCATGAGTTACGTTATCAATAATTAGCGATCGCTGCGATCGCTGGAAGCTTTAGCGTTTCCCCTATGTGCGTATCGAATCTTATTTGACATACTCAAGCCATATCAGCTTCGACAGTACCCTTGACATCGATTGTTTACTACTTGTATCACCAAAAAGACTTCTAAAGATCGTACATCAGGAAGGCGTAGTAATTCTTGCCATCGAAGTCATCGAGTCGAATCGGAATGACAGCACGAAACGAACGTGGATATTCAATTTTGACCATCTGAACGCGTATGGTCTCGACTCCCGACCTCGTCGTCATCTTCCGTTTCAAGAGAGGGGGGGGTTGAACGAACGCAAGGCAGAATGACTGCTGGGAGATCCTGCTGCATGGACATGGTGTTATGTGACAGGATCTGGCTGGAAGGTTGGGATGTTGCAAGTTTCTCTGGCAGATCTGCTGCCAAAATTCGGGAAGAGCCGCAGATATGCGAGGTGGGCATGTCTAGACACCCTCATGGATACCCATCGTCAAAACTTCTCAATTAAAGGGAGATGCTACACCAGCTGGTAGGATGCTACTAGTAGTGGACAGTGTTGACCCCTTACCCCTGATCCCAGACTAGATCCATCTCCATTGTCAGAGTTTCCATCTGCTTAGAGCATTCTTTTTCAAGATGAGCCAACATTGCAGAAACTGATGTGGTGTCGCAGTCGAAGGGTGTGCGGAAGGAGGGAAGCAGTAGCTGTTTCCCCTCAGCAAAACTGATGTCAACAGATCTGCAGATGACAAAGAGATTTGATTTGTTGCTTGGGAAGATGCGCTTGTTCACAAGATCCTTGTCCGACCTGTGGTATAAGCGCCCAGAGTATGCGAATATGTACGCATGTACCAATCAATATATAGAAGCAGAGAGGCCAGATGCGGGACCATACCATGGAAACAAATGCGATGGCACTAATGTGCGGTCTTGCTGGTGTAACAGGTATTTGAGCGATCAAAGTCGAGCGAGTGAGCGGAGTGGGTAGGTAAGCGGGAGAAAACATGAGCTTACTGTAATGCTTTCTAGATCTCTGGTCCCGGTCGCCATGATACCTTCAGGAGATGGATAAAAGCTGTAGTGCACAGTTCTCGTATGTGAAGGTCCGCCAACAAGCTTGGATGGGTATAAATGGATTCAAATTTGACGAATCGGCGTTCAAAGGAAGGCTTGCTTCCGCGCCAACAGGTGGTTTCACTTGTTCTCCTGTTTGCCTCCTTTGTAGCCTCTACCGGTCCCGTAACTCCGGGAAGGGATGTTTCAGTCTTGTAACGGATGTTCGAGCCTGTTTCTGTGGTATAAAGTGAGCTAAAACTCATGTCGATCCCTCTGAGACCGCGATTGGATAATCGCCATCTTCTAGAAACAAAGCGGTCATTTCGCAGAAAGAGATGATTGTCCCGATTGTACTTGCCTTCTTATACGCACTGCCGAGCAGCGTGCTAGGTATAAGTTTCGATTGCATCAAGAGTAAGACTTATACTGACGATTTGGCAGGAGCTCCGGCTTGTGAGTATCGAGTAGTCGCGGGTTAAGTGCATCGGTACAGGCGCGCTTATTGACAATACGTTTGTTCTAGTGAGCTTCACATTCAATTATACCATCTGGCCCATGGGCGGTGCTGAAAGCACTTCCGCAAACCGTATCAGGACGTTTGCTTATAATCGCCAGGGCGAATGGTTCAAATGTCCCGCATGGAAATCGAAAAGACGCTACTACGTCTGCATCAACGCCTCTCAGCTGATCGAACCTGGAGACGATCGGAAGGAACAGGCACTGGTCTCGTCCTTCGTACAAACCCAGAGTGAAGGGTTCTCAACAGGGTCTTTCCAGCAAAACGCCGACGCCGATATGAAGAGTGTCAACGGATTGCTTGCTTTCGAAGCGGAGAACTGCTTCTATCCTCGGGAGAGCCAGGACGAACAGTGCTCGACAGAAGGACTTAAGTGGGATGTCGGAACCGTCGTCAACTTGGACTGTGAAGGTAGCGCGGTTCTACCTGGGCAGCATGCATATATCTGGGTGCTCATCGATTCTTGCTTTACTCTATATTCAGGCAACGGCAAGGCTATGATCGACAAATACAAGAAGTACTACCAGAACGGCTTACCGGATGACCTCCCCAAAGGAACCTATCCCGCCAAATCGTTCGCCATTATAGGGCCTCGCATACCCGATGACTAGACCGTACTTTGGGAGAGAGAAGGCGCAATGAAGGTATCGGGTTGTACCGAGATACCTAAGTAAATACCTTACAACGATATGCATTGTAACGAACACTTCCTCCACCGATATTTAGGCGATCGACATCCAGGACAATTTCTTCGTCTTCGTGCAACATGAGGTTGTCGATACCCATGGTAATGGAGGAGAATGAGAGGGACGATACAGGCTATTTCTTCACTGCCCCGCTTACGCTCTGCAGAATCTGTCGATTGATTTTGTTGACAATCAAGAATCACTTTGCGTTCTTGCTTTTCCTGATCCGGATCTTGCTTCTGGCCCTTCAGCTTGGGATGATCGAGGACATCATGATCTTTAATCTTGCTATCAATTCGAAAAGACATGCAAGAAAACTGCTTCAGCTCAGTCAAACCTTTGGATGCCTTTCTATCCCTCCAATCTGTACAGTAGGGTTTACATGAAGATGGAAATCAGGGGTTTATGATTGACTAGGAGTACCGCTCTGTACGAGCGTTGACATACCTATATCAAGATGTAGGTTTTTGACCTGTAATTGTATTGAATGTCAACGCATACCTCCAGTTCATCACCCAACTCAACAAGACCTTCCCTCTCCGAGAGACCATTGACCAGGAGAGGAAGATGATGAGTTTGCCTCCTATGGCCGTCCCAAAATTGCCTGCCAATTGGGAAGAACCTAAACAGAGGACGTGTAGGTCCGGGAGCAGGGATGTCAAATGTTTCAGCTACCGCGGAGTGCCGGCTTAGTGAGTTTTGGGCTGGGACGTGCCCTCATTTTTCAGTTTGCTGATTGCTTATTCTGTCTGTTAATTCTTCCGCACTCCCCTTATTTGCACTGTCAAGTTCACTCCTATCCCTAACGTTGCCGACTCGGTCGATATCGATCCTTCCCGATCTTCTCATAATCTTCGCCACCCGCTGAGGCCCTTCACCTCTTGAAAGGTCTCCCTGATGTCAAACAGGTTGACCTTAAGATACGTTACTTTTCTTCAAACACCTCAATGACCTAAGATTCCATGACCATTGTGTTGATGTGATTCTTCTGCACCTGCCGAGCTCTACAGACATGATGCTGCATCCGCAATTGACCAACAAAGCGATTTGTGGCCGAGAGAAAGGCGGATTGCGAGTTCCCAAGAGAGTAAGAAGCAACATAAACTAACTGAAGAACTTCGTCGTCTTCCTGCAGTCGCCCTTTAGATGTCGTCGACTACGAGGGACTGGGTATACAGTCGACGTATGCACGCTTCCTCCAATAATGGCGCGCGCTTCCTGAAACGCGTTTGCCTGTTCTGCCTGAGTACCGGCGCGACGCCACGGATCTCCTTTGATATCTCTTCCTCGACCCCTTGCCCTGTTACAGCTATCCGAAAGATGTACAACGTGTAATCCACGACCTTGATAAGTCGGCATCCCATGAGAACCGCAAGTCAAAACTCGAACCACGTGCAAAGTGGCATCGATCGTATCCTGCCCATTCGCTCATCGATTGCCTCACTCCACCATCCCCCGACATGGGCTGCAAATTGTTACCCTGGTTTAGCATGCTTCTCATCGCATTGCTGCAAATCAGTCAGTCATCCACAGACAACAGGTGCAAGCATATCGCTGCCGTCTAACACCTCCTTCGACAGATGCCGATGCGATCAACCTGCACAAGCGACAGACGGACTCGAAAGACTCGGACGTCGACCCGCGCCTGGATCGGTGTGACCAACAAGGCGGTCTGACTTATGGGAGCCCAGCCCCGGGGATGGCGATGATTGGGAGTATGCCTCCAAGGGCATCATACGACTGGAAGACATTGTTATTGTAGAGGGTTCGCAAGAAGACTATGCTTACTGGGCGCGGTTGGCTACCATTGCTGCATGGTCGAGGGCAAGTTCATCCGATGCTGAAGTCATCGCTCGAGAGTGTATTGAGATTGTTTCTTGCCTTCCTCAGTTCAACTCGGATAAATTCCAATCCATGTTCAAGGTTGGTGATGAGGGGACCAGTCCATGGTGCATGCTCCCGGACAAGGGTAGTTTGACTGTCACGGGGATCAACAACCAAGAGCTCATCCGCGATACCCGAAACACGACAAACTTTGTCAAACAAGGCACAGAGTTTACTGAACTCGTTTCACAAGGCCGCAAAGTCAAGAACAACGGGTCTCGAACGGCTAAATGGCCTTGGGTTTTAGGTACCGCTTTGCGCGATATTTGGGCGCAGGACGAGATGTGGGCAGGCCAGGTCGACAGATGTAGAGGTAACTTCGGATGCCGCGAGATCGCTGCCAGCTATCTCAATGTCCTTAATGGTGGACGACGCATCGCATTGGCTGGGCTTCGTGATGAGGACGTACCAAGAAGCAAGGTGGTCATGCGCCACGCCAACGAGACGGTGAGCTTCAGTGATGGGTCTTCGACCGCCGAAATACTACGGCTCAGACCTTGACTTGCAGCCTGTCGTGATCCTGACCCCAGAGCCCGAAGGCGTCTGGGCTTTTTTGGGTCAGAAAGAAGTCGACGGGTCACCAGACGACCTTTTCGAGATCTGGAATCATAGGACCGGACAGAAGCAAGACTGCAAGTGGCACAACGAGACTAGGGCTTTGTATATCGCTGACCTGCGGTATGGGCTGTAGAGAAACCGTACAAAGCAAATATGCTGTACTGTTGTGGCACCGCATGTTGGGCGATAGTTCTCCATCCATGTATCGTGTACCGCTTGGAGCATGCGGTGTATTGTGATTCGGCCACATCGCGCCGGGCGGCCAAATCGATTTTATCGGATCGTTATAAGGTTGTGTCGATGTGTGTAACACAAGTACGTCCCTTCGTCCCTGCCACTGCCTCCCCGTGCTCTTCCGTCGACCCCGTCGATTTCGACACCGCGTCCGATGCGTGAGCTACAACTTACAACCTACAACCTATAAATACCCCTTCCCCGTACCCTTCGGGAACACCCTCACGGCATTATCGTCCAGCCGGTACTGCAAAGGGGAGGTATACGGGATTCGTTGTTGAATGGCCGAGGAACGGCTTGAAAGTGGGTGGACGGATATCTGTAAGGCAAGCAAGACGAGATGAACAATCCCGAGAAGTATTAGTTCGGATCGATTTTCGTAATTACCGGCCACGATGCATCGGGTGTGTACAGTGGAAGACTCACCTCCCCATGGACGACCCCACTACGCCCGCTCTTCAGTTCTTCCACCCTCCACCAGATCCCTCCATCCTGCCCGGCCCTTAATAACCGTAAGAGGAGGTCCGACTCTGGGTCCAAGGTGGGTGAGATGGAGAGGTGGTCACCGAGCGAAGAGGCGTTTAGGAGTAAAGGTGTGTGGAGGGTGGTTATTAGGGACGTCTGGGTCTGTATCGGGGTTAGCGGGACATGGCATAACAGGCACATCAGTTTCTAGTCAGATGCTCCTGACTCTGATCGCAAGCTGAAAAGATGAAGCTCGGGAGGGTGGAAGGCTCACCTGTCGACACCATCCCAATAACGCCCTCCCGAACCTAGCCAAATGTTCCGGAGAAAAACCTTGATAGAGCAATTCTGAGAACCCGACGAGGAGGATCATCCCCTTTTCCAACCCCATCCCCCCGCGGTTCTCTTCCTTGTCTTTGTTCTTTGATATTGTCGTTGTCCCATCTCGCTGATTGCCTGTTCTTGCTATCGACCTGTCCTTCTCTTCTTTACTCTTGCTGTCCTCTCTGTCCCCGTTCTTCGGTATCGAACCAGAACCAGTCTTCTCGATTCCAACGCCGACGAGCTCTTCCCACAATCCCGTCAAACTAGGTTCGTCCGTCTCCGGGTCGAACAACGTCTGGGGACCCGGGGCGAGGTAGTTGACCAACGATGATGTAGATGTAGATGTTTTGGATGGGGGTGGGAAGGGGGTGCCCTGTATCATTCCGCCGTGTAGAGTTTCGGGTTTCAGCGAGAGTGCACGGGGTAGGAGGGATGAGAATGGTGAGAGGATCAAAAGAGGATAATATGGTAGTAGCAGAGCGGGAGTGGCAGAAGAGGGGGTGGTAGAGGGGGAGATGGAGGTACTGACGATCTTCTTCCCGACCGATTCCCAGTGTAGTCTTCCCCGGGCTTGGAAGTCTACGATCGTGACCTATCCAGGTAGCGCCAGCAATAATATAGGAACAACAATGAAGGACAAAGAATTAGGACCGCCGTTTCCAATTGCATTCCTACCAGAAATTATGCTTCATATCTTGGTGGAAACGCTCACCGGTCGCTTCTCCCTAATCCCACTCGCTATCAAGCTATACACCACGAAATCCGAGCTGGCTTGAGGTGTATCCGAGATGATCAGGTGTGTTCCGGGAGGTGGAGTCAGCGACGAACCCGAAGCAGACGAAGAAGAGGAAGATGTGGAATTGGAGGGGGAGGGTGTCTTGAAATGGAAAGCCGAGGGTAAGAGCGTCATCTTCCTGAATTCGTTCGGGGGGTTTCGGGGGTGTTCGTCAATTTTTTCCTGCTTTGGGTATGTCTAGAGGAATTCTTGTATCTGGGTGCTCAAGGTCTAGGATGTCGTCTTGAGAATGTCGAAGTGTATGCAGTTGTAGAGGTGAGTGGTACGAGTAGAGTAGGTCAGTATAGGTTGAAGTTGCGAATATGCAGATCTAGTTGCGGGAGCAGCTCGGGGATTTCGAGGTGACAAGTATTGCATACTTGAAGACGATCGAATGCTAATAGCTACTGGCCTACTGGCTACTGGGTACATTGTTCACTGATTTACAAACATCTTGCTTCCGTTCCATCTTCACCGATGCCCAGCTCAATTCAACTCATAGGTCTGTTGCAAAGCTTGGACAAGTCTCAGAGCGGCCTGATTCGTCGGACCTGGCGGCCCACTTTTCATAGAGTTTCTGGTGCAGTAATGCTCTTCTCCGTTGCGCCGACTCGGCGCTGTGCTCTTAGGGACTGGAATCAAGCTCAACGCCGGCATTTGCCGCTCGATCAATAACGGGGAGGTCCCCCAGTAAGAGTGAAAGGAACTCCTTCCGGTCCAACCGTCCGTCAGCGTCCTTAAGACCAGCATCCTTAAGACGAGGAGGATCGGGACGCCTGGAGGGCGGGGCCGTGGTAGAGATGGATCGTTCAAGCTGCTCCAGGAGATCGGGCTGCTCGCAAGCATCGGTCTCAACGTCCTGTCCAGACTCCTGAGGGTCCTCGGTCCGAACTCGGCTGTGGAGGATGACTGGAATTCAACTCACAGGCTTGGATCAAGTCCATCTTGCAAGTTTGGAACAATCACAAGTTTGGATTCCTGTTGGCATCTTCCTGCTATTGTAAGGCCCGGCAGCAACCCCGACCGGGGTCCTCCTGGACAGGCTGATGCGATGCAGGAATGAGGCAAGGTATGGGTAGATATCTAAATGTGATAATGGATGTAGAGCTATTACAGAGGTAATAGTTCTACATCAAAACAACAATACCAAAAAGTACCCCCGGCGGGAGTCAGGCCTATGGGAGTTGCGTCCGGCGTGTCACATGATACTTATAACATATAGTAGCCATAAATCCTGACCTCCATCCAAGAAAAGCAGGCCTGGAGTCTATATGTCAACAGTATTCCTGGGTACACTCTCTGGATGCTTATGTTTATGCTTGAAAGCTGGAATTTGTTTTCTAGTTGATCTCTTGTTGGATTGCAACAGGAGGTTCTGATTAGCTGGGAGATTTTCATGCTGAGATCCATACGTATGACAAGGGTACTAGTTCGATATCTCCAACAATGTTTGAGAAGTACACATCCATATGTTCTGGTTATACCAACAATAGAAGTGTCATCGCTGGAGGTACAAAGTTGAAAAGTTTTGCTATCAACATCAAGATGAAACTGAAATGCCATCGAGGAGACAGCACAGCAGGAACAAAGCGAGGGCCAGGGTCGACTCGCCGCTTCTGGAGGAGCCCAAGGAGCCGCTCTTTGCAGCCTCTTGCCCCAGTCCCCCTGTCCCAGCCCCTGCCTCCGGCAACCTCATCCCACCTCTGCCCCCATGGTATTGGCTGATCTCAGGCGATGGATTTTCCCCAGCAATAGGGTCCGTGACTTGAGTTACGAGACTTACGAGAAAGGTCTCCCTGCAGCAAAGAGGGTCGCTGCTCATGTCGGTCAGGCTTTGACCTCGAACTCAAACTCCAACGTCCCTGCCGCCGGCCCCGCTCTTGTCGTTGATTCTGCCTCTACCGCCACCTCTATTGCCAATACCGCTGATACCGCTGATACCGCCGCTACCACCTCTATCAACAATCCCCCCTCTGTCGCCATTACCGTCAATGATCCCCCCTTGTTACGACCGTAAAAGACTAGATCTGCGATGGATTTCTATAAAACGCTAAAAATGCAAAGAGGCACCGTCGATATCGCGTACAGTCACCGAGCAATAATGACCGATGACGTTTCGGACGATCTCGTTGGTGTCGATATCATCGAGAGAGACAAGATATACACAGCATTCATTCATGGATCATGGACCTTGTTACTACACTATTAGCTACGAGCTACGCTGCCATGAATATCCTAAATGTTAGACACTCAGATGGCTGGCCGCAGGATGAGGATCTACGTTGATCGTCGAGCGCAGCGTAATGTAGGGTTCGGCTTTGTGACCTCGTGACCTCGAGCTCGAGGTATGGCTATCTTCTTCGTGCTTCTCACTTCTCAGCAAATCTACCTACAAGCTACCAAACATCCGTTCGGACCTCTTTAAACCTGAAATAGACTATTATTACTCAGGACAAGCTCTAGCTGCATCACGCTACGTTACGACAGAACATGGCCTACCATAACCAAACCCAACAACCTGGGAATACGATCACCCCGTTCACCAAGACTCCACCCATCCCACCCCCTCCTCCGTTCTGTATCATCGCCTGCCTCGTCCTCTCCAAAACAGACAGACTCAGACTGATGGGTTTCCCGGAACACGTCTTACCGGAACTACAGAGGACGATAGAGAGGGGCTGGACCAGGGGGATACAGAGTCAGGGGGTTTAGGAAGGGGTTTGTTGGGAGTATAAGTTGGGGGGGAGGCCTTGGGCTGAACAAGGGTCGGAGGCGATCATGTAAGTAGTAGTACTCCTCGACTCCTCGTCTCTTCCACCTCTTCCTCTATATCGACACCTTGCACGTCGTTCATATCATAGCTGACACTGTCCCATGTTTTGCTATTTCATATCAGGGCCCACCGACTGATGACCTCCATCCTAACCACCCTCTCTCTCTTGGGATGGCACCTGTATAGAGCGTGTGATTTGAGTAAAAAGTCATTTGATAAGGTCAGTTCTCCGCAGCTCCTCTTGTGGTGCTATTCTTGAGAAGGCTGATGATGTCATATGGTATGATCTCGTATGGAACTGGAACTGAAACTGGAATGCGGATATGGATATGGATATGGATATGCGCTCATGATCGTGTGATGATTATGGTCTTACTAATGATCGGGTTATACAACAACTTTCAACGAACAAAACGCCGACGACGATCCATGCGCAACGACGGGGAACTCAACGGGATGAAAACGGCACGGCAGGATACGATCTTCTTCAAACATACCGGACCGAGGGATAGGAGGTTCTTTGCGATTTCGTTCCGGAGGTCAGACCGTCTGGTGAGTCCTCGCTACTCGTGTCTTTATCGTCGTCCTGGTCTTGTTATTTGGGAATCAGGTTCAGGGCGACGCTGATGTCGTCCTTTCCACGCTATGTGTCATACCCTGGATCCACGGTGTACCTTCCGGATGGTCTCAGTGCCTCGTCGATGCGCCTTCGGAGGATGTGAAACAGGCTTTCAGGAATGTCGTCTACGTGAGCCCCTAACCCTTACCCCTGAGCCCTCCGAATAAGACCGCCTTCTCATGCGACGCTGACTGTCTTTGTGCTTGTCCTCATTCCACGTAGTCCTGGGCTCCCGGAATCCAGAACGAATCCAACCCCTTGCCAGGGTCCAATACCCTCGAACTCAAACTCCGGGGGAACCCCTGGTTCTCCTCCACCGGCATCGAAGTCCTCCAGGCCAGGTCGCTCTGTTGTAGGTTGTTGGCAGAGATGGAGGGGAGGGGGTATAGTCTGGTCGGGAGCGTGGATATGTGTGCGCAGGCGGCGAATAAGGGGAGTCCGGATTGTGAGTCCCGCAAGGTCTTTTCTGGTTGCGCTGGGGTGTTCCGATTCGGGTCACGAATGGTGATTACATTATTGAAGCTGATGTCAATCTCGGGTGCTGGGTTCAGTGGATACTTGGTTCTTTGGGACGACTTGAAACAAGCCCGGAAAGAAGATATTGTGCTCGGGAAAACGGCGAGGCTTTTGGACACTGGTCTCAGACGACAGGGCAATCGGAATATAAAGTCTGCCGCATGCCGGCTGTTGTATACAACTATAAGAAACGGGGAACGAGACTCGGGGAACAGCTCAAAAAAGAGCTACGCCAGTGATATACTTGTATACAACCACGCACGCTATATAATATCTGACAGAAATCTGTACATCGATGGGATCGCTTCTTCTTCTTGTTCTTCCTTGTCGCACAAAATGAGTGTTCCTGAATCAGTCGTCCTCGAGTAACAACGCTTTGATCCTCGTGATCGCCCTCTGCGCCTCGGGCGTCTGTTGGATGAGAGGGTAGACGTGGTACAGGCCCGGTTCCTAGTGGCGTCCCCAGAGTTACATTCCATACGACAAGATTGAAGGTAAGTGAAATGAGACAACGAGCACGATGACCCCACAAGAATATCGAAAGAGGATAATGAAGGTGGTGACTCACGACTATCAACTCGGGCCGGACCACCTCTTTCCCAAACGAACGTAATACCTCATCAAGCCTCATCGCCTGTCTGTGCAAGATATCCGCCGTCCCACACATCTGGAAGACCTTGATCCCGAGTCCCTTTCCTACAGATCCAGATTGAGATTCGACCTCCTGGTTCTTGGCGTAACGCTGCAAGACCCCCATGGCGCGAGTAGGGTTGATACACTCATCAATCAATGGGATTTCTTTAGGTAAGGTGTACTTTGAGGCGGCGATCACTGGGGCGGAAAGGGGGAGGTCGTATGACACAGAAGGGGTTGCGTGGGAGGGTCCGTATGCCCAGATCTTGCCGAATATGAGGGTGGATTTGTAGTTTAGCCAGGAGTCCTGGTATGGGCGCAATGGACAGGTGGCATCGGGTGACGTGATTGTATTACAGAATCAAAGGGTCAACGATAAGCCAGTAAGATAATTGAATGATGTTTTTCGATCGGTAATGATATGGGCGGACGTGATCGCGATCGTTCACAGACTCACGTCGGGTTGAACCTCTTCGTCCTCCGGATGTTCGGTCGATCCCATGTCCATCTCCAAAGCCGGGGAGATCAAGATCGCCTTCTTCATCCTGCTCCTGATCTCCTGGAACTTGGATTTGGATTTAGATGTGGCTCTTAAGAGCTCGGCATCACTACCGACGAGTTCGTCCTCGCCGACCAACCCAATCTTCTCCCCCAGCGCCAATTTGGTCAAACAGACTAATAATTGCGCTACGAACCATCCTCCCGCGGAATCGCCCATCAAGATGATTTCTTTGCCTTTATACCGTGGATCGGATTGTAAAGAGAGGAGCAGGTCCAGGGAGGCTAGGGTGGCGTGGGTCGAGGTGGAGAGCGGGGCGAGGGTGTAGTGGGGGATTATCACCGGGATGGAGGTGCTGGAGATCAGGTTGGTGAGGAATAGCCAGTGTTGAGGCATAGCCTATGATATATAGTTGGGAACGATAAGAATGTGTGTTGCGGTTTTGAGATCGGGACTAGGATCTTACTTTACGGATGAAAGCTCCGCCGTGCCAATACACGATCACCTTGTCCGACTCGACGTCGACGTTCTTCTTCTTCTTGGAAACATGTATATGGTCGATCTTCCACCTCTGGCCTGCTGCGAGCTCTTTTTCCTCCCTCACCACCTCGAATTCGTCGGACGTGGCGATCTCGGCTGGTGGATCTAGTGGGACATCTTGTTCGACGTAAGACGTGCGGATATCTTCCAGGAGCTCGGATTCGGTTTGATGTCGGCCGGTGTAGAATTTGTACCAGATGAACCAGTGGGCGAGTTGGGCACGAAGGGATGGCATCCTGAGTGTCTTGTTCGGGCGAGTATTTTTTCGATCAGGCTGTAACCTGCTGAGTATCCTGCGATGCGATCAACGATTGCAAAGTCTGGTTAGGTCGAGTAGGAGCTTTATATATATAATTCAACTTCAACTGGACGCTCCGGTTATCATCGACCCCCCGGCCACCGATTCCGGAAGTAAAATTACTTCCGCGTGACCGGTTAATAACGGATGCGCTTGTTTCACTTGCGCTTGATGCTGGATCGACCTCTACCAGCTACCGATCATCCGACCTCAACAGATTACAAATAAGCGATTGAGTGAACAATCTGAACGGTTTAGACTATACACTGAACCCAATTGAAACCCAGAGTGTTATTGCCAGAGGTCCCGTTACGAATGTAAAAGGTCCGATTGGCAAAACGGCTTCTACAAAAAAAAAACGGTATGAGGACGAGAACAGCTGTGTACGCAGATGATCGAGTGCCTCGATGACATATATGCGATCATTCAATCTTCAATCGATCTGGAAACTCTACTCAGCCGTCATTCTCGCGCAAGGATGTCTGGAGACGCGGTTACATTATTAAGTTGGCGCAATCCTGCGCTATACCTGAGTGAGTGCCGAGGGTTATTACCATTGTTCTTGTTATCATCATATTGTTATTTCGGCTTTACAAACAGTCGTCAAAAGCAGGTTTTCTTGTTTTGCGTCTTCTCTCTCAGAGCTGGGAGCTTTTGACCATCATACTGTAGCCTGGTCTCGGGTACTTGCAAACTGATCGATATAATCTGTATCGCGGAAGCGAGAGGGGGAAGATCGTACTCGTACAAATGATTCCGACTATCTTATTCTACATATCAAGCAAGAGAGAGAACCACAGGGCGTCCGTTCCTGCTACAAGCTGTAGGTGCTGTATGATCAGCCTCCAGTCAGTCCGGTATGTTTGCCCCTGATCCGACACCGTACCATACATATTATCGCTGACTATTTGTTGTTCTCCTGATCCTTAAGGATGGCGACCTGGGTACAGTACACGCCTAAAACTTCGCCAAGGACTATGTATACTGATCCTGCGAGCTTGTTACTGATCTTGCGCTTGACGCTCTAACATAGATGCACACGTTCGCATGTGGATGTAAGCGGCGCGCGATAGTCTCTTTGGATTGTTCCTATCGACTCACCGTGTCAGAACCGGTCGACCCGGGGATGGTCTTCAAGAAACTCAGAGCGGATCCTAGATCGCCTTGAACCTGTTGTCAAAGAATGCTGAGATCTCCACCAGCCAAGCTACCCTGAACATGCGCGGCGACTTACGGACTGCCAAAAGTTTGCCAACGCACCCAATTGCTCGATGATCGACTCGAAACTACCCGCATGACCTCCAAGCTTCGCTCGAAGGTCGGCCAAGTCGGCTTTATCTGCCGCTTGGGAGTCTGTCAATTCCTTTCGTTTTTCAGTCAGGTTGCTTTGTAGTCCTGTCAAATTCCAGGTGGAAGTTAATCGGGTTTCCCCCAGGAGCATTTCGAAACCAGATACCGCAGCTCGCTTACGTCCGAGTTCAGACTGCTTGATCGAGTATGCCGCCGCCGATCCGACCATAGTGAGGACTCCACCCTATTATCAGACAGAGACGAGCATTTCAGTCCTCAGCGATCCAGTATCTAATCTTTCAAGCATCTTCATTAGACTCACGGCAAAGAGACCGATTGCTGGCGGACAGAAACAGCAGAGGACAGCTCCGAAAATCGTCATTCCCAGACCTGCCACCCCGGCGATCATGGCGCGATTGATCTTCGAGACGCAGTAATCAATATCAATCCTGGCCTCTAACCTGAAGATAAACTCACAAATGCCTGTGCTTCCTTGATCTTGTCCTCGAGGTCTTGAATCTCGGCTTTCAATCTGATAGTGTTCGCGCTGTCGGCTGCACTCTTGAAAGCTTCCCCGATGGTCGTCTGGGCGGTCTTGACGTTGTCCCTGAGTGTAGACCAGGCGGTGGTATCCAGCTTGGCTTTGGCTTGCGCATCGGCAGTATCCTGTCGTCCGCGAGGTTATCATATCGTAGAAATGAATACCAGTCATCGGCACACCTCAACACGGTCACCATCATCGAAAACTCACTTCCATGAAAGCGGCAAGATCCTTGACGAGGTCATCTCGGCGCAAGACTTCGTCCCTCAAGTAGGGTAGAATCTGTTGGGTATAAGCTGTTGCGACCGGAAGATTAGAAGCCACAACAATCACCCGGACAATGTGATCTTACAGATGCAAAGCGCTCTGATGGCGAGCGCGTCGTCTCGGGAGTGGTCTAGGAGAGCATCGTAACGCTGCAGGCGGAACGACGTGATTAGTAATATGTCTACCTTATAGAACCTGTGTTCAAGGCCGTTCTTACGTCCGCCAGCTGCTTCCATCCATCGTGTTGAGAAGCTATCTTGTTTCCGTTCCCGTCGCTGTATTGCTTCGAGTCGAACTCGATGAGCAGATTAGCGATGTCCTGAAAAGCTTGCCTGACAGTGAGAGTCTCTTCTGCCAATTTGCTAATGTGTTCTTGCATGAGTTTCTTGTTCTTCGCATCATCCATCAAGGTCGTGAGGGCGCGACCCTTTTCGTCATCGCCGATGTCCTTGATGACTGCAATGACGGGATCCGAGTCCTTGGTCGCGCTCCAATCTACCGAGCCTAACGCTCCTACATAGACTGGAGGGAGGACAGTTTCGTTCATTCCGGACATGTTTCAGTTCTAGATGCGGGAGTTAGAGGGCGAGGTAGCTAAGTATTGATGATATGTGTATCGAGTGAACGGTTTTTGAAGACCTTTGCACGATTCCACATTGCTTAAGTACGGGCGGGTCTGTGCTCTCAGCCAGAGATTGTACATGTGACTCGCTGTCGTTCTGGTATACATCATGTGACACTCTCGATGCAGATGTGATCCGCTTGTCATCGAGGCCCCTTGTAGGCAAATGACTCACGTCGGAGTCAACACTACCAAACGAAATATGATGACGTTTGAATATGATAACTCGCGCCGGACGCAAAACACTCTCCATCCTGGGACCTCAGGGATACTTCAAGATCAGAGCCCTGAACCTGATGAAGATGACTAGGAATGATCATTTCTGCTTGTCATTGAGGACCCTTGTGGATCGATATCTCCGCTCGCGACCTTGCGGTGACCTTCGATGTTCAAGTCTGAAACTTGTTGAAACTCTATTCGACGGGTTCAAATTTAGCTCGGGCGAGCCCATTGGCGCTCTTGTATGACTGGAGTGCCTGAGCCCATGATTTAACGTTCAACAATCAGCCGAAACTTAAACACTGTCCCCTCTGCCCTAGTACAAGGCTTCTCGAAGGGATCACCTGATGAAACCATTTGTCGAATGGTCATGTGCAGCCAAGAATCGATAAGCCTGCGATGGATATATATATTTTCACGAACTTCGGAGAAGAACTCGGGGCCTAGCAACGAAGTACATCAGCAGCTCCTGTATCACTTGTTGAAGATGTCTCTTGCGCACAACAACATATCTGAACCTGTCGCCGAGAAAGACTTTGCGCTCGAACTCGAGGCGTTCAGTGATGCCGTCTTCTCCGTCAAGCAAGCTTGGAAGGACGCAATCACAAACATGCAATCCAGCTACCCTATCGAAGCCGGCTCCCTGCAAGTAGGATACAAGGTGAGTTTTGAGGTCCGCTGACAGGCGGACTCGTACTGAAAATCACGCCGAATCAGAAATACCTCGACTTCATCGATTTCTGCCAGAAATCTGCGAACAACGCCCGAGGTCCTGTGTACCAGAGTACGTCTGAATCATGAGACTGAGGATCGAATCCTGATGAGCGCCGAGGTGGACACAGGTTTCGTCCAGACTGTTGTTGCCGACGCGAAAGACTCCACCGCGTCGATTGACGATAAGATCGAGTCGTCGAAGGATTTCTATACTGTGAGCACTCAACAATTTCGCTGGCTGGAACCCTGCTTATCTTGGTATCGTCGGATTCAGTCTGTGACCCCTGCGTCCTCGGCTGACTGGACTCGGAAGGACACCGTGGACCTGTTCAACAAACTAGAATCCGTGATGACCGAGCTGATGACGGACATGGTCAAAGAGGATCAAGTCAAGAGCGATTACATGGATGCGCTTGACAAACTCAACGATCTTCAGGAAGAACTCGTCCAGTACGTCTATGCTAGATAGCGCGTTTTTCCGCTGTTCGCGCGAGTTCACCCAGCTTTGCGCACGTTCACAGACTAAAGAAGAAGGTAGGCTTGGTATTGCGTCTTGTCCCCTGGAAGGCACGCGACAGCTGAATCTGGTTCGCTAGATCGAAGCTTTGTTGCGATCAGAATCTCAGTCGCACCAGGCGCTCCGGGCTGCCCTCGAATGTTTTTTACTGCTGCTGGCAGTGGTGCCCTTCGGTTTCGAGAAAGCTCTGGTAGGTTTAATCTCGCTGAAGCGTAATGCAAAAAGTTTGCAAAATCTCGCTGAATATAATACCCCTTGACTTCCTGGAATAGAAGAGGGAAATGACCAAGTACGGTCTCGTACCGGAGCTTTTCACCAAGCTGGATGAGCAGACCGGTGAGCATGGCAACCCTGACGTTGCAGAGTTTGCTGATTGATCGATGCTCTGTCCGGAATAGAGCTCTTGCAGCATATCGCGATCCAGAGGAAGAAGGTCCAAGCCCTGAAAAGCAAGAAGACTGCTGCCGTGACCCGTGCTCAGCAACTGGCGGCGCACGTCGAAACGGTCAAGCAGATTCAGAGCGACTTTTCGGACGTCGCGCCGAAGATGACGCAGCTGGGCGCTTTCCAAGACGCGGTGAGTCGAGGCCCTGCAAACGATAGTGACCGGGTAGACTGATGAGAGATATCCGTCAGATTCGAAGCACCGTCGAGGTCTGGGAACAATTCCTCGAATCTCCGGACTCTGCTGATGCTAAGTCCATGCAAGACGCTGTACGCGATCTTGTTGCCACCCAGGAACTCTACGAGCCCATCAATCAGGCTCTAACCGGTTTCGTCATGAGAGTCGATCTGTAGACTATCTTGCAACGCCACCGTTCCGGCGTCTCAGACCATTTGTATTACTTAAGCGCAGACTACCATGAAAGACAAGCGATATGATCTCGATATGTTTCCAGAATCTCTGTCGCTTCGCTGCTGTGGGGACAACAATCTCTTCCTTGCTTGAAGCATGCCATATGTCGACTGAGTCGGTCAATACAAGTTCGTTTACGTTCAAGCGGAACGCTTGCCACAGCGAATCACTCGTCACGATATGTTTCGGTGTAGGCGCGACTCGGATCTCTGGGCTGATTCACCTCTCGCTCAACTCGTGATTTGGACACATGACCATCTTTGAGCTCGAAACAATTAGTTGGCCACAGACAGTGTTCAGGATAGTTGGCCTGACACGGAGCTCGGGGGCTACTGTAGGCTTGCGATCAGTTCCGCTTCAGTTTGACATGACATGAAACCTACAGTCATAAAGAGTGGACCTCGTTCTAGCCGGAAACAGTCAGCTAGCGCCATCTCAGCCCCACACACTCCGATGACTCCTGTACCTGAGTAGTGCTTACTCGGAGAGAGTTTCGGTTCGAGTTTATGGTTTACAGCGCCTGAGACTTCGGTATGTACCCCGAGTTCGTCCCTCATATTGTTCACGTTCGTCTGCTGACCTGTCGAGCTCTGTTCTAGGTCATGTGGCGAGGTTTGTCAATCCAAGGTTGATCGGGTGACCTATCAACCAGGTGCACTGGTGAACGCGCACGCCAAAGCTTTCGCTTCAGATATATAGGGAGAGTTCTGCTCGACCCTTCTGATAGCTTTTGGGCTACTCCACCTCTATTCCATCATCAACACCAAGTCTCATCAGATTGCTATTCATCATCGATCTCTCCGTACAAATATCATGAACGACGCTCCTCCACCTTACACCGAAATCGGCACCGCCGTCAAAGCGGCCTTTCAAGCCGATCCAGAAGGCGCTCGCGCGGCTCTCGCAAAGGTTCTGAAAGAGCAAAGCGCTTCGGTCCTGGTGAAACAGTCCAACGACCTCGCCTCTACCGTCAAGATCCTGAAGAAATCGTTCGAGAACGTCTCTCAGAGTCTAGTCAAGATCGACAACGTGGTCAAAGACGGCGGGCCACGATTCCCCGTCTGGCAGAAGATCTATCAGGTACGCCTTTGTCTTCGTTGATTCCACCGTGTAAAAATTCGGTGCTGACTTCCTGGTCCTGGTAAATATAGGACTACAAGATCTTGATCGACGAGACGCAGGAAGATGCTATTGCGACCAGAACCCATGCCCAGCGTTAGTAGCTTGCCAGGGTTATGTCCGCCACCGGTTCCCTCGCATCATTCTGCTGTTAACGATTCCTGCCGTTACCTATAACCTTTCATCCGATCAGTGTACCTGGACGATGTCTTGGAAAGCGCTGCTGATAGTGAGGCCTCTCACGAATCCAAAATCGGAGATATCGACGCGTTCCTGAAGGTGAGTTTGGGATCTGAAACCGTAGCGGAGAACCCAGCTCCACATCACTGTATCGGCGATGATTGACGTCGTTTCACTCTGAACCCGGCAAATGTTCCCAAATCTAGCTGATCGACAACAAGATCGCCAATGCCAAGGATTACAAGGAACGTTTCTTGGGCATCAGAGATCGAGTTGTGACGTTCCGATCCAACCTCTTGGACTCGATGGATAACGAAGAGACGGCCACACTGAACGCCATCAAAGAGGTCAAAAAGGACATTGTCGATCTCGAGAACAAGCTCGCGTACTGGCGCAGCATGGTCAGTACGACGTACTCAGCAGTCCGAAAGTTGTCAAAGAAGCAAGCACTGAACCCACCTTTCAATGAGACGATAGACCAAAGGAGCCCTCTGGTTCCTCGGAGGAGGTGTCACCGTCGGGGGTGCTATCGTGGGCGGGGCCACCGCTATCGTGGGCGGGGCCACCGTCTCGGGTGCAGCCATTCTGGCAGGAGCTACCTCTGTCGCTGCTGTATCCGCGGCGTTCGCTCCTGTGGGTATCGCCTTGCTAGTGGTAAGCCAAAGATTAGTAACATCAGCTTGCAGAGAGCATCTGAGTTTCTGATTCATCATTCGACATTTTTATCTCAGTTGGCGGCGTTGACGATCGCGATCTCTGGGATCACCGCCTTGACCGCCCGGATCAAAGCTAACAGTAAGAGACCACGTCCATCTCTTCATCACTCTACCCCCGTGAAGTTCGACACTGACGTTTTCGGTGATGATGTCCAAAAACAGACCTGGCGGACAGCTTGGCAGAAAAGAAACGCCAGCTCTTGGACCTCGAAGCGCAACTCGCCTCCCTCAAAGAACTTAGACCGATCGTCGAACGAGCGTCGGTCGATATGGAGACTATCGGGGATCATTTGATGATCCTGTCAGACGTTTGGAAGGCGGTGAGTACAGTATCCGTACCTTACCTTATCCCTCTTTCATCTACCGTACATGTACCGTTGGGGATCTCGACCTACAGTAGATCGGCGCATCACGCGGGCTGAGTCTGCGGATCCTATCACACCGTATTTCCGTTTCTCAGTTCCGCAACGACGCTCAAGAGGTCAAGACGATCCTAGAACAATGTCACCGAGACGTGAGTCAAGTCCCCTCCTCATCCTTCGAAGCAGGCTCAATCGCTGAATCACCCTTTCATCCGTTATTGAACCATACTGTACTGTAGGGGAGCCAATTCGATGAGAAACGGGTATCCACCGCGGTCGAGATGTACCGAGGATTGGTCCAATCTATGGGTACCTACGCGTCGCTGGTCTCCTAACCTCCTGTGCGTCAACTCTACCGTGCCTCTGAGGAGACACACAGGAGCGATTCAATAAGTCCCCCTTGAAATTTGAACAGAAGGATCGTGAATGAATCTGGTCTGAAATCGAGTTCGCCCAATGGATATGCCTGTAACCTTACCGATCGATCGCTCGTTTGACTGTTTGTAAAGCCGAAATAACAATATGCTCATTGTACAGATACATAGCTATACAGCTAGACTTGCTTCATGCCACATGTCCCCAGAGACAAGAGAAGGCATGGAAGACATGATATACCCTCCAGTCTCAGCCCCAGGCCAGGGAAGGACTGGGTAACAGTCTTGATAGGCTGTAAAGAGGTCGTCTTTCAGTTGAGGCCGGCTACAGCTGTTCCTCGTCTGAAAGAGAAACTAGGTCCCTGATGAGCTTGAAGTTGTCGTCGAGCCAGCCGGCTAAGTAGAGCGCTGCGGCGAAGGTGAGATGTGCTAGCGAGAGACCTCTCTGCGGTTTCACCTCAGAATCCGAAAGAATAGGGGCGATTCTCATAGCTTTTGGCAGAACAAATACTCGCATCTTCGCTTTCTTCGCTCCGTGCTCTGACACCGACTTCTGTTCATTGCATGTGATCCTGAACATCTTCATAAGCTCGCTGTATAGAACGCCAGAGAGATCCATTAGTCTTGTGGGCGATACTGTATAGTGGGATGGGTCGGATTCACCCTAGGGGTCATCTGACCGCATGCACTACTGTAGGCTGTGCTCAGACTCTCCCATTGAGTGCTGGTCAATCGCTTTTTCGCTCATTGTACAGTTACATAGCTATACAGCTAGCCTTGCCTTGTGCCACAGGTCTCACGCTTCAAGATACAGATATATGGCGACAAAATCCAGTACCCAGTGAACATCATGGATACCATGGACTTTGGACAGCTTTTTGATGACGACAGGATGAGCCAGGAGGAGAGCGAGAAGGCAGGCGACAGGGAGAGCAAGTGAAGGTCTCGAGATTGACATATACAAGTCGTCGCGCCCCGGCACAGTCGCTGGAGGGGTTAACCCTAGATGAAACTGACCGAGCCGATAGTCGTACTTCTGGGAAGACTGAGCAGCGAGTTTCTAGGAGACGACAAGAGAGGACACACGATCCATAGGTCTATCGCCTCCGCCATCCATACTCGTATGTTTGCCACCCATCCGATGTTGGAAGCGCGCGTCATCGTTCCCGATCGATCGACCTTTGGTCGTAATTACTCGTCCTTGTACAAGTCGACAACACCTTCATCTCCCATCACACCTATAGCCACATCAACTTACAGCACACAAACATAGTCTCTTGGATACCATGGGCATCGTCACTTCCACCCTCCGATCCGTCAACGCCTGGGCCCACTTGCCAAGCACCCTCAGAGCCGGGTACGTCCTCGGATGGGGAGCTCTCTTTGGAGCCAACGTGAGTTCCGGATCGTTATCTTTCCTGAGAGGTAGACCGTCCGGAGGAAGATTGGAGGGTTGCTACTCGGGAGTGAAAACATAGAAGCTAAGATCGGTCGGTTGTGCTGTTATCGCCTCGGCGGGGAATGGTAGATCTGGAACTCGTTCATCGGCGGGATCATCGCTTTCAAGACCCGTAAGTCCCAGTCTCACCACGCTCCTCTATTTTCCCCTTCTTCGAGCCATAATCATAACGGTACATAGCTCACTGTTATGTAATGTGATATAATGTGACATCTTTCGTCCCATCCTCCCATCTGACACAGTCCCTCGACAAGTATTCGGCAACCTCCAATCACGCCAATTCCCAATCTTCTTCGCCTACTCTACCTTCCTCTCCCTCGGTCTCCTCACCCTGGACCTGAAACTCCGCCCTGCGCTTCTCACTTCTTTCAAACACTCCCCTTTCCAGACCCTCATGGCGTTGAACGGGAGAGAGTTTTGGGGAAGTACTGCTGGGTTGAGTGTTGTAACTGGGTTGGTGCATGCGGTGAATGGGTTGGTTGTGACTCCGAAGGCGAGTGAGGTTATGTTCGAGAGGCATCGGTTGGAGAGGATTGAGGGGAAGAGTTCAGATTCGGTGAGTCGAGAGTGTGATGTGATAATCCTGCATCGGATTGGACTGGGATTGGGACTTTTTGGATTGGTCGTCCTTAGGGGGGATATAACGCTCGACGATCGAGATCGAATTTGAACTGATCGTCTTGTCATATTATCCTCTCATTCTCATTCTTTCTTCGTCCTCCGGTCCACTCCTACCTACTCTCAATTCGCTCTTGTCTCATCTGGATCTTTTCGATTCATCCTGCTTTCCGGTCCATGTCGCACACTACTGCATGTCATACCGGCTTTTACGTCTTTTCTCGGGTTGGCGATACTCTTTCGAAATTCGACATCGACCAAACCTTTCGAATCGCCCTTCTGAATATTCGCCATTCAACCTTTCACTTCCAAAAACAACCCCATCCAACACACAATTCGAAACAACCCCAACACCCAACCCAACCCAACCCAACCCAACCCAACCCAACCCAACCCGCTCCGACCTATAGCGAAACCCTTCAAAGGAGATGCAAACGCTCAACAGCCGATTCACCAAGCTCCACTCGGCCTCGTCGACCTTGAACACGGTCGGGCTGATCACGACGGGTTTGATCGGGTGGAAGATCGGGAGCGTCGGATTCGGACCGAGGGGGAGTGGGGGGTTGGGCGTGATGCCCTAGGTGTTGGATGCGTACCTGGAGTTGGTGGGGGAAGACGGTCAGGGCCCGAATGGGACGGTTGATAAGGCACCTGGATGCACGGAGCAGGACACGGGATGTGGGGATGGGTATCGAAGGAACGCGCTGGCCGAATTTGGCGAACGGATCGAGGCTCTTCTTTTCGTCATCCAAAAGAAGAAGAGCGACACGGCCCGGGCTGAATCATCTATGCAGTAGGCAGCATGGTATGGGAGGGCAAGGTACGGGCTGGGCTGCGTGGGCGTGGGATATTGGTTCATCGTGGTGTGAGAGCAATCAGATAAAAGACTGTATCGAAGAAAACAAGACATGGCGAGTGATAAAAAAGATCTTTCTTGCAACGCGATTACACTCGATGGGCGAGACTCCTGTCACAACCGCAATTTCAAGGTACTTTCAGTGGCTTCGATTTCGGGCCTGCTTCAATTGCAGCGGGAAATGGCAGGCCTGCTTTTAAGGGATCACAAGTCGAAGCGATCTTCAGGGCCGGGTGGAGTTCGACGGCGGGAATGAGTTTCTGCACTCTAGTGTTCTCACTGGATTTTTCTCCCGTGTTCTTGTTGGAACGTTATTGGTTGCGCTTGCTCCTCTAGGCCCCGTGACGACAGTCAGGGCAGTGATACCTGCCGAGCCTTCCCTGGCCAAAGTTGAAACCTTTGCCGCAGTCAGTCAGGACATTAGATAAAGTTCAGACAATGGATCAGTCCAGCCCCAAACAGATTCCATTGGTTGGTCTCTTGTCTAACCTAGTCTTGAAATCCTCCCGAATGATTATTTTTCTGATTTGGTATTCTCATACGGTCTTGCCGACCAATTCAAACCCTCATGCTGAGGAAGATGCTGTATTAGGGGCGGAGATAGTGTACAGGGAAGTCGGTTTTTCCTTCATTTGAATTTTGGCTGTTGCCAAGGTTTCCGTCGGCATCATCATGACGATCCAAGCCTATCCGGCAGACAACCAGGCATGGGACAAGGTCAAGATAGGTTTACCCTTCTCTCTGATTCTCCTTCACACCCCTTGGCGGTGCATTTGGCATCATGATAGAAAGCGACGTCGTTCGGATGTCTCTTGTCACGGACCAGATGAAGAGACAGATAGCAGTCATGCGTTCCCTGTATGCTACCGTCACAACGGTCGGGACCTGGATGGCGAGATGCAACAAGCGTCTATGGTGCTTCGGACGATGAAACGCGTGATCAATATCGTTCGGACCGTGAGTCCTGGCGGGAGACGACCTTTCGAGAATTTCAGGAAGAGGCGCAAAGCGGGAACCTCGGTATGGAGTCCAATTCGCATGCATGAACACGCATGATCATCGAGTACAATATATACTGCAACCGGAGGGGTTGAATGAGAGAGGGAAAAACAACTGAGTGCCATAACAAAGCGAAGAGCCATCTATCGCGTACAATCCTAAAAAGCCTAATGTGCTATATTTCTTTTTCTTTTCGATACGCGGCGCTTGCACGGGTACATGGGCGGAGGCACTTGTTTTGTGGTGTTCCATCGACGCCTCGGTGTACCCTAAGCCAACATCACGTCCCCGCCTCGCTCAGAATGTTTCAGTCCTCGATCGGCTCGTGCTCAAGCGAAAAACCCTGGGCCGGTTTCGCGTTGAGGGGTGTATGGAGGCGAGAGTTCCGAGATCTCTTCTGGAGGTCGTCCCCTTCTTTTGCTCTCCTCGCTTTTCTGTCTGCGTTGCATCCCACCGCAAACCCTCGTGCCACTCCCGTCTCATCGCCTCATCCGCTGTTCCTCGGCCTGGTCCAGCTCGGCCATCTCCATGTCGTCCTCGTGCACGCCTCCCTCGCCTCGACCCCGCTTCTGCATCTCCTTCGGGTCGACAGGCCTGCCCCTGCGGTCCTCCTCGTCCGGTACGGGATGTACGCCGGTAGTGACCGCCCCGCTTCCAGGTCCCGTGCTCGACTTCTCCTCTTCGCTGCCCCTCTGGTTCTGGGCCATCACGGCGCGAGCGTGCCAGCTGTCCTCGATGTCCCTGTGGAACCAGGCATAGTCGGCGACGAATTCGTCGTGCTCGACCTCGTCCATTCCGACCACCTGAGCCTCGTCGTCGGCACGGAAATGCAAGCCGGGGACGAGGTTGATGAGGAACATGATGATGTAGGTGACGACGAACGTCCAGCCGGTACCGACGGCGATCCAAGCGATCTGCTTGTAAAGCTGAGCGAAATTGCGGTCGAGCCAACCTCCTTCGACCACGGCGTAGCCGTCGTTGGCGGCGACCGAAGCCTGAGCGAAGAGTCCGGTCATGAAGGTGCCGATCGCACCAGCCAAGGCGTGCACGGCAAAGACGTCCATGCTGGAGAGTGGAAAAGATGCGGTCAATCTCGTGCGGCTCAAAGTTGCTTTACGTAAAGACTCGTTGCTACTCACGGATCATCGACCCTCATCGAGACCTTGAGTCGGGTGGCCAAGTTGGAACAAGCTCCGGCGACGAGACCGATGAGCGCCGCAGCGGGGGTGCCGACGAACCCAGCAGCCGGGGTGATGGCGACCAGTCCAGCGATGGCTCCGGTACAGAACCCGACGACGCTCCATTTCCTCTCCAACCTGAAATCGAGGATCATCCAGACGATCCCTCCGACGGACCCGGCGAGGTTGGTGTTGAACGCTGCCATGGCGGCCTTCAAGTTGGCGGCGAACGTGCTACCGGCGTTGAACCCGAGCCAGCCGACCCAGAGGAGCACTGTGCCGAGGATGACGTGACCGACGTTGTGGGGTTTGTAGAGGATGCGTTCGGTCCCGTAGCCACGTCGCTTGCCGATGAAATACGAGTAGGCGAGTCCACCGATCCCAGAAGCGATCTCGACGGGGATCCCACCGGCGTCTACCGATTCAACACGCCAACACACCGGAAATGATCAGCGCCAAATGTGATCAAAAACCAAACGAAACCACGGACTGCGCCGGGGCACTCCACTCACAATCGTAAACCCCCCACTTGAACGCCCAACCGTTCGAACTCCAGATCCAGTGTGCCAGGGGGTCGTAGACGAGCGTCGTCCAGCAAAACACCCAGACCATGGCGGGCAAGACTCGGGATCGTTCGCATGCGGCACCGAGGACGATGGCGGGGACGAGACAGGCGAACATCATTTGGTAGGTGGCAAAGACCTGCGAGCGAGCGTAGCGAGCACAGTGTGAAACGAACGTGATGAGAGGCAAACGATGGTCAGCCTCTTTTTCTTCGAATTGGATGTGTTACTCGTTCGCAAGGGGAAACAGGAGACACTGACGATTTCGGGCAACTTGTTGTTCGTCTCCGGCACCGCCCTCCCCAAGACGCCCATGAAACAGAAATTATCCAGGTTCCCGAGGAACACGCCGCCGGTCTCCGAGTAGACTAGGCTGTAGCCCCAGAACCACCTATTGTTGCGCGTAAAGTCAATCAAAGACAAGATGATCATGGTCGTCAGCTCTCTCTTGCTCTCTCCTGTGCTTGGCTTGATCTTGGTCGGATGGCTCGAGATTGTGATTGCACGAGATAATCGGGGTATAAGACGCGCAAACGGGGACTTACCATTGAAACGAAGTGATTGCCAACGCCACGATACACAGGAATAACAAGCTGAGGGCGTTCTTACGTCTGACGAGGCCCGAGTAGAGGTACCCCAGTCCGGGACTTTTGTCATCCAAGTTTGACGTGGATGTAAGTAAACGCAGGTGAAAGAAAAAGAAAACAAAAAAGGAAAAATCATCAACCTCGATCCCGGCCCGGCTTACTTTCCTCGCAATACGAGACGAAACAGAACACAACACAATGGAACAGGACCAAGCACGCATGAACAGATAACTCACATCATCAACCAAACAAGCGCCGTACACGTCAAGATCCACCCTATATCCCCAGCGTCGAACGGTGCCAAGGTGGAGTCGTCGTCCTGGAGGACGATCATATCCGTCCCATATGGGTTGATCGTGGCATCAGAGGCGGCGTTTGAGGAGGAGGAGATGAGGCCGTAGGTGATATTGACCATCTTGGTTTTTTATGCAAGTTTCTCTAAGAGGTTTCGAGGTTTCGAGGATTCGAGTTTCAAGGTGCGATTGTTTAGAGGAGAGAGATCCGAGTTGTCCGAAAGAGACAAGGCCGGTTTACTTGACCCAGAGAGAAAAGCAAAGTAAGGTCGATCTCGAATTTTATTTTCCTCGGATAAGTATGTTATTCCTTGACTCCTGTAATGTACGTTTTCTTAATCGAGATTCCTCTTGCTGTTGTTCGGAAGGGCGATGTTGCGAGGGATCCGAGGTGGGCTGTTTTATCTTCGTAGGCTTAGCTTATGAGGTGGTACGTCGACGAGCCACTGGCCACTGGTTGACACTCGATCGTGGCCCGAGTGAAAGAGTATAAGATGCAAGACGAATAGGATAGGGTGATCGGGTGATGGTATATGGTATTTCTCGTCCCTTCCTTGGCAAACCTCGCCCTCGCCCGAATCAAGAAGAAGCAAGAAGAATCTTTGCGACCTTCCAACTCGCCCCTCCGCAACTTTCGCCCGGAAACTATAGTAATCCGGCCGAACGGGGACGCCTATTCGTTCGAGATAACGACGTCCTCGCCCTTCTCTTGCGTCGAATCAAACGTCGAAGCGATCGATAAATTACTCCCGATCATCGATTGATTGATGGGGGGGGGGGGGTAGATTGATCCCGCGTGGTTTATCGTACAGCAGCCAATGAGATCTGGTTATTTTTAGGCCCGGCGTACAAGGATCACGGCATGTTTCTCGTAAGCCCACGGGGGCTCGCTTATCTGCTTCCACCCTTCCCCTCGGTCGATCTGGGTGGAAGCTGGAAAAGAACAAGTTCCGAACCGGCTGGGTGGTGAGAAAACGAATATGTATTTAGGGCCTTGGGGCATGGAAATGATGATTACCTAATCAGCCCAACCGTTCGTTTGCGTTTCGTCACCCATACCATCCGTCCTTTGATCCTTTGACCTCTTGCCTCTTGATCTCTTGCTCTCTTGGATCTCTTGACAATTCGACTTTGCAACTCGATCTCTTGATTTCTTGAGGCAAACCTATCGACATAACGCTCTTTACACATCATCGATCATCGGGATACCTACATACGTCGTCCCCCCCTCCCCAGCCCCAACCAAAACCAAAACCACCCAAAACACCCCGATCAAAGTAAAAACAAGGAAGCCAGAAAAGGATGCCAGTCCTCCCGTACCCAGAGCTTTATAAGGACGCCCCGTTCGTCGTCCTCTCCGACTGGGTGAGTCGGCCGTGGTGTTTTTTGCGTTTTTCTTTTTTCGCCTGCGATTGAGTGATGGGTGTTGTGTGGGAGGCTGAGAAGAAGAAGAGGAGGACTGAGATGGACGATCAAAGGACGGGGGGTTTCAGTCTACGGATCGATCGAAGTCGATCCTTGCGAAATGCAACGTAAACGCAATTGCAAACGCAAAGCAATGAGTAACGAGCAGTCTCGCTAGGATGCATAGGAGGAGAGTGATGGTGGAGCCGGTATGCGGCGTGTCAGGTGGAGGTGGATCGTGCGTCGTGCGTCGTGCGTCGGGGAGACGGTGAATCCGAGACTTCGAAAAGGATACGATACGATCGGGCCGAGTCGGAGCTTGCTCTCTAGATCGAGATTGAGTTGATCATCGAAAAATGAAGCTGATATTATATCGTTCATCGTATTATCACGTATCGTTGTCTTGTCTTGCTCTTGCACCTCTCCCTATATGTTGCGATATTTTGCTGGGATCCCATCTCGGACACCTCGTTTTTTTAACTCTACCTCGGTCGTACAAAATCTAAATTTACCCATACCTACATACGGACCTCGTGTCGGCGTTTATCCCGGCGTGTTCGCTTTCTGCCCTGGTAATCATGGTCCTGGTCCTGGGTACGGATACGATCACGGATACGATCCCGTTCATATGGAAATATGATGTCGGGCGTGGTGATGGTGATGAAAACGGGGATATATATATGGGGGAACCGGGATGATGCTATACTGTAGGACGGCACGATCACCACGAAGGATAGTAATGATTGTAAGTCCGACTTCTTTCTTCGTGAACATGCCTATACATACCTACCTACCTCTATCGAAATCTCAATTCCAACGACGATCTCGATCACGATCACGATCTCGTCGCTCTCTTCGCGCTGTCGACCCGGTGCACACGTTCTTGACGCTGACCGACCCCTGCTGGCCTTTGTGGTCTTTTGTTTTGTGGACGAACAGTCTTGACGGATAATCTCGGTGAGCATAGTAGCTCTGTTCTCCTCTGATTTCTCCTCCCTTTTTTTCTTTCTTTTCGTGTTGTTTTTCGAGACGAGGGTGCGGGATGGGGTTCCTAGTCTGGACCTTGGCCGGATCGGGGAGGAATGGGATGGCGTGGCATGGGGACGAGATGAACCGGGGCGATCAACCGAAACAGTTCAAGGAGGATGGACGGAGGTGGGGCGTCGAGGTTCTGGTGATCACAAGCTGGACGATCTTTTCCACCGAGAGATGAGGATGAACCTGAGATAGGTCGAGAGAAGAGGCCGGCATATCGTAGTGGTCGGCCAAGGCGGAGGATATGTCGTGGGGAAAGTTCGAGACGGTTACGAAAAGGCGGATCCGGAGGGAGGAAGGAGAATGGGTCGGGCGAGTTTTTTTATTTGGGTCACGAGAGCGTCGCTGAGACCATTAGAGAAGAATCGGGTCTGTGTGACAGTCTGGGCTGTCCAAAACATGGACTGTCGCGGAGAGGATGATTGGAGCAGCAAGAGGAACACGAGGGGTCTGTTGATCGGGAACGCGAGCTTACCCGAATATCATGATTTTGCGTTGTTCCTTTCTTTTCTGCTCTGCGCCGGCTCGCTACTCACCTGATACGGATCTTGTCTCCGGCTGGATTTTGTCTCGGACTCCGACGACTCGCTTTGGGCTGTTGTGCGTGACTTTGGTTGAAACGCTCAGGGATGGGCTATGAGAAGAGGTCAGTCTCCACCGGCCGTTCATCCTTTTCCTAGTCTTCGACATATCCCCACTGTCCCATTCCTACCTTTTTCCGACTCAAGTACCGTAGCAAATAGGGATTCGAAGCTGAACATGCGATATCCTCACTTATCTTTGCTTACCGACTACATCATCTCCCTCGACATCTGGAAAATCCACCGTGACACCTGAACTCGCACTCGAACATCTCCACCATGAACAATGGCGACCGCTGACTGCTAGGCGGGAGATGAACAAGGACGTCTTGAGCGGCAAGACGACGTTTAGGTCAGTGTCGCTTTGGCCTTCTTTTTGCTTTTTCCCTTCGTCTAAGGTGTTCCGAGTGCAACGGAAATCGGGGAAGGGGCGTTGGCGGCGGGGCATGTGAGACCTCTGGGGAACTGCTGTGGTGACGTTGCACCCCGGGCTCGAGATAAAGGCCGCAGATTGACATTCGCGGAAAGCGCGAGATCGGCAGGGCTGCAGGCTGACATCAGGTTGTTCATACACCCATGCACGCTGCAAAACTCGGCTAAACGTATCTATGTCATCCTCGCCGTCGCTACCCTCACGTACTGCTCATGGACAACTTGATTCTGCAATAATTCCGGATCGACCCACAGAGACTCGTTCGCCGAGATGCTCCAGAGCGTGGTCGCCAACGGCCACAGCTTTGCCGAGTGTCAGGAGATCCTGCGACAAAGTGAGTATCCAGCTGGGGTAATTCGCCTCCGATCGAAATTGAAGCCATGCTCTCGCTCTGCAGACATCGTCCTCGACCCCGGTTTCAAGACCTTTTTCAGGTGGTGTCGTGAGAACGGCGTGCCGGTCATCATCGTCTCGTCGTGCGTAACGTCTCCCCGGTCGGCACGCACGACCTCAACGCGACACGCCGCTTACCTGTTTGTACCCTTTTCGTGCGGACCTGCCAGCGGCATGGCCCCGATCATCCGGGCCGTACTGACCAACCTGATCTCGGCCGAAGAAGCCTCGTCGATCAACATTATCGCCAATGACGTCGAGTTTACCGACGAGGGCAAGGAGGGCAAGACTTGGGAGATCGTCTACCGACACCCCGAGAGGTGAGCCGCGCGTCGATAGGCGCTTCTTGAAGACTGGGATCGGAGCCTGATCCTGTCATTTGGCTTTTGTTTTGTCTGTCGCGGCTGGACTTGATAGTGGATACGGGCACGACAAGTCCAAGGCGATCTTGCCTTACCGGGACTTGGCGCACAAGCCCACCTTGTTCTTTTGCGGGGACGGCGTTTCGGGTACGCCGAATGTTTTTCTTCATCTTCTCTTCTTCTTTTTCTTCGGGATCAAGACTAGCTGACTGGACTGGTGTCCGCGTATATTGATCGGTTGTAGACATGTCGGCGGCGGCCCATGCGGACTTGTTGTTCGTGAAAGAGATGGCGAATGGGGATTCGGACTTGGCTACCTATTGTGAGTTTCGACACCTGGGTTTTCCTATACTATCACCTCTCCGCCGCTCTGCTCCCCCCCCTCTTTCTCTCTCTGGCATGACACACCGCTCTGGTCGGACATCCGGGAGTTTCAGGGTCGGGTCCGGAGAGCAGAGGGCAGGGGAGGAGAACAGAGGGGAAGAGAGGCGATCGTAAAACATGGGATGATCGAGTTGCTGATAATCTCGTCTCGATACGGCCGGGCGAAACACAGGCAAGGAGAAGGATATCCCGCACGTGTCTTTCCGGGATTTGTGAGTCCCCTCATTACTTGCGGATTTTGTGGTATCTACCAAGCCGAGATATCGGCCGCTGATACGTTTATCGCTCTTCTTTGTGTGAACGCTGGTTTGGATACTTTATCTACCTTGAAACACACTTTGGGAACCCCTGAATTTGAATCTGTCTTGACCTCGATTTCCGAACGGTATCGACCTCGGCTCTCACCCTCGACACCTTCTGCAACCTTTCTGCAACCTCGATGAACGACACACACACAGCAACAAGGTCCTCGAAGTCGTCCAGACCGTTGTCACGGGCAAATCGAGCGTCTCGAGCGTCTTGGCCTCGGAGATGGCGGCTGAGCGGGTCGAGGAGGTTCAGCAGGCCAACGCCGAGGTGCAGGCGACGAAGGATTAGAGCCAAAGGGTGGTTGTTTGGCAGGGGGGGGGGGGGGGGGTGGTTATACGTAGACTAGCACGCTAGCACTAGATACTAGCCTTCAGAGTGGGGTATCATATAGAGAATATATATAGAGGGGATTTGGAAGGGTGATGTGGTACGACTTGGGTGCGAATACACCACACCGGTGTCGTGATCTATTTCTAGGACTCTAGGGACGATGCGCGTCATCGGATGATCAAGAAGTGATGAACCTTCTTGGTTCGAATATGCTCATCAAGGTCGTTATCATCCCCAACGTCCATAGATTATTACCCTCGGCCGAACCGTTATTGAGGAACTACTTCAATCCTCGGTCTACTCGCTCGATACCCACCCTAGGAACCCACGCTCGAATCCGATACTACTACGATGGTCGTCCCAACCTCGACCTACTCGCTCTCGCACGCGGTATCGACCTTTGATCCGGCCTTTCGTCAGCTCGACCTCGGACGTGAGACTACCACTAGCACCAGCACCAGCACCAGTGCTAGTATCAGTACCGGGTCTTCTATCGACCAAGGGAAGAGATCTGATTATGATCATGATATCGATATTCTCATCTACGGAGCGACTTCTTTCACGGGGAAATTGGTCGTCAAATATTTACTTCAACATCCGCAGTACGCCTCTGGAACGGGGGAGTTTAGGTTTGCTCTAGGTGGGAGGACGAAGAGCAAGTTAGACTCCCTAGCTGAGCAGATCGAATTAGAAGCGGAGGAACATCAGAAGCCGGAGGTGGTCTGTTTCCCTCTGTGTTTCCCTGCGTCCTCGTCTGAAGGGAGCGAGGGAGAAGAGATAGAAGAGATAGAAGAAGGAGTAAGAAAGGCAGTAGGGGGGTGTAAGGTGGTAGTCAACCTTGCGGGGCCGTTCTCGACCCAGAACGCCGAGGTGCTTATTAGGTGCGTTCAGCGTTCTTTTTTTGTGGTTGGTTTCGTCTTCTTCTTCTTCTTCTTCGTTCGCTCTTCTTTCGCTCTTCGTTCGCTCTTCGTTGTGATTTCGGGTCTGGACTTGGTCGAGCAGACGCCGATTGGGATTCCGCTGCAAAGGGGGTACGATGGCTGATCTTTCCTCTTGCCTGTTTCTTTGCCGTCTCGTCTTTCGTCTCTCGTCTTGCATCTCTCTTATTCGTCTTGGATTTGATTCATTTTGAATTTGAACCGGTCTGAGTTTACATAGGCAATGTGCGCAACAAGGGAAGCATTATGTGGACCTTACCGTGAGTCATATCTCATACCTCATATCTCAGACCCCTGTCCGTTATTCCTCTCCTCTCCGTCTTCTCCATCCTTTCCGACTTTTGGGGCAAGGGGGGCCTTGTCCCGGGAAAGGGGTGAGGAGGGGGGAGGGGGGGAGGGCTTGTCTGGGGAAGAACCGGGCTTTCGACGTGGCCATAAGGGGATAGACGAAGGCTTACGAGTTGTTATTCTTTGTTTGCGATATGGGATTGTTCTTTTGGACTTGAACTTGGATTGGGCATTCAACTTGGATTGGACTTCGGACTCGGACCCGGGCTGGGATTCGAACTGGAACTGGTACTGGGATTGATATCGATCTTTCGGACTGGACATGGGACATGGGGATTCAAAACCCGATCTGACTTGACCTGGGCTCGTACGCTAAACCGGACACGATCCTTGGTCTCAATATCGAAATCGTAACTTGAACTTCGCGACGGATTTGACTCGACTTGGCTTGGCTTGACGGATTACGACACGGACCTCCAACCTCCACTTGGAATTGGAAACCAAAATTGGACGAACTCAAACGAACTCGGCTGAAACCTTGATATCGGGCTGCCAATGGAATATCTGACGTGAACTATGGGGATCCGATCTGATTTACGGATCGGGGTGTACGCAGGGAGAGACTCCTTGGGTCAAGGAGATGATCGAAAAGTAAGCCCCGCCCTCTTCAAGGATCTCAATTCCGGCACGATTCGCCTTGCCCTTGCCCTTGTTGCTTGGATATTGGATGTTGGGCTTCTTGGAAAGGAAATCGACACTGACTTGTTCCTCGTTCCCGGCTCGTTTTGTCTGCGCGTCTTCCTGCCTGATTTTGGGATCTTATCGCTATCGATTTCGATTACGATTCTCGTTCTCGTTCTCGGCTCTGCTTTGTCGCCCTCGTATTCGCCCTGCGGCAGGTACGATTTCTTGGCCTGTTCGACCGGGTCGTGCATCGTCCCTTGTTGCGGTTTCGATTCCATCCCAAGGTACGTCGGCGCCGGGCCTGTGCATTGCGTCCCGACGTCTTCTGATACCGGCAATTGAGCTGACCTTGACCTTCCGCTCTTCCGGCTCGTGCATTGCGCTTCGCTTCATACGGGGACACCGGGACGATAGTGATCTTACCGCCTACCTCTCGGCGCAATACCTCGCTCGCCACGCGCACGGAAGTCAAGAATCAGCCCAGGCAGATTCGGTTCAACGTGATGCCAAGCTCGTCAGTTCGGAGACGTTTCATTGGATCCGAGGAGGTGTTTCTGGGGGTACGGTCGGGTCGGCGTTTGTCGTCGCCGAGATGGAAAAGAGGAGGTTGCAGAGGGGGATGGGCGAGTTTGCGCTGACTTTTAGTGGGTGATCAGGGTCGTGAAAGATTCGCGATACAGGACTGCTCCGCTGATGATGTATGTTTGACCCGACCGATAGGAGAATCGGGCCGACCGTCCAAGGGGTTCCGACCGGCTTACTACAACGCCCTCAGCGGACTCCGGGGCATGTTCTTCGTCATGGCTCCTGTCAACTCGGCCATCGTCCGTCGATCGTGGTCGATCTTGCAACGAGCGCCTCTCATCCTCTCCGCCGCCCCTAGTTCCAGCGCTGCCTCCAGCTCGAAATCGTCTTGGGCGTCCTCTGCGCCGGTGCCGGCTCGATACGGTAAAGACTTTACGTACGACGAATCCATGTGTCTCGGACCTCGAGGCAAGGGGATGTCGGCGCTCTCGAGCTGCTTCTTTGGGTTGTTGTTGACGGCGTTCGGAGCGGCATTTGCGAGTAGCTCGTTGGTCAGGTCGTTGGTCAAGCTCGTCGCACCCGTTTCGGGTAGTGGACCTAGCGAAGAGTGAGTCAATGGCACGCCCTTGTTTGGCCCTATCGACGTGACCATGGCTGACCCGGGCCGAGACTTCGTGTTCGACGCGGCGTTATTTGCCAGACAACAGAAGAAGGGATATTTCGAGGCTGTGAACGTTGCTCAGAGCGAGAAGGATGCGGTGGTCACGACCATGTTTGGGAGGTACGATCCGGGATACAGCGGGACCGCACGTGAGTACTGGGCTCTTTCCATCTCTGTCAACCCGGCTTGCTGATCATGCCTTGCCCACGCCTCGATCTCGCAGGGATGCTAGCGGAATCCGCACTCAGCCTGTCCATTGCGCACGACCAGATCTCGAGCATCGGCAAGCTCGGTGGAGTGCTCACTCCGTCCACGGCGATGGGCGACATTCTGGCGGAAAGGTTGAGGCGGTACGGAGGCTTTGAGATCTCGACCTCGACTTTTGAGGACTGGAAACGGGCTAGGGAGGCGGACAAGAAGAACGTCTAGGCCGGCGTGACAGATAGCAAAAAAAGAGAAAAGAACGATCGTGAATGGTACCAGTGCGGATGTTGCAGTCACAACATCCAAAATTTGACAATATAACCGAGTGTTCCCGCATGTAGCATAATAAAACGGGTGTGTGCGTCTGCGATTCGATCGTGCCCAGTCTCGACGATCCTACCTGATCGCGCCATTGTACACATGTATACGCTAATAGCTACTGCCGTATGATTGTCATGACCCCTGCCATGCAGAGCGACTCGACGTGGCTCCGGTGCTTTGCGTTCCCCAACATATGCTTCAGATATTCATCGTCCGTCTGCTCATTCCAAACTAGACGTCCGTCCCATTGTTGGGTATGATCTGGCCATCCTCAACAAAGAACCACTGCGAATACCTCTCCGGTACCTTGGCGGCAATCTCCACCTTGGACTTCTTAGGTACCCCAAACGCCTTTCTCTTGTTGTTGTCGCAGGCGTTGACCAGGCTCTTCTCAGCGGACATCGTGGTGGTCTGGTTATAGTTGATCTCGTTCGCATCGACCTTGCCTTCGATCAGGTCGTGCCAGTATCCGTGGCCACGCTCAAGGACGTCTTGGATGAAGGGGACGTCTTGGTACCATTCGCCGACGATCGGAATGAGACCTTCGTCGCCACGAGCCAGTTTGTAGTACTACATGTTTCTCGATGATCAGCTACTGCGTCCGCTGCGAAATCTTGCTGAAAGGAAAGCTCACGGTAAACCAGTCTCGATAAGCCTGGATGACTCCTGGACGGTACTTTTCGACATCCTGGTAAGCTGTTGAAATAATCATTGCAATCGTTTAGCTTTCACAGCGGTAATTGTCAAACTCTATTTCAAAGATGCTGGACTTGCTGTTCAAAAGAGGTGCCAAGGGATCCTTGATATCAATACCGATCAACTTCCAGTCGGTCTCGTTTCCCTATGACATGATTACTATCAGTGGAAGCTGACGAGCTGAATGACATCAGCGGCACCAACATCGTTCAGAGCGAGGCCGCCGAGAACCTTGACCTGCTTGATCTGTCCGACGAAGCCAGGACTAGCAAGACAAACCCATCAATATCTCAATCCCCTTTCTAGACTCCCATTCTTGATATCACACCATACTCACTCCTGGCCGATATCGAAGAGGTCGATCGGATCGTTATCCCCTTCGAATCCGGTGAACGGATGTTCGAAGTTTGGGCTCTCCCATGTTTGCGGGACCGAGCCGTACAAGAAGGGGTAGGATACGTGAGGCCAGACGTTCTCTACGAATCGAGGGGCGCCTTTTCGGGTGTCGTGGAAGATGGGGTCTGAAGCGCCGTGGTGGTTTAAGCCAAGGCTTACCAAGGTAGAAAATATAGATAGAGGTATGCTCACTGAAAGGCTCGTCCCGGGACGTCTCGATCTTTCCGTTCGTCAACCTGGGGATCTCGACGATAAAGTTGATGATCTGCTTGTTCGATTCGTCGGGATAGAGAGGGACGTCGTGCCAGAATGATGCGGGACAGCCGTCCTTTTCCAACCAGATCCTCCAGTTCTGCAATCGACGGCAATGTTGATCGAGCGATCTCGGTGAGCAGCCCTTTCTGGATTGGGTTAATAAAAGGTGGAACATATAGGGACTGACCTCAGTGTTCCTGGCTCCGACTTCCACATAAGTCCAGCCATCGTTCTCGGTTTTGGTGTTTGCGCCCGTGTTTCCCTTGGGAGCGGCGGTGGCTGTCTGCACCATCAGGCCCGCAAGCAAGAGAGAGACTAGCGTTCGAGGGGTAATGCTGGTCATCGTTGTAGCTGAATGGACGAAGAACTGGTTGGGAGCATGATATACTGAAAAGGACAGGAGATTTCATGTGCAAGCCCACAGTGTTATATCCATTTCCACGATTCTGTTCGGTCGATCCCATAAACTTCGACGGCTGACCCCATTTTGTGCAAGCCACACCCACCCTTGTCTCTCGCTCCGGGTTTCGCCTGAAGCCAAGAACTTGCTGGTGTGGTGACTATCTTGCCAAGAGTAAAACCTACGTTGTGCTAGCTGAATCACGGAAATCGTCGTGTAAGCCCTGTTCAATGTCGTCCAAGCGCACACGCACGTTTCATCAAAAAGATATGAAACACGTGCGAAGCGCGCGCGCGACCGGATAACTAAGGATTGATGTGACAAGGAGCCGTCGAGTTGTTCTGCTTCTCATATACGAGCTCCCGAATCTCACGGGATTGGAACAGGGTCTATCGGGGCCTCGAGTGTCCTCGATGGCATATTGTAACACTATTGTCGTTGCTCAGCCGTAGCTAGACCGGTTGATCAGTGGCTGCGCGAGAATTAAGCTATACATCGAAATTCAACGAGACGGACGACCTCGGGCTTCGGCAGGCGTGGCATAATTCTGAGCTGGCAGGACGGGAGATGAGCGGATGTGGCGCCTTGGTCCCAAATCGTGCAAGCGTCCAAAGCCTTCTTGATTGCCTTGACCCCCTTCCTGATCTCCCTCACCTCCCTATCTTTCCTATCCTGACCCCGCTTGATCCGGGCAGCCAAGGTGGCCTTGCGGTTGGCTTTGGCAAGCTTGAGGGCGACCTTCCTACGGATTTTCGAGTGTCAAGTGACGGAGTCGAAGCGATGGATGAGCAAGGGTCGATCTGTGTCACCCCATCCATTGTTCATTCCAAGCCCAAATGTCTCGCAGCTCGGAAGACTTTTTTTTTTTGGTTATCAATCTTCGCCGATTGTTCGACATGTGGGATGTTTTCTATGGCGCGGCGCAGCCCTCCACCTTACCGTACGACCAGCATTTTCGAACGTCGTAATGTTAGTTCCATGCAAGCGTGTCAAAAGCGTCGATCAGGGAGATCCTCGGTACGATTCGTCTGTCTGCTTTGAACGCTTAATTCATCATTGCTGGTGTATGTACTAATACAAAGTGTTCTTGCTCGTCGACAAGCTCAATCGCTCTTTCCAAAGTTTTCCGCGCAATATGGAGATTTCGCTCTGACCTTTGCGCCTCTTCTGTAGAGGAAGAAGGGAATAGACACAAGCAGGAACGACAGCATCGAGAGTAAGAACAGTGCCCATTGGTTCCCTAATCGCTCGAACATCTGTCTTCCGACTGATCATACCAGGCCAAAATGAAGTAGACGGTTTAGTTCGATCTTCCGACTGGAAGGAGAAGCTGAGCCTTACAGAGAGGGAAGATCGCTCCGACGATGTTTCGCACGAAGACCACCCCCGCCAGAGCGCTCGAGGCGTAGTGTCCGTATCCATCGACGACATAGGTCAAGATGGCGTTGATGATGCAGAAGAAACTGTTGGTATCGAACAGACAAATATGAGACTCGATGAGACAAAGTCGCTTCTGTGACAGCTTACCCGAATCCCACGCAAGCAAAGCCGATCTGAAGATGCGCTCCGACTCAGCTCGAAGAACACACGCAAACACGCTCAGAAGCAAATCCAAGTACTGGCTCACCAAAGGAGCGATCCAGGGGAGGTAGGCATAACTCGTCCAGGCGGAGATCATCAACCCAAGGGGCATCAACCAGATCCCATACAGCGAGATCCACCATCGCGCTTCGGGGTTAGGAGTCCCGGTTTCAGTGGATCGCTTTTGATAAAACCGTTCTTGCATCGGGTGGAAGGCAAAGGCGCTGTAGGTGAAGGTGCGGAATCAGCGGACGAATACATGTCTCGGATACCAACCTGTCTTGGGTACTGACATGACAGCTCCTACTACGTAAGCGCCGAAAGTGAGGTTGACGAGTCCCGTATTATCCCAGTCGTGCCCGTTATTCCCCGGTCCGAAGATCAGGGGAAAGGCCTCGTTGGATAAGAAGATCATGCCTGTCGTGTCCGAATAATCAGTTCGAGCCGTCGCAGCCGTCAATGAATAGTCTCCGACTTGCCATAAACGTAGCCATTGATCAGAGCGGACAATGTAACGATCCGCTCCTTGACCAGGAACAGCCACGGTCGATACAGACTGGTCTTGTAGATGTACCCGGGCTTGCGCTTGTCCTTTTCGTGGTCAGCGTAGACGTTGGTGAATCCTTGAGCCCGTAGAGCTTGCGATTTCCTGGACATGATGATCGTGTCCCGAGTTTCTGGTAGGAAGAAGAATCTACATCGAACGAGAATCAAGGTCAGTCTCAGGAGGGTATCAAGTATCCATCGATACAGATGACTTGCATTATAAACCAATGAGCACCGAAGATGATCAGGTAGACCCAAAAGTTCCATCTCCAGCCTTTTGCGGGCGGTATGAAAGCGGAAACGACGTTCCCAAGAGGGGGACCTTTTCGAATTTGGATTGAACGATGGCAAAGATCTGGACTCAGTCGTAGCCCTCGACGATGGTATGCAAAAGTTTTTTAGCTTCGGGACTCACCGTCCACACTGGATAATGCGTAGATCGCTACGGCCAGTCCGCACTCCCTGATTCCGAAGAGATCGTGGACGACTCCTCCGGTGTTTGCCAACCTGTAGAAGGGATATTATGTAAGGTCAACAGGCCACATTCCACAGTCGAACAAAGCTCACGGTGTACTGCGAAAGAAAGGCCAATTAGCCCACGAACTCTCAAACCTATCGCCATCCATAGCCTTGTGACTCACGATCCCGAAAACCCTTGAATGAATCGACAGACGAGGACGGTCCCGATATTGGGGGCCAGAGCCAGCTGTAACCCAACCATAAGAAACGAAATCGGACGGTTGTAAGCCGCTTGCTTTAGATGGCATCCAGCCGGACGGGATCACAGAAGGGGGGCTTACGGGGATCTGGAAGCAGGTGAAGATGAACCAAGAGACTAGGTAGACGGGTCTTCGGCCGAAGAATTCCGATAAGGGGGCGGTGAAGAGAGGACCTGATGAACGAAATCTCGCCGATCAGCTCGTCAAGCTCGCAGAGAGGTTATTGGGAGGTCGAATTACCGATAGCAAATCCGAGCTGGATACAGCGTAGAAAGATGTTCGGGTCAGTTACTGTATGCTCGTGTCATCGACGATGCTCGACTCACGACGTAAAGTGACAGTCCCACGGTCACCACCTCTGCGGAAACGTTGAACTCTTCGGCGATCTGGCCTGCACCAGTAGAGTACCCGCTCACGCACAGGCAGACCAGGTTGTTAAGCCAACTAGCCAACCCAACGATCAAGTATCGTTTCCATTTGGGATAATTCCTCGGATTCCGCTTGTCTTCCTTCGTGCTCCGGATGATATCGGAACCTTCCGCGTCTCTATAAGCAAAGTAGACTCCGGCTTCTTCGAGCGCCTGGAAGAGACCGGGGTTGGATTTCTCTAGCTGTTCATGTTCGTATTTCTCTGCTTGCTCGGGTGGTTTTGTATTCGAGGAAGGATAGGCGATAGAGGCTGGATTTATTGGTGAGGTTGTACGGGGAACACCGCCAGTGGCCAAAGATATTGGCTGGACGCCGAGTTTGGCGGGCTTGTCCTCCGGAGTGGGATGAGACGGTTCCACAGCCGTGAGCGATGGTGACGGCGGAGAAGAGTTGAGCTTATTTTCGCTGTGTTTGAGCATTGTCGATGTATGATATGGTAGCAAAGTACACGATGACGGGCTAAAGACGATCGCTGAATGTCGAGGGCGATATTTGTTCAGGTCGAGCTCGACGGTACTTGTACCCCAGCCTGTGAGCTTGCGTCATTGAACGCGCGGTATCTGAAACACGTGGCGGATCCCGCGGTGTACTGTGCTCCCCGAGCCATAATTAGCTTCCATAGAGAAGCCGACAGCTCCAATGTCGTCTTGCCGGCGGGGTCAATCGTCAGATAACAACCGTAAATTGAATTAATTTGTGGCTTTGTGCGGGGTGTGAAGAGAAGGCGGAGTACCGGGGCTCGAGTCGGGGAATGTCGTTCGACCTGTCACGCGACCTGAAACGCGGATGCCTTTCAGGCAATTCTGGCCTACTTACATCGACCGTCGGGTTCAGATTTTACTCTTCCGATCTGGACTTATGAGACCGCTACGAGGTATGTTTCTGCGTCAACACACAGCCAGGACGTTTGCCGTGAGAATTGCTACAGACTGATTTTGTGCCGACCCGCGTCCCGAAACAGTCTGAAACATACATTGCCATGATGAGAACGACCCCAAGGGGTCCTATCTAGTGCCTGCAAACATTGAAGATAACAGACCATCTGCTCAAACGACTGAACGCCCGGATCGTATTGTCATCGATCAAGGATCTGCTGACCAGCAAGAGACTCGCATGGACGAGACCAGCGTCTGCGACGCGCGCAACGCACGGTAATCGCAGGTTTCACCACGCGGATGCAGAGGGCTTCGAGGTCGAATGGAACGACTCTCTTGTCACCGTCGGATTCTTCTGGCGATGTGACAAGGTCCGCTAGTTGTGTTGAAGACAACAAGATGACTACCCGTCGAATTCGCTAATGCTTGCTAGCACGGGGCGATTGGCAACACGGTTCCACAAGGCGGAGGTGTGTGTCCAGCACGCCGCTCTGGGCTAAGAATTAGATTGTCAAAAACGTTGACAAGGACACCAGCCACCGATCGGGTCCATCATACTATTCGTGTTCGCACACCCTGAGAGAGCTTTCGAAATGCCTCATAATGTCCATACCCTCGATTGCGAGAACACTTCATTGAGCCCGGCCTCGGCACGAGCCTTTCATGCGATCCGCTTCGACAACTTCTGAAAGCGCTGCAACTGTACGGCCATCGCTCCACCAGCGTCCTGCGATGCATACTTTTGGTACAGCGCTCGGGCTTGCTCGATGACGTGCAGGGTTTCCGAACGAGCGGTGGCGGAGAGCGCGGCTTCCTCATGCAGCTACAGGTCAAAATCGTATCAGCGACCTGCTTCAGGGGTCACGATGTGCAGACCTCGCCTTGTGCTGGAACGTACCGACAGCAAATATCGACCCGTGCTAAAGTATACTCTGTTTTGTATATCGTGTATCGCGTGGAAAAATCCGAATCTATCCAATCCGGCCATCGTGTCCAGGTATAGGACTGCCCAACGGTGGCAATCGAGGAGGCTTTCCTGGGAAGGGTGATGACGATAGCGAAGACGAGAGAGTCGCAGCATATGATCAAAGTACCACATGGGGGTTGCTTTCAAATCGCTGTTCTGGTCCGGTACCGCTGTGAGCATCGGCGATCGAGAGTCAGACTAATCCCTGAGAAGATCGTGGTGGGACCCATATCGAACGTACCCATGCGGCCCTCCTTGTAACGATTATAGATGCCCGTCAACTCGCTCTCTAGACGTTCGATCTGGCTCTCGGTGATTGGGGCGATCCTGGCGGCTTCCCCTAGTCGCATGATCTGGATGGTGACGCTCATATACCTGAAACGTGAATTCGTGAGCGAGATCTGATGACATTCGTTGCGCTCAGCTATACCACAGGACGGACGAGATGCACATGCAGAGATGCCAATCCAGGTCCTTGTGCAGTCCAGGTCGGTCCGTTACCCAGAGTCTTGGGTCGAGGAATTCGTGGCTCTTCATGAATTGTGGTAGCCGCTCAATACGGCTGTACCTGGATCGGACAACCGAAAGGGCGCTATCGTAAGCAAAGCATCCGCCGCCAATATCGCTTGGTGCTCACATGTGATCGTATGCTGTATGATCGTTTCATCCGTTAGCTGACGTCTGCACGGTAGTTGTGATCGGAATTCATCTCACTATGTAGACCTGAACAAACGCATTCAATTGTGTTCAGCCGGCGAACCCGGTAATCTGTGTTCCCCGGTACTCACAGTACCACGTCCTTTCTCGGTTCTGAGCGCAAGTCGCAAGAGTTAGACGGGTCAGCTTTCCCGCCTCACCCCACTAGAAAAGCTGTTATCGATCGGTTCGACCTACCAGTATCGCCTTGGCTTCTGCATCATCAAGCGGCAAATCAGACGTCCGCGGTACATGCATCCCAAGCTGGTAAGCCAGACGGATAGCGTGACCTAGTCTCTGCCAGGTCTGCTTGCTCTCCCGCGGTAGACCCCAGAAGACGAAGCACGAGATCGCTTGAACCGTCGTCACGTGGCAATGTCCCTCGTTCATGGCCTTGTGTAAGAGGGACTTGGCGTGAGGGTATAGGGTTTGGTAGATCCGGCGATCGTCGTGTGAGAACCTTGCGGCGAGGCAGATCATGATTGTGAAGAGAAAGGGCGAACTCGAACGGATCTTGTCGAACGTGTGGTCTACCGAGATGTGGGGATTCAGACGAGTTCTGCGGTGCAGACCGAGCCGAGAAGAGACTCACATTCAGGTTCAAACATGGCCATGAGAATATTGAGTTGTCGCATAAATCTGTCTCCCGTCGAGCCATGAGCTTGTTTGTTCTCATCGAATTTTAGCTGCGAAGCCTACTCACGTTCCAAACAACCTCTCGGCTTGTTCCAAAGTCACATAACGCAGGTAGATGGGATCATCGAATGGATCATACGTGGCGTCTTCATCATCGAGGTCTTCGCTGCTGGCCTCATCGTCATCCAGGTCAACGCGATTGGGGTTTGCCCGTCGGGGCGGTGCATGGTCGGTCCTGCCCGTGTGCCAGGACTTGGATCCCGACGCAGAGCCGTCTGTGAGAGCTGTTCTCGACTGTTCTTGAGCTTGAAAGTAATTGGAAGGTCCGGGGACCGCCTGTTGCTGTAGCTGCGGCGGCAGGAATGCGGGTCCTTGCTCGTTGAAGCTCGTAGTCATATTCCCGAAGTTTCCTCCTGCCGATCCGCTCGTCCCGAGAGGATAATTCGAGGTCGAAGCCGAGGTCGAGGTTGTTCCGAAATCAAATGATAAGAACGGATCGAACGAGAGACCGAGTTGAGCGTTTAAGAGGTCGAATTCCGCTTGAGGCATCGATCCGATCGTCTAAGATCACCAATAATAATATCAACATGTGTGTCATGTCATATCATATCAGACCCCAGTCTTCGGCAAGAAAACTTGTGAGAAGACTGGCTGACCTGTAGATCACTTGCGTCCATACCGCCCATCCCAGCTGGCCACGGAGCCGGAATGTTATACCCCTCCATCGTATTACCCCGCTCGAGTCCCAGAGTCCTCTCTGCAGCTGGCGTGTTGCCATTATTGTTGTTCGTAATTGTATTCATCGAGGTAGACCCGACCGTCTCATCGGCTTCGAAGGAGTTTTCGGGTTCCAAGAGGTCCATAGGACTGGTCGACATGCCGTGCAACGACCCTTCTAAGTCCGAGGCAGGCCTGCATATCAAAAGGTTGTACGTATGGGTAGCAAGAAGTATCTCAGCAAGTTAAGAGGCAGAGGTTCTGATTAGGGATGGAGACTCACCTGACTTTGGCACGCCGACCCCTCTTGGCACTCTTGTACTCGCAGACCAGGTCGAGTCGATCACATCTCGTACAACGAGATCCTTGACCTTCCAAGCATTTGACCTGGCGATCAATAATGAGATCGTATCAGTCTTGATACTGTGATGGGCGACTCCCGGGCTCTGCCAGGCTTTGAATTTACGAGTCGACTAGGTACTCACCTTGATCTTGCGGCATCCGACACATCTATTATCCCATCAGCGAGGTATTCCACGACAAGTGTGAGGAAGATAGGCATGATAGATCAGCATCCGGGTCACATAGCATATGAAAGAGGGCAAGAGACTGACGCTTGTCGAAGGATGGGTTTCTGTCCTTGATCCCGCCCGGCTGACGATCTGTTCAAGACGTCCTCGACCGTTTCGATGCGGGATGGTTCCATAGTCAGGTCGGCCACAACCTAGATGTGCTGAGCTATATCGATTCTGTCCTTCTATTCCTTCTATCGAGAATTAAAATGTGATATGGTGCAACGAGATGTATACCGAGCAGGAACTGATGTCGAACGGTTTCACGAGCTGTTGCGATTGACGTCAGCTTGGTACGTCCACCTCGACATCTGTCCTGCTGCGCTGTCTGGCGACGGCTATGCGGCCCCGCTTCTAGATTCGTGGTGAGACTGGTGAGTGCATTGTGGACCGGCATAACAGTGCTCGTGTTGCGGTGCAACTGGTGAAAGGATGATGATGATGATCATAATAGACTGTATGTCAGAGGTGTCTTTGCCCTGCGACTTCGACGGACTCGTCAAGACGGAAATCTCCTTCAAGCTTCAAGTCGACAATCTCGGATATGTAAGGGTATATATGATATACAAGGAGCTATCCAACGAAACAGACTACGCCTCGATCCCGGTAGCAACCTCCCACTTGGCATATCGGAAATAGGCAGGTTCGAGGCAAGGCGACCCAGCGACCCCCTGTGCATAGACCCCGATGTGGACTCCGGTGAACAAGGGTTGGAACAGGCTGGTCTTGACCGATCCTACCACCGTAGGAGCTGCTTCTTGCTCGTCAGCTCGTTTGTACCAGAGCTCGTAAGCGTCCTTTCGTGCCTTGACACCGAGCACGAGAGGACCAGCCTCGGAATCAAGCTGGAAGGTGGTTTCCTGTGGTACGGGCGCAAGGTGCATTCAATTTCAACTGACCATCGCGAACGAGAGATATGCGATGACCACCTCGGACTGACTTGGAAAGACCTATCCGCACTGGGCGCCTTGAACACCAACTCCCTTCCACTACCCCCCCTACCACCACTAGCCTTCCGAGTACCCCTCACGCTCAAGGTAATATGAGCGTCCTTGTCCAACCAGACTACCAACCCCGCAGCGGTCCCCTCGACGTTAGGCAGGAAGTTCATCTCCGTCGACCATTCTCCCTCGAAATCGGGCTGTTTACGGAGCAGAGCAGAGGGGGATTCTTGGTAGTCGATCGAATAGGCGGAACCTCGGATGGAGAGGTAGCCGGGCCGGGAGGTGAGGGAGTGGAAGGGACGTAAGGGGGTGCGGATGGTGTACCAGCCGAGTTGTAGCGCTGGCGAGGTTTCGAGGTTTCGAGGTGGGAGGGAATGTCAGCATATCGAAAACGGGGCGTTGTGAGATTGCAGACCCGTGCTTTTGTAAGGGGGACTTACTGGTCGTCTTGAACTCGTCGATCCAGTTCGTAGCCGGTACGTAAGAGACGCTCCCAACGTTGGCTTCCCCGACGAGCTCGATAGGTCTCTGACCGTTGACAACAGGCCACCCATCTACCCATTCGACGGGGGCCATAAAAGACTCTCTCCCCAGCGCCGAACGCATGAGGATGGGATTGACCAGCTGGTCCGCCTTGAACTGAGGTCTAACTCCGAGGAAGACGGCCCACCATTGTCCGTTCTCACCTTCGACCATGTCCAAGTGTCCGGTGTTTTGGATATGGGGATGGTTGCCGTTAAAGACGATCGGGTTGATATGAACCGGAGGTGCGACCCAAGGACCCAGGGGTTTGTCGCTCCGGTAAACCCATTCTTGGTGGCCGTCCTGCGTACCTCCTTCGGCGGTGAAGAGATAGTACCAACCCTCGCGTTTGATGATGTGACAGCCCTCTGCCGTGCCCAACACCGAGTCCATAGTCAGACGAGGTGGGGACAGAGAACGGCCGGTGGAGAGGTCGAATTCGTTCGAGTAGGAGACGATCTTCATGGAAAATTCTGGCTCGTAGGTCATATGAAATCGAGTGCAGGTGAGGTAAGTCCGATCGTCGTCGTCGAACAGGATCTGCAAGATTTATCCAAGGTAAAAAGGGGAAAAAAGGATTTCGAGATTAGTTGAGATGTCGTGACCGGGAAAAAAGATCTGACGCTATCTAGATTGAGGTTAAAATTCGGGGGCGAGGACGACGGACGACTCACATCCTGATCGAAACCCAGCTCTTCAAAGTAGACAGCATCGCTCCACTTGGAATCGTCGTGAATATCATCGGTGCTCACGTAGAACCCGGTCGGTTCTACCATGTACGGTTTGTCGCCCTGCAGAAATATCACCAGAGTTGCACAAGACCGCACGACACGATATCAAATAACGGATCTTCAGCTTGCCAGTCGAGGATACGTATGAAGTTGATTTGGGATAGTCGGACTTGCCTCGGTGACGATCTTGTAAAAACACGTACAAGCCACATACCACCTCCCCCTCTTCACATTATACCTCAACGTAGGCGCCCAAAGCCCTCCGGAAGCCTCGACGGTCCGCATATCCACACCCTGTGAACGACGGTTCAGCGCGTGACCTATGAGGGTCCAGTGGACCATGTCGAGGGAGTGGTAAATGGGGAGACCGGGAAAGAATTCGAAGGTCGAGGTGCAGAGGTAGTAGCCGGGGGTGGCACTCGAACCTGGGGGGACGTAGGTTATGGATGGGTCTGGGTTCATCCCGGGGAGGATTGGGTTGCGGTAGGTCTTGGGTGCGTGCATAGTGGTGGTGGTGGTGGTCGTATTGATGGTGGTAGTGGACGAGAAGGGATATAATGGTCGGATGCAGGGTGAAGTGACTTGCTTCTGTCGAAACCTCATCGAATGCGAACATCCCGGGCTGTCTTCGATGTTTTCGCAAACCTCTTATAGCTCAAGCTCCCGTGGCTGTAGGTGACGCTGCACTGCACTGCTAGCTCGAGCCATCACACCTCGACCCATCTTGGCCCAAGCGATGCTCGACCCTGAGCACGAGCATCGAACGGTCACGGTCGATACTTCGGGGGGACCGCGCCGGTCATTTGCGAGATGTTTACCGGTGTATTGAGGTTTCGGACCGATTTCGGGGTGTCTTGGCCTGTTTGTTATGAGTCCCCAAGGCAGAGCGCAGAGATAGGCTACGTAGTCCCACGGGGTTGGGGGTCTGGGGTTGCGAGTTGGAAACTTGCAAATGGTAATGGATCATCGATCATGGCAATGCCAACGACGTTGTCCTCGGGTCTCGTATGTAGGCAAAGGTTCGCGAATCACGTGACCCGCGCGCGAGTCCCTCCTCGGGATGTTTCAAGGGGTGAAACGCATCAGCCATCGTCTCTGATTTGCACAGCAAGGTTTCGATCATTTCCAGGAACCAAAGAGGAGCAGATCCGAGGTTTCGAGGTATCGAGAGGTCGCTCGATCTGTCTTTCACGCCCATCTCCCAGTCGACGATATAATTATGGTCATCAAGCGAATTATGTTACAGATGCCAGGCGCAATGCCGTACTGTACGACAATCGTGATGTGTTCCCAAATGACTTTATATAAAGCACGATCCCCAAGCGTATCCTACATCCTATCAGTTCATAAAGTCATACATAAGACGACGAGGGTGATATACCCATACCGTGCGGGTAGAATAAATATGCAGCTGAAACGGCGCGGAAGCGGACACGGACCCGGATAAAACAAGAAGGGCAAGTATCGTTTTGAGGCGGGGAGAGGAGGTATGTAGAGCGAGAGATATTTCGAGGATCGCAGGATCGGCGCTGTGGGACGTTCCATCTTATAGAACCGATGTATCAAACAGGGTATACGATATCGACCTCGATGATTGGATGAAATCTCGTCTTATCAAATCAAGACCCTGTTGTATGAGATGAGTGAGTTCTATGACAAACACCTAACGCCTAACGAGATAGAAATCGCTTCTTCGTAGTGCGTGCGAAGCATGGGAATCTTGTGATTGTTTAGCGAAGTGTTCCTCGGGCCAGACCCACGTTTGGCAGGAGGCAAGAAAAAATCAGCGACAAGATGTTTTCGGGATAGTCGAATCGTATGCTGATTCAACCTGGCGCAGAGTTATTTGGACGCTGGTTCCTGAAAGATAGCGACGATATATTTGCGTGGTGGGTAAATCGCATGCTGGTGTTTGGACATGTGGGATTATTCGGAGCCTACTGTAGGTTCATGGTCCAAAGCGCAGCGCTCACACAGCAGATTACTACTGTACTACGCCACTGTAAGTTCAGAACACAGGCGCATACTTACTGCCCGTCCCAGGTCGATTGAACGGATTGAGGCGTGGGCACGACTGATATATTCGTCTGCGGTGCCAGAACTGTGCTTCGCTGGACACATCTCGACATCAACTGAACTGGACTCGATCGAGCGCTCGTACGGGTGCAATTGTCTGGCCAACGTCGATCTTCGTATGAGGATCTGATGTTGATACGACATCCTCCCCCTGGTCGCCACTTCAATTTTCGAATGACTTTGATGTAATACACACGGCGTGCCTATACAAGCAAGATACATCTGCTATACTGTACTGGTAGACGATGGACTCAGATCGACCACATGAAGGTTTCAACGAGCCAGCCGGGCGGCAAAGTAATTGCGCATATACCCAGCGGATTTCTTCGGGTAACGTCTGCAGTCGTCTTGATAGTCGATCCAGGTGACGCCGAACCGGGCTGTGTAACCTTCTTGCCCTGCAGACATAGATACATGATGCAAGTCGAGTTGTCAGTACCAGACACGGCGCAGAACATGATCGAGCGCGAGAAGGGAACCGAGGGAACAAGAACAGGGGCACTCTATGCTCACATTCAAAGTTGTCGGTAAACGCCCACATGAGGTAAGACTTGACAGGCACGCCTTGTTCGATTTTGAGTGCGATCTGATCGGCGTAGGTGCTCAGGTAGTTGACACGGAAATCGTCTTGCAAGGCTTCGTCCCGAGAGAGCCTGTTTTCGTTGGGACAGACGACCCCGTTCTCGGAGCTGCGAGAGTGATAGAGAGTCAGCTTTCGGAGCGTTCGAACATCCAATGTCGACCGTCAAGTCTGCTTAGACTGACATGTATATGTCCAAGCCGTAACTGTGGGACGTCCCGCAAATCAGCAACCGCCGAGCTCGGATAACGGCATCGGGACCGCCCAACTCACCTCTTGTGAGCCCAGTCCAACAGCTTGCCGAACCCCCAAGGAACGGGTCTGACCCACGAAAGTCCTGCGGCAGGTCCGATCGGTTTCCCGTCCTTGTCCTCGAAACCGATCTCGATCCCGGGCAGGAAGGCGCTGAGCGGTCCCGTTGTCGGAGCGGCAGATGAATCGGCCGCTCGGACCATGTTGGTGGTGTAGTGGTTGATGCTGCGTCGACCGTATGTGGTCGTATTAGTGACTGGAAATAGAGGCCTGACGTCGCGTAGCACTCACGCTAGGAAATCGCTAGACCCCTTGACCAACGCCTTCTGATTGTCCGTAAAAGCAGGCAAGCGAGAGCCGTGTACTTCTTTGAACAAGGCCGGATAGTCGCCAGTGACTAGCGGTTCGGCGAACCTGTATAGCGTACAGTCGAGGTGAGCCCAAGTCGCTCACACGAAGATAGGGGTAAAAACTTGCCACCCATTGTACACTGCCAAGAACTTTTCGGTGGCGGCTTTGTCTAGAGTCACAAGAGCACAGGGATCAGTCTCGCATTTACGACGCCAAATACTCTATCTAACCTTCAGCCGAGTCGGTCAGAGGTTCTATCATCATCCGATCATCATCACGTATCCATCAGCCTGCCTATCTCACGCGTGCAGACCATTCGAACCGAACTGACCTCCCCAAAGCATATTCACAACCAGCCCGATCTTGCCCCCCTGACTCGATGCGAAATCATCGTGATACACCTTGACGGCAGAAGCGTGAGCTAGCAAGAGGTTGTGGCCGACAATCAGAGGCTCGGTTTGAGAGTCCCCTTGCGGGGAGATGTTTCGGTCAGAAGAACGCCCAGGGGCGTGTTTGCCGATAGCGTGGCCGAGTAGAGAGTAGACGTTGGGCTCTGCGTCGAGAAACAGAAGAAGTAGGTACGCAGGGGCGTAAAGTGCAACATCAGACGCGAGATTGAGCAGTAATAGGGGTAGATGAAGCGGGACTTGCCGTTGATCGTGAACCAATACTGGACGAGGTCTCCGAGCTCTCGATAACAGACCCTAGCGTAGTTCTCAAAGTCTGGGACGATCTCAGAGGACAAGAAGCCGAGGTACTTGTCTTGCAAGACTTGAGGGAGATCCCAGTGGAACAAGGTCTACGTGAAAACCAGGATTAGCTACGATAAACCCTTTTCTTCGAGCCGGATCTCCAGTGTGACTTACGACGAAAGGGGTCTGTTGATGATGCATTGGTCAATGAATTAGCCTTGGTAATCCAGACAGACCTCTTGTGACGGGACTGGCAAGTGCCACTTACGATCCCAGCTTCGAGCAAGCCTTTGAGCACTTTACGGTACCACTCCACCCCGGCCTTGTTCACCTTTGACCCAGCGACACCATCGGGTAGGATCCGGGTCCAACTCAAGGACAACCTGTATGAGTTGACGCCGTAGGATTTCATCAAGGCGATGTCTTCCTGCCATTTCGTGTAGGTCTCGGTCGCTGTCGAGGTGTTCCCGCCGTCTTCGCTGTGAGCGGGGTCGGAGGAGAATGTATCCCAGATGCTGGGGCTCTTGCCATCCGCAGAGATCTGCGCAAGGATGATGAACATGAACAGTTTAATAAGATACGGCAACCCATATTTTGGAAATATACAGGAACTCACTGAACCCTCAACTTGCGCTGAAGCGGTCGCGTATCCCCAATGGAAATCGGCAGGAAACTTGGCAGACGTCGACATTTCTGATTGCGTGGGTGTGTTTGTGACGGGTTAGGGTTACGAAGACTCTGACGTTCAGATATGTGCTATCGATCTTGTGCTGCTCCAGCATAAGCTTCTTATCCCTAGCCAAGTTGCCCAGAGTATGTCGCTTCAGATTTGGACTCTGCGAGCTTGACTTCGCATCGATTTCAAAGGCGGTCATCTTTCCGCATTGCAAGGGCCGCGACACCTATGCATTCAGCCCTCCAGGTCAAGTTATCGTCCGTGAAATGGTCCGTGAGTCCGGCTAGAATAGGGGTCGCTTCCTAGGATAGGGGTAGTGACCTGAACAAGGATCATGGTGGATGATTACATGCTCTTCGGGGATCACTCGCCCTTCACCGGCGCCGGCGATAACTGGTCACAAAACACCGGTATCACCGGTCGACGTCGCCACTTCCTCGGTAATCTCATCATCACCCTCCTCGTCCCGCTGTAGTTGCCCCTATTCATTGTTACCCCTATTCACTCAAACCGGTCTATGCTTGGAGCGCCGCAGGGATCCTGCCCAACATCGGTGCGGGGAAGTTCGACACATTGATCCGCAATGCCGCTGCCTGGTCTCGGTAGATCACACAGGTCGACAGGAGTCAATTCGTGTATAAAGGTCCAACGGAAACCGAGAGTCATCTTACCGTCTGAGTGGGGGTCCGTGGGGGTATCCAATATCAGAGCGGCTTCTGAATCACGAAACCGCATACTCTCAACTTGAACACCGACTCGCCTGCCAACCATGTCTCCCAAACCTAGCATGAAGTTTGGAAGCAAGAATGCGATCAGGGACGAACTCACCCGTAACCTGATCTTTGTGGCGTTTTTCGCCTGTATGGGGTCGGTAAGTCGAAGGAAATTGCCTTGTCGACTCTATTGTTCGTAAGCTGACTGCAGTCCTGATGATCATCGCAGTTCACTTTCGGGTACGACAACGCCTGGTGGGGAGGTGTACTCGGCCACCCCTATTTCGTCGAGATCTTCGGGACGGACACTATCAAGGCCGGGCAGACCGTCAGGGAACTCACTTCGACGCAGATCTCGGTGGGTACCGCCATGGGATCCGCTTGCATCGGAATAGGATGCATGGCAGCCGGTTACGTCGCCGATACGATCGGGAGGAAGCGTTCGTTCTACGTCACGGCCATCGGTTCGGGGGTAGGCACCGTCATCGAGGTGACTTCCGGGATCGGAGGTGGAAGGTTTTGGCAGCTCGTCGCGGGGAAATTGGTCATCTGTCTGGCCATCGGGATCGCCTCGGTTTCCGTACCGCTGTACCTCGCTGAATGTGCGCCTGGGCCGATCAGGGGTGCCATGGTCAACTCGTACGTCTGGGTTCAGTGTAAGTCTCTGTTTAAATCTCTTGCCGTGGTTACCGATGTCCACAGTCGAGGTTGACATCTGCTCGGTGTGCTCGTAGCTATCGGAGGGTTCGTCGCATACGGCGTCATCTATGGGATCCTCAGCAAACAATCCCAGATCGTCTGGATCTTGCCGATTTGCCTTCAAATGCTCGCCCCCTTCGTAACCTGCGTTATGGCACCGCGACTGCCCGAATCCCCGAGGTGGCTCGTGGAGAAAGGTCGTACGGATGAGGCCAGGTCGGCCCTCCTGTTTTTGCGAGGTGGCAAGGAAGGTTACGACGTCGAGGCGGATGTGCGGGGCTTGGAGGAGAGCTTCAGGATCGCTCAGACGAAACGACAGTTGGGATGGCTCGAGTGTTTCAAGGGAAGGAATTTGGCGAGGACGAACGTTTGCGTTGGTGTGCAGAGGTAAGCTCGGTCATCGATTTGAACGGTTTCGGCTGGTCTCGTCACTCATCGCCGCCACCGCTTTCTGTAGTTTGCAACAGGGTCAAGGTCTCGCATTCATTGCGAACTATATGGTCATCTTCTTCATTCAACTCGGCATCGAAAACCCTTACATGATCTTGCTCATCAGTGAGCGCTTCCCCGCGTTTTGCTCACTCATAATGATAGCTGACCCTCATCTCTTCTCCCACCCATCGCGTAGTCTACGGCGCCATCATGATTCCGTTCACCGCCACCGGTTTCTTTACGCAAGACTACTTTGGACGTCGAACTTTGTTGATGACCGGAGGGTCTGTCATGGGCGCCAGCATGCTCGCCCTCGCAGGTGTGGTGGCTTCCACCTCGGACGGTACTGTCACTGGCGCCAAGGCCAACGTTTGCGTCTTCTTCAGTGAGTCGAAACGATTTCGATCGCTTCGCCTGTGTCAAGCTGACGTTGAGAATCCGCCTCGCTCCAGTCGTACTCTGGCTCGTAGCGTTCACTCAATCGTGGACTGGTATCCCCTGGACTGTCTCGGCCGAGGTACCTGCAGATGATTTGCGAGACAAGACCTTGGCATTGGGTGCTGCGTCGGGTTACTGGATCGGTGAGTCTCGATTGCGGAGGGCCGACCTTGGCGTGCTTCGTTTCTAAACCTGGAGTTCAATTCCTGCGGTTGTTCCGTACATACAGGGATGGTCGTCTCGCTCGTCTCGCCGTACCTTCAACAAGAACCCGTCAACATGGGTGGCAAGATCGGATTCATCTGGGGAGGCGTGTCCGCGATCACCCTCGCTTGGGTGTTTTGGTTCGTTCCCGAACTCAAGGTACGTCATGAGTGTAACAACCATCCCTGAAAAGGAACAATCCCATGCTCATTCGATTTCGAAAAATTTCATCCTAACATAGGGCCGAACGCTTGAGCAGATCGACTACATGTACGATCGAGGTGTTCCTGCACGCAAGATGTCGACGTACGTCATGGAGACCCTACCGGAGGAAAGCGAGCAGGCCGACCCTGCTTACCCGGTAGATGACAAGATGGCGGAAAAGGGTGAATTTGCGCATGACGACGAATTCCACGCCCGGGCTTAGGAGAGGTGTCGGTTCGCCCAGCTCGAGCAATGACAGGAAGCCTGACAGCAGGTGTGTCAGAGGTCGACCGGAAGTGGGATTGTGTGTGAAGAGGAGCTGGCCGTGCTATTATTGTATTGTCATGTAGTATATGCTCGCGATGAAGCATCAAATCGATCCATGCAAGACTAAAAGCAATCAAGGATTCTTGTCGGGCAGAATTCTCGCCAGCTATATCCAAGGAGAACCACCATCTATGTCTATGTAGTGCGTCGTCTTTCGTCGTGTAAAGATGATGCGAACAGCATCTGGACCTATGTCATTCCTGCGCGCTGGCGGCTCATCAACTTCTAAAGTCCTCGAGAGCCGTCCTGATCACGTCCCCACGGTCACCAAGCGCCTTGCCCTGCTGCTGATAACTTTCGACCACCTTGACGGCCTCGTCGTCCTCCTTCCAACCACCCTTGAGGTATTTGACAACCGCACGAGGACCTCCAGCGTGGATCGCTGCGAATCGAGCGTTGTTGGCGGGTGTGCCGTGGCCGCCGAGCGAGAGGACGACTGATGGTGGGATGGCTGCCGGGTCAAAGAGAGACAGGTTGAGTCGATCAGCCAGACGAAATTGATCGGATGACTTGGAGTGGTCATGAAGCTTACTGAGACGCCCGATCTTGAAACAAAAGGTCGAGACGGATACAGCGTGTACGATTGCCCCGTCCGGTCTGTTGGAAGTGAGCTTCTTGATAGTCGGCGAGAGGTCCCCGGAGACGCTCGGCTGGGTCGATGATGCGGTCTGAGCGAGGCTCTTCTTCTTCTTGTCCGTGCGAGGATGAGTGATGAACAGTCCTACGCAGTACATCTGCGAGGATCACAAATTCGTTGATCAGCCGGAGTCCTGTATAGTATCTCAATATCAGGCGACTTGCCCACTTCTCGCCCCAGCCACCGAATGAGATTTCGATATCGTACTTGGCAAGCGGGGGCAGCTCGTGCATGAATCGATGGGTCGTACCTAGTGGTGCGTAGACGCAAATCCAGGTGTTTCAGCGTGCTAGTGATGGTCCGGACAATACATGTGCTTACCGGCTATGGGCAACATCCCACCGCAGGCCAAGAACGGCCCGAAAAGATCGATGGCCGCCTGGAAAGAAGAAGGACGCCGTTGATCAGTTGACGATCAGTAGTGAAGCGACTGATCTTGATATCTGACTCACGTTTGACCGAGCGACGTCCATGTCAGCGGCATAGGTACTGTTCGATTTGTGGAGGTTGTAGTCGACATCACTAGGCCAGACCCGGAAGCCAGGTACGAGGATACGTTGGTTGGCGGGGTCTTCGCCGAGACTCGCTTTGATCAGAGCTCGAGGGTTCTTGCGGCGAAGCCATAATTTGACGACGGGGGTAAGAACTGTGAGAGAAGGACGATGAGTCCACAAGATTGACGTGGTCAGTTCGGTAGAGTAGACTCGCCTTTTGCATGCCAGACAAAAGGCAGAGAGCTATATCCTCGAGGCAATCAGATCGATTCGAAGGTCGGAGCTTTGAAAAGGGGCTTCGTACTTGGCATTGTAGACTGCGACCAGCGCAAGGAGCAACTTGATGAGCCAATGCATCGGGAAGGGGAAGGCTGGGATGTTTATTTGTACGAAGATCGAAGCTGCATTCGTGAGCTGTCGAACTCGAAACGATCAATCTTTGGGACTTGTAGAAAATCATTGGGCAACTGATCTATGGTGCGCCGGTTGCGCCACTGTTATTTGTTTGTGGTATTTAGGAGGTATTTACCCCGCGATGGTGTATTTAAACCGATTATTTCCCTTCGGGCTTTAATCAGGCTCTGTCGGAAGCAAATTTTAGACCGAGCTTAGCCCTAGTTAACCCTAGTTAGCCCTGCTTTGCCCTGCTTTGCCCTGCTTAGCTTGACATTGGCCGAGGTCAACCTACCTGAGCCTTCATTGTTTTACGATGTACTTGGATATACAAAGCACACTCTACGTAGCCTTATCTCATACTCACAATTGCCCTAGCATCTTCACCTTTGCCAGCTTCTCCTTGCCCCCCCTTCTTCTAAGTATAAATCGAAATGCCGAACCACAACAACACCAACGTCGACCTGAGTGCGATCATCCGCGACAAATTCAAGGGGGATGCAGCCAAGTTGGCCCAATTCATGGAGCACATGGCCAATTATCAGCCCAGCAATCACCCAGCTGTACCATTGCACTCCCACCAGGGGTTCTTCGCTCCTCAACAAACCCACAGAATGAGGCTGAACGAGCCTCAAACTCCTTCTATGGCTTCATTGTCGGCCGCGGGCAGCCACATTTACCAAAGTACCCCATCCTTGGCTAGTCAAGCTTTGTCGATGGCAGGATACCCTCACACTGCCGTTGTCCCGCCTCAATCCGTTGGCAACTATGCCCCGGCACCCGTCGCACAACATTAGGGTTAGTAGGGAATCGAACGTAAAAAAGTCTTTTTGCCCGATCGCAAAAAAGAAAAGCGTCGATATGTCGTTTTTGTTACGCAGACGGCCGAAAATTGGTCGACGTCCTTTTTTATGTCGCTAAAAACGCGTTTTTACCGTGTCCGCCGACGGTCGACACCTCCCTTCGCCGTTTTGACCCGCGCGCGTTGAGTCGCGTCACGTGATTTTGGTCCTGAGAAAGGCGTTTTTCCTGTGTCCGCCGACGGTCGACATCCTCATCTTTCAGTCTGTCTAAGTCATGGGGAGTCGCTTTGCTTGAGTTGAAACTCTGGCAAGGCGATTTCACTGTGTCCGCCGACGGTCGACACCACCCTTCGTCGTTTCGAGCCACGCGTGTCGGGCTGCGTCATGTGATCTTGGTTCTGAGAAAGGCCTTTCTCCTGTGTCCGCCGACGGTCGACATCGTTTCTTCGCTCCCTGCCTAGGTCATGGCGAGTCGCCTTGTTCGAATTTAAGGTAAGGTGATTTTACTGCGTCCGCCGACGGTCGACATCAACTTTTCCCGATCTTTCTGGGCCTTGACGAGATGTATCGCATTTCTTCAATTTCTGGCAAGGCGTTTTTACTCTGTCCGCTGACGGTGGATATCGCTCATTCTCTTGTTGCTTGGGTCACGGCGAGTCGCCACACATGACCCAAATCCTTGTCAAGGCGTTTTACCTCTGTCCGCTGACGGTTGACATCGCCCTTTTTCCAATTCGTCTTGCGTATTGCAAGGCGCATCGAGTAAGCTCCATCACCGGGAAAGCGCTTTCCTCGTGTCCGCCGACGGTCGACACTGCATTCTGTCGTGCTGCCTTGCATTACGCGAGTTGCTGGTCTGAGCTTGATTACCGGGAAGACGTTTTCTTTGTGTCCGCCGACGGTCGACACCGTTTTCCTCATTCCGATACGCGCATGGCGACCCTAATAGTATGCCCTCATGCCCCGCTATAGCAGCGCACGTATTTTGTTAGGGACAGTTGTCTCGCGAGACACAGCGAGACAAGCTTTGCGCAGGGGGTCTGCGCAAGGGCACGCGCGACACACAAAGTAAACAGAGACAGCGAGACAACGAGACCGCGAGACAAACCAAGTAAACAGAGACACGAAGCGAGACAGACAAAGTAAACAGAGACACGAAGCGAGACAGACAAAGTAAACAGAGACAACCCATTCGTCATCTAGTTCTGCTCCTCACGTGATGCTTGTACTTTGCACGTGATTCATTAAACACGTCTTGACCAGTCGCGTCAAGCGTCCGGCCACCTATGACGTGGACAGCAGACTCGTGTTGCCTGGTCAGGTCGAGAAGAGCATATCCTTTCTTTGCTTTGTTACGATCTATATAGTATAGCCTCTGCACACATCGCACCCAACACGGACATCAAGATGTAGTCGGTAAGTCCACATACAAATCAGTCTACCTTTACCTTACACTTAGACACTTTCTCGTGATCACTCACTCCACCGAATCATGTCTACTGCCCCCCATATCACCACCACCTACGGTCAGCTTCAGTGCTCGCTTTGCCGGGCCATTGCTTTCAAGGACAAGGCCGATGCTGTTAAACATCTTTGTGTGCAGCATCAGACTAGTCCGGTCACGTACAAGAGTATGTTGCCAGCCTGAATGATCACCTCGTTTGTCACTGACCCGGCATTGATCATCCTTGAAGAGCTTACGTTCGACCGGGAGGTTCCAGGAGATGCGACCAGTCCTTACTACTGTGGATGTGGCTTCAATGGCACCATCTTGACCAAAGCCTTCCGTAACCACTTGCGGTTTTGTGACGTCGTCCGTGCCAAAGTCAAGGCTCAGAATGGCTCGTCGGGTTTGATTGCCAGTGAGTTGAGACATAGGATTGAGTGGCCGTCTTGTTGTGACCCGATTCTGACGCGTTGTCTCTTCATTTCCCAGGTCCTCTCAGTGCAGATAGCTTGCGAGCGTGTAAGTGATCATGGAATTGAAGTCGGTGAGCACATCACTGATTGTCTACTATGCAGTCCCGGCTTCAACAGAGACGCCGGATGCTCGAGCGAGACAGGTTGAGCCTACCATCGCGGCCCGGCAGAAACGCGCTCGGGAAGATATCCAGAGGGTCAGTTTCTCGTCTCCTCTCTCCACTCTATCTCCCACACCCAAGCGGCAGAGACTTTCATCTCCACAATCATCCGGAACGCGGGACCAGGATGACGGTTCTGAACGAGACCAGGATGGTGGCTCCGAGCGAGACGATAGTGCACCAAACGATCAGAGGGCATCTGGTCAGGACGATACGGATGAAGACGCTGGTGATTACGAGGTGGAAGAGACCAGAGATGAGGGACATGCTGCCGGGCAAGGTGACGACCATGCATCTGACGAGGATGATGATGATGATGATGACAATGACGACGATGACGATGACTTGTCAATGACCCAGACAGTAAGTTCTGGGTGTACAACTCGCACATTCACAGTGGTTGATGTTTGTGTGTTCAGGGTTATAGGGGGATCCGACCCCGGGGTATGAAACGCACTTTCGGGAACTAACGACGCCAGCGCTATGCCGTCTAGCATAGCAGTAGTCCCCCATTTGAACGTTGTAACGCAAGTTCAACTTCCGAAAAAAGTTACGTTTTGGGCGCGTGAGAGCACAAAGTAAACAAAAAACGGCACTTTCGACGAAAAAAAAAAGTTAAAGTTCCAACAAAACGAAAGTCGTTTCTTTTGAGCTGAAACACCCAAATCAAAAGGAAAAATTTTTTCGACTTTTTCGACTTAGAGAATTTCGACTTGGGTGACCGGATTTCGAACTATTCGGCAAATGTCGCGACGTCAGGAAGTGACGGGAATTGACTGGGCTTCTGATACATCATCAAGGGCATCTAATGGTATAATGTCGCGTCCTACTCCCTTTTTACTAGCAGTTCGCTTCCCATCTCGCGCGCGAACCCCCCTCAACTTCCTACCTCCATCGCCAACCCGCGAACTCCCCAGTTCGCTCGCCCCTCGCGAACCGAACTCTCGCGAACTGACTGCTTCGTCCGAACTCCCCGAACTCCCTACCAAGCCCTCATCCACCCTCCGGCGCATGGCTCGATCCATTCTCTGCCATCTCACCTAACAACACCCCCTCCGACGCTGGGTTTGCGCTGCCGCTTCATACCCTCCGCCGCTCGCCCAGCTCATTTACCACGAACCCCCCCGCCGCATCGTCTCCTGCACTCATACCACCCCCACCGCCGTTGGGTCTTCCCTCCCAATTCATCCACCAACGTTCATGGTACGTACGCTCCTTCCGCCATCGGCTGCACCTTCCTCACTAGAGACCACGGACCTCGTACCCGGCGCATCTGCCCATTCCACTCCCCACCCCTCCGCCGATGCCTATATGGCCTACCAATTTCGACGTATACCCATCAATTTTCCCATCGCCACCACGACGTCACTATCAACCGAACACACCCACTGCTTTACCTGGCTCGTACCCTCCATGTTATACCCACATCGACCCACCCCCGCAGGGTTGTCTGACGGTTTGCACTTCACTTTGTTAGCTCACGACTTACCATGGTCCTAACCTGGTCTCCTCCCAATCCTACTGCATTGCCCCTCGCGTAAAGCACACATTGATCCTGACAAATGAAGGGGCTTATGACCGAGACGAGGCCATCAGGCCATCTAAACTTGAGAAATCGGTAAGCTGACAGCTTTACTCCAAGCACGGCTGGCCACATTCATGTCGAGCTGGCTAAAGGGTTCTCGGCCGAGTACCAATGATGTCAAGCTATCACGTCTTCATCAACGGCCGTATGACGAACAGATAAGGCCGATCTGGCCGAAGTCTTCTCGGGCAAGCACCAATGATGTCAAGCTATCACGTCTCCATCAACGGCCGCATGACGAAGAAAAGGTCAAATAGAAGCTGGTGCACGGGGTTAATCTTCATCAGACAACCAAGTGCAGCACGAAGCACTCTCATGGCCTGCCTGATGATTGCCTCCTGGCAGACAACCAAGTGCAGCACGAAGCACTCCCATGGCCCGCTGATTGCCTCCTGGCAGACCAACAAGATGTGCATGGTCTCGGCAGCGCGCCCCTTACAAAATCAATCGAAAGGGTCATTCCTCTACCTCATCAGAGTCAGTCCCCTGTTACATGACGGTTTGGCACCAAGACGACTCCAAAGACTGGTCCAGCAAACACGACAATGCTGTATCCCATCGCCATCCCCCCTCTCCCCATCTCTCGCTAGCAATGCCTGGTAAAACCAGTTCTCTGGCCAGTCTCCAGGGTCAGGCCCGTCAACACCCGCCTCACGACCCGCCACCAAATCAAGAAGGCGAAGTTCAAGGCACACCAATATGAAGCTTAAGGCAGAGAAATCCGATCCTCACGGCAGACAAACGTGAAAGGCAGACAAACGTGAAACTCTCGGCATCGAGGAGAAACCATTAAGAAACTGGAGACTGAATTAGGGCAATTCAAGTGGGAGCGGGTGCAGGCCATCCGAGTTATGGCAAGCGACAAGCAACTCGTTGTTAAGGCACATTTCCCTAATACATCAGGTCGATCGGCATCAACCAACTAAAGTCTTAAACGCACCATTCCAGGCACACATTGCAGGGAAGAGGAAAGGAAACACGAGCCAGTCGAGGGCATGATTCTTCTTCCTTGTAGCGTTTGCAGTCTCTCACCTCTTTCCCAGGTCATCCCCTGCTTTTCAACCTCTAGTCGAGCGGGGTATTTATCCCGCCACACAGGACATTCACCGTCCAGGATGGAAAGTGTTTCCAGAAGAGGACACAGCAACAACAGTCGACCTGAAGCCCGTGCTCGATATCAGCATTTGGAACTTGCAGGACCTAACGCTTTCAGCTAGGAAGTTCAACACCCATACTCCGTTCTTACTGTCACTCCCGTAACCCGCCCCGACCTGCAGACAAGGAAACACTTCTGCCGCACTGTTGTATTCGGCCTCACCACCCAGTCATTCTTCTCCGTCTCCACAACATCTCCTAGAGGTTCGCCTTCGTTTCACAACTAGTTGGCATGCACTCAGGCAACCAGCCATCTCGCACCAAACGCCCGTTACTCGAAAGCTATATCATGAACATAAGGCCGACCGCAACGCTAACGCACATACACCACAACTAACTATCGTCGTATCAACCCCACCGCCGCTACACATCGTTCCTCCTCCGTCGAGGATGCGTCGCTCGACTCTCCTGCTCTATCTTGACCCTCAGCAGAACACTGTATAAATTTTTTATCGCGTCGACAGCGGACGCACGTTGAAACCCTACTTCGTCAACCCTTCTCAAAAACCTAATTGCTTGGTGCTAGGCGGACGAATTTGAGCTCAGTTCACCACCCTCCGACTCAGCCACCCGGCCATACTCACCAAGTGACCAACGATCTTCTCCGGACGGGCAGGTTCCGGATCAGCGCTGACCCCGGGAATGAAACACCCAGGCTCCTCCAGCGCACCCTTCACAGAACATTTGTAAATGTTCTTGGCGCGACAACCGGCGCAAACGCCCGCTCTTCCCTTGATGTACTTAGACACGCAGGCGAAGCAATCGTTGTCCTCCTCGCATTGTTTACACCGTTCCATGTTCAACCCAGCATAGTCGTTGGTCAGGATGTTGTACGCGGCGTTATAGTGGGAGAGCTATCACACAATTTTATCAGCTCCGACGCATCGATCGACCCGTTCGACAACCACCCACCGAATTCGCCCTTTCCTCCACCGTCTTCCCCTTGAGCTCAGGGCATCCAGGCGGCATGGGTAGATTCAACCATGCTTGCTCAGTCAACGACGCTCGATCGTATTTGTCGCCGTAGTCACTATGTACATTTCAACCCATCAGCACGCTCCAACCCCAGCGCCGGTCACCACTCACAAGAAGAAAAACGAGTTTTGCCCTCCGACCGGATGTACGAGTCGTCCCGAATACTTTTCGATATACATCCCCGACTTTGGATGATACTCTACATCCCCCAAACCAAACGCTATCACAGAGTGAAGACCCTCAGCCTTCGACAACGCCGTGACCACCTGACCGCGAACCTACTTACCCGAGTTGAAACCGTTCGGGTAATCATCACTCATCCCCCTCTCAGGGCCACACCCGAGGTTGGGTACCAACCAGCCCTGGTCCAACGGCGCAGGGGAATCTGCAAGTCACACATCAACATTCAGCTCTTGACACGACCATTTTACCGGACTATAACCACTCACAGTCTTCTCTCAACATCCTTCTCGAAGCTGGCCCGGTCTCTCCCTTCTCTTCGTCGCTGTCGTTGACGACCACCTCGCTGCTCTTCAGGTCCGAGTCGGTGGCCCTCTGGGATCGCCAACGCTCCTCGGGTTCCGAATGCCTCTCTACAGCTAACATCAATCAGTACCGTCCGCCGCACCCACAACTCCTGTCTAACTCACCCTCCGCCCGAGGGCTTGGTAAGCAAAGCTCATCGTCGATCTCGTATCCGCCCACGTCATCGTCGGCCATCAGGACGTCGACTTTTGGCGCCTCCACTTCCTGCGCTTAGGGGTTAGGGGTTAGGGGTTAGGGTTAGGGGTTAGGGGTTAGGGGTTAGGGGTTAGGGGTTAGGGG